AGTTCACTCCCAACTTCATAAACAACCAAAAGCTCATTAGTAAAGTTGACTTTTAAGCCTTTAGTATTTTCAATTTCTTCATTTAAAGTTTCCTCTTCAGGTAACTGAAAAAAGAAACAAAAATTGTTTTTAAAATTAAAATTCCTTTCACCTTAATTTGTTTTTTAATTATTATCGGTTCTTCATTAATAGCAAAATCTTCTCCTTTAAAATAGACAAAAGTAATGTCTCGGTCTTCATCAGAGAATGTTTGCTTTCTAATAATCTTCAACTTTTTAGATTTTCTTAGACGAGAAATACATGGAAGATTTTTTAAATCCTCCCAACAGCAATAGCAACAACAAAAACAAAAAGCCAAAATTACAAGAATTACTACCCCAATAATTATATATTTTAAAGAATTTGCTTCTTCTTTAGCGGAATTTTTGGTTGTTTTTTTGGTATCCATTGTTGTCGTCAATTTTGTTATTCCCTTTGTTGTCGTTAAAGTAATCTTTTTTGTTGGTTTTTGTGTTGGTAACCCCGTTGTTTCTTTTTTAGCTTGTGTAGTTGTTGAATTTAATGTTGATTCCATTTTGTTGGTTGAAGTAGTAGTTATATTCAAATTTGTATTGGTCATATTCCATGTTGTCTCGGTAGTCACGTTTTGAGTTGTTGCTGTTCCATTGATTGGTGGTGTAGTCTTTCTAAAATAATTTGGAGAAAAAATTATTTATTTAGAAAGCTTTTGTTAAATTAACTTACGTGGAAGTAACTGGCTTAATTGGAGCCTTTGGTTTCTCTCCGTTTTTGGGGTTAACTTGACCACTATCAAAAAAAATAACCATTATTATTTATAAAACAAAATTTATAAATAAACTTACGGCTGCAAAAGAATCAACAGCAAAACGAACGAGCACTTCAAAAGGAAGAAGGATTTAGACCACAAACGCATTTTAAGATTGAACTGAAGAAGTAGACAATTTTTATATTTTGATTGGGTGTTAAAATTTGTATATAGGGTTTTTTGGCTTTTATATTACAAAACTCTTTTAGATAAAAAACCTATCAACGTCTCTTTTCCAAATCAAAATTTTAAAAAATTCTAGCAACTTCAGTTTTATTTGATTTTTCTATACAAATAATTAAAAGATAAACAAAAAAATTTAAGCAATATATATTTACATATTCATCAAAAAATAATATAAATCATCACATTCAAAATATTTTTCTTTCACCGAGAAATTAATTTTTTTAAAGGTTCTAAATATTTTTCCCTTAATTTCAATTAAGTAAATGCCATTTATCTAAAGTTAATCCCATTCCTTGTATCATTTCTTGCCAATGTGCTTGTGCATCTGCTGAAGAAGAACAATCATTTTCTCTTCTATCGCTTAACATTAAAGTCCCAATTTTTTGTTTTCGACGTAATAAAGGAGGCCAAGCACTGTTATTTAACCCAAACATGTCTACTTGAACGGCACATTCTTCCAATTCGTGACGAGAAATTTGAAAGCTTGCCTAAGGAATTTTTTGAAATTATTTTTTCTTCTTTTTACCTGTGCATCATTAAATTGGACTTCTCCTGTGGGGTTGGCTTTTGTCCATGCCGATTTTTGTCTTCCAATCTCTACGCCTTCAGCAGAAAAGGCACTAATACGAATGGAGACTTCTTAAATTATTTTTTTTAATTTATAATATTCAAATAATTTTTTCGGAACTTTTTTCCATATTTATTTCCTAATTAGGTAAATACCTTGCCCAGAAACATCACTTCCACTTTCCTTCTTTCTGCCAGTCCCAATGGCTGCTGCTTTATTGACACCAACAACAAGCCTATTTTGTGTATCAAAATAGCAAAGAGACACTAACACCTTCAATTAATTAATTTTTAAATTTATTTCTTTTAAATCTGTTGAAATAATTACAAATTTTTAATATTTTTCTTTAAACAAACAAACAAATTATTTAATTAATTAATTACCTCAGGTTGATTACCTCCTTGTTGAGGTAAAGTACAAAAAGCACCTCTATCATCAACTGTTGACCCCCTTCGGCTTCCAGAAGCACTTCTAGGTGTAACAGATTGTTGGGAATTATTTCCACAAAAACGTTGATGTGAAGGGGAAGAATTTGTAGAGGATTTTCGTTGTTGTTGTTGTTGATTTTCAATGGGAGAATCTGTTGAAGTATTAGTATTTTTTGTTGGAGAAGAAGGGATTGTTTGTTGCTGATTTTGTTTTAATTGGTGGTGGTTTTGGTGATTGGATAAAGACAATAAAGAAGGAAATAAAGACATCTTAATTTAATTTTAATTTTAATTCTAGATTTTTAGAAATTAAGGGAATTAATTAATATTTATTTTTAATTTAAAATGTATTCTCTCTTCAATCAAAAATCCTCAACTATTAGAATGAGGGAAGGCTCCCTTCACTCAGTTACCCCCAAGAGGAAAGAAAAGAGAAAATAATGAACAAATTAAAAACTAAAAATAGAGCTTGAAAAAGTTTTTAAATTTATAAGCCCCTATTTAGTACTGAAATAAATTTTAAATAAAAAATTTGGGGAATAAAAAATAGAGCAATTCTAAAGTTTTATTTAATTAAAATATTTATTTAAAAAAAAAGTTCAATTTATTTTCTAAATATTTAATTAATTTATTTTTAGAAAATACTAATTTTGTTTATATGTTTCTAAATAAATTTTTATGATGTATTTTATTGTTTTAAATTAAATTAATTTAAAATTTATTTGCGAGAGAGAATAATAAAAAGTATTAGGTATTTAATTTATTTTTATTAATAGTAGTTAGTGTGGGGTTATCCAGAGAGAAAAATCTAAAAGGGAGGTACTTAAATTAACAAAACTGTTCCCAATATTACCTAATTAATTTACATATTAAGCGATTAATTTTTGGTAAATTTAAATAATTAAGAGACGATAATTTTAGAAAGTAAGGAATAGTAAAGTTGAGACGAATACATATTATCAAAAATATTCAAAAATTTGAAATTTAATGTTTCATGTTTTGAAAAATTGCATTAGCTATAATTGAAGGAGAATAATTGAGAATATCGTTATTCTCAACAAAAATTTCGAAATACTAACAATCCTCTTAAATTTTTTGATAAAAATAATTTTTTGAAAGAATAAGCATTAAATATTATAATGTGTTAGCCTAGTTTATTACTCAAAAATTATCAAAATAAATATTTTCTTGTCCCAAATTTTAAAATTTTATTAAACCAAAAATAACTGCGGGAAATATTTTTATTTCTTTTGTTATAAATTCCTTTTTTTGGTTACATTTAAAGGAGTTATTTTTTAATTTTAAATAAATTATAAGAAAAAACTATTTATATATTTATTTTTTTTGCAAAAAATTGTCATTCAGAAAATTAAATTTATTTTAAAAATTAAATTTGAAATAATTAAAACTTATTCGAATAAAATTTGTCTATAATATAATTTCCTCTAAAATTATATATTTATTTATTTCACTGAGAGGCGAGGATAATATACCTATTCTGAATAGTGTCTCAAGAATTATTTTAAAAAATTTCTTTATTTTAAAATAAAGTCAAGAAGCCTGGATATCTTAGCAAAGACTTTCAAATAAAAATGATATTGTGTGTATATATTTAATCCCAAAAAGGACTAAAGAACATGAAATTTGGCAATGCTTTTAGAAAAAAGCGAGGGGGGGGGGGGAAGTGCTATTGTTCAAGAAATAAGAAAAAATTACTTTCTTTTTTCCTCAATTTTAAAAGAAAAAAGAAAAGAAGGGGGGAGGGGGGGGGGAAGGGGGGATTTGGTAGGGAGAAAGGGAAAGAAATATTATTTTTGGAATGTTCGTAGTAAATATTGGCCCTGCCAATTTTTTCTACTGCTAATTTTATTAAGATCCAAAAAATGTGTAGGTGGAAGGAAAAGGAGAGGGAGAGGGAAAGAAAAAAGGAATGTTTAAAAAGACTTTCTTGCGTTCTTGGAAAGCTTTAAAAAATTTTTTAAAAAAGAGATTTTTTTATATTTTCACATTGGAAAAGAAAATGTGTCAAATACAAATTAAATCGTGACAATAAAAATTGTTTGGGAATATTTTATAATTATTTATTTATTGAAGAAAAAAAAAGAAATAAATATTTACTTTTAAAAAAGTTGTTTAAATGTTTGGGGTAATGAATAATTGGTAGAAGAAATACAAATATTGTTTATGGAGGAAAAGAAAATTAAATTTTCTTAGATTTTTCAATAATTTTAAAAGAATATGAAAATAATTTTTAAAGGAATTCATACTTGGAATTAAAATTTGAAAAAATAAATTTTGTTAAAAATTTTTTTGAGAATTTTAATTTTTATAAAAATTCAGAAAATATTTTAAATGAATTTAAAATTAATTTTTTTTTAAATAAGAGAGAATAATAAAAAGTACAAATTTGGAAAATAAAAAGTTGACGATAAAATGTAAATAAAATAAAAATAAAATATTTTGATGGATTGAAGGATTTTTTGGCACAAAATCCTTTCATTATTGAATTGGGAAAAAATGAAACTTTTTTATTGACGAATGAGGAAAAAAGTATTTTTTAAAGAAATCTTAGAAAATTAAAAATAATTTTAAAAATATTTTTAAATATCTAAAGAAATATTTCTAAAAAATTTAATTGAAAATAATTTAGGTATTTATATATTTTAAAAGTTTTCTTTGTTTTTTGTTATATTTTATTTTTATTTATAGAAAATAAATATTATTTTGGGAAAATTTTTTTATTTAAAAAATTTTTTGGTGGGAAATGACGTTTTTTTGGTGAAACATTTAACATATTTAAAAGAAAGAAGGAGAATTTAAAGTTAATTAATAATTATTTATAAAAAAGATTAAAAACAACTTACACTTCCTTTAACAGATTTTGGTTTATTTAAAGGGCATCGAAATTGTAAAAAATGTTTTTGCACCTTTTGTATAGAATCCAAATCAATCTTTTATTTAATTTAAAAATAAAATTAATTTATTTTTAATTTTACCAAAAAATTTTGAAGAAAAGACAATCCAATACATTGGGGACGGCGAATATCGTTAGTATATTTTTTATATAATCTAAAAAATAATTTTTATTTAAAATTTTTAATTTAAAAATTACCTAAATCTGACAAAAGAATTGGATAATTTAGCTAAAAAATAAAATAATAATTCCTTTTTAAAAATTTAATTAATTAACATTTATCACAGTTAAAAGCAAATGTTTCTCCAAAATTTATTTTTAATTGTCCTTCAAACGAACGAAATTTCGTTCGAAATTTTTGAAAATTTTTTTGTTCAGAATCGGGAATTAAAAGGGCTAAACGAAGCTTGAAATATAAAAATAAGTTATTTAAATTAATATTTATTCTTTTACTTGTAACATAGCCCTTTCCTCATTTTGATTTTCAATTACCCCCAATTCTTCTAATTTCACTAATTCATTTAATATCAATATTAACTATTAAATTTAAATTTAAAAATATATTTATTTTTAATTTAAATTACAAATTCTTTTTGTTCACTATATTGAACAGAAAGGCAAAGTTGAGCACAAGATTTGGTTAAAACTTCATTTTGATTGTTGGCTATTTCTTTATTTATTAAAACAACAGAGCTATGCCTTCCTTTCTAATAAAAATAAGAAAATATTTTTTTTCTAAATTTAACTGAATTTTTTAAAATATTTTAAAATACTCTTTTAATTTTCCATTTTTCTTTCCCTTCCTCTTCTTCATTTTCTTCTTCTTCTTCCCCTTCAGTAATATTAATTTCAGAAGGCAATGTTAAAGTAACTTCTTGTTCTTCCCTCGAATGTTTTGGTGTATTAATTCTTTCAATTATAATTTCTGGGGCTGGGAATTGTTTAATTGAATTTGGAAAGTCTTGAATTAAATAAAATAATTTATTTTATCAATTAAACTAAACTATAATTTAAATTATTTTGTTTTTTTCTTCCCTCAATTTTAACAAATTCATCATCATCCCCAATAATTTTATTAGATCCAACATTCTTTTTCTTTAACCAAAAACGATTAAATAAAGAATTCATTGGCCAACAACGAGTAAAACAATTACCAAAATTTGAAAACATTCTGATAAATTATTTAATTAATTAAAATAAAAAAGTAATTTTTTAAATTTAAAAAAAAAGATTCTAATGAATCGGAGAGAATTTTTTAGAAGAAATTTAATTAATAAAGGAATTAAATATTTTTAAAGGTTAATTGTAATAAAGAGACAACAAACTTTAAACGAAAAATAAAAAACTGTCTGCTGTCAAAAATTAAATAATTTTCAACTATCTCAATAAGGTGAGACTGATCTCAGTAAAAATAAGGAAAAAAGAACTCGTAAATTAATTAGGGATTTAGGGAAGTAAAGTTTGCTTGTAGCCCTAATCTGTATTACAAAATATTTAGAGGTCCTTTTAAAAATTAACCACTTAAAATTTTTTTAATTTCTTTTTCTGTTTAATTAAACACACATAAACAAGAAAAAAATTTTCCAAAACAATTATTAAAATTACTTTGGCTAAAAATTCTTTTTAATATAAAAATAAAAAAATAACTACATACAAGGTAAATAAATATTAATAAAATATTTATTTTTTATTTTTGTTTTTTGCTTAAAACAAGTACATACAAATTGGCACTTTACTTAAATATAAATAAAAAATAAATGTTTGGAAATATTATTGACAATTTTATTGATGCGTAAATGAATGGTTATAGTATACTAGCCTTCCAAAAATAATTTTAAAAAGCTTTTTTTTTAATAAAAAAATTTTTTTACCATTTTGACATTGCTGCCTCCATTCAAATTTTTAAAATTTTTTTATTTAATTTTTAGCTTTTTGAATTTAAAAATAAAAGAATTGAGAAGCCGTAGGCGGGAAAGTGAGACAGTCCTCTTATAAACAATAAAAGCTAAGAATACTCAATAAAAGAAGAATTGCAATTCCGGAAGGAAGGAAATAAAAAAAAGAAAAGAATAAAAGAAATACCACCAAGAATTCTTTTTCTTGATTTTAAATAATTTGTGGAGAAGAGAGAAGTTTTTTCTTATAAATTTTAACAAAAAACTTAGTTGAAATATCAAGAAGGACTTGGTAGTTAAGAAGTGGATTTTTTAGGGAGAGAGAGAATTTTTAATTTTTATATTTTTAATAAAATATTAAATTTTAAAAAGGTTAAAGTTGAATCAAATTAAATTAAAAAACATTAAAATATATTAAAATAAATTATTTAATAATTGTTTATTGGTTACCTTAAATAATCCTTTTAAGTAGTTTGGTGCTGATTTTTAATCAAAAAGTGTCGAGTTTTTAGTTTTTTAATTATATCCAGTTTAATTCAAAATATTTTATTATTATGAGGTGATAAACTAAATATTTTTTTATTTTATTTTTTCTTTATATTTATGTGTCAATTCCTTATTTTTAAACAAAAAAATAAAACCAATGAAAATAAATAAAAGGAAAAATATAAAATTTAAAAAAAGTGCATTATGCTTTACTGGTTTTTAAATTAAAAAAATATTTTTTATTTTATTTATTAAAAATTTTAAATATTTTTTAAAGAAATATTTATTGCCTGAATATACATATTTTTATTTTTTGAATAATTTATTAATAAAAAAATTGAATTAAAAATATTTTTTCTGGCATAAAAAAACAAAAATAAAAATATTTAAAAATAATTATTTAAAATTATTAGCTTTATTTAAAAATTCTACATATATTTTTATTTCTTTTTACCGCACCTATTTACTCGCCTTAATAACGTGTGAATGATTATAAATAATGGTTATTTTTAGAAAAAAACACGGCACCATTAAATATAAAAATGTCAATAATTTAAATAAAAATATTTAAGAAATATTATTTTTTTAATTTTTAATAAAAAAATTTTTTATTTAAATTTTCACTTTTTTCAAATTACAATAATTTATTTGAATTTAATAAACATTTACTACTTCATAATAATTTCCTTCAAAAAATCATAAAACTTTTTTTTAATTCATCTCATTTTATATTAAAAAATAAATAATAAGAAAATAACTTTAATATTCTATTATTATTTTTAAAAAACTTATTTTTTTAATAAACTTATTATTTAAAAATTTTTTTATTATTATTATTATGTACTTTTATTTTAAAAAAATTATTTAATAATAAATTAATATATATTTTATATACATATAATTGTAAAATAAATTAAATATTTAATGTAAAAATTTAAAAAAAATATTAATAAATTTTCCTTTAAATTTCTTTTAAACTAAAAAAATTTTTTATATTTGTTTTGGAATTATTTTGATTATTAAAATTAAATAATCAAAACTCCTATTTTCTAGGCAATTATTTTCCAATTTTTAGTTTTAATAAAAATGAGGAAAAGAAAATTTAATAATTAGTAGATTATGCTTAAAAAAAAGATTTAAAGATATCAATTTAATCATTTAAAAGTACTCCATTAGTTAAACAATGTATTGCTGTAATACTTGCTTTTGCTGGTTCAAAATTAGATTGTAAAGAAAGTGTTGAATAATAAAATTGAAGAGCATGAGGGAAATCGCCAATTGTTGAATAAACGTTAGCTAAGGTAAAATGGACCTTTAAAAAAACAAAAAAAAAGATTCGTATCTAAACTTGACTTACAGCAACAATATTTTTTCCTGTTTTGAAAGCTTAAAATTGAAAATTTTTTTAGAATATCCTTAAATAGTATACCTTTCCCTAATGTATATAATGCACTATGAAGAAATCCTGCTTGATGGTAAATATTGGCTAAACTAACTAATGGGACATCCTAAGAAAAAAAATAAATAATTAAAAATAATTTTTAAATTTGAAAAGGGTCTTTTCCATTTTTTGGAGGAAGGGTTTAATTAAAATATATTTAAATCAGCTAAATTTAATATTATTTGAAAGTTTAAATTCTTTGTTCGAAAAAGACTTTTTTCGACTATTTTTGACTAAAAAAGAAAACCTACAATAAATTAAACCTACAATAAATTCATTTGGAGAATTATATAAAGAATGTCGAAGGCATTTAATTGAATTAAGTGGATCTCCTTTTATTCTCCAATAAAGACTTGAAATTGTTCCTAAAACAAATTCTCGAATGGAAGAAATTGGTTTTGAAGAAGAAACTTTAATTTAAAAATTTTTAAAAAGATTTTAATTTATTTTACCCGATGGATGCATTGCAGCACCTTTTAAAGCAAAAAATAATTTAGCAGAAACTCTCTCAATACTATCTAATTTTGATGAACCAATTGAACGAAATGTCTAAATTAATTAATTAATTATTGTTTTAATCTATATTTACATCTCTCAAAGCTTTTTCTGGTTTATAAAATTTCGTTAAATGTTCTCGATAAAGATAAGCAGGTAATTCATCTAATTCTAAAAGGATTGAAGAAGAATGAAGAACTAAAGTAGGTTCTGGACATTCTGGCTCTAATAATAAATCTGACAATTCTGGTAATTCTCCAAAATTGAGCAAATCGTCGACCTAAAGAAAAATAAATTTTAATAAAAAAATAATGAAACCCCCCACCTTAATTCCTTTTGCCGATGGAGATACCCAAGTAGAGACTGGTTGTTCAAATAAATGATTTAGCTAAAATTAAAACGGAACTTTATATTAGAAAAAATTTAATAAGTTTACTTTTTTCTGTGTTTGACAAATTTCTTTAAGAGAATCACGTTTAAAAGGTAATGCAAATTGTTTGCCTTTATTAACCATTAAAGATGGAGGGACTGGCAATATCTTTTTAAAAAAATAATATTTTTTTTAATTTCAAATTAAAAATACTTCAGGTAAAGGAATATCTAATTTAAAGAGCACTTCCCCACGATTGGAAAGTGTTCCCAAAAAAGTTCCATCAATTTGAGCGCGTGAAGATTTTAAACGTTTAGATTGGTTATTAAGAAATGATGAAGTAACACCATCAACGACAATTGAATCTGATACTTTTGCTAAATTAAAAGAGAAAATTAGTAATTTAAAGAAGGAGTCCTAAAATTTTTAAAGGAAGAAAAGAGGTCTAAAGTTAAAAAAAGTAGTCTTAAGATAATTAGTTAAAATTGGGATTTATTAAAAAGTAGAATTACAACAAATCTAAAATCTACAAACAATTGAGGTCTAATTCGAAAATAAGAAAATATATTTATAAAAATATTTTTTACATTTCTCCTTTGTCATTTTAATATTATTTTGTTGTTTTGTTTGTTTCTTTTTATTTCCCTTATTTTTCTTCTCATTATTATTATTCTCTGTCAACTCATTTTTTAAATATTCATTAAATATAGTTTCATCAATTGTTGTCTTTTCTACTAATTTAATTTCTTTTGTTAATTTAAATTCATTTTGTCCATTAAAAATATTTTCATTATTTATTGGAGGTTTAAAATCAATTTGGAATTGATTTATTTGCTCTTTAACTCCCTCTGGCCATATTGGTCGTTGATGGGCACGAATACGGTCGAGAGAGTAACCTCCATAATCCAAGGGGAACTTAAATTAGAAAAAAGTTCTCAAATAAATTTTTAAACAATTAAATGTCCAAAAAGCCCCGAAAAGAGGCCAGAATTTAAAATTAAAATAATTTCCGAACCACCGGGGATTCTTCAATTTTATGTCTATCAACCACTTTATGTGCAAGTTCTGCTTCCAATTTTTTAGCAAAAATATCCTCTTTAATTTCTCTAAGTTTTGCTTTAAAAATATTTTAAAAATATTCCCCTTTAAATAAACAAACCAGCAGGGAAAAGTAAAGGAACAATAAATCTGGCAAAAGCTGGGGCCAAATAACTTTTTCCCTAAAATTTTTTTTTAATTTTTAATTTAAAAAATTACAATGTAAGGAGTATTGCATCGAAAATAAATTAATTTAATATTAAATAAAGGACTTTCAAGTAAAGGTTCTGGTCTATAACAATTTATTGTTTTCTCTTTATTTTTTGTTGTTAATTGTTTAAAACAAAATATTTCTTGTTCATTAGGCCAGCAACATAAAGGAGAATAAATTTGTTTAATTGAAAGTTTTGATTTGGAATAATTCTGATTTTTAAATAAAAGAAAATAATTATTTTTAAATTTAAATTAGATTTTTAGAATTGGGGAAAGAAAAATTAGAAAAATAAAGTTTGTAAAAAAACTAAAAATCCTCAGTTTTACTAAAAAAATTTCGTAGACTTTTAATTAGAAAATAATCTGTATACATATAAAACTCTTTAAAAAATGTTTGGGTTTATAAACAATTTAAAAAATTTTTAAATATTAAATAAATTACAATTATTCTTTTTGAACATTTTTTGAACAGAAGCATATTTAATGATGGTTTAAATTTAGGATCTAATTCCAATGCTTGAAATAACAATTCTAATAAAATATTTAAAAATTAGTAAATTTAAAAAGAAGAATATACTTTCTGAAGTATGTAAATTGCCTTTTAATTGATAGAAAATAGCCATTAAATGATATGGAATTGGCTGAAATTTAATTATTATATAAATAAAAAGAAATTTTTCGCTTTTAGCCGATCATTTAATGTATAAATTTAATTGAAATATATTTTTAATTATTTTAACCAAAAAATTACTTCATTAACCCCACTATTCATTGCAATACTTAAAATTCTCTCTAAACCATTCAACTCATTTTGATCAGTTAACGAATAATTTGAAAGTAAAATAATTTGTGCTAATTGTGTCAAAGCAATATCTTCAAATTTTGAATATTTAAGGGCTAATTCAATACAATTAATTGCCTTTTTAAATTTAAAAATTAAATTAAAAAAGAGAATTCAAAGAAAAACTTCGCCTGGAATGCCAAGATAACGAAAATATAAAGCAGCTAAATTAAATGTAAGCCAACGCGGTCCGATATTCTAGAAAAAATAAATTAAAAAAGATGAAAAGTAAGAAGGTCATAATAACTCAATCTTGTTTTCTCTCCTTTTGTGAGAAGATTGAGTTTTGAAAGTTTAACAAACATAAATTTTTGATTAAAAAACATACAAATTTTAATAAATTCCCAATACGTTGACCTATTTCTCTGATTAAAGGTTGTTGTGTTTTTCCATTCCAATCATTATCTAAATTATAACCAGCCAATCGAAATATTTCATTTTTTAATTTATATTCAGAAAATTCATCAGATGGGGTAAAATAACCAAATTTTAATTTTTGAAAAGAATTTAACTGAAATCTTTTTTATTTTTTTTTGTTTTTTAATTTACAAACATTTTCAATAAATTTTAGCTTTTCATCTAATAATAATCCAGTGTCGTTGTATAGTGTACAGGAAGGCAATTTCCAAGGTAATGGGGTTAATTCGCCATCTTTAATTGCCAAATATTTGGTGAGTAAATCGGAAACACTTTAAAATTATGAATTTAAAAGTTGTAAGTTATTTTATTGGAAGACGTAGTCACAACTAATAGTGAGAAGATAATGAACGAGATATCTAGTAGAGCCCTAGAAAAATGAGATCAAGAGAACCGCACAGAAATTAAGAACTTACGACAGAATAAAAATTTAGGATAGAAAAAAACATGGAGATAAAGGGGATAGGGAGATAAAGAGAGATAAAGGAGATAAAGCAATAACAAGATAGAGAGGTATATGAGATAAAGCAACAACAGCTTTTATACTATTAGATTCAAGCCTGCTTTTTTCCCTTCGAAACATTCCAAATTTCAGTATAAAAGCAGTAGTAAATCTTAGCTCAATTAACAACACACACAATCAACTTCTCAACCGTTCACGACAACAGCTTCAACTTCACAAGTCAATGGCACAATCTGCGTACTTCGGTGGCGGTGGTGCAGCTGGTGGAGGCGGCGGTGGTGCATCTGTCTACATGGGATCTGGAGCCGGCGGTCCCCCGAAGCAACCTGCAGCTGGAGGCGGCGGTTATGGAGCTGCTGGTGGAGGTAATGCGTCTGTCTACATGGGTGGTCCTGCTGGTGGAGGCGGAGGAGCCGGTCAACAGAGTGCCTACTTTGGTGGACCTGCTTCGGGAGGAGGTAAATAATTATTAATCCTAATGATAATAACAGATAATTTATTTTTATTTAAGCTTCTGCTGTCGGTAGGTCTGCGGGTGGAGGAAGTGCTTTCGGAGGCGGCGGTGGAACCCAAACGGCTATGGTTGGAGGCGGCGGTGGCACTCAGACTGCAATGGGAGGATTTGGCGGCGGCACTCAGACAGCTCTCGGAGGGATGGGCGGCACCCAGACTGCTCTCGGCGGCATGGGAGGCACTCAAACTGCTCTCGGAGGGATGGGCGGCACCCAGACAGCTCTCGGCGGGATGGGCGGCACTCAGACAGCTCTCGGCGGAATGGGCGGCACTCAGACAGCTCTCGGCGGGATGGGTGGAACCCAAACGGCGCTTGTTGGCTATGGCGGTGGAGGCACCCAAACGGCTCTTGGCGGAATGGGAGGTACTCAAACTGCTCTTGGAGGCTTTGGTACGCAGACTGCTCTTGGTGGTGCTCCTCCTGCTGGAACGGCAACTGCTCTCGTTGGTGGAGGTGGTGGAACGCAGACTGCAATGGGAGGAGGATATGGAGGGACAGCAACATGTTTGGGGAACGCTCCTGCGGCAGGTAGAAAATATTCTCTTTGTCATTTTAGCCATAACTTAATGTTTTAATTAAAGGTACAATGACTGCTCTTGGTGGAGGAGGCGGCGGGACGATGACAGCTCTTGGAGGCTTGAAACCTGCTGCTGGTGGTGCTTCTCTTGCTGGTTCAAGTGAGTTAAAACTTAAATCTCAAACCATCATTAATTGAGCTTTTATTTTCATTTAAAGGTGTTGGCGCTTCCTCGGCATATATGGGAGGTCCTCAAACCGGTGGTGGCGTTGGTGCGCAGTCTGCCTACTTTGGCGGTGGTGGAGGAGGTGGCGGCGGTGGAGCACGTCCACCTGCTGGAGGCGCTGCTGCGGGATCTGTCTACATGGGCGGTGCAGCTGCCGGTGGAGGAGGCGGCGGTTTCCAGAGCGTCTACATGGGGAAGTGATGTGCAGCCGAGGACAAAAGATGGAGAAGAGCAGAAGAAGCGTTGTTTGACTAGATGATCTCTTTTCCCTTCCAATCCCCCATATATAATTGTGTGTTTTGTATTGTGCTAATATATATAGGCTATTATCCCATTTGTTGTTGTGGCTCATTAAAATAATCCAAATGTGCCCAAATATGTCGTATAATTTTCTATTGTTCATATTGTATGTTGTATATTGCTGTTTGTATTGATATAAAAATATTTAAATGTGTTTGTTGGTTTTTGTAGATTGGAATAGGTTAGGTTTGAAAGTTGTAAGATATGTTATGACTAGGATTCCTTTTTGCTTTCAGAAAATCCTATTTAATATGAATGCCCTCTGATGCGCATTATTTTTTGCTTGAGTGATTGAAGAGATCTTATCTGAGTTGAATCCACAAGTTTTCGGATATACGGAATCGAACTAAAAAATCCTTGGTTCTTCGGCTGTTACAAACCAACATTTAAAGTGAAATAAAACTTTCACTGCTACTATGTAGTTTCATATTAAATATCCTCAATATTTTTTCTTTAAACAAAAAAGAACTCACATAAATCCCTTATTTTCCGGTGAAATAAACAATTGTGGAGACTTGAAGTCATTGAAAGAAGTTTCAAAAGATAAAGTACCAGAATTAAAAGCTTCTTGACATTCGTGAATAGATGGCCAAGACGGATTAAAAAATGGGAAACTTGCCTCGTCTTGTTTGCTAAAAATAATTTTTCGTTAAAATTCTTTCAAAATTTTCTCACTCTAAAATTGGATATTTAGGAATTAATTGAGGTTCATCCATTTCTAATCCAATTCCAATAAAAGGGGCTAATTTAGAAATATATTCTTTCCATTCAGAAAGCCTCTTCTCTTCCCTAATCTCATCATTCTCTTTTCTTTTTAAACGATCTAATTCAACAAATTTTAATTCTGGCGAGGCTTCAAATTGTTGATTAATAATTAATTCAATTTCTAAAAGAAAATTTCTTTAAAAAATATATTTTTTTATAAAAATATTACCAGCTTTTACTTTTTCTCTTTGTTTATTTAATGATTCATTATATAATTTCCAATTATTTACTGTACAGAATAAACGTTTCCTTTCTCTCCTACCACCATTCCATTGAATGCCTTCGCGACAATTAGAAACTTAAATTTGGAATAAGAATAATTGAATTTGAAATATTAAAATAATCCAAAAACAAACAAGGAAGCGCTCCATATTCAAAATGTTCATATGCCAATTTTGCTTGTAACCTAGCTTCCACTGGCGCCCGATTTGACTCTATTAGCTCTTCTAATTGATAAATTCTTCGCATTCTATTAAAATTAAAATTTAAAAATTTTTTAAAATTAATAGGACTACTTTTCTTTAAACATTTCAACATCTTTAATTGTATCTAAAAGGTTTTCATGTTGATTCTCCATTACTTCAAATATTTTATTTATACAACGAAGAAGAGAAACTTTCTGTTTTTATTTTTAAAATTAAAAAAAAACTTTATTAAATACCGTCAAAGCCAAATCCAGATCAGTTTCAAGTCTGAGGGCTTTGTCAAAAGTATCAATTGCTTCACTGAAATTACCATCCTTTAAATTAATTACTACTTTTCTTAATAATTAAATTTACAAGAACATAAGCATCCCCCAAAGGAAGAAGACATTTTGCACAATTTGGTACTTTATTGTTTATAAACTTTAAAAAAAAAATAAATTTGTCAAGTTCTTAGAATACCCCCATTTTAATTTAAATTATTTCCAGTCTCCCATTATTTTTTTGGATAAAGAACAGATAAAAAACAATTATTATTCACCTCTAAATGTTCAATAGCCCGTTTATAGTTGCCCAATCGTAATTGAATAATTCCAAGTTGAAATCTTGCTGGGCTAAAATAATAAATAAAAATTAATTTAAATAATTTTTAAATGTACATATTATCCTTCTCCATTAATAAATAATTAAATAAACAATTTAATGCATTTTGAGGATTTCCTCGAAGTCTCCAATAAAAATGTGCAAAATAAATAGCTTTTTTAATTAAATTATTATTTTGTTCATTATTTTCCTCTTTTTTAGTTTTTGAAAGAATTAATGAAATTATATGTTTAAATAATTTCATTTCTTCTATTTTAATTCCTTCAGCCAATCCAGGTTCTTCATAATTTTCAGAAGATGAAGAGGAAAATTCTTGAGAGATTTTTTGATAATCATTGCTAATCACTCCACAATCAATTTCTTTATCTTCTACTTCTTTGTCAGAAAATTGGAATTGTTCCCCAAAAGGTTTTAAAACAATTGATTTTAATTCATATTTTCCATCAATTAACACCAAATCGAAAGGATAAACTGTTAGGAAATTTTCTGGTTGAAGTTCAAAGTTTTTACTTCTAATACAATCTAAATTTGTTGCTCTAATTTTATGTTCAATTTGAGGATCATCGTCATCATATCTTTTCTCTATTAAAACCTAGAAAACTTTTTTTAAAGGTTGAGAGAAATTTTTATTTTGTTTTAAATGGTTCTTTAACTTTCTTCCTCGCAACTAATTGTCAAAAAATTTCAATTATTCTACATAACAGATTTTAAAAATTTTAAAAACATACCTGTTGCTGTCTAACAGATGTTTTCAATTCTGCAAGTTCTTGCACTAATTCAACTTGACTATAAAAATCAGCTAACAAATGTGGATGTCTTATTAAATAAGGAGAATCTTCCTGAAATTGAAGAAATAAATTATCATAAAATTAACAAAATACAGACCACTTCAGCTCTTCCATTTTTAGAATCAAAAATTAAATGAGAATGTGCAATAACTGGCAATAAATTAATCAAGAGAAATGGGGAAATATAAAATATTAATTCCAGCATTCCTAAAATAATTTTAATAATTTTGAAAATTAAGAATTAAAAATAAGTCTAAGCATGGCAATATCGCCCTTTTCTTGTTTAAAATTTAAAAAATTTAAAGCACTTTTATTCAATTTCAAGGCAAAAAGAATATAATAATGAGATGATTTTTAAGAGATCAAAAAAATAAATTAAAACAAAGCATTTAAAGCTTTTCTTCTTTAAGAGAAAATCTTTTTATTTATTAAAATGATGAGCAAGCACATAATTAACATCATCCTTCGTAAGCTTATTAGATCCTCTATGCTTCGCTAAACTGCAAGCTTTATCCAGAATTTTATTTACATAATCATTTGTAAACTAAAATAAAAATTTTATAGAAAAAACCTTATTATAAAATTGAATGAATCATTACGACTATCAACTAAAACAATTTAATTCCCCGAATGCAAAAAATAACCCTATAAATACAAAAAACCATACCCGGTTAGCACATAACCTTCCGCCTAATCTAAATAATTTCTAAATATAGTACATAAAAAATACCAACCTCCATCAACGCTTCATGCACATCTTTATCAAGTATAGCATTTGGATTAATTTTTCTCAATAAATCATCCAAATAAGTAACAGATCTATTCTCATCATTATCTTCCATTCTGACAATAAATATTTAAAAATCAAAAAATCTTTTTAAATAAACCAAATTAAAAAAAAAACATTTAAGAATCTCAAAAATCTATAGCGAAATAGAAATCTAAGAAGATATATTATTTTATTTATTTTATAAAATTTAAAACAATAACTATAAAATTCAAAAAAAATCAGCATATTTTCAAGAAGTATATTGAACCATCAAATCCTAAAAAAATTAAAAATTTATTCCAAATTTTTATTTAAAAAACCTTTGCAGGCCAAAGCCTATCCAACAAATTAACACCTACAGAACGAACAAAAACTGACGGAAGAAAATTTGTTGAAAACAAACTATTTAAAAAGTCAATAGCAGTCATTATTGGAACATTTTTGCGTTGACTTTTGGCATCAAAGTTTTTTAAATAAATTAAAGAACCTAAAAAATAATTAAATTAATAAAAATTAAATTGAAATTTTACCCAAATCTCCACCCTCCTTAACTGCAATTTCGAGTGTATTTGTTAAATTAACTACATCAGACCATCCAAGATTAACTCCAAGTCCAGCCATTGGATGTATTCTATGTGCTGCATCCCTAGAAAATTTTTTGAAAATTAAAATGTATACATTATCCAAATTTGTATTGGAATAATAATTTAAAATATTGACTAAAGATTAAATTTAGTAGTCTAGAAGAAAAAGATATCAATATATAATATCAATATTTTATTTTTATTTACACCCTGAAGAATATACTAGAAAATCCATGGGCAAATCTTAAAGTTGACTAATCTTTTTATCAAAAGTTAACCCGAACCAGCAAGTTTTTTTACATATTAGAATAATTTCAGTGCACACAAAAAATTATAAATTACCCAATTAATGCCAATCTATTCCCAATATAATCATGCGCGTGAATTAGAGATAGTGGAAATGCTGCTCTATCATTATTTGGCAGAGAAAGAATAGTTGGGAAGACAAAATTTTCAGATGACGTCAAAAATGGAATTGAATTCAAAATACTTGAAAAACAATTTAAAGGCCCATCAATTATTTTATTATGTCCAGAATGATCAACCTTAAATTGAAAAATGATTGTCAATTTTAAATTTAAAAATACCAAAGCTCCATTTAATTCCTTCACAAATTCTTCATTAGGCAATTCCAAAAGACGTTTTGCTTCTGATGTTGAAGTTGTCCAGGCAAGTGAACTCAGCTTCTCATTAAGTGGCAAAATACCGATTGGCCCAGTTGGCATAAATCTTTGCCACGCAATCGTGTTTTTAATATCATTCTTTTAAAAAATCAAAGCTTAAAGAATAAAAAAAATACTTGTGATGGAGAAATTTCTAGGGAACCAACAATACAAGATTGGCCATAATCTTCGTTAGTATATTTTAGACCACTAATTTCCCTAACTTTACTATTCGCCCCATCTGCTGCTATCTAAAAATATTTTAAACAAATCTTTGATTAAATAATACCAACAAAGAACTTTCAACTACTTCACCACTGTCCAATTTAAGAACGACAATTTCATCGAGGTTTTCAGGCAAACTGAAAGAAAAATAGATCGGAAAAAACAGATCAGAATTTCTTATGACAAATTACTAATAACGAAGCAAATATAATTGTAACAATTCCCTTATTATATTTCTTACTACTCTTAAAAAACCTCAATTCACAAAATGAGGTCTCTTGCTTCCAATCAATATTTAAACTTTCTCTAAGACATTGATGTAAAGCATCAACAATCCTCCAATTCTCTACAATATAAGCAACTGGGGAGCTTGGTTTGGATTGTTTAAAAGAAATCCTAGATTCTGAGCAACCATCTTGAATCTACAAACAAAAAATTAAAACGAAATTTTAAAAAACGCAAAACATATAAGGAAGTGACCGGTTGTGCTTTAACCGAAATTTGCTTCCAAACGTTCAGATCTGAAACAATTGAAAAATACGTATTTAAATGAAATCTCAATATTTGAATAAAAATCTAATTTTTGAACAAACTTTAGGTGACTGAAAACTCTTTAAAAGAACGAAAAACTTTATGGACGTCAAATTTTAACAAAAAATTAGGCAATTATACTTTCAAACAACTCCACAGAGGAAGGGGCTATGGCAGATACTCGGTTGGAATACCAATCCTCTTCTCTAACTTTTGGCTGGACAGTTTTGAGTGAATCGAGCAAAAGAATTTTCTTTGAAGATAATGAAGACTTCTTGCCTAAATTTGTTTTTTTGGGGAATTCGACCTTTAAAAATTTTTGAATCTTATTTAATACCAATAGCGCAAGCCATCGCGCTCCCGACCAAACCACCCCCGACAATTACAATGTCATAATGACTGGATATTGCCTTTGAAGCACAAAATGTTCGAACACAACTAATTGTTTGTGAACAAAGCATAACTTGTAAACAGTTTTTACTAAATAGAAATGATAAACTAAATATAGAATTACTTGCTGAATAACTCGACATCTTTCTGTACAAACTGGGAATTTTATCTAAAATTTATTCAAATCGATATGATAAAACAGTAAAAAATAAAAATACACGCTTTTACGAGGTAATTTGTAAATTTAAAGATCATCATCAGCATCAGTGTCTCCATCCAGAGCTTGTACAGATCCTGAATTTGATGGTTTAATTTATAAATAAATTATATACTATAAAACCTGAATCGGAAGACGTCAACTCACTAAAAGCCAAATGTCCTTGAGTAGCATCAAGATCGACTTTGAACCTTTTGCATGAACGTTGGCCCTCATCATCGCTTCCATAACAGTCATCACCAGAGCCGCTCCAATGAACCACTGAGTCAGATGTGGAGTCGTTCGTAGAATCTGGAGGAGGCGAACCACTATTTTGACAATCCCAGCGTGTTTTTTTCGCTGCCCCCTTACGCCTTTTGCGAAGCCGACGTTTTGCGGCACGGCTTTCGCCTAAGGACTTACACAAAATTTGGATGAATCCCGAATGCAGCAACTCCCGACGCAAATCCTTGTGTTTTTGATCCATTAGACCACGACGTTTACGAATTGCCAATGCCAAAAGTTGAACTGGTGTAAGCGTAGTCGAAGATGAGGCATTTTCAGTTAAATCAGAATTAGTCTTGTCAACATTTGAAGAATATGAGCAGTTATTTGTTTGATTACGAAATAGCATACTGAAAATTTTAAAAATTAGTTAAAAAATTGCAAAAAATATCGGGAGATTGGAGAAAATATAAAAAAATAGTCACAGCATAAGCAAAAGTAATGCAAGTGGAAGGAATGAAATTAGTAACAAAGCAATGGCGTCTAAAAATTGTAAACTCAGGGTTCGCATTTCTACTTTTTTAAAAGTATTCTACTTTTAAATCGACCTCCATGCTTACGAAATTGAATTTATACTTTTTTGAAAGTATATACTTTTTTTTGATTGAAAATGAAATTGGGGAAGGGATTGGGCAAAAAAGTGAATTTTTTTGGCCTACGGCCTTTGAAATTCTCAAAATTTTCGCCTGCGGCGCTGAAAAAAGATGAAATCTATCTTCTTGGGCTCTAAATTTCAAAAAATTTTCGCCTGCGGCGCAAGAAATGGAAGAAATTTGGCTTAAGGACTTCCAAAATTCTCAAAATTTTCGCCTGCGGCGCTGAAAAAGGAAGAAATCTGGCTTAAGAACCTCCAAAATTCTCAAAATTTTCGCCTGCGGCGCTGAAAAAGGAAGAAATCTGGCTTAAGAACCTCCAAAATTCTCAAAATTTTCGCCGGCGGCGCTGAAAAAGGAAGAAATCTGGCTTAAGAACCTCCAAAATTCTCAAAATTTTCGCCTGCGGCGCTGAAATAAGATGAAATCTATCTTCTTGGGCTCTAAATTTCAAAAAATTTTCGCCTGCGGCGCAAGAAATGGAAGAAATTTGGCTTAAGGACTTCCAAAATTCTCAAAATTTTCGCCTGCGGCGCTGAAAAAGGAAGAAATCTGGCTTAAGAACCTCCAAAATTCTCAAAATTTTCGCCTGCGGCGCTGAAAAAGGAAGAAATCTGGCTTAAGAACCTCCAAAATTCTCAAAATTTTCGCCTGCGGCGCTGAAATAAGATGAAATCTATCTTCTTGGGCTCTAAATTTCAAAAAATTTTCGCCTGCGGCGCAAGAAATGGAAGAAATTTGGCTTAAGGACTTCCAAAATTCTCAAAATTTTCGCCTGCGGCGCTGAAAAAGGAAGAAATCTGGCTTAAGAACCTCCAAAATTCTCAAAATTTTCGCCTGCGGCGCTGAAAAAGGAAGAAATCTGGCTTAAGAACCTCCAAAATTCTCAAAATTTTCGCCTGCGGCGCTGAAATAAGATGAAATCTATCTTCTTGGGCTCTAAATTTCAAAAAATTTTCGCCTGCGGCGCAAGAAATGGAAGAAATTTGGCTTAAGGACTTCCAAAATTCTCAAAATTTTCGCCTGCGGCGCTGAAAAAGGAAGAAATCTGGCTTAAGAACCTCCAAAATTCTCAAAATTTTCGCCTGCGGCGCAAAAAATATATTTTTTGGCGCCTTCGGCGCCACAAAAGGTGCATTGAAATTGACAAAATGCTCAGTTGAAACAGGAAATTATTAGAAAAGATTCATTTAGGAGAGAAATATAAAAGATTTGAGGACGAATAAATATTTTCTAATTTAATTTTGAGACTACTTTTTTTTGCAAATTTTCTCCCTATATACTTTTTTATCGAGATTTTGATACTTTTGAGTGGCATTTTGTCGATGCGAACCCTGTGTAAACTTCTCTAACACAAGTTCTCTTTTTTATTCCTCACTTACTGCTGCGGGATACAATGTCCTAATCAATAAAAAGACATTTTGCCAAAAAAGTTAAGGCAAATTTTTTTAATTTTAAAATAAATTACGGTAGTTTTTAAAATACTTTTTTTATGTTTACGCCGTTTCATTTTAATAACATTTTTCCATAAAGTTTTAAGTTTAATTTTCTAAATAACTATTTTATAGGTTAATTTATTTATTCCTCTATATATACAAACATTTAAAAAATGATAAACCATGATAGAAATATATATTTATATTTTTGGTATTTAAAAATTTAGTTTATTCTTTATAATCTTCAAAAAATTCTTCAGTAGCTAAAATAGACGTTTTTTGATCTAAAGAAGTTGCACGCGAAGTATTTTGAGCAGAAGAATTTCTATCGTCTTTTTTTATTTCTTGTTTTGAAGAACTGAAATTTTTTCAAATAAGTTTTAAGGGTCTTCAATCTTTTGGAGAGAATTGAAAGAATTTTAGGTGGTTGTTGATATTCCTAGATTAATAGGAGGAATATTCTCTGCGAACATGTACATAGTCTACCAAATCCCTGTAATTTAAATTCCTTCAATACTCTCTATTTCTTATAGAAAAAACAATTAAACTCACTTTTCACAAATAATTTCTGCACTTCTTTGTTGTCTACACTTTTCTTTTGCCGTTCCAGTAGTAGATGTTTTATTACTTCCCATTAATTTACAAATATTTTTCAATTTTTTACCACCCTGTTCATGTATTGTTTTTTCATTTCTGGAAGAGATATTTTGTTTTAACGCTTCTCGTGAGGGGGCATCGCTACTAGATGATGTTCTATAACGTCCACCACCTCTTTGGGTATAATTCCCCGTTCGAGTAGTTCCAAAGAAGCTTGAAGGTCCTAAAGTTTCAAAACGAGGTGAAAGAAGGGCATTCATCCATCCAGTCATATAATTAGCTGTTATACTTTTTTTATTTGAATTATTTGTTGTTGATTCTTTTTGTTTTGTTTCATTCTCTTCTTGTAAATGTTGTTGATGTTGAAGTGGTGGACGTTGTTGACGATGGCATTCTAATGAATTTGGAAGTTTTTCTTTACAATGATCATGTACGAATATTAAACAACGTGAACATCTACTTCCATATCTCATCCATAACTGTAAATATTATACAAAATAAAGCTAGAATATAAATTTGTGGGAAAGAGACAAAAAAATTAATTGAGATTTTTTAACTCTCCCAATTCATGCCAAATTTAAGGAGACGTGTTAAGAGGAAATGTAGAACAATTAAAAAGGTAGGACAATTTGCCCTTCCAATGTATGAGATTTGGGAAGTTAATTAGGAGAACATCTACGCACGTAAAATTTCTCTGCCTTTTAAAAACACAAAAAAAAAATTTAAATTTTACTTTTTTATTGCAATTAAAACAATTTGTTGGTGTTAGAAAATGCCATTCTATCCATTTATGTTTTGTTTTATTATTATTAGTTGTTTCTTCATTCTGATTATTTAAATTATTTTCATTACTTGTTGATGGTTGTTGTTGGTTACTTTTTAAATTAAATTCACTAATAAATTGTTCGAAATCATCCAAATCAATGAATGGTTGTTGCTGTTTTTGTTTAAAATTATTATTTTTTGAATTTTCTACTAAAAATTTTGGGGAAGGAGGAGGGATTTTTGAAGAAATTTTTGTTTCTTTTAAGGGTTCTTTTGTAGTTTCCTCTATTCTTATATCAATTGCTGAATGTGATGTTATATTATTTTGGTTATTATTTAAGAAAAGTTCATTATCATGTGCTTTAGGTTCTCTTTTTAATGACAAATTGTAAAGCTTTAAAAATATTAAGAATATAGTTGGGGTATGTATAAAGTAATTACCTCATGTTCATTATATATTGTATCAAATAGCACCTTCTTTAAAGCATTAACTAAATCTGAATTTGCATTACCAAAATTGGGCGGAGTTCTGTTAACACTCAGAAAATTGGAAAGTAAATAGGCTAATTGGCTTAGACCTAATTAAATATTAATTAATTTATTTAAATTTTTATTTTAATTTCTATCCAATTTTTAAAATAAATATAACATTTTTATCCAAAAAATATCCTAATCCTGTCCTTTGCAAATTAATAATTTGGATATATTTTTCCTAATATTTTCTATGAACTTAAACATTTTTAATTATGGCTCCCTCTTGTGAGTCGAGGATAAAAACGGCTTTTGGGGTTTTTATCGAGGATAAAAATCGAGGATTTGCGTAATTATGCGTAATTATATCGAGGATTTGCGTAATTATGCGTAATTATATCGAGGATTTGCGTAATTATTGCTAGCAGAAAGTAATAGTGTTAATGAATTTTAAATCTTTTAAATGAACTTGTGGAGTCTTAGTGAGAATCTTGTGGAGTCTTAGTGAGATTCCACAAGATTCCCTTCTAAATATTATTTAATATGTATTTACATCTCTCAGATATTTTCCTTGTTTCTTCAAATTGTTCAAGGTTAGCACTGTGCCAAAAAGCAATTAAATCTTTTAAATGAACACCCCTAAAAATAAAATAAGAAATATTTTTAATTAATTAGTTTACATTATTGGAATTCTAAATTGTTGATTTGCTTCTCTTAAAGCTTTTCTATAATTTGCGTAATTATTGCTAGCAGAAAGTAATAGTGTTAATGAATTTAATTCTTTTTTAGTTGTAGAACTTAGAAGTGATTGTGTTTGTGTATGTCTAGCAATATTTGAATGTGTTATTGCGCCCTTTAAAAATTAAATAAAAAATTATTAGTAAATTTAAAAATTATTATGTTGAGCGCCGATTATGCGACGTTTTTTGCTTGCAAAATATTTTTATAAAATTGGAAAGTATCTCACTTAAGCCCGATTATTTATTTCTGTTGAGATTTTTAATGTTTAAAATTTTATTAACTACTGCCAGTATTTCCAAATTTCAAGTCACATTTAGTAATTAAACTCTAATTTAAAAATTAGTCAGGATTTTTAATTAAAGTTCATTGGAATGAAATAGATAATTTTAAAAGTTTAAAATAAAAAATCTAACAATAACAGCCATCAAAGTATTGAAATTGTTTTGTTGACGTAAACACTTTAATTAATTAAATTTTATTTAATTAATTTACATATAATAACAAACTTTTGCGACTTTAATAAACTTTTCAATTACAGAAGCTCTTTCTTGTGGAGTTCTTTTTAGCAGAATTGTTGCTTGAACCCAACCAGAAAAACACTAAAAATATCTCTATTATTTTAGATAATTGTCTATGTACATATGTCCCAAAAGAATATTTTTATCATTATTCCCCCCCCCCCCAACCAACTCCTTATTTTTGCCCACGTTCTCCATAATAAATTAAACCTACTAGATGAAATAAATAAAAACTTACATTAAAAGAAGCAATAGACCTGAAAATCTGTTTAAAATTTAATTAATTTAAAAATTAATTTATTTTGACCTCTCAAGTTGTGTTTCACTTGATATTTTTCCAATTTTTATATATTGTTTTAATTCTCCAGTAGTTATTCTACTCAAAACTTTGTGTTCAACTTAATTAATTTAATCAAAACAAAATATTTTTTTATTTTAAACTATTTGACATTGCTTTAGCAATTTCTTCAGCAGACCAATGCTCTATAAGGCAGAATGAAGAAACTTGGAGGTGAGTAGATGAAAGTGGAGGGTTTCTAGCTGAAGGGTTTCTTATCCATGCATATGAAGGACTGAAAATAAAATTATTGCTTTAATTAATTGAGGGGATTTAAAAAAGTAAACAAAGTATTACATATGTAAAAAATCAAAGGAAAGATTTTTAAATAAATAGTAGAAGTATCCTAACTTTAAACAAAAAAATTTCCAAAAAAATAAATCCTCTTTATAAAAATATTTATTTTTAAACATACATAGAGGAAATATCAAGTAATTCATCCACAGCTTGTAAAGGAATAAAATTATTAGCCATCGCTAATTTTTTGAGTCTTTCTAAAAGACGATAAAGCTGAGGATTTGCATCATATTGGAAATGAACAGGGAAATTACGGATCCAAAAGCCAACAGCTGCACAGACTTTTTGGCCATAACTTAAAGGGTCACTCTAAAAAAATTAAAAAAAATTATTAAAATTTATCATAAATTATATGTTAAATTAATAAAAATGCAAAAAATTACATGAAATATTGACAAAAAGAGGGCCATTAATTCAGACTAAAAAATTAATAAAAAAATTAAATTTTAAATAAATTTAAATTTACAAGGTCAGAGATCAACCATTCACTTGTAGAGAAAAACCAAACAGGGAATTTAGAGCTTGGTTCTGGGGTGCAGTCTTCTTTTAATTAAAACATAATTTAAAAATAATTTTTTAATAAATTACCAAAATAATCACAACATTTTCTAACAAGTTCAGCCATTTCAAGTAATTCCGAAGCTTTTTCTTGGTCGCTCATTAATATACATTAATTAATTTATTTTCTTTTTTTTATTTTTAAATTAATTTAAAATAATTTTATAGATACAAAAATAAATATAGTTGTTGCCGTAAATAATAATAAATTTTTAGGTAAATATATTTAAAGTAATAATTACTGATAATACATATAACTAAAAATAAATTATTTACTAATATTTTTGATAAAAAATATAAATATTAGTATTTATTATGTAATTTTTAAAGATTATTTTTTTAATAATACATAAGAGGGTTTCTGTGTAAATATTATTTTTATATATTTTTAATTCCAAATAATATTATATATAAATAATATTATATATAATCCAATAATAAAGAAAAAATAATTTTCTTTAAAACTAAATCCTTTTCTTTCTAAATAAAAATGTCCAACTAGTAAAAAGAAAAGTTAATTTATATTGAAAAACATAAAATAATGTGGAAAGGCTAAAAAAGATGAAAAGAAAAATTAGAAAAAAAAGAAAAAGCCTTTCGAGAAATGCCAAATATTTTTTTATATTTCTCATGGCGCAAGTAAATAAAAATGTATGTAGACCCTAACCATATTTAGAGGGAAAGAGGAGAGGAGTAATAGGCCTCCCAACCTCTGCCAAAAGCTGTCAATAAAATATAAAAGTATTGACTGGCTCTATATTAACCTTTTTTTATTTATTCTTTTCTCGACATGTCTGGCAAAAAAAAAAGAGAAAATTTTGTTTTATTGATTTTTATTTAAAAATAAATAAAAAAATTTTTAAATAAGTAAATTTAATATTTTATAATTATGCAATATTTAACTTGAGGATTTAATCTAATTTTTTAATTTTATTTAATTTAACTCCAACGCAATATTTAAATTTAAAAAATAAGAGGAAATTACAAAATATACATATACTATCAAATAAATTAATGTTAATAAATAAGAAATATTCTTTAAAATAAATAAATTATTAAAATTATGATAGGTTAAACAAAATTAAATTATTTAAAGTTTTGGACAATTAAATTAAATATGGAAATAAATATTAAAAAATATTTTTTATTTTTTGGTCAAGGTTCTGTGATTAAAATTTTGTTTATTTTTGTTTTTTTAAATAATAAAAAAGGGAAACGGGGGGAAGGGGATTTCTTTTAAATTAATAAAAGTTAAACTTTTAATTACCAAAAAAAACTTTGTGGAGTGAATAAATTGAAAAGAATTTGTGGAATGATTGAAAAATAAATATTTTTTAGAGAGAGGGGAATTAAAAAATAAATAAATAATGTATGGATGTATTTAAATATATTTATTTATTGAATAAATATTTAAACAATAAATATTTTTTAAATAAAAAAAAAGAGGAGAAAATATTTTTTTTGAGGGAAAAGAAAAAATAAAATAAAATAAGTACCAGATGACCGGACTGTCAACATAAACATGAAATAAAAAATCTTGAAAAAATGATAAAAAAATATTTAAAAAATTTTTCTTGATAAGGAAAGGAATGACGAGAATTAGAAAAAAATGAGAGAGAAAATAAAATTAAAATTGAAAAAATTTTCAAGTATTATCATCATCTAAATATGTACTTATTTTTAATAAACAATAAATGTAATTTTGGAAGGTTTTTAGAAAATAAAATTTTGAAAAAAGTGAATATATATTTCTAAATAATTTTTATTTAAAAAATAATTATTTTTAAATTAATTAATTATTAAAAGAATATTTTTTAAAAATTATTAAATTATATTTTAAATATTATTCAGATAATTTAAAATTAAATTTAAAGAAGACGGATCAAGACCGAACCTTTGAATATGTACAACTCTGTAGTAACTTTGTAAAAAGGAGTGTTTATAAATCTTCTCATCTACATATTTATTCAATTAAGAGATATATTAAAGGATTTGCTTCCATTGTGAATATTTAAATTTTATTTATTTTAAATAATTATTTATTTTAAAAATAATTATTATTTTTACAAATATTCGTGACTAAATAAAATAAATAAATATTATCGTTTTTTCTCATAAAATTAATATATTTTTATTTATTTCCATGGAAATGCTTTGTTACCTTATTTTCAAATAAATATTATATACTTTTATTAAAAGATTTTTAAAATCACAAAATTAAAAAATTAAATAGTTGCTAAAATTAATTTTAAATTTTTTTGATGATTGATGACGTTATTGACTACATAGATTTAAATAAATATATATTTATATAAATTCTTTTTTTAAATAAAAATGTCCTTCATAAGTTTCTATTTTTTGAACCCTTCAAGTTATTATAAATACTTCCCTTTTCTTATTTAGAAGAAATTTTTTTAGTCAAGTTTACTTAAAAATCAGCATTTTATTTGACACATTTTAAGAAAATTAAAAGAAAAATTTTGAGTATTTAATGGAAATATTCCAAACATATTTTTTTAAGAATTTTTTTTTTATTAAAATAAATATTTCTAAAAAAATATTTAAATTAATCTCTCCATCCAAATAACTACCTACTAATTTCTACATCCTCCATAATTTTCTTTTCAAATTAAAAAGCAGGGCGTGTTCAAAACTTAAAAAAACATTTTTAACAGTTGTTCTTTTAACAAATATTTTTATCAAATATCTTCTTCTTCTCCCTACATTCCTAAAAATCTTTTTAAAAAATTCCCCTCATTTTTTTTTAATTTTCATTCTCTTTTTTTTCTTTTACTACCTCATTGCTTTTTCTCAAAAGGCAATAAATCCTTGTCATTTTTCATTCATTTATTTATTTTACTTATTCACAAACATGAAAAAAACATGTTTATTAAAAAATTAAAAAAATATTTTAGTAGACAATTTTTTAAATTTAAAAGTAAAAATTAAATATATTAAATAATTTCCTTCTTTTAAACAATTTTTTATATTTCTTGCTAACATCCAATGATAATCTGAAAATTTTGTAAAACACATAATTATTTAGCTATTTAAAAAGTGATATAATAAATAAGCACATATGTAAGTCCAATAAATTGAAAAAATGCTGGTTCCTCCCAGCATAGGTGAAGGCGAAGTACAATATATAGTAGCTAAAGTAGCAATGTTAATCTGATCAGCTTCATTTAAAATAAAAATTTAATATATTTCTAAAATCTCACAAAATATTTAATTTTACAAATTTATCTTTATTATTTTTAACATTTTTAACTAATTTCTTAAATTTCAAAAAAAAATAAGTAAACCAAAACACACAAATTTAAATATATTTTTAAATGAAAATTATGAGCTTTCTTTTAATAAACAAATGTTTTTTAATGTTTAAAATATAAAAAAAAACTTTGGTTTTATTGAAATATGAGCTTCTTTTAGGTATTTATTTTTTTAAAAATATTGCTTATCCCTAAATTAATAATTCTTTTTTTTTCTTATTTCTTAAAAATATAAAACATCCCTTCGAGAAAATTTAAAAACTTTATTATTTACAAAATCTAATTTTTATTTTTCAAAAAAAAATATAAAAACATCCAAGAATTTAATCCGAAACAAAATAAAAATTTAATTAGTAATTAATTTACTTTTATTTTTAAATTAAATAGAATTTTTATTTAAAAATAATGGGAAATAATCGTTCCTCAACCTCTTCTTCTTCTGCTACTTCAAGTTATTCTCAATATACCCATTCCATTCCAAACAAAAATTTTACTAATAAAAATACTCGGCAATTTTGGAAAACTTCAATTTCGGCACGAGAAAGTTTTGAAATTTCTCCACAACAAAAAGAAGAAACAAAAACACGTTTACGTAATCGTTCTCTTGTTTTATTTCAACAACCAAAATTAAATAAAGGAGGAGGAAATAATAATTGGTGGCCTTTAAAGAGAATAAAAAATAGAAGGTTTTGAATTTTGAAGATTAGTGTTGAGCGGGATCGGGATTTGGAATAATGACCCCGATCCCGAATCGGGTACCGGTATTGAAAAATCGGAATCGGATTAAAAAACAGGGTTAATCCCGCCCGATCCCGACCGGGATCCCGCTCAACCCTAAAATTAATTTTAAAAAAATATTCTTTTTTTTTGTTTAAAGTATTGAAAAGAAAAATTCTTATGGAGTACCCCCTCCTTTAATGTTATTTGATGAAATAAATAGAGAAGAAGAAATTCAAAGTTTAGAAAACCGTCCATTAATAGATTTAACAGTAACAAGTAGTGAGAACAACAGTCCCTGTTCTTCTCTTCCTCCAAACCAGCCAACAACAACAATAGATGATTCTAATACAACAACAACATCTACAGCCACAACAACAACATTTATTAGTTTTAGACCCCAAAGATGCCAATTTTTAGAAAATTCTTCAGAAAATTTTGTTGAAAATAAAAATAATAATTCTGAATTTAATATACATCAAAGACGTGCAAAATCATTTAGACACTTCCCTAGTACAAAAACTTGTAATAATAGTAGAAGAAGTACTAGGTAATTATTTATTTAAACTATTTATTGAAAAATGTTTTTAATAAATATCAAAAAAATTTTTGAAATGCTCACGAAAAAAGAGAAATATTTCCTCATTTTTGCTCTTTTATAAGAATACCCCTTATTATAAGTAAAAACTTGTGCCAGTCCCGAAAGTGAAGCTCAAAGTAAATTTTGAGTTTATGTATATTTCGTGTCAGGCTATCTTTTCCGTGATTTGGAATTCCTTGAGTTAGCCCCCACCAGTATATATTTATTCAACTTCCAGTTTTTCTTAAAAATTCAAAACAAATTTACTATTCCCCATTTTCTTTTCCTTTCAGATTCAGCACAGCTTCAGGTTCAGCCCATCTTCTAAAAAAATCCCCATTTATTGCCAATATTTGTCCAATAACCGGATTAACCCCAATTCAAAGAAGAATGATTATTGAAAGAGTTTGTAAATTAAAAACTCTAGATTTACACATATTTTGTTCTTCAACATACAAAAATGTTTTTGAAAAATATCCAAAATTAATTTCTTATTTTTGTTTAAATACTTCAATTAAAAGAAAAAAATCAGAAAAAGATTTTATTTTAAAAGAAGGGGAAAAAGAAAATAAAAAGGAGAAAAATGGAAAAGAAATTTGTAGACGCTTATCTTCTATTGGAATTTTTAGAATGCTTGTTAGAGTAAGTAGAATATTTTTAAAAAATCAGAATTTTTTTAGAAAGTTTATTTAGTCATTTTAAATTTAAATATTCCCTTTAATTTTAAATAACACATCAGTCCAATCAACTGAAGATGCTGGTTCGCTCCCAGCTGCCGAATAACCTTTTGCACTAGCCGGAGGAGAGAAATAGCTATAGCTCAGCTGCTTTACTTAATTTTAAATTAAATTTACAAAATTAAAAATTTTTATTAAACAATTTGGATGTAAAAAATTAAACAATTGTTCCCCCCCCCCTCTCCCCCCTCCACCGCAAAAATAACAGAAAAAAAGTTAAAATAATTTTGATTGATGACATAATTTTAACATTTGGGAATAAAATATTAAAACAGAAAAAATGTTCTAAATACATATTTTTTAAGAAAAATCTATTTAGGTAAATAGATCATCATTCAATTTATTTTTGGTAAATAAGACAAAAATAGAAACAAAGTTTAAGCAAACATATTTATCTATTTCGAGTTTAAAAAATATTTTTTTGAGTTAAAAATAAAAATAAATAATTTTTTCTTTTTTTAAAGAGATTTTTCAATGTTTTACAACTTGTTTTGATTTTACTAGAAGAGGGGCAATCTTCAATTATTGAACAAATTTTACTTGAATTTGGAGGAATGCATGCTAATAATAATAGAGGAAATGGATATGAAAGAGAAGAGGAGGAGGAGGAAGAAATAAAAGAAGATATATCACTAATACCTCAAGAATATTGGGAAATACTTTTACAATCACTTTTAAATTTAACAAATAAAGAAGAAAATATTTATGTAAAAACTCAAAACGGCCAACATCTTTTTGATGTTTCAACATCCAATTATAGCAAAAGAAGTGTTGAAGCTTGGACTTTATTTTGTATTTTTATTGTCTCAAAAATTCGGTAGAAACAAAAAAAATTAATTTTAATTTTTTAAATTTAATTAAAAGATTTGGATTTGTAATGGAATGCTTTTTACATTCAAACTTTAAAAATAAAAGAAAAAATGTTCAACAAGAATTTAATAAAAATAATACAAAAAATACTCAACAAATAATTTACGATTTTAGAAGAAATTCTATTTCAAGTGAAAATACTTTATTTTATAAAGAAAATATTAAATAAAATTAATTAAAATATTTTTAAAAATCCCTTTGTGAATCTCTCAACTTATTTGTGATTATTTTTTAAATTAAATAAATTTAAGAAAAAAATTGTTTTTAAATTTTATTTCAACATAAAAAAAAAAGAAAATTTTAAAATATAGCAAGAATTGCTCAAAATTAGAATGATAAAAATATTTGAAAATTTTTCGATAAAAGATTTGTCAAACAGTTATTAATTAAAAAGAAAATATCTTTAAAGAAAAAGAACTACTTATTAGTAAATGCAGAAATTATATACAAAAACAAAAAGAAAATAATCAAAAAATATAAAAATTAATCAATTTCTGATCACTCTAATTTTTTTAAAAGAAAAAATATCAAAAGAAAATTTTATTGAAAAACCCAGATTTTTATTAAAAATTTCCAAAAAAATTAATTTTTTTTTATTTAAATTTTATCCAATTTAAATAATAAAAATCCAAGTCTTTCTTAAATAAAATCATTTTTGTCTAATTTTTTTAAATTTATTAAAAAATCACTCACTTCCATGTCTTTCTTTTAATTTAAAGATTTCTTAACATTTTCCAAACTAGCACTTAAAACTTCAAGTTGTTTCTTCAATTGTTGAGTCTTCTTTTCAATATTTTTTGAGCGAAACATTAAAGTTTTAACTTTTTCTGAATTATTTGGATTTGAAGACATTTTTTGAATTTGAGCAAGAAGAAGTAATTGCTCCTTTAAAAAAGAATTTATTTAAAAAATTATTAAAAACAATTACTTCCAACATATCACTATAAAGTTTTGAGGTTTGTCGATGACGGTCACGTAATTGTGTTAACACAGGTTGATTTTGAGAAATTGCTGTAAATTTTTTAAAATAAAATTTAGACAAAATATTAAATTTTTAAACCTTTGTTATGGAAAGGAAAACTATTTATTGCAGGAGAATATGTTTTTGAAAATGTACGATAAGCAAAAGAAGGTGCCTGAAAAATAAAAATTTAAAAATTCAAAGATTTTCTTAATTTGGCTCTAAGGATAATTAATAGAATAATTATTGTTACTTAAAATTTTAATGAAATCATTTTGCTGTACTTGAGGATAATTAATAATTATCCTTACAATTAGTGTTAGAATCAAATTGATTATAGAACGCCATAAATCGATTTAAAAATTATTTTTATATTAAAAATTAAAATATAGGGAAATTAAATATAAAAATATTGTGAAATTTTTTTGATTATAAACCCATAAATATTTACATTTTTTGGTTTAGTCCTAAGGGGTTGAATTGCCATTCGCTGATTTTGTGTATTAACAGAAGCAGCAATTTGTGAAACTAAAGACAATAAATCATTTTGTTGAACTTGTTGTTGTTGTAAAATATTAGTTCCAGTTGATGCTGTTGACGTAAATGTCGGTGTAGTTATATGGCAAGGTGCAACAGTTGCATAAGGTCTGGTTGTGTTATTATTATTAATTTGTTGTTGTTGTTGCTGTGATGAGGATGATACAAGAAATTGTTGTTGGATAGATTGTTGAAGTAAATCAGACACGCCTCCATTAGTACTACAACCTGTTGGTGACATGAGAGCTTCTTGAAGACATACAACTACGTCTCTCTTGTGTACCAATGGACGGGAAAGAGCTGGAAATTAATAACAATTATTAGAAAAATAATAAGAGTTTCAAAAACGTGAATAGGGAACTCTATTTATTAGTTCATTCCGCCTAAACATGCTATTTAAGACTGTTAGCCAAACTTGAATTTTAATAATAATCCCACAACTAAAACCCCAAAACTAATCACACACATAAAGACCCTTAATTTAGTTTCCTTGAAAAAATTGACAAAGTTCAGAAAAGAAACAGGAGCCAAAATTAACTAAAAATTAGAAATACCAGATGTTGGTGGCAACTCTCTTCCTTTAAGTTCCTTTTCTCTTTCCAAAGCCATTCTCTTCAAATTGTGTTGTTCTTCTAAAACTGCATCAATCTCTGCCTCTGAAAATAAAAACAAAATTTTATAAAAAAAATTTCATAAAATTAACCATCATCAGTACTGCTAATATCATCAATAGAAATACATCCATCCCACAGAGGAACTACACTAGGAGATTTAGGCGCACTGATAGGCAGATTGACAACAAATTCACGAATTTTGCGAATATCATTTTGTTCTGTGTCAACAGCAATCTTTAAAAAAAAATTTTTTCTAATCCGAAGAAATGAAACAAAACCTCCAATTTATTTTCTTCTTCCTTATTTTCAGTTTCCTTTTCTTCCAAAGCAACTTCATCAACAATTACCTAAATTAAAAAACTTATTTTTTAAATATCTATTGTGGATATTATTTGAAAGGCTTCCAATAATCCCACAATCCCTTTCAATAAAAAGCTAAATAATTATAAAAAAATTCGTTGGGATCCCAACTTAAAAAAAATAACAAATTAAATAATTTAAAACCTCTTCTTTTTCCATATTTTGGTCAATTGTTTCATCTTCCTTTACCTCTTCGTCCTTTTCTATTATTACTTCTTTTTCTTTAATTTCTTCAATTTTATCTTCCTCAACTACTTGTGTTGTTGTTTTGGGTGTTTTTACAACAGAACTTTTAATATGTTCTTTAAGCATTTCCAACCCAAATTTTGGTTTTTTATATTTTTTCCTTTCTTTACAAATTGAACGTTTTGATGACTTTAAATTAACTAACAGAACAAGATCATCTACGTCTTCCTCGTCTTCTTCTTTAATTGTAATACTCGGTTGTTCCATTTCAATCCGAATTCTTTTATTTTCAAGAAAATCGGAGTTATTCATTTCCAAATTTGGTAACTAAAAAATTTAAATATTAAAAAAATTATTTTTAATTTATACTTCATCAACACAAACTGTCCTCTTTACTGCCCTTCTTTCAACAGAACGATTTTGAACATTAGTAAGTGTTTCGCTTTGCTTTTTAGTTTCTTGTATGGCTTTAGCAAAGACTTTAGCAACACCTTCACATTTTTTAACAATTTTCTCTCCTGTTGGAGATGGAGGACGAACAATCGGATGATGGTCAACAGTTGTTTCTTTCACTATTTTTGCTTCAGTTTCTTCATTTTGTTGTTTCTAAATTTTAAATATACAAAATACTTTTAACAAAAAACAAACATTAATTATTTCTGATTCTTTGTTTTCATTTACTCTAGATGTATTGGTTTCAATATTAAGTCCTTGAGCACCAAATAAAGCTCGTTGAAAAAGTCGTGACGATGGGTAGTCCGATACTTTACGCTTTGATTTTGGCACTACAACTTCTCGATTGTGTGGACGTTCCGTTACAATAGTCTGATAAAGAAAATGATTTATTTAACTATTTTTAATTCATGTAGGAGGGATTCAAATCTCACAAACCAAAACGATTTTTGGGAAGATTTCTTAAAAATTAATTAAAATACCGCAGTCTTTTCTACTTCCACATCCTTTTCCTCATCTTTTTCTTCTTCTATTCTTTCAGTTATAATTTCTTCTTCTTTTCTGTCATTGACAGATTCAATATCTGCACTTTTCCCAAGTTCCCCAGTCTTATCCTCATCATTTTCACCAGTCTTATCTTCATCTGAATATTCAATATCAAATCGAGGAGAATCGGCTGATGCAAGAGGAGAAGGCGAACGTGGAGGAGGGAGAATACGAGGGGCATTTGAAGGCTTGAAATATTCCAGTTGAGGATGTACAACGACAGAACGCAACACAGCTCTTGGAATTGCAAAAGTTGTTGAAGGGGGAGGGGCATTGGCTACCGGCTCAGTTTTTGTTGGCTCAATTTTTGTTTGTTTTCGAAGAGAGGAAGGTGGTGATGAAGGCTAAAAATAATTGAGGAAATTGAAGACCCTTCAAAATTAAATAAACCTTTTCAACCTCCTCCTCTTCTTCCTCATCGCTGCTATAATGTTTTTTGCTGCTATGATGTTTTGTTTGCAAGTGTTGCTTCTTCTCAACACGTTTAATTTCTTTTTTAGGTTTAGGAGAATGTACACGTTTAGAAGATTTTGAATGTTTTTCTCGTTTGGATGTTTTTGATGAATCCCTCTTTTCTTTTCTTTTTGGCGATTCAATAGGTTTTGATTTGCTATAAATTGTTAAAAATTAAATTAAAGTCTATCAGAATAGAAAGCTAAAAAGTCGGTACATCCCTAGTAGGCGCGCGGCCATAACGGTGCATATTAAAAGTCTTAATTAAAAGTCTTAACAAATTTAGCATTAAACAATCCCACCCATCGAGCTAAAGAAATTGGTAACAAATTAATAAGGGTCAGAAACTTTACAGCTAGTTATGGCTTTGCATCGTTATGGCCGCGCGCCTACTTGGGCGTGTCCTAAAAAAGTGCGGAAAATTGAAAAATTATTCAGAACAAATTCTTGATGGTCTTTGAATAAACCCCAATTTCGAAATATATTTTAAAAAATAAAATTAAACAAAATTATAACTCGATCAAAACAATTTTTAAAAAACACAAACCTAAATGTTTTAACTTTTTCAGCTTTGCCAAAAAATAAATCATTGCCAGAATGTAGATTTAACTTTTTTGGTTGTTCTTTAGGTTGCACACTCTTTTCAGACGATTCACTCAAAATAGCAGGCAAAGAAGAATTTGAAGCAGATTGTTGTTGTTTTACTTTTTGGAAAAACCCAAATAACCTAAAATTAAATTTAAAAGAAATTTCAAAACAATTTTAAAAAAAATAACCATTCAACAAAACTTGTTGTATTATCCCCCAAAAAAAGTTTCAGATCTGTCTTCATTCTTGTTTTATCCTTTTTATTTCCAACCATAATCATTACCTCAAAAAATTAAAAAATTCTTTATTTAAAAAAATAACAATTAATTTACATAATCAGGCAATTCATCATCCACATCAATTCCATATTCTTCGATTTTTGCACGTACAGCAGCCTTAATAGAAACAAAAATTTAATAAAACTCATAAAACTCTTACCCTTAATTTTCGAGTAAATTCAGAATTATGTGAGACCATTTAATAAAAATATTGATAAACTAATATTGTAGAATGAGGTAAATATATTTTCTAAAAATAATTTAAAATTAATAATTTAAATAAAAAATATTTAAAAATAATTTTTAAAAAATGTTGGCAAATGAAAACAATGGACAACTTAACAAAATTAGAAAAATATTTTTAAATTTAGAATTTAAAAAACACATAGACATTTTATTTGTAAAGGACAGCAAAGTTGTCAACTCGGCATTAACTCAAAAATCCATGCACTTTTACAAGATAAGTTATCAAGGAAAAATTATCTGGCCAAAATCGGAACGTCCCACTTGTGTACCGGCCGTTTGTGTACCTGGCCATATTTTGGGTCATAACTTTTTTGATTCTTAACCGACTTCAATTATTATTATATCAATCGAAAGCCCTGGATGTGAGGATTATTTTCGCCAACAGGATTGATTTGATCAGATCATGTTATAAAAAGTTATATCTCGATAAATGCGCTCAATCGTGATTTTGATCTTTATCTGTCTGTAACTTTTTGTATGATTATCTGATCAAATCAATCCTGTTGGCGAAAATAATCCTCACATCCAGGGCTTTCAATTGATATATTATTTATTTAAATCAATTAAGAATTGAAAAAGTTATGGCCCAAAATATGGCCAGGTACACAAACGGCCGGTACACAATGATCCCCTACCCGGCCAAAATAGCTGGCACTGAACAAACCATTACAAGCTGGTTAAACGCGAGCAATAATTTCGTTTTTAGAGACTACTGTAATCCACATTAAAGTGAATTGTTATTAAGCTATCTACTTCTTTGTTAGTTTTGAATTCTAAAAATCTAAAAAATCTTTGTGTATGTATTCTTCGAACTTGTTTTTTAATATGCTTGCTTCTTACATTTACTTTTTTTCCATTTTCTCATATTAAGTTTAAAAATTTAAGTATATAAAAAGTTATTAGCTTTCTGTACATTATTTTAGGATTTCATGAGTAAATCTTTGATGTCTTCGTATATTTTTGGCACAATAATTTCCTTATTTGTTTTTTCAATATATAAAATATTTTGTCCATTTCACTTTCAACTTTGCAAAAATTGTTACATTAAATAATGTTTTTATACTTTTTATTATCTCTCATTTGTCCATTCATTAAGATAAACAGTTGGCACCAGTAAAGAAAAAATACTGCATTGAATAATCTCTTTTATTGCATTTTGAAGAAGGTAAAAGTGTGAAAACTTTTATTCTATTGATTTTGCACTTTTCTTTGATTTTCTCTTGAATCTAAAAAATTCAGAAATCATTTCCAAATTCAGAATTAAATTAAAATTAAAATCTTCTTTATTTCCATAAATTAATAAAGCCAAAAAATTTATATATCAATTAATTCCAATGTCTGCCCCACCAGTTCCATACAGAGCAGAATCAAATTCCCAACAATATACCCCTTCATTCCCTCCACCTGTCTATTACAGGGATACATTTGGACTTGAACCAGTTGAATATTTACAGGGTGATTGTATAACAGATTCAGATGATGAATCTGGAACTACAAAATCTACTGGTTATTTCTCTTATTTAAATCAAATTTCGTGGGTTTTTAAGTTCGTCACCACAATTTTGTCCGTATTTTCCATCCGGGGCCTTCTACTTCTTGTCAAACTATAGAGCATCGACCATCATTGCCTTTCAGTCAGATTCCCCGTCGAAAATCAGGTTTTTCTACCACAACAAGTAATCATGCTACAATACCTGAAGATCAAACTTCACAACCTAGCACACTTCAGTCAATGCAGGTAATTCTGAAAATCAGGCCCGTAGCCAGGATTTTTTCGGGGGGGGGGGGGGCAAGGGCTACGGACCTGCTGAAAATAAAATTCAAAAAAACATAATTTTTTCACTAGATGGAGGAATTACTTTTAACAGACAAAATTTTGTTTGTTCGTTATGCCCGACCTTTTCTTTGGTTAAGTACTGTTAGTAATTTTTAAAGGGAGAATTTAAAAAGAAATAATAAATTTTTGTAGGTACTTTTAGGTGTTGCTTTACAACTTTTAATATTTTCAATTGTTTGTGTGTTTTTTGATGGTTATTGGGCTGGAATTTGTATTAGCATTTTTCTTTTAATTAATTCTGTTTTGTTAATTATATTTATGCGTTATAAACAAACTCGAATAATGATTGTAATTTTAAAGAAATTTTTTGTTTTCTAAATTCTTTTTTTAGTGGATTTGTATGATTTTTTCAACAATAAGTGTCCTTTTATCAATTATATTATTTACTCTTTGCACTTATTTTACTTATGAAGACAGTATTAAAAGTTTTTCAAATAATGATGAACAACAAATTGTTTCAGCAGCTAATGATAATATTGAATCGAATAAAATTGTACAAAATGCAAGGTGTTTTAATTAAAGAAAAAATTTCCCCAAAAGTGTTATCTACTCTTGAAAAAACTAATGGAACTTTAAATAATTTCTCTCAAACTGTCCTAATTATTTCTGGCTAGTCTATTCGGTAATTTCCCATGAGCCAAAATAAAGTCTTCAATCTTTCAATTAATCCGACTATTAACAATAAAAAATTTTTAATTTAAGGATAGCAATGTATACATGGATGTGTATTTACACACCTATTTATGGCAAGAAATATTTTTATATTTTTAAATATTTTTTAAAAATTATTTAAAGTTATTTGTGGATGTGCTTGTTTATTAATACTTTTAATTAATTATTCTGCAAATAATATAGGCCAAGTTCACAAAGGTTTATTTTTAAGCAGAACAGCTGGACATCAAGTAAAAATATTTTTGTGATCTTTTAAAGTTAGAATTTTTTCTCAGAATGTACTTGTTCCCGTTAAACTTCGTCAAGTCGCAAAAATTGAAAATGGAGAAGTTAGGTCAGAATAATGAAAAATTAAGATTCCTTCATTTTAAACAAAAATTATTTATTCTATAAAATTTTTTCGAAAATGTTTATTTTTATAAAAAGTGAATAAAAATAACAAAAAAAAGTTTTTTTGCAACTCTATAAAAAGGATAATATTAAAGCTATGAATAAAAATAGGTCAAAAATTATGTCGAATCTTTTTAATAAGGAAAGGAAAAAGAAAAAAATATTATTTTTATTACAATTCTTCGTCGTTTTCTTCATCTTCAAAAGATGGAGGATTTATTGAAAATCTTTAAAAAATTAAATATTTTTTTATAAAATTGTTTTTATTCGCACCTTTCACAATATTCTTTGACAATCTGCAACTGTCTACGAGTATTTTCATGTGCTCTTTGTTCCTTTTTTGAAAAAATTTTTAAGAGTTAATATAAATTAATGATTATTTTACAATCTCTATTTTACATTAAAGATCCATTTTAAATTATGGTTACCTCCAAGACAAGGAACTAGTCGATCGAGGGTTTACAAATTTCCTTTTAGTTTAAGGCTATAACCCGAGTTTCTATTTTTTATAATTTGTCTTCTCGGTAAAATAGAGATAGCAAAAATAAAAAAATTCTAACAGAAGACAATCGCGCCCGTATCTGTTCCAATTCCACTTCCAAAGCTCTCTTTTCTTCAAGAGTTTGTTGAAGTCTCCAAGACACATTCTCGTTATCATTTTCTTCTTGTTGTTCTTGTAATGTTCCAGTTCTTAATGCTGGACTTCTTCTAGATAATTGAGAACCAGCACAATAACTTTGAGGTGTAACAACTGAGCGCATTTCTAATGAAAGTTGTTCGTATTGCTGTGGTTGATTGTTTGTTTCTCCATCAATCATTGCATCATCATGAATATTTGAAGATTGAACTGTTACAATTGAGGATGAGGCAACAGGCTTAAAATTTAATTAGAAAACCCCTTTTAATGTTTTTTCAATTACCATAAAACGATAATCGTCTTCAGATGCACAATGATCCAAAGTTCGAAGAGAAGCATTTCTAGACCCTAAATCAATTGATGCTTTCCCCATTTGTTGCATACTACTAACAGGTCTTTGTGGTTGTTGAATACCAAATGATGGAGCTCTAAATAAAATAAGGGGTTTTCACAACCGGATAATTTTTGCCTGTGACGGCTCAAATAATTATCATTCTCTATTCGATGGCACAGGCGAAAATTAATCGATTGTTTCAAAAAAAAATTCTCAAAATGAAAAACTCACGAAAATTTTTTTCGTTCAGGAATAGCATAAAGGGAAGTTGATGAAGGTGGTTGTGGTCCAGACCAAGAGTCACTAGAAGGCGAAACACGAGGTGGAAGTTTTTTCAATTTTTGTTGTTGTTGATTACGTCTTCCAAGCTCTTCTTCTGATTGATCTGGAACAAATACTGATGGACAATTGGAATCTTTAGAAATATTAATAATAATTTCGAAATAAAATAAATTTATTTTTAACCTTCACATCCACGTCTAGGATTTCCATCTAAATTTATATTTTTAAAAATCTCCAAAAATATTTTTAAAAAATTAAAACCTGCTCCAGGCGAGATCATTGTAACCTTAAATTTTAAATAATTATTTTCTCCAATACAAAATCTTCACTTTAATTTGAGTTCTTCCAGTAAGTAAGTCAGCAAGATGTTGTTCATTGTAAGTAAAAAGGGCTGAATTTTCTATCTAAAAAAATGCTCAAAATAAATTTAAAAATTAAATAACCTCAACGACTCTTGACCCTTGTCGCAATCCAACTCTCCAAGCACTCTATTTTAAATAAAACAAATTTTTAAATATAAATATTTAAAAAATACTGCGTTCATATCGACATCTGTAACAATTCCTTCTTCTTGAATATTAAATCCAAAAGATTCGGAAGGTTTTGTTTTTCGAAGAATTACCTAAAGATTATTAAGTATTTTATGAAAATAATAATTTCCAACTTCTTTTGCCTCATCACCAATTGTGACAGCAACAAGCCTCTTTAATAGAAACCCAATTTCTCTTTCACTTCCATCTTAAAATAAAAATATTACAAAATAATTTTAATGTAAAAACCTGGAGAAGGGCACCAAAGTCGAATAATATCACCATGATCATAAAAAATTTTCAACCTAAAAAAGATTAATTCAATTTTAAAATCTTTTTACCCATTATCTGCTATTTGTATCCAACCCAAAATAGAATGTGTTGGTGTAGCAAAAATTACAAGACCTGATGGAACATCCAAAATGACTAAGTTATCAGCGGAAAGCCCTTTAAAATATGTTTAACCCAAGAAAAAACTAAATCCTTACCAAGTACAGCAGGCATTCTTTGATTCAGAGAATGATCGAAGACTTCCACTTGCCTTAAAAGAGCTGGTTTTTAATTGTTTTCAGAAAAATTCTAATATTGTAACTCGAGACAATAACGGAAATCAATAGGGAATTTTTTTAATATCGAAAATCTAATTTCGACCGAATGTGTGTAGTAAGACTGTAATCATAAAAAAACAAACTAACCAGGAAAGAGCGCCACGTAGTCCAGAATCCAAGACAGGCTTGGGCACAATTCTCTCGCGGCGTTTCACCGACCCACCTCCTCCTAGAAGTCTTGATGCAATTCTAGATGCTCCCTTTAAATTTATAAAATATTTTTTAGTTAATATTTCTAACCTCGTTAGAATGGTGTGTAGCTGCATAATTTTCAACCAAATCTTTCAATGCCTCCCTTCTTGTCCGAGCTGCCATTGAAGCAAATTTACGAGATCTATGAACAGCATTTTCTGCATTTATTATCTAAAAATAAATTAAAATATTTTAATAAAAAAATAAAAATAAACTTTAGTGATCAGAAAGTCATGAAAATGGGTACTTTTCTGATATACAGCACTTGAGGAAACTGGAGGTCCAAATGCAGGTACATCTTTGGCACGAGCGACAGCAACTCTATAACTAACATTTTCTGTAAGTGGATTGGATACACGTATAACAATAAAAACTAAAAAAAATATTAAAAGTCGGTAAACAATTTAGAACAAACCGTGTTGAAAATGTGATCTGACTGTTATTGGCGAAAAAGGCAATGCATTTGGCTCTTGGAAAATTATTGTAACCTAGAATGATTTAAAATTTCCTTGTAAATTCTTAAACTAAATTACTAACCATATCATTGCCAATATGTCGCTTTCTTGCCAACTAAAAATAAAATTAAATTTTTGTAAAAGAATAGTCAAATGTCAAGAATTTAGGTTAATAAAGTTAAAATTTGTGGACTCGTCCCAACAAGTAATTTTAAATATAAACCTGTTGCTTATTATTTGGAGTAAATGGGAGCATTGTAGAAACATGAAACATAATCTAGTAAATAATTTAATGAACAAAAAAATTTTTACGAAAACCTGAGCAGAATGGTGTTCAGTATAAATACTATATAATCCTGTAGTATTTCCTTTAGTGTCTAAGCCACCTTTGTATTTGAAGGCATCTAAACCTTTGAGCTTTACTCGAGTGCCAAGAAAATCAAGAAATTCTTCAAAATGTGGAGAAGAATTTTCATTATTATACATCTAATAAATTTAATTAAATTAAAAAAAAATATATAAAAACAACCTGTTCTTCGGTAGATTGGTTATCTTTACAATACAAAACACCAACTTTATATCTTGTATAAATTGGTTGTTCATCTAAATATTTATTAATAAAAAACTGCCAAAAATCCAATAAAAATGACCTATTTTCAGTAAAAGTTCTTCAACTTTTTGAATATTCGTAGTTGGTCTAAGAGAGGCAAAATGAATTTGGGGGCAGACAATATCAAGTAATTCACGCATTAAAGAACGAGTACTGCGATCTTGAGCATCAGAAAGTGCCTCCTCTGGCACAGAAACACGCATTGTTAAAACATCACTTATCCGGAGGACGAGACTGGAAAAAATTTTTAAAATAAATTTCATAGACTAACTTCAGAAAATTTCAGAAAACTTTCAAAAAAAATAAAAATTACCGATAAATATTATGCTGGCTAGACCCGTCTTTAGTCTCCTCTCGGACCATTGATACAACACATGGTCCCTATTTAAATAATTTTTTATTATAGAATTTAATTTAAAAAAAGAACCAATGTCTCATCCATTCCACAATATTCAATGTGAATTCTTCCAACAAAACAATGTCTAGAAGATTTTTAAAAATTGAAAAAAAACTTTCTCAAGTAAAGAAAAACCTATAATAATAGCTTCCCATATCTTGGGGTTCAACAACAATTTTAGATTGCCTATCAGAACAAAGTTTACCACCCAAATATACATTAGAAACATCCTCAAGTACACCTTAAAAATTAGAAAAAATTGTTTAAAACTCCAAATTTTACCAATTTCAGAAGCTATATGTTCTCTATGCCTTGTTTGAAGACTTTCTTCTTCGGCAGATTTATTTGGAGAAACTTGTGATTTTCCTGAGGTATTTTGATAACAAGTATGCCTAGAGAGAGCAATTCTTCTAACAGGCTCAACACCCAATTCATTTCTTTAAAAAATTTTTACATTTTAAAAATAAATTTTTACCTAAATGCCGGACAAGAGACGAGTAAATCATTTGACTTTCCATCACCTGCATCATCTTCAGATGGACTCTGAGCCTGTGAAGCACCCGTTGGCCCATTCAGACTGGATACATTTAGACCTAAACTCCAAGCATTGGCCAAAGAATTGCAATCATGGTAAGCACATAAATGAATAGATGAAGGAAGCCATTCCCCTTGACTCAAAGAATTACTGCTATTTTGATTGTGAGAATTTTCCTTTTTAAAAGAAAAAATAATAAAAAATATTTTTTAAAAAATTAAAATTACTTTAATTCCCAAATTTGTACCACTTGCAGAATTTGAACTCTTTTCTTGTCCAGCATTCTGTGAGGAATTTTGTTTTATTGTTTGATTTGATGTTGCTTCAATCTTTAAAAGAAATTATAAATTATATTTAATTAAAAAGAAAGTTTTTACTTGAGAAAAAGAAACGGCAGGTTTTTGATCATTTGTAGAACTCATTATTTATTTGTGTCAATACTTTTTGTAATTTAAATAAAATAATAAGAAAGTAATTAATTCATAAATTTTATAATTTATCATTGCTTCATTTAAATGTTTCAATTTTAATGAAATGAAAAAGCTTAGAATTTGTTTGACATTTAAAAAAAATTCTTTTATTTAATCTTTCTAGTATTTAAAAATGAAATTAATTTTTAAGATCAAGCTGAAAATATTAAAGTGGCATTTAGTGGCATTAATGATGTAAAACATACATTTTTTTAAATAAAAATTGTAAAGTAGATACTAGTAAAAGCTTAAAATTTTTGATATAAAAACTTTAACACTCTTAAAGATTTACATAAATTAAATATCTACATACTACCAAAAAAGCTTAAAAACAAAACCAATTTTAAACTCATCCTTAATTGCGTCACAGGAATTTTACTGACTTATTTTTATATTCCCCCCTTATTTTCTGCCTCTTTTGAAGCCTCACAAATTAATAGCAGTTTAAGGAAAAAAGGGACACAAAAAACATCATGTTTGCTCTGGATGTTTCTCTTATATGAAGAAATTTTTATGTGGGAAGTTTTATTCAACTATGCGACAACATGTACATTTATCCTCCCCTCAATACATAAATGGCCAAGTATTTTTGTGGTGTCTGCGTGTGTGTGCCCGTGTCCAGTTTACTGTGTTTAATTTTTCCATCAAAAGACTTTGAAAAAAAAGGGAGGAGGAAGAATATCCTAACTATTGCCTATGTTCGTGTAGCTATAATGTGTGTGCATGCTTTTGATACTCTCTTCTTCTTCTCTTTTTATTCCTTTTTTACTCCTATGCTATTGCGTAAAATATCTTAGCTACTGCTAGGGGCCAAAAAGAGGTTGAGGGCTAAGATCGAGAGTTTGCCCTCAGGGCTAGTAGGAAATGGAAAGGAAGTGTGAAAAAGTATCAGCCTGGAAAAGAATTTTTCGATAAAATAAACTGAAAGGTGTTCAATATTGAAAAAAATGAGAAATGAATTTATGAAAGTTTATAATAAGGGAAATCTTAAATTTATTAATTTTGAGATCCCCTTATTTCTAAATTATTCTTAAAGGAATTTTGAGTTATGTAATAACAAAGGTAATAAGAACAAATGTAGAACAAATGTTGAATAAATTATTTTGAATAATACCATATTTGTATTAAGAAACTTTCATTTCCAAAGTTTTCAATCTCCCCAGTTAAAGCCCAAACATTTTAAATAATTCAAAAAACGAAGGGCTAGAATTTTAAAAATTCGAAAACTAAAATTGAGAAAATCTTTTAGCAATTCTTTCCAATTTTCAGGCACTAAATATGACATGGTATTCATCTCCCTAAACGAGAACAGTCAGGCTGGCCAACTTCTTTGTTCCCGTCGAAATATTTTTTTTCCTTTTTTCAATGACAGAATTTTATTTCACGCTTCATGTTTTTTTTTCAACTTTTGGAATGTATAGGGAAAAATCCCAACATTCTTTTAAATTTTTGATGGATATTTTTTGATGAAGTATAATCAAATAAATTTTTTTTTCTTTGAGAAAATTGTTTCATTTTTTTATTTAAAATAAATGAAATGGAAATTCTCGTCCAATTCTTGAACAATAAGGAAAACCAAAAAAAATACGGCCACCCGCAATGTATAAAAATATAATAAAATGGAAAGCATAACCACCACGTGTCTAAAACAATTTTTTATTCAACTGACGTGAATAAAAAAATCTCCAAGAAAAGTTTTTGTTTGAAAATAACAATAAATCAAATATATTTATATCCAATAAAATTTTCTTCCTATATCCTAAAAGTCGAAATGGAAATTAAAAGAAAATAACCACAAAATACTAACTTCAGAAAGAGAAAGAAATATTTAAATCTAAAATATCTTATTAGCTTTTTTGGAATTTTTGGACTTGGGTAAAAGAACAGATGATTCTTAGAATTCAGCGACACCGTATTGAACTGTTCTTGGATTAATTTTTTAATTTTGTCAAATAAACATCTAAAATACCTACAAGCTTTTACTTAAAACCATAAAATTTATTAAATTTCCTTTAAATAATTAAAATCACCTTTAATTAAGATATAACGATACAAATACAAATATTTGAATTATTTTTAAGATCAATCAATCAATTTAATATCCAAAATAACAATTCCTTCCTTTACATAATTTGAAGAGAAATTCCAAAATGGTATCCAATATGTTTAAAATAATAACGACGAAAACCTTCACGAGTCTCCTCCACACGATCCTCCGGAACTTGTTCAGCCTTTACTTGCAAATCGACACTGTCACCCTTTTAAAATTTTACTTTATAATTTAAAAAATTATTAAACATACTTTATCATGCAAAATTAAAATAATGTTCGCCCAAACATCCTTTGGGAATGATTTTAAACGCCATTTCTTAAAAAAATTCTTTTTTATAATTTAAATTTCAAAAAACCATAGAGATTTGTTTATCCTTGATAAGAGATGTAAAAGTCCCAGAAATAGCTCCTAAAAAGAAAAATAAAAAAAATTTAAAAATAAATGACCAGAAAGCATTGAAAAAGATCCTCCATCACGTGCATCAATTGTAGAATCTGGACACCAAACAGGAACTAACTTAGATTTAAAATTATAGTTAAATAATTAAAGGAAAACAATTTAAATAAATTTTTGAATGTTTAAAACTAATTCTTTGCCTTTTGACTCGAAAGAGCAAATTCTAAAATTATAAGACAAGAAAAAGAAAGAGAATTTTTAATTTTCTCCCTTGATTTTCATGATAAAAAATATAACGTTTATTTTACATCAATAAACCGCCTAAAGAAACACAGTCAAAGAAAAATGAAAAACTCCAAATTTAAATAAAAACAAAATTGCAGCTAGTAAAACTCCCCCAATATTTTATTAAAATTTATTTACAAAAACAAACCGATGGATCAGTTAATATTTCATATAAACGCTGTGGCGCAACTTTAAATGATTCCACAAGTTCAAAATTAACAAAAGAAACAACTTTGTCAACTAAATAAAATTTAAAAAATATTTTTAAAAAATCAATTTTAAACCTTTAGCTTCAGAAGCACTTTTATTTAAAGTATCACTATTTCTGACGACAGTTCTCGATTTGGAAGGAGCTGATGTTGGTGTAGTATTGCGTGCAGAATCAGTTGGTAGAATTAATCCTTGACTACAAAAAAGAAAAAAAATTAAAATAAATTTAGAAAAAAACAAATTTCCAACCTATATTCCTTCTTTAGATCAACAATATATTTCCCGATTTGAGAACGAACAAGTTCTAGAACTTCTTTATTAAGCAAATTAAACAAAAAAGAAGTCTCAGGACCAGCATCTTTAATAAAAGACGAAGTCTGAAAAAATAAAAGTTTAAAAACGATGTTATCTCTTTGGCTAAAATAAACTTTCTTTTGTTAGATAATATTTAAAAAACTAAAATCGCTAAATTAAAAATCTAATATAAAGAAAATCTTCTCCAATACATTTCAAAGAATCATTTTAAATGCCCACAAAAACTTTTTCTTTTTAATTAGAAAAATAATTGGAACCCCAACAGACTCCAAAAATGTCTTTTATTCTTAATAAAAAATTTAAAAAAATACTCGTATTTCATTTGCTTCAAATTCATCACTCAAATTTTCAATCTGTATAGTTCCAGTATAAACCATAGCCGAATCAATCACGGCAGCTATATAAAATATTTTTTATTAAAATTTTTTCTAAATTTAAAAACCGGTAAAATCGATAGAAATTGTCCATTCATAGAAAAATATAAGCTTTCCTTTTCGATTATTAGCACTTGCCTCTCCTCAAAAAATAAATTAAATTAATTTTTAGACAAAAAAACCTTCAATTTTCCCCAATTGAGTAAAATCAATTTTAACATTTTCATTTTCAAAAGTTTGATTAACCAATAAATCCTTTAATCTTTGAATTGACCATTGAGTAGCGTCTTTTTCAACCCTAAAACAAAAGTTCAGTTGGAATTAATAAATGTTAACAACAAACCAATGCCAATTGTTAACATTTGTTGCATCAGGACCTTTAAATTAAATTTTACACAAATCTTCTTAGATTTGTCAATTAAATAATTAATTATTGAATATTTATTTAAAAATAACTTACGTTCTTCCACTATCCAACGAGGGTCTTAATTAAAATAAATTTATAAAAAAATAAATTTCTAATAAAATTACCGCCTTCACCCCACCTCGCCATTGAAAATAAAATTTAATAAATCTAAAAATTGTATTTTAAAAATAAACTTTTATCTAACAAAATTAAGCGAAATTTCTACTTTATTCGCGAAAATTTCTTTTGTTGATTTTCTTTGGCAATTCCCTTTTCTTGGCATTATGTATTTTTTGAAAAACTAGAAATTTAACAAAAAAATTCTTTTTAATTTTTAGAATGACAAAAAATAATTTTTTTCGTGACGGAGTTACCTACTTAATTATGCTTTCTGGTATAATCTTTGGAGCACATTTTTTCCAACGAATAAAATTTGAATTTAGAAATAAAAGACCTACTGATCCTGTTATTGTTTGTTTTTTTTTAATTTTAAATTTTTTTTTCAATTAAATTTTTAGGTGGAAAGTTTGCAAGAGTTGGGTCTTAGCTCAAAGAAAACTACTGAACAACTTTATAAGGTTTGGGATTTTTTTTGTTTATTTATTTAATGTTTGGTTAATATAAATTTTATCTTTTTCTAAAAATTTTTGATTCACAATTCAGATGCTTTTAATTTAGAAATTCTTTTTTTGGTTTCCTTCAATTATATCCTTTATTAATTTAAAATAAATAGGTTTGAAAATTTGCAAAAAATTTTAAAGGTCTTATACACTTCATTAATTTTTATAGTCAACAAAATTAATCAACAATTCCCAATGTCTAATTTATTTCAAAAATCATTTTTCTTTTCAGGAGATGGTTGAATCAACCTCTGATGATGATTGGGAGAATATTCGAGGTCCTAGGCCTTATGAAGATAATTCGGAATATTTAAGAGCAAAGTTTTTTTTAATTTTTAAAATAATTTTAAAAATAATTTTTAAGAGAAAAGCAACAAAAAGAGCGTCAAAAACAACAAGAAGAGCGTAGGAAGTTGTTAAATGAATCGAGTAAATTTAGAAATGCTTTGAAGAGGGAATTTAAAAAACCTGAAGATAAATAGAAATTTTGTTAGAATTTTTTTTTGTTTTTAAATTTATTATTTTTGATTAATAATTATTTTTAGCTCTACACTTTTTAAATGTTTTTGTCAAAACTTCTATTTTTAATTTTATTAAAAATTTTTTTTAGTTTTTAAAAATTTTCTACTCAAAAGCAATTTTTCTTTCAATTTATTCAATGGGAGGTTAGAAAATTTTCATTTTAACAAATATTTAAAATTTTTAAGCTAATTGGTCTAAATCTGTCCCAATTTTAAATTATATTCCTGGCTTGTCTTTACCTCACAAGGTTGATAATAAATTAATTTTTGAAATTTAAAAAGATTTTTTTAGATGTAAGTATTCAGTATTAATAATTTAATTAAATAATAATAAAGGGTTTTTGTTGTAAATACTTCATTAAAAATGGGGGCAGGAAAGATGGCAGCACAGGTTTTGAATTTTTAAATTTATTTTTTAAATTAATTTTTGTAGGTTGGGCATGCAGCTGTCGGTCTTTATAGAAATTGCCAAATGAGTGGAGAACAAGTAAATGTTTTTGAATTAATTTTATTAAAAACATTTAATTTTTAAGGGACAAATGTCGTTAAATCAATGGAGAGAAAATGGAGAAATGAAAATTGTTTTAAAGGTAAATTTTTTTAATCTTTAATACAAAAACTTTGAAGTTATTTTAAAAATTTGTAAAAAATATTTTTTTTACACTTTTTCTCAATTTTTAACCACGGTGCTTATTTACTTTAACATAAGTATACAACCCATTTATTCACAAATTCAAAATAGTCAAAGTAACTTTATTGAAGTCGGCAAGGCACTTGTCTCTCGGGAGTCTACGTGTCCACAACGGTTGCTTGGTTTTGTGTGCATTACATAAGCCTACTGATATCTTGCGAATACTTAAATTAAATAAGTTCCACCAAAAACCCTCTAATTTCATTAATTAAAAATTAAATAAATTCCTCGTTTTAGGGAGAAAATGCATCCCAATTAGACGAATTAAATAGAAAAGCAAAAGATGCCGGTGATGTTTTTGTTTATCTTGTACGTGATGCAGGGCATACACAAATCCCTGCTGGGTCTAAAACTGTGTTGGGAGTTTTTGGAACAATCGAGGCTGTTGATAGAATAACTGGGGGATTGAAACTTTTTTAAAATTTTTTGAATATTTGTATCTCTTTTTTTAAATAAATTTAAAACAAAATATTTATTTAAAATCCATTTATTCCCTAACAAAAAAATATTGCACATTAAAAAGAAATTTTATTAAAAATTTAATTTTTTATTTTCCTCCATATGCAGAATATCCTCCCTGCTGTCCGGGCATACAATTTGCAGCAAAACTATTATACCCGCTACCATATCCAGTATTACTATATGGAGAGGCGGCATAACTAAAAAGTTTATTTAAAATATTTTTTTCTTAATTGTTTCTTTAGTTTTATTCTTAAAAGGATTTTCAATTTCCTGTGAGAAATTTCTTTGTCTTTTTACTGATTAATTTTAGTAATTTTGAAATCTTTTGTTTACAATTAAAAAACACCAAAATAATTGTTAAGTTGAATATATGTTATATCTTGGAAGAAGTTTTGAAGATTGTCTTATATTTTAATTTATCTAGCTTTATTTTTAATTTACTACATACCCGCTATAACCGCTCATACCAGTTTGGCCATAACCTCCTGCGCCGTAACCTCCTGTCCCTCCATAACTTCCATAACCGGTTGCACCATAACCACCTCCGTATCCACCCCCATATCCAGCATTTCCATAACTAAAATTTAAACAATTTTGAAATGATTGGAAATATTTTTAAGAAATATAAAATTTGCCCTGCTTGGCCATAAGCACCATAACCACCCATTTGGCCATAACCACCACCCATTGCTCCATAATCACAAGCAACTTGAGAAAATACAGTAGAGTTTTGCAATAATATCAATAATGAGAGGAAAATGAAGTGAAAAGATGAGCTTTTGAGGGAGGAAAAAATTATTTTAAAATTGTTTTTTGAATATAATTTAGCTTATTATTAAATTAAAATGGATGCTTCTAGGCAAGATTTAAAAAAGGCATACACATTTTATTAAAACCCTTCCTAATTTAGCTAGCTGTTCAAAATTAAAAACTTACAATCCTTTGTATGAAAGCATTTTATTTAGTTTATAAAAATTTAATAAAATTTTAGGGAAGAAAAATTTAGTTTAAAATGAAGGAGAATTTATTTTTCTTTTTAGTAGATTATATTTTTATTTTTGCTTAAAACTTTTCCAAGGCCAACACATTTTATATACCCCAAAACTTTTATTTATTTACCTCAAAACTTTAAAGTTTTTTTTTCTATTTTTGTGACCTCAATTTGTTTAGACTTTTTATAAACATTTATTTACTTAAATTCTTTTTTTTAATCCACTCAATGTGTGGGAGAAAGAAGAAATATAAAAAGATTATATTTAGACGGAAACACCCGTTTTTATTGCGCAACTCAAAAATAAAAAAAAATTTTGTGAACATTATAAAAAAAGAAATAATATTAACAAAAAAGCAGACAAAAATCTGATTATTTTTTGAAGTTTTCACTGTTGGATACTTCATTTTGCAGTAACTCTTGATTGTAATAAATCTCTCCCTTTCTTTTTTCAAAAATTCTAAAATCCGCAAATTTTTGTCCGCAAAAATTATTCACAATTTACTTTACAATTTAAGCTGGAACGAAAATAGTATTTACGTAAAAAATGAATTAATAAGAAAGAAAAAAAGCAAAAAATATAAAGTAGATGTAGCTACAAAAATGCACCAATTTGTTTGTAGAGAAGAAAAGGATTAATTAAAAGCAACAACAAAAATAAATATAAAATTAGTGGAATTGTTTGAGAATATAAAAAAATATGTATGTAAAAGAAGTAATGTATTGTAAAAATAAATATATTTTAATAATTATTTTCCTTCTCAAAAGTATTTTATAATTAATTTTTTAAAAAATCTTTTTCGAAGAAATGCAATCAGAATCAGAGGTTTTTTCTGATTGGGGGATATTTTCTGATTTAATTAAAAATATTTCTTTTCTGAAAGTTATAGAGAAATCAGAATAAAATAATACATGAGAGAGATCTACTATTCTTTAATAGTCCTCAAAATTAAAATTTCTATTTCTTAAATTAAAACAAAATTTTTTTTACAAATTTTTGATTAATTTTGTGAAGTTATTTCAACAACTTCCTGTTCTTCTCCTTCTTCCTCCTCCTCTTCTTCATCTTCTTCTTTAACTACAGATGCTCTTTGTTGTTGTTCTCGTTGTGTATTTAATCTATTTTGGCGTGATTCAAAAGAAAAAAGAGAGGCTGTAGGTGCTGAAGCAATTACTGAGCTATATGGAGGTGGGGGTTGTTGTGGTGGGAGGGGTGGTTGTGGAGGTTCTTAATTTAAAAAATTTAAGGAAAATAATGAATGTTTTTAATATCTGAAGGTTATTTTTGGGGAAACTTATTTGAACCAGATTGTAAGCCTTGAAATAAAGGAGAAAAGGAAAAAATGGGATTGGATGATCCAATAAGGATAAAGATATACCGGTGGTAAGGTTTCGCTATAAGACCTATGCTATTCGACTCAGCTCGTCGAGACGAATCGGATTGTATGGGTCTTGCATCGAAACCTTACCAACGGCATACTATACTACAGCTTCGGATAATACCGAATTTTAAAGTTTAAACAAAATATGTTTCTCCCAAACAAATAAGAGAGGTAATTTCCCTCATAAAAACTAATAAAATTTTTATTTAAATTACCACATTCTTTTTCAAAATTATTTATTGTATTATTAAATAATGGACGGCTACTAGCTTGCTGTTGTTGTTGATAAGAAGAGGCTATTTGGTAATGATGGTATGGACGTTGAAATGAGCGCCTTTGCTGTTGGGCATTATTAAATTGTGGACGGCCTTAAATTTAATTTTAAAGAAAGATTCTTTCAGAAAATAATTTTTTTACAAGAAAATTCTGCTGAATCGGCAGCTGAGCATGTTGATCTTCCAATTAATATATTAGAGTTACTACTAGCTTTTCTTCTATGCAATAAAGGACAAAACCGAGTACGTCTACATAAATAAGAGCAACAAATAAATAATAAAAATATTAATGCCAAAATTAAAAGTACTAGTTCTGGAATATGTCTAGAGGAAAATAATTACTAAAGAAATTATTGAGCAATTGTTTTTACCCCGAAATAAATTTCTTTCGAGCTTCTGATGCTAATTCTGATTCTAATTCATTTTTGTGTTGTTCTGTACCTAAAAATTAACTTTAAATTTTAATTAAAAAATAAATTAAATAATTTACAGTCAATTATTTACTCTCTATTTAACATAAAATAAACTTTTGTTGGCAAAGAAATGGAGAGAATTGGTAGCCTTTATTGAGAGAATACCCCTATAATAATTAACTGTATATAAAATAGAAAGGGTTTTGAGACTTAAAAGTAAATAGAGAATTAATTAATTGACTGTACTTAAAATACCGTAAATGCTCTAATTGAAGCCCGGCTCTATTAGAAGCTCATATCTAATATAAGCCTTCCCAAATTGACCTATTGAAGACATCCAGGGCTTTAATTAGAACATTTACGGTTTATTATTATTTTTAAATTCAAAAATATATGTACAAACAACAAAAGAAAGATCCACTGGTTATTTGTGAAGGACAACAGGCTATAAATTTAAAAAGAAAATATATTTTTTTCTCTTTAAAATTACCAATTTCTTCTGGTTCATCTTTAAAATCTGGACATATTTTTATACTTTTAGTTAAACTTTTAGTTTCTTCATTTTCTTCATTTAAAGAAGATAAACAAATTTTTGAATTAATTAATGATATATTTAAATTAAAAAGAATAAAAAAGAAAAATAGTTTTTTTGAAGAATTGTTGTTGTTGTAATAGGCACTCGAATGTATAAATAATATATTCATCATTTTTATCCATTAAATTTTTAAAAAAAGAAAAAAGAGAAAATATATTAAAATAAATCTAAAAAAATAAAAAAAAAATTTTTTTTAAAGAATAAGGGAAGTCCCGTTTCCCGTCGATTCCCGATTTTTTAGCCTCCTCCCGTTTTCCTTCTCTCCTATCGTTTGAGAGATTTAGATTCTCGTACGACTCCCAGTTCGGTCTTTACTTCTTTTACAAATTTAAATAAAATAAAGCTTACATAGACGTATTAAGTTTTTAAATTAATAAAATATTAGAGAATATAGTTGTTGACAAATAAAAATATTAATAAAAATTAGACAATAAAATATGACAATAAAATGTATAAAATGGATGAAATAAAAGAATAAAAAGGGTTAATAACAACAAAAAATAAAAATAAATTTATTTTTTTTAAATAAAATTATTAACACATTTTATGTTATAATAACTGTAATAGTTAATGTTAGCTTCAGAAAAAATTTAAAAAAAACGAATTTATACTATTAGTTAAGTCTAAATTTGTTTGTCAACAAATTAAATTTATATGTCTACCATATATCCTTTAACAACTACCTTGGGTAATTATTGTTTCGACCTTCTGCTGGAAGGAGTAACGTCTATCAAGGCTGGAAGGAGTAACGTCTACCTACGTCTATCAATAGCTCACTTTTTGCAGATGATCTTAAGATTTATCAATGTCGTAATAAAAATGATTCATCTAATCTTCAATCAAGTTTAGATAAAATTTCTAAATGGTGTACTGATAATGCTCTAGAAATCTCTTTTAATAAAACTCTAGTATTACATATTGGTACTAATAATCCCAAACATAACTACTATTTCAATGGTCTACCATTGCAATGTGTTTCTACAATCTCAGATCTAGGAATTGATTATACAGATAGCTTATCTTTTGAACCTTATTATAAAAAAATTGTAAAAAATGCCTATTTTAGGGGTATGTCAATTATTAATAATCTCCACACGTCTAATCCCAAAATTTGGGGTATGGCATTTAAAACATATATTAGGCCAATTTTGGAATATTCTTCGGTTATATGGAATCCCAAAACTAAAAAACATAGAGAAAAATTAGAAAAGGTGCAAAAATGGTATACAAGGGTGGCTCTTTTTAAGTGTAAAATCCATAAAAAAAATTATATCCAAAGATTAAAATTATTTAATCTCGAATCACTGGCCCTCAGAAGAGTTTTATTCGATCTATCAACTATTTTTAAGATCATTAAAAATCACACCCACTTTACTTCTTCACAATTCTTTATGTTATCTGATAGACCTAATAGGAATAGACATAATTATCAAATAAAAGTAGCTCGTAAAACCTCCAAAACTGAACACTGGATCTTTAACAGATCCATTAATCTCTGGAATGCCCTACCTATAGAGATTGTTAACATTGATAATTATAAGATATTTTGGAACACCCTTAGATCATACCTTATAGAACTAGAAAGTACCAATGATAGCCTGCTATATTATCGCTATTGATATTAAAAAACAAAACTAACCTTACCCCCTACCCACTCCCCCACCTACCTACTCCCCCCACCTACCCACTCCCTCCACCTACCCACTCCCTCCACCTACCCTCTCCCTTCACCTACCCACTCCCTCCACCTACCCACTCCCTCCACCTACCCTCCTCCCCCCCTTCTCTCCCATCTAGTTATACTCGCTATTTTCTCATATACCAATAATAATCGTCTTTACTTGATATTAATATTTCCCTAAACCATAACCCTGTTCAAATAATTATACTTTTTCAGGCTTTAAAACGGCTGTTTATTGCTTTGTGGCGTTTTGTTTACTTAATACTCAAATGTCCCAATCGATTTTCATAAATTACCTTTTATTTTTTCGTTGTCGGGACCTTATTTTTTTATTTTTATTCAAATTTTAATTGATTTTTTTACATTTTAAGATTTATTTTTTAAGAATCAAATCTATTTCTTAAATTTTTATTTAAGAACCATGGTCATTGGACCTATTACTTTCAAAGCACAAAAATAATAAAAACTGCTTCTTAACCTAATATTAATTTACTACATGTCCATGGTTCTTAAATTTCCATCTTTTTATTGACTTCAATATATTTTTTTTTCCTAGACATTATGTTTTTTATTTTTAAATTTAAATTGATTCTTTTTTATTTAAGATTTATTATTTAAGGATCAAATTTATTTCTTAAATTCTTATTCAAAAACCATGGTCAATGTTCCTATTACTTTCAAAACACTTAAAGATAAAATAACTGATTTTAACCGAATATTAATTTATTACATGTCCATGGTTTTTAAAGTTCCAATTTTTTTATTGACTTCGATTTTGTTTCCTAGGCATTATATTTTTTTTTATTTTTAAATTTTAATTGATTTTTTTTTCAATTTAAGATTTATCATTTAAGAATCAAATTTATTTCTTAAATTTTTATTCAAAAACCATGGTCAATGTTCCTATTTCTTCCAAAACACCAAAAAATAAAAGAACTGCTTCTAAATCAAATAGAAATTTAATTACATTCCCATGGTTTTTAAATTTTGTTTTTTATTTATTGACATCAATATTAATTGTTTCTGATTTAAGAGGCTCCTTTGTGAGTCCATTCGGATAAAAGTTATATATTTAAAAAGAAAATTTTATTAAAAATTTAATTTTTTATTTTCCTCCATATGCAGAATATCCTCCCTGCTGTCCGGGCATACAATTTGCAGCAAAACTATTATACCCGCTACCATATCCAGTATTACTATATGGAGAGGCGGCATAACTAAAAAGTTTATTTAAAATATTTTTTTCTTAATTGTTTCTTTAGTTTTATTCTTAAAAGGATTTTCAATTTCCTGTGAGAGAGAAATTTCTTTGTCTTTTTACGGTAAATGTCCAGTTGACTCCCCACCTGTCCGCAAAGAGAAAATGCACTTTTCACTCCTTTTCTTGCATTTTTTGATGTAATGAGTGGCGCCCATTTTTCCTCTCTCCTCATCCCTTTGACTCATGAAAAGATATGTAGAAAAAATATATTAGTAAAAAGGATAAAGACCGTCTGATATTTTGGCAAATCAGCTTCTATTAAATGCTAGATTGATCGACTTCTAGATTGATCGGCCTCAGAATAAACCGGTATATGACCAAAACTCAAAAACGAAAACCGCGTTTTTGAAATTTGAATTAGCCAAAAACCGGGAGTACTAGTTAATAACCGGTTTGTTCAAAAAAACCTTATTCCGAACCATTCCAAATCGCATGATGTTCCAATTATTTAAGTGAATATATCTTATTTTATTACCTTTTATAAAATAAATTTATTTATTTAAATAAAAATTTAATTATTTTTCTCTACTTATCCTTTCATGAGTCAAAGGGCATACCATACATAAGGGAAAAATTGGCGCCACTCTTTGCAGAAAAAAATGTAAGAAAAGGAAGGAAAAATGCGCATTCTCTTTGCGGACAAGTGGGGAGTCAACTGGACATTTACCCTTTTTACTGATTAATTTTAGTAATTTTGAAATCTTTTGTTTACAATTAAAAAACACCAAAATAATTGTTAAGTTGAATATATGTTATATCTTGGAAGAAGTTTTGAAGATTGTCTTATATTTTAATTTATCTAGCTTTATTTTTAATTTACTACATACCCGCTATAACCGCTCATACCAGTTTGGCCATAACCTCCTGCGCCGTAACCTCCTGTCCCTCCATAACTTCCATAACCGGTTGCACCATAACCACCTCCGTATCCACCCCCATATCCAGCATTTCCATAACTAAAATTTAAACAATTTTGAAATGATTGGAAATATTTTTAAGAAATATAAAATTTGCCCTGCTTGGCCATAAGCACCATAACCACCATTTGGCCATAACCACCACCCATTGCTCCATAATCACAAGCAACTTGAGAAAATACAGTAGAGTTTTGCAATAATATCAATAATGAGAGGAAAATGAAGTGAAAAGATGAGCTTTTGAGGGAGGAAAAAATTATTTTAAAATTGTTTTTTGAATATAATTTAGCTTATTATTAAATTAAAATGGATGCTTCTAGGCAAGATTTAAAAAAGGCATACACATTTTATTAAAACCCTTCCTAATTTAGCTAGCTGTTCAAAATTAAAAACTTACAATCCTTTGTATGAAAGCATTTTATTTAGTTTATAAAAATTTAATAAAATTTTAGGGAAGAAAAATTTAGTTTAAAATGAAGGAGAATTTATTTTTCTTTTTAGTAGATTATATTTTTATTTTTGCTTAAAACTTTTCCAAGGCCAACACATTTTATATACCCCAAAACTTTTATTTATTTACCTCAAAACTTTAAAGTTTTTTTTTTCTATTTTTGTGACCTCAATTTGTTTAGACTTTTTATAAACATTTACTTACTTAAATTCTTTTTTTTAATCCACTCAATGTGTGGGAGAAAGAAGAAATATAAAAAGATTATATTTAGACGGAAACACCCGTTTTTATTGCGCAACTCAAAAATAAAAAAAAATTTTGTGAACATTATAAAAAAAGAAATAATATTAACAAAAAAGCAGACAAAAATCTGATTATTTTTTGAAGTTTTCACTGTTGGATACTTCATTTTGCAGTAACTCTTGATTGTAATAAATCTCTCCCTTTCTTTTTTCAAAAATTCTAAAATCCGCAAATTTTTGTCCGCAAAAATTATTCACAATTTACTTTACAATTTAAGCTGGAACGAAAATAGTATTTACGTAAAAAATGAATTAATAAGAAAGAAAAAAAGCAAAAAATATAAAGTAGATGTAGCTACAAAAATGCACCAATTTGTTTGTAGAGAAGAAAAGGATTAATTAAAAGCAACAACAAAAATAAATATAAAATTAGTGGAATTGTTTGAGAATATAAAAAATATGTAAAAGAAGAAGTAATGTAAAAATAAATATATATTTTAATAATCCTGTCTTTCTAAAACATTAAATAATTTTACAACTGATTTAAAAAAATATTTTCTTTTTCCAAAAAAAAATCCAATCAGAATTATGTCTGGGCTTTCTGATTAGGATATTTTCTGTTTTAATTTAGTATAGTTAATTCTTCCAAAAGTTAGAAAGAAAATCAGACCCAGTAGAAAACAAAATATGTATTATTGTATTTCTCTTCTAAATAATTAAAGAGAGATCTATTTTTAGTAGTCTAAAAATTTCAAAATTTCTATTTCTTAAATTATTCTAGAACAAAAAATTTTTTTACAAATTTTTGATTAATTTTGTGAAGTTATTTCAACAACTTCCTGTTCTTCTTCCTCCTCCTCTTCTTCATCTTCTTCTTTAACTACAGATGCTCTTTGTTGTTGTTCTCGTTGTGTATTTAATCTATTTTGACGTGATTCAAAAGAGAAAAGAGAGGCTGTAGGTGCTGAAGCAATTACTGAGCTATATGGAGGTGGGGGTTGTTGTGGTGGAGGAGGTGGTTGTGGAGGTTCTTAATTAAAAAATTTCAGGAAAATAACGATTAGGTATTTTGATATCCCGAGTGACGGGTTATTTTTGGGGAAATTTATCGAACTAGATTGTAAGCCTTGAAAGGAGAAGGAAAAAGAATGGGACAATCGGATATACCGAATTTCAAAGTTTAAACAAAATATCTCCCCACATATTTTTTCCCAAACAAACAAGAGAACTAATTTCCCTCAAAAAATTTTAAAAATTTTTATTTAATTACCACATTCTTTTTCAAAATTATTTATTGTATTATTAAATAATGGACGGCTACTAGCTTGTTGATAAGAAGAGGCTATTTGGTAATGATGGTATGGACGTTGAAATGAGCGTCTTTGTTGTTGTTGTGTATTATTAAATTGTGGACGGCCTTTAATTTAAAAATTAAAAAAAATTTTTTCAGAAAATAATTTTTTACAAGAAAATTCTGCTGAATCGGCAGCTGAGCATGTTGATCTTCCAATTAATATATTAGAATTACTACTAGCTTTTCTTCTATGCAATAAAGGACAAAATCGAGTTCGTCTACATAAATAAGAGCAACAAATAAATAATAAAAATATTAATGCCAAAATTAAAAGTACAAGTTCTGGAATATGTCTAGAGAGAGAAAAATAATTAAAGAAATTATAAGAATTTGTTTTTACCCTGAAATAAATTTCTTTCTAGCTTCTGATGCTAATTCTGATTCTAACTCATTTTTGTGTTGTTCTGTACCTAAATATTAACTTTAAATTTTAATTAAAGAATTAATTAATTTACAGTCAATTATTTACTCTCTATTTAACATGAAAGCTTGGAAGGTAAAAAAAAAAGTTTGAATAAAAATTAAACTTTTTTGGGTAAAGAAATGAAGAGAATATGGGTAGCCTTTATTGAGAGAATCCCTCTGTAATAATTAACTGTATATAAAATAGAAGGGGTTTTGAGACTTGAAAATAAATAGAGAATTAATTAATTGACTGTACTTAAAATACCGTAAATGCTCTAATTAAAGCCCGTCTCTATTAGAGCCCATATCGCCTATATCTAATACATACATATAGGCCCTTCCAAATTGATCCATTGAAAAATAATAGACGTCCAGGGCTTTAATTAGAGCATTTACGGTATATAATTATTTATTTTTAAATTCAAAAATATAATACAAACAACAAAAGAAAGATCCACTAGTTATTTGTGAAGGACAACAAGCTATAAATTTAAAAAGAAAATATTTTTTCTTTAAAAATAATTACTACCAACCAATTTCTTCTGGTTCATCTTTAAAATCTGGACATATTTTTATACTTTTAGTTAAACTTTTAGTTTCTTCATTTTCTTCATTTAAAGAAGACAAACAAATTTTTGAATTAATTAATGATATATTTAAATTAAAAAGAATAAAGAAGAAAAAAAGTTTTTTTGGAGAAAAATTGTTGTTGTTGTAATAGGCACTCGAATGTATAAATAATATAAATATATTCATCATTTTTATCCATTAAATTTTAAAAAAAATAGGAAAAGAAAAATATTAAATACTAAAATAAATCTAAAAAAATAATTTTTTTAAATAAAAAGAATGGGGAAAGTCCCGTGTTTTTGTCGATTCCCGATTTCCTTCACTCTCCCATCGTTTGAGAGATTTCGATTCTCGTACGACTTCCAGTCCGGTCTTTACTTCTTTTACAAATTTAAATAAAGTAAAGCTTTCATAGACCCATTACAAGGTTTTTAAATTAATAAAATATTAGAGTTGTTATTGACAAATAAAAATATTAATAAAAATTAGACCATAAAATATGACAATAAAATGTATAAAATGGGTGAAATAAAAGAATAAAAGGGGTTAATAACAACAAAAAATAAATTTATTTTTATTAAATAGAATTATTACCCCCTTGTTATGTTAAAATAATTGTAATAGTAGTTAATGTTAGCTTCAGAAAAAATCTGAAAAATAAAACGAATTTAAACTATTAGGTAGATCTAAATTTGTTTGTCAAATAAAATTAAATATAAATGTCTATAAAGTATAGATTTGAATGTTTTTTATGTAGTAGTAAAGAAATAAATAAAAACCCGAATTTTTAAAAACTGTCAAATTTTTACTTTTCTGCAACCTATTCTTGGCTTTTTATACCTATTTTCTTGCTTTTCTGCGACATTTTAGATTGCCTATTTTAAAAATTTTCTAGAAATCCTTAACTTAAAAAGAAAATCTTTATAAAAATCCTATTTTTTGGACATTTTAAAATTCAATAAATGTTTTTTTCCTTGTCATCATCTTTTATTTATTTATTTATTTCTCCGCTTCACACAAAAAATCTCCCCAAATTGAATAAAAAATAAAATAAATTTAAGGAAGGGCAATGAAAAAAAGAAAAAGAGGAGGACAATGCCAAAAAAACGACAACAATTCCCCGGATTGAATTCTTAATGAGTTGACTGACTGACAAGGAATGGACAAAAAAAGAAGAAAAAAAATTTTTTTAATATTTTGGTTGGGGACATTAAGAAAGGTTTTGTGTTTAGGCGCGAATTTCCAAAAATTATCAAAATGAAATTAATAAAATTAAAAATTATTAGTTTTTTTTTAAATAATTAATATGTAATTCCAAACTTAATTTAAAAGGATTAATTTTAAAAAATAAAATAATTTAATTAAAATCCTCCCTCCCCCTACCTCCCTCCCCCCTCCTTTCTCTAATTTTCTCCCTTCATAATTTTTTCAATCCTTAGGGGGAACGGAAGACACGGGCCAATTCTTTTTACTTTTCGTCAAAAAAGTGGTAAAAAGCACGCAAATAAATTTAATTTTTGGAGGGAAAATTTTTTTTAGAAAGTTTGTTAAAAAATAAGAAAAATAATTTTATTAAAAGGAAAAGTTTTTTTTAAATCCCTTTGGGAGAAGAAAGAAAAAAGACTTTTTTTAATTACCTAAATGTATGTATTTTTTGTTAAAAAATAATAAAAAAAGGGTTTTTGTTATTAATTAATTTTAAATAAATACGAAAAGAAAATAGTTTTTAAAAATTCTTTTTAATTAGAAAAAGAATTGTAGAAAGAAAAATAAAAGGAGAATATTTGGAAGTTCCTTCAAAAATATCCTTAATTAACATTTAAATGAAAAAAATAAACTTAGTCGCCTTATTTTTTATATAAAATGATTATAAATTTTGCTTAATTTAAAAAATGAAATAAATGTAAAAAATTGGGAATGTTTAATGATTGTATTCGTTAGTATATTTGGTTGACATTGCTGTCAAATTGAGGATAGAAATCTGACTGACCATTCTGTACATTAAAAAAAATAAATAAGGAAAAGGAAATTAAAAATGCTGCCGATAATGCGATAGTATCAAAAATCGTTATAAACTTTCTAAAAAATAATTTAATAATATTCATAAATTTGAAAACATTTTTTTCCAATAAATAATTTAAAAAATATTTTAGTTGCAAAATGTTAAATCCAAAAAAGTATAAAAAATATAAATTTAGAGAAGCTTTTAATGTATAAATAATGTGTTAATGCATATATAAATTTTTATAAACAAAAATTGTTGTGTGAGAGAATAAGGGGGAAATGAATTTAAAAAGTAAAAAAAAACATAGGGGAAAAGAAGCGGGGATAAAAATAAAATTATTTTAAATTAATGTTGATTTTATCTAAAAATATTTTACAAAAAAAATTTTTGTAAATAAAATGGAGAAAATTTATTATTTTAAAAATTGAGAAGTAAGATTAAAGAATGTAGATTATTTTAAATTAAGCAAAAATATAATAAAAATAATTAAATTTAATAAAAATTAGCTGAACATTTTTATATTTAAATTTGGAAAATAAATATGTAAAAGTAATAAATTTTCCAAATAAATTCTCAATAAATTTTTAATTCCATTTTAATCAAAATATCTACTTAATATATCCAAAATTTAGGGATTAATTAAAATTAATTTATTGTAATTAGAAAAAACATATTTAGTTATCTTCAATTAAAAGTTACTAAAATATAGAGACGTCCAAAGCAAATATGTATTTTCCAAAACTCAAGACCGAACTCAATGCTAATTTTTTGGCCCAAAAAGGCAAATGTTTGATTTTTCAAATTTTAGGAAGTATTTAAAAGCTCCGAAATTTTTGATTTTTTTAGCACCGCAGACAAAAATTTTGGAGGGAAAGAGGGTAGGAAAATTAACTTTATTGTGACACATTCGAAGTTTCCTTGAATTTTATCCGACTATAAGGAGATTATACTAAAAAAAGTTAAAATCATTTTAAATTAAAAATATATTTATAATTAATTTGTTAATCTTTTTTACACTTTTCAAGGTTAGAAAAAAAAATTTAAAAAAAAGGAAAAAATAAAGCGACACAATGCAAGTGACAGAAGACTTGAAAATGTAAAAAGGAGGTAACGACAGCTGGGAGGTTCGCTTGTGTAAATGAATGAATGAGAGGAATGAATACGCCGCCTTCCGTGACCAACCAACCAAACGAATAATGAAAAAAGAGAAAAAGAAAATATTTTTTTAAAAACGTTTATTAGAGTTTTTAAAAATTTAAGATTTTTTAAAAATTATTTTTTAATTTCAAATTAATTTAAAAATTAATTTAAAAAATATTTTATTGAAAAATCAAAAAATAATAATTTTTTATTTAGTAAGTAAACATTCAGAAAATAAAAAATAAAATTTATATGTACAAAAAATTTTTGAGGACTTAAATAAACTCTTTAAAAATCCTGTAGAGAATAGAGAAAAAATAATAGTTAAATCGAATCGCGCAGAGCTCTATATTTCTTTTTTGGCTGTCAGGAAATATTATACATATAGTGACAGTCATTGATTAGTCAGTCTGCGCATTGAGTAAAAATTGAAAAAAAAATAAAAATTGCTTTGTTGAAAGAGGGTAATTAGAGGGAATTTTTGTTTGTTTTTTAAAAAAGTAATCTCGAAGGTATTAATTGAATAGAATGGGAAAAAATGTTGACAAAGTTATTGGAGAACAAGTATAAATTAATTCTCATGATGAAATATTTGAGGGGAAAAAGTGTTACTTTTTATTTAATAATTTTTGAACGCGTTAAAGGATAACTAATAATTATTTTAAATATCCTATAGAACAATACAAAAAATTATTTTTATAAAATAATAAAAAATACAATCCCCTCCTACTAATACATATCTAGTTTTGGAATTTTTGAACAAATTATTTAAAAAAATATTTTCCCAGAAAATCTTTTTAATTTAATTTCCTCTTCTTAAATAATATTTTAATAAATTATCAATCAAAAAGCATTTTATCAAATACATATTTTTTTAAATAAAGAATGGCCAAAAAAGTTCAAAAATTACCAACTTTTCTCCAAAAAATATATTTACAAAATCATCCAAACATCGATTGGCCCCATTTATTTATTTATTTTTTTTTTTTCCGTCATCGCCTCTTCAACTTTTTTGTTTCTCAATTTTCATGCATTTTTTGGATGGGGAATAATAAGTGGGAGGGGGGGGGGGTAGCGGCAAAAAATAAAGAAATAAAAATAGGGGACGTTAAAATGCCATTGAGCCCTTTTTTAAATGCCTCTTTTAAGTAAAATATTATTTTAATATTTTTAAGTCTTTTTCTCTTTTTTTAAGAGAAAGGAAAACACGAGAAAGGAAAACCTTCAAAAATATTTAATTGTTCCGACTTTATATTGTTTACAGGAAAATAATTTTTAAAAAATAGTAAAATTTCAAAAAAGGAGGTTAATTCTATCTGCTTGAAAGGAATAATAGAAATTTTGATTTTTATGAATTTTTGGCTTTGGGTGCAGTCTTGGGCTTATGTTATGGAAATTTTTAGGTCTTGGATATTGGACCACCAAAGGTCCACAATTCAAAGAATAGTACGGTTGATCCAAAAAAAACCCCTCGGGTAAAAAACAAAAATAATCCTTCCAAATTCCTTTCACATTTTCTATCAAATATTTTTCATTTGGAAAAGAGAATTACAACTCTCAGTACCAAATTTAGTTATTTCATTAATATCTCCATTCCTAAAAAGAACTTCAAGATTGCTAGCTCTATCGATCAAAGAGTCTTTTTTTCGCCATGTAGTTGAAGAAGTTGGAAGTTGTATAGAATGAAATGAATTTTTGTTTGTTGATCCGTTAAGATTGTTATCTTTTTCAGACAATTCTTAAAAAATTAAAAAATTATTGTTTTATCGATTTATTTTGAGAAATTATGCTGGATAAAATAATTAACCTAAAATAATTAGGATTTAAATCCAACGAAGCAATGTTTCACCATGGCTACGTGACTGGATTTTTGTAATTAAATAACACACCAGGAATTAACCAAAATTGCGTTTCTAACTTATCCACCAATTAAATCCCCAAAATTATCATTAAATCTCTCAGGTTCTAACAGTCTTAAAAAAACTACTAACCATTTTCTTTTCCAAACAATATTTGTTCTCCCAATTGAAATAGACCACCTTCACCAACATTACTATCATCATCTAAATCGGCAGAATTAATTTGTTGATCATTCACCCCATTTTGTTGTATTTCATTTTCCTCCTCCTCTTCATTATCAGAATTATCAATTTCACCAAATTTTCGTTTAATTCCTTTTTTGTTTTGTTCTAATTGCCATTCTAATATTTTTATTCGCTTTTCTCTTCTAGATTCAACCTCCCCATCATCTTCCTCATTTAAATCCTCTCCATCTTCAATATTAAAAATTTTGGACCAATCAATTTTTGAATCTCCTTGCATTCTAAAACGAAAGCTTCTGTCACTGCTTCCTACCTTAAAAAGTTTTTAAGCTCTTTGAATTCAAGTATTGCCCAGAAAAATTTGGAAACTGAAGAGAAGAGACTAATAAAAATTTTAAGATAACCCATTCGACTTTTTTAATTTATATAAAATGAATTAAATTTTCAATTAGATTTTTCATAAAAACCAACAGATACTAACAGACCTGGTCACGGATACTGATCTTGGTATCCGTATCCGCATATTTACGGCGGATACAGACGGATACAGGCGGATATCCGCAGACATTTTGATATTATCTGTATCCATATCCGTGACCAGGTCTGGATACTAACAAGATAAAAATAATTAATTTAAAAAATACATGATTATGTAGATCAGAATCAGCAAAAAACGCCTCTTGCAATTTTAACAAACGTTTATCGTCCGCATCCCTTTCATATTTATTATATTGTCTAATTAAATTGTCTCTAATTTCATCTTCATTTAACTTTAAAAGTTAAATTTTAAAATTTTTAACAGAAAAATTCAGATACCTTGTCATGATCTCCTTCTTCAGCTTCATATTCATCCATCCCTTCAATATCATCCATTTCGTCGCGATCTGAACCAATATCATCACCAGACAGAGACGCTTCATCATCAAACATTTCTTTTCTAAAAGAAATTTTTTGAAATAATTAGATCGGAATTTTGAAAAAACCGGGTCCTGGAACCGGGTTCTGAAGGTTGGCCGGGAGGGAGCCGGACCGGGAAAACAAAGAATTCCCGTTCCCGGTTGCTTCAAAAAACCGGGAAAAGGGACCCGAAAACCAGGAAAAGGATCCCGTTCCGATCTCTAAAAATAATATTCAAAAAAATACTTTTTCTATTAAATTAAACCTTCAAATTAATTCACTTACAAATTTTGTTGTTTTGACTCTGCTACATTTTTAGGAATTTCTTCTTCAAAATCTTCCTCCTCCTTCTCTGCTTCATCGATTGATTTACCCAGTTGATTATCTCCATCATCATCTTCAACAGTGAAAAGGTCAACAACGCTTTGGTTAACAACAAGTTCAGATTGAATATGTACTTCTTTCAAATTCTAAAAAGGAAAATCGATTAAGATTTTAATTTTTAAATTTAGTTAAAATGTTTGTATTGATTAAAAAAAAAATTTAATTACAATATTTTCACTCTTCTCTTCATCCATATCCTCGTCATCATCAATAACATACATTTTCTTATTCGAAACATAATCACCACACACTGACTCATTTTCTTCTTCTTCCTTTTCTCCTTGACTGTCAGTATATTCTTCGTCCTCAACATTTTCTTCTTCACCCCCTTCATAATCAGAAACATCAACATTCGGCCCGTTATCATTTTCTAATTCTTCTTTCTCCTCATTTTCTACTTCATTATTTTTAACTTCATTCTCATTCATTATATTTTCTTTTTTAGATTTATGCAATTCATTATCAGATAATTCTTCCTCGCACTCACTATCCCCTTCTTCATTTTCAGAAATTTCATTTTCTACATTGTAAAAACTAAATTTAAAAATAAAATATTTAAAAAATAAATAAATACTTATGTCTCATTTCCAAATCTTTATGCCTCCTTTGTGCCAATCGTTTTGCTAATTCAGTTTTAAAATCAGTAGTTTCTAAAAATAAAAATCTAGAAAAATTTAAATTAAATTACTTTTAGTGTCAGTCATTTTACTCAATTTTGCATGTCCAAATTTATTCTTAAACCATAAAGAAGCGCCGTCCTTTGGTTGAATTTTTGACATGAATAAAGTGTTAAATGTAGTTAATTAATTGAAAAGATAAATAATTCTAAAATACACAACCAAAATTAAAAGAAAAACAAGAAAAAAATTGAATTAAAATTTAGGAACAAACAAAACGCCAAACATTAAATAAAGACATTTGAGTACAGTTAAGTTAGGATTTTATAAATTTTTGATAATTTTAAACTTTTTTTTATTCTTTTATTTTTTAATCTTTGTAACTCATATCTTCGAGACTTTTTGAATGTCTAAAAATAATTCGAATTTGTCTAAAATCAAAAAATTGTATTCAGCCATTAGATCGTGCTACTGAATTGTCCTCATTGAGTGCCGGTTGAGTCACAGATTTTGAGTCTGAGAAAGAACTTTTTTGGATGAATCAATCAAAAATTTTTAATACTTGGTGTTAATTTGGATTATAATGGAAGGAACTCTAAACAATGTTTGTTTAAAATTTTTTTTAATTTTATATTTCTCTTTTTTTAGCAAGTCTCTAAAACAATTTTTTCAATATTACAACATTTGGATCCATTGCCCTCTGGAAGTTTTGACTTAAATGAATTCGAGAAGACGGTTTAATTTTATAAATTTTGATTTTTATTATGTCAATTTTTAAAGGTTACAAAATTTGCTAATGATTCACAACAAATTGCTCCTGTACTTTTATTTAATTCGCCAGTTATTGCTGACGAATGGAAACTTTTGGAACAGTTTGTTAATGCTCTTAATTTGGACTATGAGAAACGAACAATTTTGTTAAAGAAGCGGATTGAGGTTGCTATGGATTCTTTTTTATGGTCAGAAAGGGTCAAAAAGATGGAGGGACAGATTCGACAAATTTGTGATAAAAGTTTATTTAAAGAAGCAATTTTTAAACCTGTCAATTTGGAACATTTAATTGCTGCTGATTCGAGTTTGATTTTTTTAATTTTATTTTATTTTTTTTAATTTTAGATTTATTATTTATGATTAAGACAAGTTCAAAAGAATTAAGAAAGAAGACTAGAGTTCAACAAGTTAACGACTTTAAAATGCCGGCCGGTGTTGTACCGGATAGGGGAGGAAGGACTGAGATAATGACTCCGTTACAAAGAGAGACATTTGACCAACAAGAAAAACAAAGAGCACAACAATCTTTTCAAGGTTAAAAATTGTTTTAAACCTTTTAAAATTTATTTTATATTTATAGAGAGACGACGAGGTGGAGGGGGTGACAAAGGATGTGGTAGAGGTGGTGGTGATAGTGGTCGTTTAGGATACTTCCCTGATGGTCAGCAGCATGGAAGTCGAGGAGGATATCAAGGAGGGAGTGGAGGATATCAAGGTCGAGGCGGGTATGGTGATTTTCGCGGTGGAAAAGGAGGGGGAGGAGGGCAAAAACGAGGGCGTTTTAATTAGTAATTTTGTTGTTAAATTTGCTCAATTGCTTTTTGGGTTTGATATTTTAATGTTTTCTATTTTAATATTTTAATAATTTAAGAAAATTGTAAATTATTTAAAAAATTATAGAATCTTTAAATTTTCAAGACTACTTTATTTGGTAATATTCAATTTCGTTCCCCCCCTCCTTTTTGCATCCTCAAAGTATTAAAAAATGGTCAGTCTAACTTAAGTTATAGAACTCATCGAGCTGAGTCGAATGACACCAAAATAAAAAAAATCCGACTTGATTTGACCGAAATACAGACCCCTGAAAATTGAACAACCACAGGTGCGAAATACCAAAAAGACGAAAAATTATGCAATTGATAGCTCATTCGAAAGAGCTCGTCGAGCTGAGTCGAATGACACCGAAATCGACGTGATCTGACTTGATTTGACAAAGTTATGACATAAGGTTGCCGACTCCGGTAGGTCTAAATAATGCCATAACTTTGTCAAAACTCGTCCGATTACGTTGATTTCAGTGTCAATCGACTCAGCTCGACGAGCTCTTTCGAATGAGCTATCATTTGTATAAAAAAATTTTATTCTAAAAAATCACCCCTATGGTTGTTCAATATTCAGGGGTCTGTATTTCGGTCCAATCAAGTCGGATTTTTTTGATTTTGGTGTCATTCGACTCAGCTCGACGAGTTCTATAACTTAAGTCAGACTGACCATTTTTTAATACTTTGAGGATGCAAAAAAGGAGGGGGGGGAACGAAATTGAATATTACCCTTTATTTTGTTAATTTATTTAAATTATTTATTTAAAACGTTAGGATTATATGTTTTTATTTTTGTTAAATGGAATAAAGTTTATCATTTTTTCCATCAAATTCTGATTAATTTTAAAATCTAATTTTATATCTTTTTTATTTTCATTTTTATATTTAATTAACTTAAATAGATGTTATGTTATTTTCTTAGTCGTTTTATCACAAACAGGTTTTTACTTAAATCATTTACAAATGTCTACCAGCCTCAGTCAAAACTCTGCAATGTTGCTTCATCTTCAAAATTATTAGAAACGTGCAATGGAAGGATTGTTAATTTGAGGAATTCATCTTCAGGTCTGCCTAAATACTTTAAAAACTAATTAACATTTTTCGATTCTCTTTATTTTATTTGCTGCTAATTTTCAAAAATATTTTTAGATGTTTTTCAGCATTGTGATCACATTCGAATTGATGACCTTGCAGCTGCTAAACAAATTGCAAGCAAAATTGGTCCAGCTGAAAGAGAATTATTACTTCAAATTCTAGTTAAAGAATCACCAAACTATACAGATATTCGTAATGGCGAAGAAGGTGTTCTACATATTTTTAGAAATTAAAAAATTTCTTTTAGACGGTGAATTACATATTGACCAACTCAGACAGTTATTTACTATTAATACAATTCCTTTTATTGGGTTTGGATTTCTTGATAATGCAATAATGGTTTTGGCTGGTGAATATATTGATCAGTCTTTGGGAACTCTTCTTTGTATTTCAACGATGGCTGCAGCTGCTTTGGGGAATATAATTTCAGGTTAATTTTTTTATTATAAAAATTTAAAAAAACGTTTTTATTTCAGATGTAGCGGGTGTTGGACTTGCTCATTATGTTGAAGGTAATTTTATAATTTTGTAGTTGATCATGTTTTTTTATTTAGTTTTTGTTACTCGACTTGGTTTTAAAAGTCCAACGCTTACCTCTAAACAAGTTTTTTTCTTTCAATTATTTTTTTTTAATTTCTATTTATAGTTGGAATCTCGTAAGGCTCGTTTAACTGTAAATCTGGCAAGAGCATTTGGTTTAATTGTTGGTTGCCTTTTGGGAATGTATTTTAAAATTTATAATTTTGTTTTTTATTTTCAATTTTAGGTTTCCTCTTCTATTTTTTAGTGAAGTGGATAAATCAAAAAGTGAAATTGTTCTCTAATATCTAATATTTTTTGAATTTTTTAATTATTGTTTATGGAGGAAATCCCAGAAATATTCTCTTAAATATTTTCGTTGTAATTTGGGATAATTCCGTAATCTGGTTATACCTATATTAAAATTTATAGTTGATTAACAAACATTTCATTATTAGTAGAAGGATTTCCACAAATAAACAATATTTGGATTTCGCGTAATTTCTATTTCATAGTTTAGTCTCCTATATCTATTGTATTAAATTAGTCTTATTTCTGGTCATCTTTAAATTGTTGCATTAATTTACGATTCTATTATACCTTCATTATAGTTATAGTCAAATTGTTTCTCAAATGCTTTAAAATATAGTACAAGTGCATTTAATATATCTATTTAATTGTAAGATTCGATTCCATGTGCAATAAGTGTCATATAATATATTTTTGAACAAAAAATATTTAATGTTTTTTAAATTTATTAATAGGTTTATTACCAAAATTTTTCTTTTAACGAATTTTTAAATTACTTTTTTCTTTTAGACTTTATTTTTAATTCATTGCATAATGTCAAGTGCTCCCAAGGAGAGGAAGCGTGTTGGAGAAATTCTCGAACTTGAACGAGAAATTCAAAAGCGATGGGAAGAGACTAAGGCTTTTGAAGAGGAAAGTCCTCTGGAAGAAAAGTTTTTTTTAATTTAATTTTTAAAAATAAAATAATTTTTAGGCCTCCAAAATTTATGACAACCTTCCCTTTTCCTTATATGAATGGACGATTACATTTGGGACATACATTTACGTTGGCTAAATGTGACTTTGCTGTTGGCTATTATCGTCTTAAGGGCCGTAAATGTCTTTTCCCTTTTGCTTTTCATTGTACTGGAATGCCAATTAAGGTTTTGTTAAATTTTTATTTGTAAAATTAATTTTTATTTTTAATAAAGGCCTGCGCTGACAAATTAAAGAGAGAAATGCTTATGTACGGGAATCCGCCCAATTTTTCTGAGGAAAATGATGTAGAGGAGATTGTTGGAGAAAATGGGACTGTTAACGAAAATGAACTTGACGATATTACAAGAGATAAAGCAAAGGGGAAAAAGGTTTTTTTCTAATAATTTTTCTTTAATTTTGTTTTTTTGAAGAGTAAAGCTGTGGCCAAAACTGTTGCAGCCAAATTTCAATGGCAAATAATGGAGTCGTTAGGTCTTACCAACGAAGAAATTGCAAAATTTTCTTCTGCCGAGCATTGGTTGACTTATTTTCCAGAGAAATGTGAATATGATTTGCGAAAGATGGGATTGAAGGTTTTTAATTAATTCTATATTTTATTTAATTTTAAAATAGGTTGATTGGCGTCGTTCATTTATTACAACAGACGTTAATCCCTATTTTGACTCCTTTGTGCAATGGCAGTTTTTAAAGTTAAGAGAGGCTAATAAATATATTGAATTTGGAAAAAGGTTTTTTAGGTTTAAAAATCATATTTATAGTAAGATTTACAGGTATACAATCTACTCTCCTAAAGATGGACAGCCTTGTATGGATCATGACAGAGTGACTGGCGAAGGTGTTGGACCTCAAGAATATACTCTTGTTAAAATTAAGGTAGTGTTAGTTTGAATCATTTCTTGATTCTATTTTTTAATTTTTTATATAAAAATATTATTTTTCAGGTTCTCGATCCCAAACCTAAAGTATTTGACAGTTTACCTTCGAACATTCCAGTCTTTTTTGTTGCCGCAACTCTTCGACCTGAAACGCTATACGGCCAAACAAATTGTATATAAATTCAAGCCTGATATATAATTTTTTCTTTTAAGGTTTTCTTCATCCAGACTTAATTTATTCCTTCTTTTATGTTGGAAGCGATAGTTCTGAAATTTTTATTGCAACTGAACGAGCTGCTTTAAATATGTCTTTTCAAGGGATGTTACCAGTAGAAGGGGAAATTAAATATGTAAAAGGTCTTGAAAAAGTTAAAGGGGAAACCCTTTTGGGATGTGCACTTTCTGCTCCACTCACGTCTTATGAAAAAATTTATTCATTGCCAATGATGTCAATTAAAGCAGATAAAGGTTTTCTGTTAAAAATTAAAATTTTAAAATTAATTTTAAGGTACTGGTGTTGTTCTAAGTGTACCATCTGATTCGCCAGATGATTATGCTGCTTTGTGTGATTTGAAAAAGAAAAAGGCTTTACGTGAAAAATATAATATTTCTGATGAAATGGTTCTTCCCTTTGAACCCATTCCAATTTTGGATATTCCTGACCTTGGACAACTGGCAGCCGGTTTGTTTTTTTTAATTTCTAATATTTTTTTTTAATTTTTAGTAAATATTTGCCAAAAGCTGGGAATAACAAGTCAAAATGATAGAGTGAAGCTAGAACAAGCCAAAAAGGAAGTTTATCTGAAAGGCTTCTACCACGGGGTTTTTGACTATTTTTTAGTAAAATAATATTTAAAAATATTTAGACGATGCTTGTTGGTGATTATAAAGGTGAAAAAATAGATCAAGTCAAAAAACGCATTCAAGAGGATTTAATAAGCAAAGGATTGGCTTGTAAATATGTTGAGCCTGAAAAGACTGTTGTATCTAGATCCGGAGAAGAATGTGTTGTAGCATTATGTGATCAATGGTTTTTATTTAACATTTTGTTTTTTACATCTTTTTTTAAATTTTTTCTAGGTATTTAAATTATGGAAATCCAGAATGGAAAGAAGCAACAAAGAAATGTTTGTCAAAAATGAATACTTACATGGAAGAGGCTCGTCATTGTTTAGAGAACACAATTGATTGGTTACATGAATATGCATGTTCTCGTATTTATGGACTTGGTATTTAATTTCCTTCTTTTTTAATTTTAAATAATTTTTAGGCTCAAGATTGCCATGGGATCCTAAATATTTAATTGAATCACTCTCTGATTCAACCATTTATAATGCTTATTATACTATTGCTCATCTTCTTCAATCTGACATTTTTGGTTCTAAACCAGGTCTACTTGGATTGAAACCAGAGCAATTAAACACACATGTTTGGGATTATATTTTTATGGGTGTTGGCGAATATGATAAAAATAAAATGGGAGGAATTTCTCTTGAGGCACTAAATAAAATGCGTAGAGAATTTGAATATTGGTATCCAGTAGATATGAGTAAGTTTTTTCTTTTCTTTTCATAAATTCTTTTTTACTTTAAAAGGGGTATCAGGAAAGGATTTATTGCAAAACCATTTGACCTTTTATTTATTTAATCATGTTGCTATTTGGCGAGAGAGGCCCGAAATGTGGCCTTTAGGTATTAGAGCAAATGGACATGCTCTTCTTAATAATGAAAAGGTTTGAATGAACAAAAACTTAATTTAATTTTTTAATAGATGTCAAAAAATACCGGAAACTTTTTGACATTATATGAAGCGATAGAAAAATTCTCTGCTGATGGAATGAGAATGGCGTTGGCAGATGCAGGAGATGGAATAGAGGATGCTAATTTTATGTTTGTTTTTATTAAAAATTCTAAGAAAATGATTTTGTATTTTTGAAGGTGTGACATGGCCGATGCTGGTTTTCTCCGTCTTTATCAATTTTTAGATTGGACTAAAATTTTATTGGGTAAAAAGGCCACTGTTCCAAAGCCTTTATTACGTTCTGGTGAAATTGAGACATTTGCAGATCGTGTATTTGACAACGAAATGAATCGATTGTAAATTTAAAAATAATTTTTCTTACAATTAATGTTTATAGAATTGAACTTACTGAGGAACATTATGAGAAGACATTTTATAAGGAAGCCCTTAAAACTGGTTTCTTTGAATTTCAGGTCGTTTTATTGAACTTTTAATTTTTTTTGTTTTTTACAGTTGGCTCGTGACAATTATCGTCAACTTTGTGGCAGTGACGAACAAATGAATGAAAAACTTATTTTGCGATTTATTGAAACACAAGCTTTAATTCTTTCACCAATATGCCCACACATTACTGAACATATTTGGTCGTTGTTGGGAAAGGTAAATTATAATAAATTAGAGATTTTTTAGTTTTAGAATGATTTAATTGTAAATTCAAAATGGCCAACAATTTCGACAGTTGATAAATTATTACTTCAACAAAGCAGTTTTGTTAATAATGCCATTAAAGAATTTCGTCAACGTAGAGATGCAAAACTTAATCCGAAAAAGAAAGACCCAAAGAAAGCATTACTTCCGCCCAAAGCTGCAACTATATATTTTACAAAGAAATATCCAGAATGGAAGGAGAAGGCAATTAATTTAATGAGAAAACTTTATGAGGTTAGAAAATTCTTTGAAGTTATAGTTGTCTTTTTGTGTCTCCTCGATTTTCCAAAGGGTTGAGGAGAATCTATTTGTCTGTTGGAGCTTTTGTGTAGTTATAAAACCATCGTTCTCTCTTGGAATTTAAAATTTCTTTTCGATATTTTGGTTATCCTATGGCCAACATAAGATAGACTTTAGGAGAGAAGCACACTTCCTACATATTCTAATACTCTTTTTAGTCAAATAACTCAACATTGCCAGACAATCGTGAAATTATGGAGCTTTTAAATACAACACAATTACCTGAAAAGAAAGAAGTAATGCCTTTTGTTCAATTTGTTCGTGAACGTGTTGCCCAAAATGGAAGCGCTGCTTTAAGTGTAGATGAAGATTTTGATCAAAAAGATGTTTTAGAACAAATTAGAGACTATTTATTGTGTACACTACAATTGGAAAAACTTGATATTGTTGATATTGCTAATGCAACAGATAATGCTAAAGAAGTTGTTGAAGTTATTAAATCATGCTCGCCTGGTTCTCCTTTAATTATCTACAATTTTGAAATGAAGTAAGACAAAAAGAATAGTTTTTTTTTAAATAATTGAGCTTCTTATAAATATATAAATAAATACTCGTTGCAAAGAATCCCTGTTTGGTTGATATTTTTCGTGCATTTTTCTTGGATTTTTGAAATTAATTTTTTAGTTGAATTTTTCTAATTTTCTGAATATATCCAAAGATCCAAGTTTGCATAAGAAAATTTAATATTGTTTTTATTTTGTTTAAATGGTTTCTGCTTTGTTGTTAGTTTCTCAATTTAAATAAAATTTCCATTATAATTTTATTTAAATATGCCAACCATAATAAAATCAGAAAATTTCACCAGGAAAAAGAATATTTTAAGACGGGAACAATAATTGACATTATCCAAAGGAAAAATAATCAGAAAATAAAATAACAAAAATTAAACCAACAAATCATTTCCTTCCACCATTCATTCAAAACATAACTTCAATCATTTCTTTGTTTTCTTACGGCTCGGTCCAATTTCTCCCTCCTCTATGTCATCATCCCTTCCTTTTGATTTTCTATTTGAAGTTGACCCATAGAGCGCAGAACGAATTTCGGCAGCCCGATGTTTAACCCAGCTAATTGTTGGAATAATTTCCTAAAATAAATTGGAAGAATTTTGGAAAAATGGAAGAATTTTAAACCTCTTTCTCGCGAGCATTATTCATCCAGCCATAGAATTCATCTTCCGTTATTGGTTCTGAAGCAATGCATTCAAGGGTTCTCTCTGAACGATTGTCAACCTTAAGACGCTTTGAATATTTGGACTTCCCAATTGGAACCTAAATTAAAAAAATATTTGTTTGTAACTATTAAATATATACTTCAGTGTCAACAACGCCCAAAATACGATAGATTGAGTGAAAAGTTGCTTTATCCGTTTTAGTCAAAATTCGAACAAAGCACTTTCTAACCAAATCGTCAAACTTGTCCGGTGACTTCTCAGCAAGACGAATAAGTTTTCCGCGTGAAAGAACAACTGGTTCCAAATCCTCAATATGTCGAACCTTTAAAATATAAAATGAAAACATGTAAAAACAAAGGAAATTTAGAAGAATATACCTCCTCATGTTGTTCATCTTCGTATTCATCGTCATAATCGTAGTCAGACATTTGTAAAGTTTTTATGAAAATCTGTTATGATCCAACTATAATAAACTTAAAAAATTTAGAAAAATCAAAATTTACACCAAATAAAAAGATCTTTTGTCAGAAAAAGTTGAAAGATTTATCAGCAAACGTGAAAATTTTAAATATTTATTTGAGGAAAAATAAATCGACATTTGAATTTTCGCGAAAATTTTGAAGCGAAAAGAAAAAAAGTACTGTAGAATTCGTTGATTATTTCCGGAACGTCCCACTTGTGTACCGGCCGTTTGTGTACCTGGCCATATTTTGAGCCATAACTTTTTCGATTCTTAACTGATTTAAATAATTAATATATCAATCGAAAGCCCTGGATGTGAGGATTATTTTCGCTAAAAGGATTGATTTGATCAGATCATCATACTAAAAGTTAAAGACAGATAAAGATCAAAATCTCGATTGCGCGCATTTATCGAGATGTAACTTTTTATAACATGATCTGATCAAATCAATCCTTTTAGTGAAAATAATCCTCACATCCAGGGCTTTCGATTGATATATTAATTATTTAAATCAATTAAGAATCAAAAAAGTTATGGCCCAAAATATGGCCAGGTACACAAACGGCCGGTACACAATGATCCCCTACCCGATTATTTCATCTTTAAATATTTATTCTCTTGATTTGGTTGATTTAATGATTTTTAAAGCTTGATTTAGTTAAACTTCTGCATTAGTAATTTGTTTTTTAAACATATATGTAAATCTTTTTTAGCAAATTCCACTTTAAATGCTATTTTTGTTTACAACTTTATACAATTTTTACGTTGAGAGAAAGAAGGCTGATACAGCGATCAAAAAATTTAAAAAGTTTGTTGCGAAGAAGAATGAACAAATTCGAAGAGAAGACGCCGGTATATTTGATGGGTCTGTGACTTCATCAGACTCTTTGGATGACGACAATTTATGGTTTATTGAGCGCAAGTACAAAGAACTAAAAAAATGGTTGAACTCGGGAATTAAAAAAGCCAAGGATTTTGTCAACAGAAGGAAGCCTAAAAATAAAAAGTGAGTTTAAAACACATTTTTGAGGACCTAAAATAAATTTATTTAGAATTGAAATGCTTCAACTTTTTGGCTTATTTCTTTTCTTACAATTTATTGGAACTATTTTCTATATCGTCTATGCTATCAAGTTTCCTGATAATACGCCATTGTAAACTTTTCTAAACTTTAAAATTAAAATAAATTTAAATTTAAAAAAGAGTTGGTTTGGTGTCTGGACTAGTTGTAAATTGTGCACTACCGGTAATATTATGGTCCCGCCATTTTCGCTGTATTTTCTATGTGATGCTTTCTTCGCTCATTGGAGGGAGATTACGCCTTATTTTATTAATAACTATGGTGGCTTGGGCATTTGAAGTTTTTTTGTTTAATATTTAAAAATTAAAATTGTTTTTAAAAGTATCCAGTACAAAACACGACGGCAAATATTCAAAATGTAATGGAAGGAGTTAATTGTGTTACACAAAATGTGAAGGCTGTGGCTAAGGAAATGAAGGAGAGAGCTGGACACGCAATTGGTGAAGTATGGAGAATCTTATTTTTTTTTGTTTTTTAAAAATCACAAAAAATTTTTGTTAGGCCGTTCCGATGGATAAATTACGTAATTTAATGACTGCCCAATCAATGCCTTTTGAGAACGTAAAGAAAACATTAAAAAAAGTTGATGAGGCTCTCGGAAAGTAAATTTAAATTTTATTTTTTTTCCTAAAATTTATTAAATTTAAAGAATGATGAAATGGCAAAAAAATTTAATTGACAAAATAAATGGATTAATGAAAAATTGTTCAGCCCTAGCTCAAATACCTTTTAAAGCGGTATTTTATTTAAAAAGAATTTTTTTATTTAAAATTTATTTTCTTTAGTGTATTGGTTGGCTTGAAGAACGTCACAAAGATTGTTTTAGTAGTTATCCTGAATTAATATGTAAACCAATTGAATTAATTAAAGGAATTTGTTATGCTACAAAAATATTAGAAATTCATTGTACTTGGCCAGGAAAAGTTAAAAGTGCTGTAAAAGAAGGCGTTGGGAAATTTGTTAAAAATTCGAAGCAAAGAATAATTAATTATACAAAAAATACTTTTTTGTATAAATTATTTAATAAAACGGTAATGAGGGGAGACGCCCAAAACGGCGCGTGGCCATTACGGCGCAAAGCTACAACTTATTTCAAGAATTCCTAATCCTACCAAATTTAGTATTAAGCGATTCCTCTCATCGAGATAAGGGGGTTGGTATCAAAATTGATAGGGCCAGACATTTTCGACCAAGTTATGAATTTGCGCCGTTATGGCCGCGCGCCGTTTTGGGCTGTTCCGGTAAAGGAATAAAGGGGGAATTTTTGGGAAGTATTTAAAAAAATATTTTTTAATTAAAGATAGCAGAAACAAGGCAATTAAAAACTTTAAATATTTCAATTACTCGTGATCAAAATATGAGTGACCATTTTGCTTTTGATCGAAAGAAAATGCATAAAGCTTTACACGATGAAATATCAACTTATGAAAATATAATTAATGCAATGGTGTTTTTATTAGATTCTGTTTCTATTGCTATGATATTCTTTACACCTTTTATGGTAATTTTTAATTAGAGAGAGGGGGCAGGGATGGACGCAATTGAAAAAAATTTTCCTATGCCGCAACCCGCAATTTTAAATTTAAAATCCGCAAGTCAAAAAAACTCAATTTTAGCAATTGTGTCCATTTCTGGAGGGGGCCTCCAAAAATATTTTTTTTATTTTTTAAAGGCAACTTTGTATGTTAGAAGATTTAATACTGGGGAAGCTATTGATAATTTTTATGTTACCCCAAATTTTATTGAAATTGATCGTGCTCGAGCTCTAAATGGTTTACCTACATTATTACCATTTCAACCAATAGAAAGGAAAAGCGTAAGGGGAAGGGGAAAGTTTTTTTAATTTAATTTTAATTTTTTAGATAATTTATACTTGTACTCGCCGTTTAATGTTTAAAGAATGGGTACTTTTTTGTGTTTATCATTTATTTCTTATGATGTCTGTTGTCCCAATTACTTGTTTTATTATTGTTGATATTTTTGTTTATCGAATTCTTCGAAGAGTTTTTATATTTTTGGGGCAAGATTTTACAACTTTTGCCGTTCCAAATATTTACACAATTAAAGTAGGGATTATTTTTTTTAAATTTATTTTAAAATTTCTTTTAAAAGATAACCGGAAAAGGATTTTTAAATGATTTATTACGAAATATTCTAAAAACTTTTGAACCCTTAACTGATAAGGAACAACGCGATGATCTTTGGAGACATTGTTTTAAACAGCCAATACAGCCTAGATATGATATTTTTTGGTTTATGTTTATTATTTATATTGTCTCTGTTTTGTTAATGTTTTTACAGGTATTTTAATTAAAAATTAAAGGAATTAATCTTTTAATTTAAAAAAAGATTTATATGCGTCGAACAAGACATATTATAGCAACACATTTTTATCCGGATAGAGCCCAACCGCGAGCATTACATTTATACAACAAAGTTCTAGAAGAGAGAATGAGGAGGTGGGGAATGTTGGCTGATATACAAAAAGCAAAATTTAATGTAATATTTTTTGAGATTATTTGGGAGGAAATTTCTGACATTTTTAGAAACCTTTTCTTTCTCTTCCATTAATTTTTTATTTTTAGGAAGATGTTGGAGATAAAGAAAAATCCCTTCTCCTCAAAGGAATGTCTGTCCTAGCCGAAGACAAGCAACGCTGCTGTAGATGTGCCCGAACAGATCTTTGTGTGGAGGATATTGAGTAGGTGAAATTTTAAAATAAAATTTAAAAGAAAATATTTTTTTAAAGAAATATTCGTGTCTGTTCTGGATGTTATGCCATTTATTGTGTGGATTGTTTTACTGTTAGAAAGCGCTGTTTTAAGAAAGGCTGCAGTTCTCTATTAATGCAAATTGTTGATAATGTAGATTTTTATGTTGACAGTAGTTTAGATGAAGACGAATCTGAGGAGGATGAAGAGGAGAAATATGAAATTGTGGATACGGAAGTTGAAATGGAAGAAGATAAAGTTAGGGAATATGACAGGGAAAGCTTGGAAGGGAAGGAAGAAGAAATTGGGAAAATGGAAGGGACAAAAGAGGATAAAAAGGAAGAGAAAAAAGAAGAAGAGGATAAAACGATGGAAGGAACAAGGAATGAAGAGAAAAAAGAAGAAACGGAAGAAGAAGAGGATAAAAAAACGAGGGAGGAGGAGGACAGTCAAATGAAAAAGGAGGAAGAAAGGGAAGAAGAGGAAATTAGTTTGTATAATATTTAGGGTGTTTTTATTGTTTTATTATGTTCAATTTATTGCTTGATTTTTAATATTTATTTAAAAATTTAAAATGTAATTTTAATAAAAAATTAATATAATTGTCAATTTTATTCACAACAAATTTGTCTGGTAAATTAAATTGTAAAAAACAAAAAAAAATAAAATATTGGGAAAATGAAAAAGAATAAAAATTTGTTATTTAAACCCGTTGAATATAGGGTAAATAATGAATAGAAACAAAAATGGATAAAAGATGAGCAAATGCAGAAAAACAAAAATTAAAGAATTTGTTTAAAATAATGCCCAAAATAAAAGAAAAATTTTGGCCAAAAAATTAAAAAAAGGTTCTTTTCGATTATGCTGGAGTCTTCAAACTTTTATCCACAAATTTTAAAATAATTTTAGAAGTAGAAAAAGAAGAAAAATGCAGTTTTGTAATTTATTTTTATCTTAAGAATTTTTCGAAAAAATATTAAATTAGTTAACACCCCTTCAGCGAGAGGGAGTGGAGAAAAGGAAAATTTACAAGAAAGTTTTATTGTGGATAAAAGTTTGCCGACTTTTTAGGCATAACCATCAAAATACAAAAAATAATTGATAGAATGTTACGTATTAAAAAAAGTTACTATCCACTAGTCCATTGATCTGGTGCAATTGCAAAATAACTGAAAATTAAAAGTAAAAGCCCATAAAGTAAAAAACCCACCCATCAATACGTTCATAAAATCGTTTTCTGTATTGTTCTGGAGAAATAACAGTTGGCTTAAAAATTATAAATTTATTATAAAGTAGCTATGGGGCAATTCATCATAAAATATAAATTGAGTTTTAACTGGAGATTTTAAAAGTATGGTGTTTAAAAGTTTAGTTTGTTCTAAACATTGGAATAAATGGGAAATTTTTGGAATATCATATACTTTAAGTAATGGTCAATTGTTCTTTTAGTGAATTAAATTAAATACTCAATACTCACCAGATTACTCATAGGAAGGGCAGTTTTCTAAAAAAAATTAAAAAATTTTTAAATGAAAAAAAAAACAAAAAAACTTACAACAAGACTTTCAACTTTTTTATCCAAAGTAAATGTTCTCTTAAAAAAATTCCCTTTTCAAAAAAAATTATTTCAAAAGAAAAACCATATAATCAACAATTCCAACAATAACTTCATCTTCTTGCCCACGAGATATTCCAGCCAAAAGACTGTAATCCATAATACCTTGATTTGCAAGAAAATTGCTGTCGTTAATAATTGCCTGGCTAAGTAAAGTTTTTGAATGTGGAAGTAAATATATTTGGTTTCTCCAAATATCTTGGAGGTAATTTTCGTCTAAAAGGACAGCAGAAGGATAAATACTTCCATCTTGATTTAAATTAGATGAAGATTTTGTTGAGGCTAGTCTTTGAAAAAAAATTAAATGGAAAAAATAAAAAAGGGTTGATATGTAGGTGTATTTTAAAAAAGTTATTTATTAAATATTGAGGAAAGATCCTAATTAATTAGTGTCTGGCCGTCTAATTAAAATTGTTAATTTACCTATTTCGAAGTGATCCTTTCAAATCCCAAATTTGTTTAATATCCTAAAAAACAATTTAAATAAAAAATTCTTCCTTTAAAAACCTTTTTATAAAAAATATATTCCATAACTAAATAATTATTCTTTAAAGAATGTCCATTTTGTTTATTCACATAATTTATTCCATAAGCTCCAAAAATCTATATTTAATTGGTTCCGTGACTTTTGCACCGAGAACATTTGCGCCGCCATTATTTAAAAAAATAAAATAAATAGCTAGTCGGACTTCACTATAATCTAACCCTTAAGTTTAAAAATGGTATCAAGGTCAGAAGGTACAAATGTTCTCGGCGCAAAAGTCGTGACAGCATTTACTTAAAAAATAAAATCTTTTAAAATTACCTTACAAAGAGCAGTTGGCCTATTTTCTTGTTTAACTAAATTCATATAGTCAATATACTAAAAAAAATAAAAATATTTTTTTAATCAAATTATATTAAACACCTTTTGAGAACAATTTTTGAAAGAATCCAATTCAAAACGCGAAAGTGTTTTTAATACAAAACGTTCATCCTCTGTACGGAAAAAGGAGGCACCTAAAAAATTAAAGTCAAATCTCGATTTTTAAATAGATATACCCAGGGATGTTATTCGTACTTATTTTGGAAGGGAAAAGTTTTTTTTTTAAATTTATATTTGGTTGCTCCAATGTAATGAGGAGATTTTTTAACAATTGTCCTAGTATAAAAGCACAGGAATTTCCATCTTTCTTACCGACAACAGCTTCACTTGACAGCACGATACTCAACTCCAATCAACAACGATGGCTGACGGCAAGAAGAATGATGACGGCAAGAAAGGCGGCGGAGAGCGAAGCGTGATCAAGGGGGATGGTGGTAAGTGCGAGCAGGCAGTCCAAGGAAGGGAGCAGCAACAACAGGAGGACGCTAACACGAACACGGAGATGATCTCGCGTCTTGAACCGATGGAGGCAATCGCTCTGAATATTGGGACTGTGGTCGGCAGCGAAGGACACAGGAAATGGCACGTTCTCAGCAGGTTAGGATCTGGCGCGTTTGGTGCTGTCTATCTGGTGGAGGAGGAGGGTGCCAAGAAGGAGGAAAAGTATGCCTTGAAGGTATGTTGTTAGAAAGTTTTAAATTTTGGGCATTTTTACTATTTAGGCAGAGCGCCTCTCAGCTCAAGTGCAGATGTTGGCCGTCGAAGTGCAAGTATACCAGGCGCTGATGGCAAAGGCAGTTGAAGGAAAACGCCGGTACCCGTTGCTGATTGACAAGGGAGCCTGGAACAATCAGTGCAACTACTTGGTCATGTCATTGGTCGGCCCATCACTTGAGGTGAGTGATGATTTATTTGTAAGTTTGGCCTAACTTTGCAAATATATTATTTTTAAGGATCTTCGGCGTAAGCGTCCCAACAACAGGTTTTCCATGGGCACGGCTCTGATTGCGGCAAAGAAGACTTTGGCGGCGATTGTACAGATGCACCTCGTCGGATTTCTTCACAGAGATGTGAGTTTTCATTTTACAAAAGCGAAAATTGAACTTTAATTTCCTTTTTTCTATTAGATCAAGCCAGCAAACTTCTCGATTGGACACACGGACAAGAATGTCATCTACATCCTCGACTTTGGCATGGCACGATGTTTTGTACGGCCAGACGGCGTACTTAAGCGTCCACGCGCAGGCAACATCGGTTTCCGAGGGACAGCCAAATATGCTTCAAGAATTGGTCACAAACATAAGGAGCTCTGCCGAGGGGACGACGTCGAAAGTTGGTTCTACATGGCATGTGAGCTTGTGAAAGGGAAGTTGCCTTGGCAGCGTGTCGATGTAAGTTTATTCATTTTTTGGTGGTTTGTTGGCTAATTAAATGTTTAATTTTTTTAGGAAGAAGCTAAAATACGTGACATGAAGATCGAAGCCTTAAGACCTGGGAAGGTGGACGTCAAAGGAAAGGGGCCGACTTCTGAGGCAGCAGCGGGGACGAAGACCAAATCGGAGGCGAAACCCAAGGTGGAATCAAAGCCCAAGATCGAGACTAAGACCAAGACTGAGGCAAAGCCCAAATCGGAAGCGAAGCCTAAGACGGAGACTAAGACCAAAACAGAGGCCAACCCCAAATCGGAGCCGAAGACTAAAGTGGAGCCGAAGGCGAAAGCAGAGGAGGGAAAGGAAGGAAGTGCAAAGAAAGCTGAGAGGGAGCCGAAGGATCCACGTCGCCTGCTGCTTGGTGGATGTCCTAAACAGTTCGCCAACATTCTTGAACTCGTCGCGCCACTCCGCTATTATGATGACCCGCCGTACGATGATATTGCCGAACTCATAGCTGCAGCAATAAAGAAGATGAAAGTGCAGGTTTGTTGAGAAATAAATGTTTTTTAATCTTTTAAATTTCTTGTATTTTTTCAGACATATCCACTAGATTGGCAAGAAGGAGGGAACAAAGCCTAGAAAGATGCTTGATGTACGGAAGATATTAGCATAAAGAATTGTGATATAATGTTCTCTGATGTATTGAATTGTTTTCCTTCACAATGTTGTAAATATATATTGTTTTTTCTGTAGATTTGTAAAATAAATTTGCCTTGTGTTTTTGAGTTTTTTGATATAAATTATTTTAGGTTAGTTGTGTAAATAAAATTGATTAGATAAGCTAGGGATAGTTTTGTCCTCAAGTATTGAATTGTTTTCTTTCACAAACTTTTTGGTTGGCTCGTTGGTTACAGGAAGTGCCAAAGTGATAACACAGAAAAGATCCCAGATTCTATTTTTCAGACCCAAGAGGTGTATCCGAACCGATTAATTTATAAATATTTGCCAAGATATCTCTCACAATTTATAACTCAAGTTGGCAAGCACTTTAATTTTAAATCTTACCACTTTTTCCGCCTTGAGGATACCACGGAGAGGACGTTGAAAGTGAATTAACATAACTACAAATAAAAATATTATAAAATAATTATTTTAAAAATAAACTCTTTTTCGCTGCTGGAAAGAAAATTTGAACGAAATTTAGAAAAATCATTAGCAAAATAAATCTTAAAAAATTTAAAAAATGTATTATCTACTCTTATATAAAAAATACCTTTACATTACATTGCATTTTTTGATCAGAGATTGGGACTTCTATAAAATCTTTTTGGGAAGATGCTTTAAAAAGAAAAATTTTTTTTTGAAAAAAAAGGAAAAAAATTTACAATTAATAATTGTTAAATATTCATCAGAAAGTAAAGAAATAGCTATAATTGCACCAATATCAGGCATTGGAGTACCTTTTCCATCCAAAACTTCCCTAATTTTCGGACTAATATTTTGTAAATTATCCATTTCATTCTCAATTTTTGAAGAAAATAATTGGCTAAAATAAACATTCAATGGATAAATTGGTGAAGTTCTAAAGCAGCTAACAAGATTTCCAAAAGCAAAGAAGTGACTGTGTGAATGAAAAGTACAATGAAGACATTGATGTAAATCAACAGAAGAAGAAAATGGAGAAATCTAGTTTTTTTAATTGAAGAAAATTTTTTTTCAAAGAAAATTTACCCAATGTTTGCCATTCGCTAAATAATCAACAAATTTGGCAAAACTTAAATGAAAAATTGTATTTGGCATTGGTATAATAGAAGAATTTGCAGAACAACTGAAAATTTAAAGATTATTATTACATAAGTCCCTCGAAATGCCTCTAATTAACTAATCATTGGTAAAGTATTAAAATTATTCCAAAAGAGATTCTTAGTCAAGAAATGTCGAAATAAACAAATTTCCCAATTATGTATGTCTCCCAAAAAATTTTATTCGTAGAGGTAGATTTAAGGAGATAATTACTTTCCCCATCTTGCCCCCCCTCCCCCCAAAAAAATCCTGGCTACGGGTCTGATAATCACCAAAAATCACCACCTACCTATTACAACGTAACCAACAAATAATTTGTTTACAGTTATTATTCGGTATTGTTGAAGGTAAATCTTCTAATGAAAAATTACTTTCACTCAATTCTCCTTCATTTGCCCCATTACAAAGATTTGCCCCACTTCCAAAAGGATTGGGAATTACTGGAGCAATTAATGCTGCAGCAGTACTTCGACTAACAGATACATTTCTTGTAGTTATTTCTAGTCGAGTATTTCGATGAACTATTCTTCTTAAATGTTCAAACATTAGACGATCACAGCTTTTACAACGATAATCAGCATCGAAGCAATAACTTTAAAAATAGAAAAAAATTAAAATATTAAAAAAGTTAAAAAAGTTAGAAGACCCTTATCAGTTAGTAAAAACCCCCCAATCTTGAGTCGATTGACCACTTTAGATTTTTTGTTTCCCAAGTTCTAATTTTCTAATAATTTTTGATTTTTTAATCATTAAGGAAGGATAAAAGGTATTATATATTTTACTCAAAATTTGATATTTATTAACCAAATTTCCCAAAATATATTTCCTTACTTGAGCAAAAATTTTCCCAAACTTGTGTCATTTTCACGGTCATAAAATGTTTTGTTTAAAACATAAGGTCCCATACAGAATTCTTGAGTATTTTTTGATTTTTTGGAGTTTGCACAAAAAAGAAAAGCTAATCCTTGATGACTATAAGGACTAAGTAAATTAGTTTCTGATCTGACACGAATTTCTTCTTCTTCCATTTCAAAAAGTAAAGAAGCTGATTTTGATTCCCTTTAAAAATTAATTTTAATTAAAAAAACTTTTTTCTTTTTTCTTACCTTTCCTCTTTAACCTCAAAATTCTTTTCAGCTCTCCTTCTAAAATGTAAAGCTGAACCAAGTCTAAAACTTTTTACGGCTCTTTGATTTAATAATTCCCAAGGTTTTTGTGTTGTTTTAGATTGAAAGAATGAATGTGAAAATTTTGTAAAATTTTCTTCTTTTAATTTTTTCTCTTTAATTCTTAAATTTTCAATTATTTGATTATATTCTTTTTGCATTTCTTTTAATTTAATAAAATATTCAGGCAAAAATTGTTTATTTAATAAATTAATATTTGTTGTTTTTAATTGATTTAATATTGAAGGAGGAGGAAAGTGTATAGCTGGTGAATTTGTTAATTCAATTTGGGAAAAGTAATCAAGAAAATTTTCTTTTTCAGAAGATTCTAAAAAATATTTTTCATATTTTAATTAATATTTTTGGGAATTTTTCAATTTTAAGTAAAATAATGTAAGACGGAAATATGTCTCGGAGCTTTATTTTGGTGTTTAATATATGTAAATTGTTTGTTATTTGTACATGTCCGGTGCAGGAGATCAACAGGGGCCTGATCAACCCTTAAGTTTATCCTATTCCCTCCATTATTCTGGGGTTTGGGTCCACCGCATTGGAAACAACTTAATCGGGGGTCTCACCTCTATTACAATAAAGGTTTTCATTTCTTAAATATTAAAAAATACCTTCTTTTTCATCCAAATTTTTTAAAGTACTTCTTTGATTTAATTCACAAATATGACAATGAAAAGAACTTGCAGCTTCCTTATCATTACTCATTTCTTTAGGTAAACTATTAAATAAAGAAAGAAAAGCAATTTCCAACTTTGAAGAATATCTTTAATTAAAATTTTAAAAATTGAAAAAAAATTTAAAAAAACCTTGAAAGAACTAAAAATCGTAAAATTCTTTTAGCAGCTTTCAATTCATACAAATCCTTACTTTTTAATAAAATTGTTATTCCAAATTTATTTCCTTCTCCTCCCTCAGAATCTTCTAATAAAACAAAATGTTTTCGGTCAAATGTGCAAGTATTAAATTCTAATTGACGAAATTTACTAACAATACCAACTCTAGGTTGTAATAGTTGGGCATCTATTGAATTTAAAATACTTGTTGAAGTTGCACGAGATATTCTATTTAATACTGATCTCTAAAATAAAATTTTTAGTGAACGACTAATAATAAAATATTTTTTGACAGAAAAAGCCAGAATTTCGCAGACGAAAAATTTTTATTAGTTGATAACTACCCCCTCTAACAATAAACATTATTCCTTTTTTCAGATGTTAGGGGTATAACCTCATAGACCTCTTAAATGCCTAATTGTCATTCGTAATAGCTCGATAAAATTAAAGCAATATATGACCTTTCAGTATAATTTATAAGCAAAAGGGGTCGGATTCATAAAAGTTTAAGCAATGTAAGAAAATTTAAATTTTATTTTTTAGGTGGAAAGATTTGTTATGGAATTTTAATATTTAATTTTAAAAAAAAATTAACAACCTTAACATTTGCCAATACAGAAATTCCTTTTTTCGTTAATAAATCTAAAACAGCCACAGGAATAGCATTTTCAGTAATTAACATATTAACATCTACAGACATTATTCTATCACATTGAAGATGAAGAAATTTTTCTTCTTGTTGCATTAATGATTCTATTGAAGAAAATTTTTCTAAAACCTAAAAAATAATAAAAAAAATTTCCAAATAAAATTAAATTTACCCGTTCATAAGAAATCATTCCATTTAATAAAATTAAAGAAATTTTTTCCATTGAAGTAGGCATTGATGTATGGGCAAGACTTTTAGTGAAAGCAATTCCATCAATTATCTTAAAATAACTTTGAAAATTTTCTTAAATTAAAAGGAAAATTTAAAAAAAAACCTCATAGTCCGGATTTGTGTCAATATGTAATTTTTTGATATGCTAGAAAAATAATTTTATACCGATTTAAAATTTAATAAAAAAACTAACCAAAAATTCCAAAGGAAAATTGTTTGAAGCATTATTGAGCGCTACAGGGAAAATTTTATCAGCTACTAATTTACTCAATTTCCATAACAAATCTTTCCACCTAAAAATTGAATTTAAAAATTTTTTTAATTAAAAAACATCAAATGTCCAAGTTGTTCTCTAATAAGGAGGGTATCCAAAAGTTTATTTAATTTATTATCAAACATTTCAATCAAATGTCGTTCAGTTTGAGTATCTACATTTTTAATAGAATTTGAAGGAGAACAAGGCAATTCAGAATTTAATTGCTAAAAAATAAAAATAATTTTTTAATTTAAAATAAACCTTATTATTTGAATTTAAATGTTTTTCATCTTCTACAAAATCATTCGAAGTAGAAGGATGTAAAAATCCATTTGGAGAAGTCTTCAATTTTGATTGTTGTAAAGTAAATATTCGATCACTGGAACCATCAATTGAATCGTGAATTGATGGAGGAAATAGCTTTACTTAATTGGAAAAATATTAAAAATAAAATTAAAGGTAATTAAGGTTAATTTAAAATTAAAATACTAAAAAGAGAAGTCAAAATTAATATTTAACAAAAAAATAAAAATGAACTCATAATTATTTTCTTACATTTTCCACGTGTCCCACCACCATTTTTTGTATCTATTTGATTTGCACAAAAATTACAAAGCCTTACAATACCCTAAAACAACAATAAAATTTACAATTAAAAATCAAAAAACATACATAACAAACAAAATCAATTCCATTTAATTGATGACTTGTACAATTTTTACAAAATATTTGGCCACAAAGGCGGCAGTGGTGCTTCCTTCGGAATGTATTGAATTTTTCACGACACTCATAACATTCATTTCCTGCAGAGTCTGGCATCCTTTACAAAAATTATTTTTAAATATTTAATTTAAAAACTAACCAATATCTTCTCAATTCATTTTTTCTTGAATTAAAAAAATTTGATGGAGCGTTGCTAGTTGAAGGCTGTTGTTCATTAAAAGTTTCCTCAACAGAATCCTCAAAAACTACATCCTTCTCCTCAGATTTTGTAATGCAAACACTCTCAGAAAATACTAAAAAATATTTTTAAATTAAATTTTAATCAAAATTAAACCAGTTTCTGTTGTAGACGAAGATTTTGATGGTCGAAAAAAATTTGATAAAATACCCAAAAATCCTCCATTTTGCTCATAATTATTCTCCTGATTGTTATTTGTATCAATAAATGCGGGAAAATAAAAAATACTGTTAGAATTAGATTTTGTTGGTGATGAACTCATTAATTCTCGTTCTTTAATCAGAAATTTTCTATTAAAAAAATAAGAAATATTTGTTTATAAAATAAAAATATTTTTTTGTAAAGAAACAAAACTAAAAAATATTTATTCAAAAAAATCAAAGACAATTTTATACTTATAGTGAAAGAAAATAATGATAAAAAAGATAAGAGTGCAAAAAGTGGCCGTTCGAAAGGGTGAATTTTTATTTACGAAAAACAAGAAAGTTAGAAAATAAAAATGATAACACAGTGAAAGATAAAAAGAAATTTTAAAAAATTTTAAAAATTTTTTTAAATTTAGGCTTAAAACCTTCTTTCTAATTTCTATCAAAATTTAAAAACTTATAAATTTCTCTGTTGGTCACTTTTTCACGCAGCATGTTTACAATGTTTTTCCCGTTTAAATCAATTAAAAATATATCCCTTCTAAAAAAAGTATGGATAAATTTATCGAAAGTAGAAAAACTGGATTTAAAAATAAAATTAAAAGAGAAAATATAAAATTAAAAGCAGACCGCAAAATCTACTACCAAAACTGGAGTAAATCTGAAAGAGAAACTCTCGTTTTTCTTCTCTTTAAAAAATATATTTTTTCGCCGCGCAGAGTTTGTGTTACAAGTTGCACAACTGTAAAAATAAATGTAGCAAAAAAAGCTTCCAGCTTTTATTTATTTTTAATACTAAACATATCTTCTTCTTCTTCTTCACACATCCCCCCAAAAACATTTATTCACTCCAAAAATATTTTCTACCAAAAAAAACTAAAAAAATGAAAAAATATTTCTACTATAATTCTTGCCAATCTTTAGTTTTATTAATTGCTTTTTCAATAGAAACTCTTCAACAAGAGGCTGCTGTTATATCTGATCATATCAAAAAGGCTGCAGAAGGTCCCATAATTTTGAAAAAAAATTAAAAAATGATTTTCCCATCATTTAAAAACAAAAATTCAGTCTATGATTTCGCTACACAGATTATGAATTTGGGTGGAAGTATTATTGGAGAAAAAGAATTTCCTACAAATAATGGATACGGCGGATATGGAAGAGCACTTAAAATGAAAGGTTTTGAATTTTTTAAGAGAAAAATTTAAAAACTAAAAAAAAATAAAGAAAATAGTCTAAATCAACGCTTTGGAGCAACACCAATGGGTCTACCTTATAGCGAATATGGGGGAGGTAAAAATAATAACCAATGTTTTGGTATAAATACTCTTTAAAGGCCCATTAGGTGCAGCACGTTCAAGGTTTTTAATATTAAAAATAAAAATTAGAATCACCCCAAAAATAAATATAAAATCTTAAAAATATTCAAAAAAACTTAATAGATCTCAACCAAAATCATTAGTTGAATCAATGATGGAAACTTTTCTTGGTTCGAAAATGAAAAAATTAAAAAAGAATTTCTCTCTTTATATTTTAAAGGCTCTTCAACTTCTCAAGATAGAAGCTCCCCATACGACCCCTATGATCTTGGTTATGGTTCTAGTTTGTATTCAAATGGATATGGAAATAATGTAAAAAGAGAGGGACCAAATTCAAATATTGAAGGGATATTAAAAGCTTTGGTTAGAAGTGGAGCCAAAAAAGCTGAAGTTGCTGAACCTGACGAGACAACCTCATTTCTTAGCCAATTTTTTGGAAAATAAAAATAATTTATTATTTTCAATTTATTTTCTCTTAAATAAATTTTTAAAGACCGGAAAATAATTGCCAGAAATAGAGTAAAAACAAGCCAGTAACAAAATAAAAATATTTACTAACTTTTCAACGTTAGCATTAAACATATTCTCGAAACCGAGAGAAAAATATATTTATTTAATTTTAAAAGCTTATCTATATATTTACTTGTCTTCTTAATCAGTCTGAGCACTTTCATACCGCTCCTCAATATTCTTCCAATCGGCAATCTTCCAAATAGCATTTACATAATCAGCACGCACATTTTTGTATTGCAAATAGTAGGCGTGCTCCCAAACGTCAATTCCAAAGAGAGGCACAAGTCCTTAAATTAAATTTATTTTTAAAACACCACTTCATTTAATTTAAAAGAAAACCTGTGGTAGGCTCCAACGGATCTTGGTTCTGACAACAAGCAACTTCCAAGCGTTTGTCAATTTTGTTGTAGCCAAGCCATCCCCAACCAGATCCTTGAACAGCTATTGCAATCGCATTTAAACGGGCTTGCAATCCTTGGAGAGAACCAAAGTCACGATTAATAGCTTGCAGAAGTTTGCCAGATGGTTCACCTCCGTCTTTACAAAGATTTGTCCAGAAAATACTATGATTGATGTGCCCGCCACCATTAAATTTTAGAGCAGATTGCAATTGAATAGCCGAACGAATATCTCCTAAAAATAAACTGTAAAATTAAAAAAAATAAAATAAACCTTTGGCAAAAGCCTCTTGTATTTTTTCTTCAGTCATATTTAAATTGTTTACATAAGTTGCTAAAAATATAAAATAAAGATTAAAATCAATAGACAAACCATGATGTTTTTGATGATGAATCTTCATAATTTCAGCAGAAATTACTGGCTCAAGAGCATTATAGTCATAGGGAAGATCAGGCAAAGCATGTTTAAATCGTTTTGATAAATGAAACTGTCGAACTCTAAAAAACAAAATTTATTAGTGAAAAAATAAATAAATAAAATACCCATAAGAAAGTTTGTCCAAATTTTTGTAGAACATTATTTAAAAAAAGAATTCTAAAAAGGAAAAAAATAATTAAATAATTTTCTCTAAACTTTTACACCATTGAGGTGTAAATAAATAAACATTGAAAAAAAGTGATATTTTCTAATGACCTTTCATCCTTCTTGTTTACAATTTGTTTTTTTCAACAATAAGTAAAAGAACTTCACCCAAAATTTTGAGAAAACATCAAAAATCAAAAAAATTAGAAAAAAATCATTAACAATCCGAACTTATATTTTTCGAAATTTCTCAAAATAAATATTACAAATTGTTAAATTTTAAAATGTTAAATTAGTTGAAATGTTCATAAACTCTAAAATTATAAATCAATTAATTTTGGGTAGGGGACACTTGTGTACCGGCCGTTTGTGTACCTGGCCATATTTTAGGCCATAACTTTTTGGATTTTCACCCAAGTCGGATAAATCTTTTATCAATCGAAAGCCCTGGATGTGAGGATTATTTTTGCCAACAGAGTTATTTGATCAGATCAACAAACAAAAAGTTACAGCCAGATAAAGATCAAAATCACGATTGCACGCATTTATCTGGCTGTAACTTTTTGTATAATGATCTGATCAAATAATTCCTATTGGCAAAAATAATCCTCACATCCAGGGCTTTCGATTGACATATAAATTATTTAAATCAATTAAGAATAGAAAAAGTTATGGCCCAAAACATGGCCAGGTACACAAACGGCCGGTACACAAGTGGGACGTTCCGATTAATTTTAATTTTCTGATTCCTAGGTTAAACTTTTTTTTTCATTAAAGCAGGTTTATTTTTTTTTTCAATAAAAATGGAGAAAACTCCCAATAATTCAAATTCTTCTAATATTAATTCACAACAAAATAAGCCTAATTTGTGTAATAAATACAAAAGATATGAGCAATCAATGATGGTGCAGGCTACAGCACTTATTATCGATAATATTGGGGTTTGTTTATGATTTAAATTATTTATTGAAAGCTTTGAAAATTAGATGATATTTTGTTTATTCATAAATTTTACATGTTTAAGTTTTCAACGGCCAATGGTTCCGTGATGAATATACTTTCTTGGTTGCTTAGAACGTACTTTGAGAAATTATGCAGAGATTCTGGTTCTTTGGCTGAATTTGGTTATCTTTAATTGTAAATAAATATTTCACTTTTTTTCAGCTGGTCGAGATTTTGTAACTCTTGATGATGTTTCCAGAATGTTTAATCGTCATTCGATAGATTGTATGTTATTCAAAGTGTATTTATTTTTAATAATTTTTTAAGTGCGGGATCTTCATGATTATCTTCAACAAGTAGGCAGTTTTCATCTTCCTGAGCAGCCTCCTTTATTTCCTTTGCCGCTGTCTTCCTATAAAGCAATAGTTGAGAAGCAGGAATTAGATCAGAAGGAAGAAGAGGTTACAGATAAAGCTGATATAAACGAGAAAATACATGTAAATGATGATGATAATGAACAACAAGATGATGTCAAACAGGATCACAGGTAAATATTTTTACTTTTTTAAACATTTAAATTTTTCTTTAGAGGTACTCAACGATTTGCTCAGAAAGCCTTCCCTAACTTTTTTGGAGCTTATGCTCCTGATCTTGGCATCACTGTTAAGAAATTTATTCCACCATTGGTAGAGATTAGTTTAGAGGCAGATTTTTCCAGAAATCCTCAAGTAGCAAACACTTCATTTACGATTGTACGACAAGACTTTTTCTCTGTTCCTTGTTTAAGTCTGAAAGGTGTCCCTGAATCTGAACGTCATAAAGAGAAAAAAAGGCGAAAAAAAGAAAAGCGTGAGCAACAGCAACTCGAAGAGGAAAAACAAAAAATCGAAGAAGAGAAGAGATTACAATTGGAAAGAGAAAAAATACTGGAAGCTGAAAGGATTCAAGCTGAAGGTTTTTTTTAAATTATTCAATTTAAATTTTGTTTTGTAGAAGCAAAGTCAGCTGAACAGCAGTTAAAAGTTCCAAAAATAAAAATACGTTTTGGTCCAGGCCTTTCCACTACTACTTCACAAACTACTCCATTATCCGAGCCACAACAAACACAACAACGTCAAATGTTGATCTCTCCACCTCTTGTAACTTCAATTGATAAACCAAAATTAAATGCTCCTCAACCCTTAACAAAAATTGATAAACAAGTACATCCTTCAACATCGAAAATTCCTACATCTGATGCCTCAATAACCAAAAAATCCTCGCCACCTGTTGAAGAAATAATTTTTGTCGAAGAAAAACAACAATCTACTCCCGTTGCAAAAACACCACCAGGCCTTGAGGAAATTAAAAAAGGAGCTAAAAAGCGAAAGAAATCGCCAAAAAGAGCTGTTCCTGTAGTAATGGAGCCAGTCGAAGAGTTGTTTATTACATCACCAATACAAGTCCAGACATCTACAAAGGATGCGACGCCAAAAAAGGAAGAAGGTTGGCATTTATGATTCTAAAATAAATCTATTATTTTTTAAGCCGTCAAATTGCCAGATACTGAAAAGAACAAAAGAAAAAGAAAATCACCAAAACGAACATCGCCGTCACCTCCTCGAAAGACTATTCGGGCTTCTACCCCAGCAAAAAAGGAGGGAGGCTGGTTTCATTTTAAATTATAAAAACATTTTTTGATATTAATTTAAAATATTTTAGTTGACAAAAACACTTCAAAAATCGCTCCTTTACAAAGTGTTGAGAAAAAAGTCCCGAACCCGGTGCCACCTAAATTGCCGACTGAAATACTTACAAAATCAGTGCCTTCTGTAAATTCATCAAGTTCAGATGATTCTAAAATCTCGATTAACTCAAAGGTAGAGGTTCATTTAAACAACGTTTAATTTTTTAATTTAATTTTCCAGGAACCCCCAGCAACTTCAAAACGGAGCAGAAAAAGTGAAAAACCAACAAGAGTTGTTCCTTTAATCGTATCAGATAAATCAACTTCAGAAGCAGCTCCTTCACCAGCGCCTTCACCTATTCCTTCAAAAGCGTTGGAAACTGTTTTGGAACCTTCCAAAAAGAAGGAGAAACCTTTAGGTTATTAAATTAATTTTAAAATTTTTATTTAATTTTTAGAATCAAACAAAAAATTGCCTAAAATATCTGATACACCTTCGAATACTCCACAAACATCTGTGAAGAAACCACCAATGAAATTATCAAAATTACTTAAACCTTCTACTACTTCAACACCTAAAAATGAGGACGTAAAAACAACGAAAAGTGGATCAACAACCAAATCAAAAACAAACGAAAAAATAATTTCAACACAAAATAAATCAAAATCTAATAATAAAACACCGAAAACTTCTGTTATTAAGACGGTTGAAAAAGCAACAAAAGAAGTGATAAAGAAGGAATCGAAAATTGAAGAAGTAAAAGAAGTTGTTCAGCCATCTCCAACTGTAATTAATTTAGAGGAGGATCAAGAAGAAGATGTTTGGATATGTCCAGTTTGTTCTGTTGCTTATGTAGAAAATGGTCCTGATATGGTAAATTAATTGAAAGATAGTCCAATCTTTTCCCTTGGTATCATAAATCCTCATGTTTGAAGGGAAATTCTCAAGATGTAGGGTAAGAGGGAATTTTTTGAGCATCCACGGCTACGCTTAAACACTATCTCCGTTTATTTATCTTAATTAAAAATGTTTTGCAGGTTGCTTGTGACACTTGTGATAGATGGTTTCATTGGTAATTATTTAAATATCTACATACTAATTATGTTCAAATCATTTCATTTTTAGGAGCTGTGTGGGAATTTTAATTCCTCCGCCAGATAATGCTTCTTGGTATTGTAGTGAATGCAAAAAGAAAAATAAGAAAATTTCGGGTACAAATAGTGGTGGAAATACTAGTCGAAAGTCTTCGATTGGAGGGGGAACTTCAAATAAGAAGCGTTTAAAATAAATAAAAGATTTTAACGATTTTGTGCCTTGTTTTCAAAAATCATTTTTTGCTTGTTTTAATAAATTATTTTATTGAGGTTTTATTTATTTTTTAAAATGAATTATTCCAGTTAATTATTGATATTTCTGTTTTACTCAATAATTTGTACATTAGAGCATTAAATGAATATACTATTAAATAGGCAGGCCTTTATTTTTATGTTTTGTTTGTTCTTTGCTTTATGTAAAGCAAAGACAATGCTTGCAATAAAAAAACTAGATATTGAAAATTTTTAATAAATTATACTTTAAAAAGTTTGCACGCGCTTACATGTTTATATAAAATGTTTAAAGATTTTTATCATTAATTAACAGACATTTTACTATTTTTTCATTCTAAACTTTAGTAATTTTTGATTGATTATTTGCAAAAGACAGCCTGTCTTTCTATACGATTTGCGCAATCATTCTCTTACTACGGGTCAATTAAACAGACCAGACTTATTTGGAGATCTTTGTTTTTCTTGAAGATCTTTGTTTTCTTTGAAGATCTTTGTTTTTACTTTGTTTTGGTAATTTTTATTGTTTATTAATGTCTAAAAATTAATGTTTCATTTTTCCAACTTTTAGCATTGAGATGATGAATAATAACCACGCACATATGAATGGGAATAGTACTGCTCATGTGAAGGTTCGACCTGCCTCGCATGCTGGATCATGGTTTTTTAATTTAAATTTTTATAAAAATTTAATTTAGGTATTCCGATGCTCCAGGGGAGCTCGATCAACAATTGAGTGGCTGGTTAAGGGATGCAGGTTCAAATGTTGGCTCGGCTAGAGCAATAATCTCACCGTATTGTTTTATAAATATTTTTAATATTTTATTGGGTTGAGGTGATTCTATAACTTTTTTTTGTCTTTGTAATTCCGAACTTGTATAAAATAGTTGAGGGATCTAAATTTATATTCAGAAAGGGGCTTAACTCTTCTAATAAAACAAAGATTTTTTGTTTGCAGGCATGCTGGATATACTTACTGTGGAGAGACAGCTGGTAACCTTTTATATTAACCTTTGTAAAATCAAATATTTGTGTGTAATTTTAGCTTTTGCCTTCAAACAAATTATACCTGACAAAATGTTTTTTTTCTTAAAATTTTATTTTTAAAATTTTTTCTAGAAAAAGAATTTTTGTTCTTGGTCCTTCTCATGTTGTGGTTTGTTTTCTTTTTTTTCTACCAAATTTTGTTTATTTAGTATCTTTCTGGATGTGCTCTAACTACTTGTATGTTTTTTGTCTCTATCGAGTTATTTAAACTTTTTTAGTTTCAAAATATGCCACTCCACTTGGTGATCTCAACGTCGATTCTTTTGGTCAGGATTACTTTACATTTTTTGAAAAAATTTTCGGAAACTAAAATTTTAAATATTCTTTTTGCTTCAAAATTCTTTTTTCTTATTGCCTAAAAATTCGAGACACTCGCAGTCAGTGAACAACTTATCAACTCTCACGGTTCTGATGCATTTGAATGGATGTCGACGAGAAATGAGGAAGCTGAACATAGTTTGGAAATGCAAATGCCTTTTATTGCTAAAATTATGGAAAGGTGGTGAATTGTTCTTAATTATTGTTTAAAATATTTTAAAAGTCAATCGTTAAGAATACTTTGACTGGGACATTAAATGTCCTAGCTGTGGAATTCTTAATTTATTTAAGTTTTTCCCCATTTCTTTTCTTAACGATTGACTTTTTTAATCTTATTTAGCTGTCTATAGCTAAAATTCAAATATAATTAAGCCGCCCCCTTGGAAGCTTCAAAATTGTGCCAATACTTGTAGGCTCATTAAGTACTACACGCCAACAATTTTATGGACGTATTTTTGCCAATTATCTTGCCGATCCAACAAATTTATTTGTTATTTCTTCTGATTTTTGTCATTGGGGTTAATTTATATTTAAATTTATAAATTAATTTATATTATTTTTAGGTCAACGTTTTCGTTATACCCCAACGGAATCAGCAGGTGCTCGACCAATTTACGAACAAATTACAACACTTGATAAACAGGTTTTTTTTGAAATGTTTTGGAAATTTTTGAAATAAATTTTAAGGGAATGGATGCAATATCAACTTTGGACCCTTCAATGTTTAATGAATACCTCAAAAAAACTCAAAATACAATTTGCGGTCGAAATCCAATTTGTGTTTTGTTACAGGTTTTTTCTATTTAAAATATTCTTTAAACATTTTTAGGCCTTTAATCATTATCAACAAACAAATAATGTGACAGCAGAACTTCGATTTTTGAAATATGCTCAATCAAATAAGGTTAAAAACCGTTTTTTTAAATTTAAAATAAATTCAACAAGTAATTTATAAAATTATTAAAACTTTTCTTGATTTAAAATTAAATATTTTTTGTTATAACCCTTTTCGATCAAATAGAGTTATCGAACAATTTTTCTGAAATCCTTGGGCATATTTCCAATATCAAAAAATTTCTTTTCGTATTTTACTTTGCCTATCCAAATTCTTTTTCCACTTTTAAATTAAAATAAACTATTACTTTTCATACAAAAAACAGAATTTTCTCTAATTTTTTTAAAAATATTTTTAAAGGTTCGCTCATTAACTGATTCATCAGTTTCATATGCCGCAGGTGCCCTTTTCATTAATCCGCGCAATTGAGCCTTTTTTGTCATCGTTTGCTTGGCTCATTCAATAAAGAAAAGAATATCATTGAATAAAAATAAATAAATTATTTTTAATTAAATACAAAAAAAACACATCAAAATGAAATCCTTTCAAAAACAGCCAAAAACCCCTACAAAAATAAATTGCCTAAAAATTAAAAAGAATATTTTGAGGGAATTCTTTTATATTTTTTTAAAATTTTGGCGCGATCTTTCATTATTATATTTGTTTTTTTTCTAAATTAAAAACCATTCATCCCTTCACAACCAATCAATTTTAAATAAATTTTGTTGTTAAGATTACCCCAATTGCTTAATGTCTCTTTTATTGTTTTTTGTTCTGAAACTTAAATAAATATTTGTATTTAAAATTTTGTAAGTTTTTTTGTTGATAAGCTTATGTTCTTCAAAAAATAAGTATATGGTGTGTTAAGAAATTATAAAACCCCAGTTTTTTCTGGTTCTTTAGGTTCTTGTTTTCCAATAGACCTGAAATCTTTATATATACAACCAGAACCTAGGTAAATTGAATTAGTCTCTAAACGATCCAGAAAATTTACAAAAAGGAAAGAGGAAAGTTAGGGAGGGAGTTCTCAAAAAATGAAAGCATCCATTCACAAAAACACCTAAGAATGATCAATTCTTAATTACTATCTCATTTCAAAGAATTCAAAAAACAATCTTCAAAAACAATTTTATTTACAACAAATACATACATAACAATACAATATTATTGGTACATTATATAGGGAAGAAATATCACAATTTACGATTATCTATTTTGGGTGGTCCTATTCACATCAGCATCTATTCTTCACATCAAGAGATTACTGTGTGTTCTTATCCATCATCTTTATCCATCGTCCCGCAGCCATACTCATGCAGCAGCCATAGGAACGTCGACCTTGAACTCGCCAGAAGATCCAGGAGGGAAGATGGCCTTGGCGTCCCCAGCATCTGGAGGAGCCCCAGCGAAGCAGATCTCGAGCTTGTCATCACCTTTTGGAGGGCCGTTCTGGCGGATCACTTCGACTTGGGCAGCAGCGCCGGGCTCCACGAATCCGAAGACGGGGTTGACTCGGTAGTGCTCGTTATTGCTGGACTTGAGCTTGAAGGCGAAGCGGACCTTAAATAATAAAAAATTTGATTAGAGGAATGATTTGAAAGTAAGAAAAGAAAGGACGATTTTAAAATTAAATAAGTACCTCAGGGTTGCCGTTCATCAGCTGAAGCGAGACGTTGCCTCCCGAAGCAGGGACCTGGATAGCAGCTGGCTCGACTTGGACCGCCATTGTTGTTGTTGTTGTGAAGATTGGTTGTTGATTGTTTGAAGAGTTGTTGTTGTAGAGAGTTGATGATCGATGATGATGAAAAAGCTTTTATATCATGATCTCCATGAAGGAATTAAACACACCCAGCCAACTATAAAAGTCCACTGATTTCGTTCAAACGCAACACTTCACAAACGACAACTCTTCAAACAATCAACAACCAATCTTCACAACAACAATGGCGGTCCAAGTCGAGCCAGCTGCTATCCAGGTCCCTGCTTCGGGAGGCAACGTCTCGCTTCAGCTGATGAACGGCAACCCTGAGGTACTTATTTAATTTTAAAATCGTCCTTTCTTTTCTTACTTTCAAATCATTCCTCTAATCAAATTTTTTATTATTTAAGGTCCGCTTCGCCTTCAAGCTCAAGTCCAGCAATAACGAGCACTACCGAGTCAACCCCGTCTTCGGATTCGTGGAGCCCGGCGCTGCTGCCCAAGTCGAAGTGATCCGCCAGAACGGCCCTCCAAAAGGTGATGACAAGCTCGAGATCTGCTTCGCTGGGGCTCCTCCAGATGCTGGGGACGCCAAGGCCATCTTCCCTCCTGGATCTTCTGGCGAGTTCAAGGTCGACGTTCCTATGGCTGCTGCATGAGTATGGCTGCGGGACGATGGATAAAGATGATGGATAAGAACACACAGTAATCTCTTGATGTGAAGAATAGATGCTGATGTGAATAGGACCACCCAAAATAGATAATCGTAAATTGTGATATTTCTTCCCTATATAATGTACCAATAATATTGTATTGTTATGTATGTATTTGTTGTAAATAAAATTGTTTTTGAAGATTGTTTTTTGAATTCTTTGAAATGAGATAGTAATTAAGAATTGATCATTCTTAGGTGTTTTTGTGAATGGATGCTTTCATTTTTTGAGAACTCCCTCCCTAACTTTCAACAACTGTTCTTCCTTTTAAAAACTTTTCATTTTACAAACTTCACATTTAAAATTAAAGATTAAAATTTTCCATCAATTTTTGTTTTTTTAATTGAAAATATAAAAGAACGAGAGAAATTGAAGGACAAAAATATCTGATTCACCCAACAGCTCCAAATAAATCTGGCGTCAAATTCAAATTTTAACTAACCCGACCCGACTTTTTTCTCAACCCGGTCCATCCCTGGTTTGAATATTCTTTTATTTCAAAAAATTTCGATTTTCTACTTTGGATTTTCGAAGTTTTCTTTTGTTCCGACGCAGCTCTGGTCCGAACATGAAGAACAGCTATGAAACCCAATCCCAAATTAAAACACAGAAAAATTAAAATCTTGATGTTCAGTCCCTAATTGACCGGTCAAATTGAATTTGTCCTGGAATGAATTTGGACGGTGATATTTTATTTATTTTTAGGACAAATATATCCTCAATAAAAGTATACTATGATGATAGAAATTTTATTATTTTTTAACATTTAAATATTTACATTTAAAGTGAATTTATTTAAAATTATTTAATCAGCATCAGGTTGAAGTGCATGCCATGCAGCTACACTTCTCCTAGGTGTTGCTATCTTTTTTAAGAAAAAAAAACAAATTTAAATTTCATATTTATTTATTTAATTACCATATCATGCCAATGTTTTAACCCAACCCCCGAAGCATTATTTCCAATTATTACATGCCCTATTCTCTCATTAGACCCAACTCTATCGTAATCTGAGACACTAGAAAAATTATAAATATTTTAAAATAATCTCAAAAATAATTACATAATATGTAAATGTACCCTTTGCAATTTTTCTGGGCTAACTTCGTAAGAGAAGGATTCGTTATAATCTTTTGAAATTAAAAAGTTTTTAAAAATTATTTTTATTTTACATGGATTTAATGTTTTCATTTTTATTGTTGTTTTTTTCTTTTCAAGTCGCTTATTTTGTGCCATTAAATAAATTTTGACATAAGGATCGGAAAGGCCGAGAACATCCTTAAGAATAAAATTAAATAATAATTTTTTAATTTAAATACACGATTTAAAAAATTAAGGATTATTTAATTATTTGTGAGAGAAATATGACAGTGAGGGGGGGGGGATAAAAATTTTTCAATTATTAAAGTCAAAAAATATAAAGCATAAAAGTGATTTTAATTTTTGTGTTCAGAATTCGAGATCGAAACCCTGAAGCATTTATTTCTATAAATAATCCTTTTTAATTAATTTATTAACCATTTTTTTAAGATTTTTACATTCCATAACAACAACAGTTAATTTATTTTTATTTGGAACATAACGTAATGCAAGACAAACTTCTCCTAATCTATTTTCCTAAAAAAAGAATAATTAATTTATTTTAAATTTATTTAATACAGGAGATGCTTCAATAGCAACAGTTTTCTCAATTGTAGTTGCCAAATCAACTTTACCAAGAGGGACACTAACTTGGCCTATTTGGTCGTGCTTGCCAAAACGGTCAAAATCAAAACTTTAATTTTTTTTAAATTTTTTTCTAAAATACTTACACATTCATTACAAGTGTTTGACTATTTATTTCATTATAAGGTACCTTTTTAAATTAAAAATAATTTTTAAAAAATTATTTTTAGACAAACTTTGAATTGAAAAGATTCATTAAATACCTTTTTTAAAATTAAATTTAAATTAATTTTTTAAATAAGTAAAATTAACTGGATTTAATGATTTCCTTTGAACTTTTGTTTGGAATTTTTTCTTCTTGTCCTGGAAAATTAATTAAATTTTATTTAAATTTAAATTTATGTCAACACAAAAATTTAAGATCCCCAAAAAAATTTTGTGAAATTATTGTCTTTAAAAGAATTAAATTATAAATTTTGAATCAAAAGAAGGGCAAAATAAACTTACAGGAAGTAAATAAAGTTTAACATAAGGATCACTAGTTCCTAAATATTGAAAATTATTTTATTTAAAATTCTTCTTATTATTTACCCCCCAAATCCATTGCAGGTAAATTTTCAGCGCTCAAAACAGTTACATTTAACTTTAAAAATTTAAATTTAATTTAAAATTTACAAATAAAAAAATACAATAGATTTATCAAAATCGTAATCAATTTTGTAGGAAAGCATTCCAAGAAATTTTTTTTCTTTTTCCCCTTCCCCCCTAGCACTTCCTGGAGGTTTTCTTCCACTGCTGGGTAATGGGGATGTCATTTCTTCTAATTGTTCTGAAAATTTAATTTAAATTAAATAAATAAATAATGGAGAGAAATCTTCAATGATTTATATTTAATTATGAATAAATTAAAAATAAAATAATAATTATTTTATTAATTTTAAAAAACATTTTTTGGTATGTTTTAATTAATTTAAAATACAGAAAAAAACTTTTATTTTCCCTTACTTCTACATTTATCAACTAAACTTTTTCCAAGTTGCCCAGTTAATAAAGGAGGGGATTTTTTCTGTTGCTGCTGTTTTGACTCCTCTTCATTTTCTGATTCTGACATTTTTTTGAATAATTAAATTTATTTTAATTTTTAAATAACTCTCAAAATAATTTTTAAAATGAGAGAGAGTCAATAAAATTTACTAGCCAGCAACAGAAAATTAAAATAAAATAAAAATAACAGTTAAATAAATAAAAGATATATTCAAAAAAGAGTATAGCTTTTTTAATTTTTTCCCCTTTGATTTATAAGAGAAGAAAGTTTTTTTAGTTTATTTTTTTGAATACATAATTTTCCTTTATGTAAATACACCCACAGATCACAATGAGAGCAGGCCAATGTACCGCCGAACTATAACTTCGTTCAAAATTGTCGAATCCGGGATGCCCTGGTACGGTTCGATACAGCCCGCCTAGGTGCATCGATCCATACCAGGGCATCCCAAATTCGGCAATTTTTAACAAATTTATAGTTCGACGATACATTTACCTAGCGGTAGGTTCGGGTGTACCCTTCATAATTCTTTCTGGATAAATGGAAGAAAATGTTAAAAAAATTTTTTTTAAATAAATAATAGTTTTTTTTTAACTTATTTTCTTACATTTAATTAATCAAAGTACATATATTAGCAGAGTTAATGACAATAATAAATATGTAAATAAGAAAAAAAGTTTTAAAAAATAGGGAAGTAAAAAATTTAAAAAAAATTGTTAGTTACACACAAAAAAGTTTTTTTTCTCAAGTAATTATGTAAATATTTAAATAAATTTAAAAGTAAATGGATAATAAAATGAAAAAAAAACAAAAGTTTATTTTAATTAATAAATTTACTCTTAAAAATGAAAAACATTTAAATACAAAATTTGAATTTCGATTTTTATAGCAAAGAAAAAAAGACGTGATTAAAATATTTAAATAAAAATTAAAAAGAGGAAAATTAAACAGAAAATACTGAAAAATAAAACCAAATAAATATAATTTTAAAAAATTTTATTTTTAAAGGATCTGGTTTCTATTTATTTTAAGTAAAAAGGTAAACAAAAAAATATTAAATTTAATTTAAAATAATTTTAAAAAAATATTGGTTAAAAAAATATATATAATGCCTAAAAAATTGTAATTAATTTTGTATTTGTAAATTAATTCAAGTGGGAGAAAAAGTAAACTTGAAAGTTTGAACATTTACATAATTCCAAAAATATTTTAAAAAAAGTAAAGAGAATTAAACTTTCCCAAAATTATAAAAAATAATTTAAATTTCCCGCATTTAAAAAAAGAAAATTAATTAAAAAATTAAATTAAAAAACTTTCTCTTTTTTTTGAGGATCTTCTCTTTAATTTTTATAAAAAATTTCTGTGCGCATTGCGAGAAGAGGAGTATTTGGTTGTGGATTGACTTTTTTTTTTCATTTTTTTCTATTCAAGTATTATTCCTCCCCCACACAAATTTTCCTTGCGGCGCTTCCCATTTTTTCATTTTCAACATTTTTTTGAAAATAAAAAAAGGGAAGGGAAGGGAAGGATAGAAATAAGTAAAAAAATAAGTTTAAGTAATTATGTAGAGAAGAATTTTAAAAAAATTCAAAATAAAAACAATTAAAGTAGAAAATAAATAAATATAAAATAAAATAAAGAGCACAAGAAATATTATTAAATTAATTAATTAATTTTAAATAAATTAAAAAAAAAACATTTACTACTAAAAGCCTTCTTCTTTTCCTTTGAATAATTATTTTTAGCCAATTTCAAGTTACTAATAGTTTTAATATTTTTTATTTTTTTTTGTCCCAATGCCGCATCCAACGGCACTCTCTCTATCTATCTCTATTCTTTCAACATTCCCACTCCCTATTTTTTACTTTTATTTTCCCATTCCCTCCCCTCCCTTTCCCTTATTTTCATTATTTTCAGCTTTTCTCATTTTTTTCTCTTATTTTTTTTTCATTTAAAACGAGCCCAACGGCATGGACGGCACTTTTGTTGGCACTTTTTGTTTATTGATTTCCTCAATACAAACACGCTGGAAGGCTTTTTTTGTAGAAATTCGAGAGAAGGAGGACTGAAAGCCAAAAAAAAGAGAAAATAAATGATGAAAAGACATTTTAAAAAAATAAAAATATTTTTGATTAAATTATTTGATTGGATTTGGGAAATACATACATATGTATTCTAAAATAATTAAAATAACAATTTTGAATTTTTAAAGTTAAAATTTTTTCGAAAATCTATTTTTTTAATAAATTTAAAATATTATTTAATTACAAGGTTACCTCCGAGACTTTGTTTACACCTTTGCAGATAATAAAAGCCCTTAAAAGCTTTTACAAAATTGTTAGGTATTTCTAAGCTTTATTTTGCTTAAATTATTGGTTTTGGATATTTTTAAGAATAAATAAGAATATTTTAAAATAAAAATAAATTTTATTTAAATAAATTTTAATTTAAAAAGAAAAATTATTTTTTTAAAGTCTTCACAGTTCTTTTTTAACATTTATTAACTCAATTATTGAAAGTAGAAAGAAGCAATGCTAGGTATTCGTTTTGTGTTCCAAGAATTTCAAAATCTTTGGCTATTATATAAATTAAATTTAAAATATTTAAAATTGAGAAAATAATTAAATTTTATTTAATTCCCTTATTCTCTCTCTCTCTCTCTCTCTCTCTCTCCTAGTTTAAATTTATTTTCCGTCAGTCATTCAACAATTAAAAAATCCATACAATAGTAATTTTGTTGGTGATCATTTTTTTTTAAAATTATTTTACAAAATTAAATAATAATTTAAATAATAAATAAATTCTCTCTTTTTTTTTAATAAAAAAAATAAAAATAATTTAAATTATATATTTAAATAATTTTTAAAATAAACTCCCTTTTTTTGCAACTTTAATTATTTATTTATTTTTTTTGTCAAAAATTGTCAATTTATATTTTTATTTATCAAAAAGTTTTGCAAAATTTAAAAACAGCTGGCATATTTTTATTTATTTTGTTTTTTGTTTGTTTGATTTACTTAATCCAGACAAACATATTTTTAAAAAAAAAGTAAAAAAAAGAAACCTTTCTTTAAATTTCCAAACACCTTATTTATTTAATTAAATGGAAAAAAATATTAAAAAACATATGTATATTTTTTATATTACCAAAATTAATTAAAATTTTAAAAATTATTTTAAACATTTAAAATAAATTAATTATTTTTAAATAAAAATATTTCAATCTCTTAATTTAAAAAATTTCAAAAAATTAATTATTCGAATATCCTCCTTCCTTCATTAAAATATCCAAATCCTTTTTTCTTTAAAATTAGCGGTTTTTGCAACCCGTCATTTGCTTATTTTTGTTTGATCCTCCACACCGCCACAGATTTTTTCTTTATTTTTTCTTTTTTGTTTTTATGAAAAAGAATTGTTTTTTTTTAATTTTATTTAAAATTTAACAAAATTATTTTTAAAAAAATTATTTTTTATTGTAAAGTAGTATTTACTCGATTATAATTAAATTTTAAAAAATTATTAATTAATTTAAAAAATTACTCGATTAATTAAATACTATGTAATTATTTTTTCAATCAAGAGAGGGTAGGGGGGAAGTAATTAATATACAAATTTTTTTCTTTTTATTTTCCGAAAAATATATAAAAAATATTAATTCAGATCAAAAAAAATTTTTTTAGGAAAAAAAGATGGAAAAGGTCAAATAAATTATTAATTATTATTTAAACTAACAAAAATATTCTTTAATTTTATTTATTTATTTGTATATTTCTTTCTTTCTTTGTTTAATTTTTATTTAAATTTCCAACATTTTTCAATTTATTTTTATAAATTTTTTGCATAAACTTCAAACTGTGATTACCTCAAACAAATAGGAATTTGAAGCAAAGATTGAAAAGAAATTAAATTTAGGGGAAGGAGGGAAGATTTTGGGGAGAGGGAAAGGGGAATGAATTGAAGGAGGGAAATTTTGTTTTTTTCATTTCTTATTTTTCTAAAAAAATTTTTTAATTAAAAATAATTTTTTATTATTATTTTTATTTGAAAAAAAATAATACAAAAATAAAAATAATTATTTAAGTAAATAATATATTTATTTATTTCATTATTTATTTAATTTAATTTCCTTTTTTTCTTTAAAAATAAAAATATTTAATTTTTTTCTTTCATCTAGTTTACAGTTAAATGACCACACAAAAAGAAAATATAAAAATATATTTTTATTTTTTTTTTGTTTTTCGGTTTTCACCCTTTTGTTTTGCCTTAAATCTTTTGCAAAACAATTCTTTTGGGACACGAAAAGCGCAAAAAAGCTTTTTCTAAAAAATATATATTTTACTAATTTTTTTTGGATATTTTTGTTTGTTTGGGTAATTATTTTAATTAAAATATTATATAAAACTTTTATTAAATAGACAGAATTTTATCTTAAAAATATTTTTTGTTTTAGTCATTCAATTCAAAAATTTGCGCCTTGGATAAGAAAAAATGAAAAATTTAAGACAAATTAAAATTTTCTCTATTAAACTCTGTTTTTTCTATCCCGACTATCCCCCCTCCCTCCTCTCTACCTCTACTCTTTTTTAAATATTTTATTTTTTAGAAATAAATTTAAAACAATCTTCTTTTTAAATTATTTTAAATAATTAAAATTCCACTTTTTTAATTTAATGTGCCCCCTTCTATTTAATAATGGACGAGAAAATTTTAATCAAGAAAAATCATCAAAATATAATCAGGAAAGTTCAACTACACCAACAACTATTTCAAGTTTTAACAGTACTACTACTAATTCTTCTACAAAAATATTTAAAAGAATTAACACAAAAAAGAAAAAGAATTTATTTTTATTTTTAATTTTTGGGTTTTTAATTTTGTTTGGAATTTTTATTAATTTGGTAAGAAAAAATTAAAATTCTCATTTCTGTTAAATAGCGATACAGGAAATTGGAAAATTTATTTTTTAATTTCGGCAGAATCTCTTCTATATAATAGAAAGGATAAGGCCTGCTGTACTTTAAAAATCGGATGTGTAAAAAGACGGAAAAGTGTCCATTCCACTGTTATAGTCCATCACTGTCCATCCCCCTGTATCTCAAATAAACAAAATTCTGAAAATATTTTTAAAATTATTTTTTAGTTATTTTTGTATATCTCAATTAACCATTTTATGGATCTCTTACGTCAACATTGCTCCAAAAATTTGTCAAAAAATAATAATAAATTAATTACTACAACTTTAGAAAATAAAGAAAGTTAGTAAATAAATATTTTAATTAAAAATATATTTTCTTTTAAAGTAATTAATAAATTAACTAAATATTCTCCTACAACTATTCCTCCAACTTCCTTAAAAAATACAAAAAATTTATTAAACAATTCTTCAATTATTCAATTAACAATTCCACCATCCATTACTTCTTCTTCCTCTTCCCCTTCTTTTTCTACAAAAACAACAACTAATTTATCTTTTAAATTAAAATTAACTTCAAATAATTTAAAGTAAATTAATTAAATTAATTGTTATTATTTCCTTTTAATTGTTTTTTTACATTTAAAAGATGATTTAAAAAGAGAAAGTTTAAAATAGGGATAGCATTCTCTAACATAAAAAAACTTTATTTTTTAGTTCCTCTCCTCCACTCTCAACAACAACATTTCCACTAACAACAACTAATTTATTAGAAAATTCAAATAATTTAACTTTAGTAACAGCTTTATTAGATATTGGCCGGGATAGATGGAATCAGTATGGCCGTACAATAGCTCAATATCATCACTTTTTTAGATATTTACTTCAATTACGTTTACCTATGGTTTTGAATTTATTTTTATATTTAAAATATTTCGTGTTGAGAGAATAGTAAAAACTAGTCGGGATTAGAAAAGTCACATTATTTTATCCTCCCTCCAGCTTTATTTTCTTCTTTGTTCTTTAAATGTTCTCCTTAATTGGGAGTTTGGCAAAATCACATAACCCTCCTTCACAAATTTTAACTTTTTATTTTAAATTATTTATTTTTTAATTAAAAAAAGGTTGTATTTGTTGATAACAAATCCTGGCATTTTGTGCATCGTGAAAGATCAAGAATTGGATGGGGAATTAAAACTAAAGTTTAATTTTAATTAAAAAAATAATTTTTGTTGGAATTCTTTAAAGGTTAAAAGAATTTCCCTTTCCCAACTTCCCTTTTTCTCTTTTAAATCAAAAGTAACAAAAATAATGAGAGAAGAATTAAATAATTGGGAAAATGAATGGAACCCTTCTATGCGTTCACATCCAGAAGCTACACATCCTGAATATTCTCTTTTGGTTGGAAATTTTTAAATTAATAATATCTATCCCCTTTTAACTAAAATACATACCATAAATCTTCTAATAGAAGCACACCCTCTAATATAGGCACACCCTACGAGAAGATTGAAAAATAAAAGCACATGAGCTTCAATTAGAAGTGTTACGGTAAATTAAATAAAGTATGTATCTTCAATCGACAAATAGGTCATTTAAATTTAATTTAGTGTTTTGTTTTCTGTTTTATTCAAAACTCGAGGCTTTTTCAGCCTGCCGTTCGAATAATTATCCTTTCTCAAATAATTACACAATTACTTTAAAGTACCCACTCCCCCCCACTCCCTCAAATGCTCTACTGCATGTTCAAATTTCAAAACTCGTATACTTATCCCCTCTCAATTAATTGCTCCCTCCAAAATTAATTATTTGAGCATATATGATGGGAGATTACCTTCCTTTAATCCTTTTTATACTAATAAACTTTTAAAATTTCTTCTTAACCCAACTTCTTTCAATTTAACGAGCGTTTTAAAATACAAATTTTTTTTTAAGTCTGACAGTAATTTATTAAATAAAAATTTTCGACTAATTAAAAATAATTTTTAAAGGTAAATTCAAAAACATTTTTTCTTGTCGAAGCAGCTGTAAGTTACCGATACTTTTATTTAAAAATTATTTCTTTAAAAGGCTGAGAATCCTTTTGGAACAGAATTTTTTGTTTGGTTGGATGCTGGTTATGGGCATGGTTTTTAAAATAAATTTAATAAAAAGATAATATTTAAAAAAAGGTGATCGTTCAATTTTCCCGCCGGCATGGAAGTGGCAGCCAAAATTTGAGAAAGAAATTATTTCTTTAATTAAAGTTTGGAATTATTTGTTGAAAACTTTTTTAAACCCCGTTTATTTTGTTAACAAAACGAGACTGACAAACAAGCCTCATTCCATATTAATTCTAAGAAAATGTAGAAAACAGCCTATAGTAGTTATTAATAACGAGAGTCAAGGCAATAACACATAAATCCTTAACAAGATATAACCCCTTTAAAATTTAATATTTTCTAGTAGTAGTCTACTATTAATAAAGAGGATAAATCAAATTTTTAATTTTTTTTTAATTTTTAGTTAACACCTCCAACAGATTTAATTACTCATTACAATTTACAATCTCTATATAGAGTTTCGTTTTTAATTTAAAAAATAATTTTTAAAAAATTATTATTTTTAGCAAGATATTTCTGTAATAAGTGGTGGTTTTCTAGCTGGGGATAGAAATTCAATTATTCGTTTACACCAACTTTATTACAAAAAATTTATCAATTTAATTGAAAAACAAAAAATTGATGATGATCAAGTAAAATAAAAATAATTATTTTTAAATTATTTTTATTTTTAGACAATGCTTGTTTTGTTAATTAATGAATATCCAGAATTCTTTCATATTTATTATGGGGATTGGTTTGACGCTTTTGAACTTTTTTGAAGAATATTAATTACTTTCAATTTTGAATATTACTTAAGTATTTATTGTTTACAAAATTAACAAAATATTTTTTTAAATTATATATTTAAAATATGTGGTAGGCTTTAAAAAGGAAAAATGTAAAAGTAAAATCTGAGCTGACTTCGATGAATTCCTTTCAATGTGGAATTCGAAGGTAACAATTTATCTATTTGGGTTGTAAGGCTGGCGGATCCTGGGAAATCTTTGGATCCGATCCGTCAACCTTAATGGGTTCTGATTGTGAGATTCACCATAAATTTAAAATCAAAAATTATTGTTTCAATTTTTCTTCTTTTCCATTCCACAATTATCCCAGAAAAATCATTTAAAAATTTTTTTTTTAATTTTTACATATTTTTTTGTTAAAATATTTTTAAAATTAAAAAGAAAAAAGCTTTATACAAAAGAGTATTCAATAAAAGCTGAAATATTCGATAAAATAAAATCAACAGGATTTTTCACAATTTAAGAAAGAATTTTTCTATTAAAGATTATGAGAGGATAGGAAGTTCAGAATATCGAGAATACACGAATTATGATAAAATGTAAATAATTGAGGGGGTAAAATAAAAGTCAAAAGAAAACAATCAAAGGGAAAAATCGGGAAAATTCGACTAAAAATTTTTAAAATATTCATTTGTCTTCAGACATTTAACCACGCATATACATCAAAGAAAGGAAAGAAATTCGACTTAATTGATTTGGTGTACTCATATAGTGAAGTTCACGACTAAAATGATTTTAATTAGGGAATTTTTCTTCAAATACCCTCTTTGGGGTTTAAAAATCGTATCAAGGTTAAATTGTGGATATCACTTAGATAGCTCTAGCTTAATCTAATGCCCAATCAAATTTCAAAAGAAAGCTTATTTAACTTTGGGATATCTAAAAATGAGGTTTGCCTGTCAATATTTAAATATTTTTACAAAAAATCAATTTAAACTTACTTTAGAATTTCTGGCAAAACATTTTTTGCCTGTTGTTTCAACCCCAATTTCAGAACAGCTTCAAGACAAAGTGAAGAAAGTGTTGGAGAGAAGTCGAGAACATAAAGATCACCCAAATCCTCCAAAGCACTCCTTCGGGGATGTGGACTTAAATTAAAAATTTTTGGATTAAAAACAAAAACTCTCCTCACGTTGTCCCTCCAAACAAAAATAGACGATTGCCAATCATTACATTACATTGACGACGGCGAGGAGAAGGCCCTAAAAATCAAATAAAAATTAGAAAAAGAAATCTTTTAAAAATCATCAATCAAACAATAATATGTATAATCGTCCTTTCCCCTCACCTTTTCCCAAAACTTTCTGTTCAATCCAAGAATTTGTTGTTGGGTCAAAACGCCACAAATCGTTGAAGTGAACATTCGAAATTGAATTGTAACCACCAAAAAGATATACAAATCCTTTAAATGTCCACATTGTATGAGAACGACGCCCACAAGGTTGGTCATTGTTAGTTGGCTTGACAACATTCCATTCCATAGATTTTAAGTCAAGAAAGTGCAATTTGTCATCATAGAGATCTTTTTTAAAAATTTAATTTTTTATCGAAATTTGATCAAAAATTTTATAATTTTAGTCTTAAAATTTTCCGTTTCGGATTCTTAAAAATATTTTTATGTCAATCTTTTCTCATTTTTAAATTCCCTTTTTTTAATTTCAATGTAAATAATTTTTTATTCACCATGATTTGTGTGTGTTTGTCCACTTTCATCTGAACGACCGCCAAAAACATACTAAAAAATAAATTTTTGTCAATTAATTTTAATTAATTTCCATACCATTCTTCCATCAAGTACACAAGCAGTATGGAAATCTCTATATTGAGGAGGTTTTCCAAAAGTTTTTAATTTACTCCAAGTATTTGTTGGAAAATGAAAAGAATAAGTTTCTTGACTAAAACGTTGTTCACGTTCTTCATATCCACCAAATATATACATATAATCATCCCAAACAATTGCTGTATGTCCATCTCTTGCAGGGCATTGACCAAATGTTGTAACGATAGACCAAAGATTTGTTGCTGAAAAAAATGTTAAAATTTATTTGTGTAATTTTGGTTGTCAGAAAAGAAATTTTTAAACTACATAAATCTCTCACACATTTTGGTACAAAAATGTAAGAGAAAAAAATAACAGAAAAATTCTTAAATTTTACATTAACCACATTTTTATTGCACTTTTTGGGTAAATACTTTTTTGTAACATAAAATATTTTTCTCTTAATTTTTTACACTAAATATGTAAATCGACACAAAATTGTTACAAAATGTAAGAAAAGTTTTGAAGAGAAAGAAAAAGGAAAGATGAAAGAGTAAAAACTTGTAACCAAATGTACTCCTTTCAACCTTGAAATGAGCATAGAAAATCATTAAAAAACTCAAAAATTCAAAATTTGGACAGCTAATTGTAAGTTTTTCTTTTTGTAAAAAATAGAAATAAACCCCCCACAAAAAACCAAAAATTGACAAACATTTAATAAATGTATTCTCGTGACAATTAATTTTTGATTCAAAAAAATATCTAAAATGTTCCTTTTTTGTTTTTAGAGTTTTGAACTTTGATCTATCTATGTAGTTTAGTGATTTTCTGTTAATTAAATATTAAATGTAATAAAATAAAAGAATATATCTATATATGTAGATTAACATTTTGGAGAATAAAATAAAATGATAAATTAATTTAAAAAATAATGAACCTAAATTAGTCATGAATATATTTAAAAGGGAATATAATTTAGTGTGAATTTGGTAAATTTTTTGGTACATTAGACCAGGTTCCCTTGTTAGTAGAACTTAGAAATTTAGGTTTCTCTAGTAGCAATCCCAAAAATATTCTCATTTTCTTTTTCAAACAAACAAACAAAAAATTTTTTAAATTTAATTTTATCTAATTTTTCTTTTTCAAAGTACTTCCCGGAACATTTAAAAGGTTAAAGTCTAATGTATCAAAAATTTAATTACTTCAAGACAAAGTACATTGGTGTCACTCCCCACACTTTTTATCATTTTTAATGCTTCTCGAAAAATTTTTGGACAAATATTTTTATGATAGCAATTTTAATCGTAAAGAAAAGAAACGTGACTTGACTTTATTTGGGGGTAAAAAGAAGTTTTTTTGAAAAAATAGAAAAGGGAATAAAAATGAAAAATAAATAAAAAATATACCTGGATTGTATCGATGAAGTGTTTGTCTACATCCTGGAAAGAAAGAATAAATAAAATTTCCAAATAATAATTTTAGACTTTAAATCGAAAATTTTAAGGAAACCCAAATCCCTAATAAATCAGAAAAAAGTAGCTAACAAAAAGTTAAGCTCTATAACGAAAATGAAGGTGGGAGAAAAATCCCTAGACAATTTATCTTTATAAAATGAAAACAAACCATAAGCATCGCTCCGTCCACCCCACAAATAGAAAAATCCTTTATAAGAGACAACAGTGTGTCCATAAAGCTAAAAAATACATTCCAAAATATAATCCTTTTTAATTTCAAGAAAACCTTAAAAGGAATTTCTGGGTGTTGTCGTAATTTTTCCAATCTGTCTCTATCCACATTATTTGGCAAATCCAAATCACCAATTCCATCAATATGGACAAAGATACGTTCCTCTTCTTCTTCAATTAAATCCATATCTTCATCCTCGTCTTCTTCCCCTTCTTGAGAATTTTCGGAATAAACAGAAGAAATGTCAAAGGTAGCATTTTCATCGTTGTCATTTTCCAAATTATGGTCAATCTAAAAATTAAAAAAGTAAATAACTTTAAATATTTGATGAAAAAAATATTAAATAAACCGACCCTTTCTTAATGGAAAAATTGTGCGCAAAAAACAAAAAATTTTTAAAATTTGCTAATTTATGGAAGGACTACAGTTTACGTTCATAAAATTTAGTTGAGGTTTAGTATAAATATTATTTTTAACAATAAATTTAAATAATTTTTTACATTATAATGAAAACCAACATCACTAAGTATTTGTTGGTAAACAGTAAAAGTGTCAGTAGCTTGTGTAATATCCATTTCGTTGTCTTCTTCAAGAATTGATGCATTATTGGTATTTGCTTGGTTTTCCTCCAAATTATGTTCAATTCCTTCCAAATCGTATAATGGAGGATTCGAATTTCGAATTTGTGCTAATGGATGTGAAGACGTTGAAGTTGAAAGACTGCGAGTTCGACGACGTTGAATTTGAGTAGACTGACTGGTTGAGGGAGGAGTTTCTGGATGAGAGGCAGAAATGGTAGAACTACGAGGCTTTTTACCGCTTTCAACAGGAAAAGTTGGAAGAAGCTCCCAACGGTAGGTGACTAAAAGAAAGGAACTTTTTTTTTAATTTTAATCCTTTCAAAATTATTTTATTCAAAAATCACTTCCAAAAACCAGTTTTCCTCCCAAATTTATTTTCCCCTTTAATTTCAAGGTTAAAAATAAAAAATAATTTTTTTTGTTAATTACTTACAAGTGTTGAGTACATGAATGTCAATAAAATCATTTTGGGGGCCAACTTCCGTCGCTGTATACCCTCCAAAAGAATAGATGTTATCTCCCATAGCCACGGCTGCGTGATTGACCTGTATATAGAAGAGTATTTTTATTGGCCTCCAATATAAAAAAGCAAAAATAAACTCGTTTAGGTCCACCATATGAACTGAGAATCCAACGAGCCATAATGATAAATTGAAGGTAGGTAATGTAGACAAATTAAATTTGATATTTTTTTAGTTAATGTCTAAATAAAATAATTTTTTAAAAAATATAATCTGGAAAATTATTTTAAAAAATGAAGAAAAATAGACAAAAGCAAAAGCCCCCCTAAAAATAAGCGTGGAAACTTTTTGGTTTAAAAAGATGATAAAATTAAGGAAAAACGTTGCATATTGATAAACATAAAAGAAAATATGCCTAAAAATATTTTCAAATAATGAGAAAAGATGTTTTAACATCTAATTTAATTTTACAATAAATTAACAAAAAATATGTACATTTAGGTTGTTTATTTAATTCAAATCAAACTAGAAAATTTGTTGGCAACAAAATAATTTAATAAATATTAAATTTTAACGCGTAAAAAAGTTTTGTGTAAAAATAAAATGATTTTCTTCTTTTTAAAGAAAAAAATGTAATTTTTTTGCTAGCAAATATTTTTTTTGTCTGGTCTATACATTCATCAGAAAAATTCTCTCATTTCCTTTTCAATGTTATTTTGCCTACACAAAGCAGTTGGGGGTTATTTTAAGGCTTAAAGTAAGAGTGGAAATGAAGGATTTTTAGTTTGATGAATTGTATATGACCTTGAACAAAATAAAAAGGTAAAATCAGCTGAGAGAAAGAAAAAAACATCAGAAAAGCATAGAATAAAAATTACAAATTGTGAATCAAAAACAAAAAAATGTTATTTTATGTGTAATTTTTTGTTGAAGAATTACAATCTTTCAACAAGTAGAAATAAAAGGGTATACGTAAATGACGTATATTTTTATTAGTCCAGCTTTTGGCCAAAATGTATATGTAGTACATTAATTGGAATGGGTTATATAAGAAGAAGAACTAGTTATTTTCTCCCTCCTACTTTTATCTGGTCGCTGCGCTTTCTTTTCCCCTTACTCCAATAACTCCGCCCATATTTTCCTCAAAAAATGTTTTCTTCCCAATTGCGTAATATTAAACAGGAAAGCGCTAAAACTCGTAAAAAAATATAACAATAGTTTGGGGGAATGATTTGTACATATTAAAAATTTATGTGAAAATTTAGGCAAACTTTGATAAAATCTTTAAAAGGTAAAAGATTATATGAGAATTTGAAAAAATTATTTTAAAAAATATAATTGAGGGAAATGGATCTTTCTTTACACACATTTAAAAAGTGCAAATTCTAAAAAAGCTTTCTAGCTTGGCCAAAGGATAGCCTAATCAATATTTTCCAGCACTTGGCCCTTTCTTTTTCAAATTTAATATCTTGGCATTATGTTAATTTTTATTTGAATCAAAAATTTCTTAAAATTTTTTTTTGTGAATTACTTAAAAAAAATTTTTTTTTCATTTTAAAATTAGCACATAATTAATGGGAAAAAGGCAAAAAATTAGAACAGGTGCTGGAGATATTGTCACAACTCCTGGACCTCTTCATAAACAAATTGAAAGGTCAAAACTAGCCAAGCCGAAATTCAAGCCTTTAAAACGTTCAAGAGAAGAACAAAAAGATGAAATTGAAGTTTGTTTTAACTTTGATTTTTATCAAATTTTTTTTTCTTTCAATTAAAATAAATTCCATTTTAGCTTGTCGATCCATCTTTAAAAGGCAAAATTATTATTAAAGCAAACAAAAAATTGGAAAAAGATGTTGTGTTCAATGAGGATGGAGAATCTGATAATTCTGAAGAAATTGAAGAAGAAGAAGACGATAATGATGAGAAATTGGATGTTGATCAATTAGTATCAAAGCATCTGGAAGATTTAGATGAATTAAAATTGGTATAATTAGACATGAAATATTTTAATCTTTAAATATTTTTTAGGATGATGGTGTTGAAAATCCTCGAAAGAAAAAACGAAATTCTGATAAAAATAACAAAGAAAGTGTTATAAATAAAGCTGAGGTTTTTTTTGAGTTTTTAAATTTCTGTTAATTTTTAATTTTTTTAGTTTGCCGATATCGACCCAAAAATTGTTGATCTTTTTATAGAAATTGGTCAAGTTTTAAAGAAATACAGAAGTGGACGTATTCCCAAGGCTTTTAAAATTATTCCAACTTTGGTTGATTGGGAGAAAATTATTGAGTTTTTTTAAATATTTTTTAACAAGTTTTAAACTTTTTTAACTTTTAGATTAACTCGCCCAGATGATTGGTCGGCAGCTGCAATGTTACATGCTACCAAAATATTTGCTTCAACTGCTACTCCTGCTCAATGCCAAAGGTATTTTTGAGGGAATTAAAAACATTTTATTTTTAAGGTTTTATAATTTGATTTTGTTGCCACGTATTCGAGATGACATTGACGGATTAAAAAAATTACATTTCCATATGTACCAATGCTTATTTAAAGCTTTGTTCAAACCAGCTGCGTTTTTTAAAGGAATCCTTTTGCCGCTTTGCAAGGTTTTATTTATTTTTATTTGTAGACAAAAAGTTCGAAAATTAAAAAAACCATTCGGAAATTCGTTCTTTTTTTCCTATGTTAAAAAATTTCTCGTTTTGAAACTTCTAATTTCAAAAATTTAGTCGAATAATTTTTCTCTTCGAGAAGCTGTTGTCCTTGCTTCAATGCTTCGAAAAGGTTTTTTATTGAATTATAGGAATAATTATTTTATTTTTCAGCCTCCATCCCTCAATTACACGCAGCCGCAGCATTGTTGAGTGTAATTTAATTTTTATTGCATTTTTTAATAAAAAATTTTCTTTCAGATTTCTTCTTTGGAATATACTTCTTCAAGGGCCTATATCCTTCAAGCATTGATAGAAAAGAATTATGCATTGCCTTTAAGAGTTTTGGATGGAATTGTTTCTCATTTTCTTAGGTATAAAATTAATTAAATATTTTCTTTAATTTTTAATTTTTAGAATGAAAAATAATAAAGAAATAAATTTGACAGTCAGTTGGCATTCTTGTCTTATTTCTTTTGTTCAACACTATTCAAATACTTTAAATAATGAACAAAGGAATGAACTTATTGGACTTGTAAAGGTTTAAATAATTTTTTTAAATTTTTAAGATTAATTTTTAGATTCATTCTCATCACAAAATTACTCTAGAAATATTAAAAATATTGAGAAATAATGAATCAGAAAGTGGAGAAAAGAAAATTGTTCCCGACTTTGGAGAAGATGAATTGGAAGATGAAATGGATATTTAAAAAATAAAAATATTTTGTATTTGTTTTTTTGTTAAATTTTTATTTTATTTTTCTAAAATGTTTTTGTTAGTTATTATATTCTACAGAAATTTTTTCTTTATTTTAATTTTATGATATTTAATCTGTCATTTTTAAGCAAAATGTTATCATTTGATGGAGTGTCTCGTTTACTTTTAAATGTGTCAAAACATGAAGTAGCTCAACTTAGGTTTAGCAGGTAAAAACAATTTGTACTTTTACTAAAGGATTAAAAATTGTAATTTAAAAAATGAAAATTCAAAAAAAATCCCTTTTGAACTAGGAATTTTAATTTAATTTTTTAAGGAGGCGTGCAAATCCTCCACCGTGGGTTTCGCTAAAATACCATCCCGTTCGTGCTCTTCTTTACAAAGACGATAGGTTAATTAAATTTAAGTTTTAATCTTAAACATTAATTTAGACGGTTTATTGAAGCAAATCGTGATTTGGTTGCACCAAATAGGCCCATCTATCGTAAAAATGATGGTAGTTTCAACTTGATTCCTGGTATTCCAAATCCACCAGATTGTAAAGGAAATGTTCACAACAAAGATAAAAGTAAAAGAATTGGAATGGTTGGACGGAAAATTGGAATGACTTTGCAATGGTTTTAAAAATATTTTTCGTTTTTTCAAATTAATTTTTAGGTTAAATGATGGAACTCGCTGCCTTTGTACTATGATACATTTCCCTGATAATGTTGTACTTTCAGCAAATGATCCCGAAGTATTTTAGATTTTTTTATAATTAAATATTTAATATTTTTAAATTTTAGACATGGTGGCGGCTAAGTGTGACCGGAAAACAAAAGGCATTCGGAAAACGTGGGCCCATGTGGAGTGTAATAATTCTTTATATAATTTGTTATTGAGGGAAATAAGGATTTTCAACTTAAAAAAGTTTCTGAAAGAGAACAGATCACAACATTTTTTGTTTTCAAAAAATTTTAACATTTATTTTTAGCAAATGGTTGGAGCATACAACGATGATTCTGTTTTCTACACAGACGAATATAGAAAAATATTTGAAAAAGTTGGCGTCCCTTACAAAAAATTCATGGCTGGTTTTATGGTTTCCGAGGACGCAGTCGTTAAGCCTGGAACAATGTGAGATAGAATTTTCATTCATTTTTATTTTTGAAAAATTTTCAGTCTGGATGTTAGGCATTTTCAAGTTTGTTTTATAATTTTTAACAATTTTTTGCAATTTTGTTAAGGTTGGCCAATATATTACTTTAAGTGGTAAAACAATTGATTGGGGATTTCAAGGTGTAATGCATCGATGGGGAATGAAGGGAATGACAAGAAGAAAGTTTGTTTAACCTTCTTAATTTTCTTTAAAGAATTGTTTGAAGCACTACGAAAGCACATCGGCGTGTTGGTTCAATTGGTGTTAAAGGAGAAGGCAAAGTTTGGCTAGGACGTTGCCTTCCTGGCCATATGGGTTACGAATGGCGTAGTATTGCTGGGTATCAGATTCTTAGAATTAACCCAATTGAGCAGGTTAAAATTTTTTAAATTTTAACGTTGTCTACTAAAACTTTAAGGTAATTTATGTGCGAGGCAGTCCCCCTGGCGATAATGGTGAAATGCTTTTGGTAAGTACTTCTTAAGAGTGTGCCTCTTTGTCCAGATAAAAATCCCGTATATCATTTTTCTGGTTCCTTTAAAGTTTACAAAAATAAAAATTCTTCAGCCTCTTCAAAATTGCCGGAAAAATTATTTTTTAATTTACTTTTTAGGCTACCGATTCATTTATTAAAAAGAAACGAATTGAAAATCCTCCATTCCCAACATTTTATGCGGAAGATGCAACTGAAAATGAGGAATATAATTCAGAAGAAATGCATGCAATTTATAATGTTACTTCAAAAGATATTTATCATCCAAAACTTTTTAGAGTAAATAAATTTTTAAATAATTTTAAAATTTATTTTTTTTAGTTCAATCAACCTTCCATTATATATACAGAAGCTGACGAAATAAAATCTTTGGCTCGTGATAAGTCGAAAGCAAAAACAGCACAACTTAAGAAAAAATGAGAATTTTTTGAATTTTATTACTTTTTGTTATGTTTGGTTTTAATTTTATTTCAATATAAATTGTTTTTTTAGTATAGATATTTAAAGCAAAGATTATTTTTCTCGTTTAATTTTACTTCAAATTTTTGTACTTTTAATTAGAAATTTTAAAAACTAGTTTTTTGAATTTTCAGAATTTTTTTAGATTTAAATACCAATTTTTTTAAAACAATTATTTTTCCGAAAAATAATTTAAAAAATTGTTTTTGTGAAATAATTAAATTTGTTTTAATAATTTAATTTTAATATTTTTTTAATATCTGTTTAGATTCAAATATTTAAATTTTAATTAATTAATATTTAACTAATTTAAGCAAAATGCATTTTACTCTGTACAGATTTTTGAACACTACTAGCAGACTATCAAACGTTGTGAATGGAAGATGGACTACAACACATTATTTACAAAAACCAAGAGAAAAGGACGAAAGAGTTTAAAATCAATTTTTGTAATTAAAAATTAATTTTAATTTTTTTAGTGGAAGGATGTGGACATGGAACGTGTTCAGGATGATTTTGACGTTGTAATTGTGGGAGGAGGACCTGGAGGATTATCTGCTGCTATAAGACTAAAGCAATTGGCAGCTGAAAAGGAAAAAGGTAAATGAATTTAAAACTAATTTTTAGTCAAAAATTTTTCTCATTTAAAGAGGTTAGAGTTTGTGTTGTTGAAAAAGCTCCAGAAATTGGTTCCCACACTCTTAGCGGTGCTATTATTGAACCACATGGTCTGAACAAACTTTTTCCAAATTGGCGCGAAATGGAAGATTGTCCAGTGAAGCAACCTGTTGTAAAAGATTCGGTTTGCTTTTGTGAATATATTTTGTTGATTGAAAATTTTAGTTTGGCATTTTGACTAAAAATGGGCGGATAAACTTGCCTTTGGTTTATTTTTTAAAGAATTTGAGGTTAAATGTTTTAATTTTATTATAGCTTCCAGGCTTCCCTTTAAAAAATCATGGAAATTACATTGTTAGACTAGGTAATATAAATATTTTGAATTTAACTAGCAGAAATTTATTTAGGTCATGTAGTTCGGTGGTTAGGTGAACGTGCAGAAGAATTAGGTGTTGAGGTTTTTCCAGGTTTATTTTCTAATTTAATGTTTTATTGAATAATTAAATTTAAAGGAATACCTGCTCAAGAATTGTTATACAATGAAGAGCAGAGTGCTGTTTGTGGAGTTGCTACAGCCGATATGGGGATTGCTAAAGATGGAAGTCCAAAGGTTAAAAATATGTAAAATTTTATCTATTTCTGTTTTAGGATAGTTTTCAACGTGGAATGGAATTGAGAGCTAAGTGAGGGATTTATATTGTTTATTTATTTTTCATTTAAAAGATGCACAATTTTGGCCGAAGGCTGCCGCGGTCACTTAACTCGTTCTCTACTACCTAAATTCGATTTGTCCAAAGGACGTGAGCCAATGACATATGGTATTGGTATTAAAGAATTATGGGAAGTAGAACCATCAAAACACCGGCCTGGCTATGCAGAACATACAATTGGTTGGCCTTTGGTAAGGGTTTGGATTCTATTATGTTAAGCAAATGTTTTTATTGTTTTTCTGACAAAAAATATACATAATACTAGAATAATTTTATATGTTTATATTATGGCTTTTATTATTTTTATATTTTTTAGAATCGAAATGAATATGGAGGTTCTTTTCTCTATCACATTGAGGACAATGGACAGCCTCTTGTTTCAATTGGTTTTGTTGTGCGTTAATTAAAAATACATATTTTCTTAATTTATTGAGAAGTTATTAAATTATCGGGAAATTTTTATTAAAATTTTTGGCATCAAAATATAATTTTTAAAATTTCTTTTCAGCTTGGATTAGACTACAAAAATCCATACTTGAATCCATTTAAAGTTTTAATATTTTTATAATAATTTTAACAAAAAATATTTTTCAGACTTTTCAGTTATATAAAACCCATCCTTCAATTCGAAAGCATTTGGAAGGGGGAAAAAGAATTGGTTATGGGGCTAGAGCATTAAATGAAGGAGGATATCAAGTACAGGGTGCGGCAAATTAAGCGCGCGTTTATTTTTTGCCATAACTTTCTTCAATTTTAATGAAAATTGATAATTCTTTTTTTGTTTTATTCCCAACACTTTAGGAAACTTGCCGATACCAAAATTGCTTTTTAATTTTAAGTTTACTCTGAGTAAACTTCCCTCAAAGTTTGAGCAGAATTTTTTGGATAAAAATTGGCCTAGATTCAAGGCTGGGATTTTAATATTGGATTTGTTTATATCATTCGAATCAGCTCTTCATTCTGATTCGAATGACATAAAAATCATGGGGCTACGACAAAACTCGAATGAGATACGGTCCTCTGAATATAAATTAAAATAATTTTTATAAAAATAAAATTTTTGTGTAAAATTTTCAAAAATGAGATTATAAGCTATTTCGATGCTCCTGAACGAGATGAGTCGTTTAGTACCAAAATCATTGGTATTGAACGATTTTGAACGAAGTTATGATCAATTAAACTTTGGCATAAAAAATGTTTTTAAATTTTCCAGACGATCGAACTCGATTATCTTTGCCAACAGTGAACCAAATTTTTAATGTTTGGTATCAGCAAGTTTCCTAACGTGTTGGGAATAAAACAAAAAAAGAATTATCAATTTTCATTAAAATTGAAGAAAGTTATGGCAAAAAACAAACGCGCGCTTAATTTGCCGCACCCTGTAAAATAAATTTTTCTTTTTTTTGTTTAAATTTTTTTCTTTTAATTTTCAGTCAGTTCCAAAAGTTGTATTTCCTGGTGGTTGTTTAATTGGATGTTCAGCATCTTTACTTGTATTTTTCTAAAATTATTACAAATTATTTTTTTATCGTTAAAGAATGTTGCAAAAATAAAAGGAACACATAATGCAATGCTTAGTGGTTGTTTGGCTGCAGAAACAATTTTTCAAGAAATTGAAAATTCTGGGGAGGATGTCCAAAGTTTTTTTTATTAAAAATTTTTCTTCATTAATTTTCAATTTTTATTTAAAGCTATAACCCCAACAAAATATGAAAAAGAATTGGCAGAATCATCTGTAATGAAAGAACTACGTCAATCTAGAAATGTTCGGCCATCTTTTGGAAGTTCTTTGGGATTGTGGGGTGGATTGGCTTATACGGGGACTTTCTTTGCTTTAGGTGAAAATAATTTTAAAATAAAAATTTATTTTTTAAAAGGTCGAGGAATAGAACCTTGGACTTTTAAACATGGACATAAAGATAATGAGAGTATTGAACTAAAACAAAAAGTAAAAAAAAAACTTTGAAAAGGAAATAAATTTTTTTTAATTTTTAAGCATAAACAAATAGAATATCCAAAACCGGATGGAAAAATTACTTTTGACCTCCTTTCTTCTGTTCATTTAACTGGTACAAATCATGAAGAAGACCAACCTGCACATTTAACGCTTAAAGATGATACAATTCCTGAAGATGTTAATTTACAGCTTTATGATGGTGAGAAAAAAAATATTTTAGTTAAATAAATAATTTTTTAAATATTTATTTAGGACCAGAAGGAAAATATTGTCCAGCTGGTGTTTACGAATTCGTACAAAAAGAAGGCGGAAAAGAAGGTGAAATGCGTTTACAAATAAATGCTCAAAATTGTATTCACTGCAAAACTTGTGACATAAAGGACCCTTTACAGGTATTAAACAAAAGATTTTTTGTTTAATATTTTTGTAAATTTAGAATATTTATTGGGTAGCGCCGGAAGGAGGTAGAACAAATTTTTTTAATTAAAATTTTGATTAAAAAATTTGTAGGAGGTCCAAAATATGATGGATTGTAAATTTGTAATGGGTTTTTCTAAAAAATAGTGTTTAATGATTGCCTTTCAAAGCCAAAGAAATTTGACATATATTTTGAATATATACCTTAAAAATACATATGTACACATATTTACATAAATATATAAAAGTTTTATTAAAATTTGGCGTCTTTTAAATTTACATTACCATTGAAAAAATGCCAAACTTAAAATTATTTTTATATCTAGTATATAAAAGTAATAATTCAGAATTTGAGTTGAATTTGAAGAATTCTCCCTTTTAAAATCCCTTTAGTTAAAAAACTAATTTTAGAAATTTTGAAAATTTATTTTATTATGAAAAATAGATCTACGCAGCTAAGCATGTACAAAGGACTTTGTTAATATGTATACTCGGAATGTATGAATCTAACAGGATTATATGAAACAGTGATCCTGGAAATAAACGACCAAGTCGTCGTATTTTGAAAAAAAGAACTCAGCATGGGACAATAACTCTAAGGAGTTTAAATTATTGCTATAAAACACAAAGGTCCTATCAAGGTAAAAAAAAGCTCATGAATAAAACTCCTAAACTTAACACCTCATTGGGTAAAAAACTTAAATCTCAAAAAACAAACATTTTTTTACAAACAAATTTATTTTTACAAAAAAACTTTACAATAAAAAATTAGCGAATTACAAAATGAGTACAAAATATTAGCAAGCATATAGGGAACAAAGGAGAAATGTGAATATGGGGATAACAAACAATATACAGAAAATAATATCAATTAGGAACAACAAATACTCATGTACATTATTTTGGTCATCAATTATTATCATCCTCTTCCAGATTTCTTGCTTCTTCGACTGCTTTTGTTGTCCGATGATAACGAACGTCGACTGCTCCTGTCTCCACTTCCCCGGTTGCTTGCTGTTGCTGTCGCTCCCATAGACGTATGAACTGAGGCCGTATCACTTCCAACAAGTCGCAATATGTTCCGGTCCATCCACAACATAGCCTGCTGGATACTGCAGCGAATGTCCGCGTCACCGTTCCAAACGCAGTTCGTGATGAGCTCCGCAAACTCCTCTGGAGTGTCGTCGCTGAACTTAAGGCGGTCGCCTGTGATAACCTTCAAAATGAAAAAAAGTTAAGATTAATTTAACACCACTATCTTTCAAACCTTCCTGGCAACAATGTTGTTGCTTCCAACCCCGGCGTAAGGCGTAGCACCATTAGAGAAGATCTCCCAGCAGAGGACTCCATATGCCCAGACATCAGATTTTTTTGTACAAGCACGCTCGATCATGGTCTCAGGGGCAAGCCACTTGATTGGCAATCGCTGATCTTTGCGGAGCTTAATGCATTTCTCCTTGTGTTCCAGTTCACGGGCAAGGCCAAAGTCCGCGATCTTGACCTGTTAGCAAAAAATAAGGTAAGCACGGTTATAAATTTAATTTTCGCTGCAAAAATAAATTTTACCTTGTTTTCACTGAACAGGCAATTCCTAGCGGCGACATCGCAGTGGACAACATTTCGATCGTGGACGTGGCTGAGGCCTGAAGCAGCTCCAAGACACATGTATAGTTTGCTGCGCACACTTCTCGTTTGGCGCTGTAGATGGTCCTTGAGAGCGCCCTCGGTTGCCAAATCCATGACGATCATCAGCGGCTCCTGACCCACTGCTACACCTAAATAATTGAACACACATTAAACTATTCCTCAGACAGATTTGTGAGTTCTTACCATAACAGAAGATGACATTCGGGTGCCTGAACTTCCTCATGACTCTTGCCTCGTTCATAAACTCCTTGATCTGGTCCTTCGTGCATTTAGACAGCGTAGCCTCCTTGATCGCCACATTTTTGACTGTTCCATCAGCGGCGGTGAATGTGCCAGTCCGGACGACACCAAATGCGCCACTCCCAAGCTCATCGCCTTTCTTAATTGCGGAATGTGCTAATTCCCATTCATGTCGTCCAATCGCGCGCTTGAGCAAAACGTTTCTGCCCTGAAAAGGAAAGACAACATTTAAACGTTACAAGCCTAAAAATATAAATTATCTCACCGAACAGATGGAGGCGTTGCTCTGTAGATGAGCTTCCACAAATTCCTGGATCGTGGCGTAGCCTCTGTTCTTCTTGAAGTCGATGGCAAACATGTTTTGTTGTGTCCTGAAGATGTAGTGTCGCGCAACTCCTTCAAAGAATGTCGATAGAACGAAGGATCTGGAGTCACCCGCAAACTCCTCACTCGTCCGAATGATGAAGTCTCCTTCCTTCTTCAGCATGGCTACAGCGTCTTCTCTCGGTAGCTAAATTCAAAAAGTCATTATTTGAAACTAAAAACTAAAAGAAAAAAACTCACAAGTCCATGGTAGTACGGTAGCCGCCACAGAGCATCGGTCGACATTTACAGGAGCGGTGGTTAGTTGGCGTAGTAACGTTGAGTTGATGTAGTTCAAAAGCTGGCAAATTTTGCCTTCAAAATTCCTTCTTTTTATAGTAACTGATTTAATCTGTGTTCGAGATGTAAAAAGTTAAAAACCCCTTTACTATAAAAACCTTTAATTGCATTATCTGTTAACCGCACTATCTGCAAAGTTACGTTCCCCTCAATCTGCAGCCGTTTAATGAGTAAGTTATTATGTACTTAATACATAAATAACGTTTTTATTCCCTGCGTTTTCAGATTTGTTGGCATTTCTGGACACTTGTGGGTCATGGCAAATTTGGATGCTTATCATATCGTTCTTGGCGTTGCACTCCTTGCTCGTGGTTTTTGTCATCGACAGCTTCATAACGTGTTTGTGCATTCGTCTTCGCAAAATTAAGGAAGAGAAGCAACAGAAGTTGCTGTTACTTCACCCACCTCCAACTGAAGAACCAAAACAACCTCCTCCATCGAAGCCTAAACCTATGAAGCCGACGAAGGAGAAAAAGCCGACAAAAGCAACGGAAGAGAAGAAGCTAACAAAGGATAAGGAAAAACCAGCGAAGGAAGTGGAAATAAAGCCTGTTAATCTGGCATCTGGTCTCTACGAAAATTGTGAAGCAGCTAAGGAGAAAACGCCACCAAAAGAGGAACGACCAAAGGAGAGTACAGCTAGATCTTCTCGAGATATTGCTCCTCCTCCACCACCACCAAGTCCGCCACCGGAAGTGAAGAGTGACGTGAAAAAGTCAAAGAGTGACGTGAAAATGTGAGTAATTAACATTTCTTTTCTATGTTCTGATTTACTTTTCAGCAAAAGGGAAATCAAGATTTTGCCAATCATGGTGAAGAAGAAGGAGAAGAAGAAAGACAAGAAGAAGCCAAAGAAGAAAAAGCCATCGGAAAGGTATTTATTAATCGAGTGTAACATTCTTTTTGTTTTTCTTTCTTAGGAGCAGCACCTCAGGGGAATCAGGCAGCGATACAAAGACAGAAAAGCCAGCTAAAGAAACTAAAGGCAGGACTGTTATCCAGGCGAGTTTAAATAATTTTTTGTTATTTTAATCATCACTTTTTTCAGTTCCAAATACCTGCACTTCCAAAGTTCGAGTTTAAACAAGTTGGTGCAACGTCGGCAGCATCGGCAACTTCCACCACAAAAGGTAATACTACGGGAACTTCTACAGTTGGCCGTTCTACGACCTCGGTGGACACAAAGTGAAAGGTGAATATGTATTGAATTGAACGAGAAGAGAGGACAAGATTTTTATCTTGCTTATTGTATATATGCTTTATCTATAATATCTATGTAATTTTGCTTGAATAAACGTAGTATCCGTTTTTGTTTACTACATATGTATATATTGTTATTTGTGTAAATAATTTTTTTTGAGTTTTTATCTTTTGTTTTCACTTGAAAGATAATATTAAAAATCATGTTCACAAAAATTGTTGTTTGTAGCTAAAAGGCTGCTGGTAATTTAAAAATTAATAATTTCTAACTAAAATACTGCTTTGAAAATATAATTTTCAAAAGAAATACAAAGGATCAATCGACTCGTCTCGATTAAATCCATCGAAATGTGTAGTTTATATTTGCAATTTTTTAAATTCCCTTTTTATTTAAAATTAAATAATTTTAAAAATTTATTTTATGTAATAAGCTAATTTTAACATTTTGTTTTAAGGGGTCAGATAATGAAAAATAGGAAATAAGCAAATTTAGTTAAATAAAAGGAAGTTATTAAATAGGTAGAGAAGCAGCAAAATAATTTTTCTTTTTCTTTTTTTGACAAAAAATCTTTCAGAAATTTTTAGAAAAATTATTTAGAAAAACATTTAAAAATAGCTAAAAGTAAAAGAATTCTTTTGTAAATCCAAACAATTTTTTGATTAAAAAAGAACCTTTTTTAATTAATTTTGGAATAGAAGCAAGTCAATTTAAAATCTGAGGTGACAAAATTGTAAAAAATTGAAGAGAAGAATAGTAGAGAAAAATAAAAATCATAATTAATTACAATTTTTGAGGTCAATGAACTTTTTTAGTAGTACATCTTTTCCTTTCAAAGGCAAAAAAATTAACAGTTGGTCTCTTTACACTTTCCTTCTTTCTAGTATTTATTCTTCTTTTTTCTCAGAAATTTCCAACTTCAAAAATGGCAACTTTTCTTGGGCGCTAAAAATGTTTAGAAAGTTTTAGAAAATTCCCAAATTTAAACTTACATTTTGCTAAAATGGTCAATTTGGTCCTTTGCAAGTTTAATATACTGGTCAATAGGCTAAAAAATATTTATTTTAAATAAAAATTAAAATCTTCTTCTTTTTACCTCCTTGTAAAGTTCATAAGTCTTTGGCACAGAAAACAATGCCAAAATAAATACCAAAAGCAAACCAATACCAGAGAACCAACTAGCGGCATAATAAAGAGAATAAAGTAATAAAGCAAACTTTAAAAAAGAAAAATCTTCTAAAAACTTTTTTTAAAAATTTACTTTAACAGAATCGACGATATTTTCGACTAAGTAAATGTGTCGTAATTTTTTAAAGAGAATGACAAAATTATCCACAAAAATATCCATTTGGGAATGAAGTTTTTCTTGGGGAATAGTTACTTCCAAATCCAAATAATATTGAAATGGGTTAACTAAAGCGTCATTCTTCTTTCTTAATTGACCTTTGAAAGAAAAAAATTTTTTGATTAGAAAAATTCTTTAAAAACCCCTCTTTTTATTTTAACATATTAAAGGAATATGATTAATTTAAAAAAAAATTAATTGACCCTTTTATTTTCTCAAATTTTATTTAAAATTAAAAATATTAAATAAAAGTTTAATTTTAATAGTTTAACTACCTTCCAATTGTTTTCCAATACGGAAAATAATTGTACAAAGCAATCCTCCCAGCGCTACCATTACAATAAGCATATGGAAAGTAAATCTGTGAAGAGCATAAAGAATTCCCAATAAGAAACCAAGCACAGCACCGCTAATTTTTACGTCACGCCAATAAAGTAGCTCGATCACTTAAAATTTTGGTTAAAATATTTTTTTGTAAATTAAAGGAATCTTCGAAAATATGAGGAAGTCCCTTTATTTTCATTCATTTATTCAATACTACATACTTTTTCCTTTAAAATCCTTTGCCGGTTCATAACGCTGTTTTAATGTTTTTTTAATTTTATTAGACATTTTTTGAATTTTAGAATTATTTAAAATTAAATTAAAAAATTTAATTTTTAAATTATTTAAATATTTTTTTTTTCTAAAAAATTATGAAAGAAAAATATTGAAAAAATCAGTCTGGTTTTAAAGGAAGGAGAGAGAAAGACACGAAAAAATAAAATTGTTTGAATAAATGGATGGATTTTTAACTGTAAAAAATATTTTTTAGAGAAGAAAAATAGTCAAGACAATCACACACAAACACAAAGAAAAAGCAGTCAATTCCCTCCCCTTTTTGTGTCATTTTTCGATGATTTTTTTAAAGAAACATTACTAGCTATTTAATTTATTTTTGTAAAAATTTTGGTAAATATTTTTTGTGGTTTTTGAACAATAAAGAGCTCTAAAAAAGAACTGAAAATTGACTAAAAAATTTTTGTCTTTTAAAAATTTTATTTAAATCAGGGCGACCCTTTCCAAACCACCAAAAGGGGGGCATGGCTTCACAAAAAGGGAATAAACCTGAAAGAAATTAAGCTAAAGATTTTTCCGGCCTTTTATGAAAGCCAACTGAAAATTTCGAGAATTTTGGAAGACCAGAAGACTTCCTTTTTCAGAAAAGATCAAAATAGTGGCACGTAAAAAAGGGGGCTAAAAAGTTAAAAAATGGGAAAATGATCGCTAAAAGTGGTAAAAGGGTGATTTAAATAAACCTATTTATTTTTGAGGAATATTTAATCTAAAAATATTTTTAAAAAATTCAAAATTCTTCAAAAATAAATTGGGAAAAGAATCGATTGAAAAGAAAACAATAACAGAATGTGGATTGAATGAAAAATACTTTAATATTGTATACAAAAATATTAAAAAAAATAATTTAAAATGTCCTTGGAAAATAATTTACAAAAAATACATAAAAGAATGACCGTCAATAATAAAAAAATATAAAAATATTTAAGAGATGTCCATCAATAAATTAAATAAAAATTAGAACAGCTCCCCCACCCAAGATTGCACACACACAAATAATTTATTTATTACTACCTAATTAAATATATAAATTCCTTCAATTAAAAGTAATTAATTTGCCTTAATAAAAATATAAAAATTAGGGGGTTGAGTTGGTGCTATGGGTGGAGGTTTTAGGGTTGCTAATTTAATAAAATATAAAATTAATTTAAAAAATAAATTTTAAAAAAATAATTGAAAATAAATTCAAAATTGTCTAAAAAACTTTTTTGGCTGTAGTGTAGTGTACCGGTGGTAAAAGTTCGGGACGTGACATATGTCATTCGATTCGTCTCGCCGAGCTGAGTCGAACGGTACCACTCACTACTTTAGGAAATGATTCTGGACCGAGTTATAGGTCCCGAAAAATTGAAAAACCAAAGGGGGGACCAAGCACTTTTTTGGGGTGAAAAATTCGAATATGCAAATAATACCTCATTCGAAAGAGCTCGTCGAGCTGAGTCGAATGACACCAAAATCAACGAAATCCGACTTGATTGGACAAAGTTATGATCTTTTATTTTAGCTCCTTACCTATGGGATCTGTGGAGATTTTTGCTGCTACGGAGGCCCCAAATACGTCCAGAGCAAGGGAGCTAGGAATAGGTTTATGTTACGAGCCCAGACCCAGCGCCCGTAGACTCCCCGCGAGGCGCGTGCCGCAAAACCCCGCGCGAAGCGCGGGGTTTTGCGGCACGCGCCTCGCCGACGCCCCATAGGTTTAGGTTTTTTTGTTTTTTGTGTCATAACTTTGTCTAATCTTATTCAATCACGGTGATTTTGGTCTCATTCGACTCAGCTCGTCGAGCTCTTTCGAATGAGGTATTATTTGCATATTTGAATTTTTCACCCCAAAATCGAGCTTACTCCCCCCTATGGTTTTTCAATTTTTCGGGACCTATAACTCGGTCCAGAATCATTTCCTAAAGTAGGGAGTGGTACCGTTCGACTCAGCTCGGCGAGACGAATCGAATGACATATGTCACGTCCCGAACTTTTACCACCGGTACACTACACTATATCCACTTTTTTTTATAATTTATTAAAATTTTTAAAATTTTGAGAAAAGTTTAAAATAATTCCCTCTTTTTCCCTTTATTTAAATATTGAAAAAATTTTTTTAATAAAATCAACTAAATAAACAAAAAATTAATTTAAATAAATTGTTTTGTACTTTTAAAGTATGTATGTATTTTTGTAAATATTTTAAATATTATTTTTATTAAATTTATTTTTATATTCAAAGAATTTTTTTTTATTTATTTTAAAAAATAAAAAGAAGTAACTTTTAAATACCCCCCCCCCCCACCCCAAATATGTATATATTTTTAATTAATTTAAATTACCTTCTCTTTTTGATTGAATAATTTTAAAAGTATATTTTCCAACCAAACAAACAGAAAACCCCAAAGAAATCCAAAGAGTCAAATAAGAAAGTGATGAAAATAATAAACGAATTAATATATTTAGTAAAGAGCCGACAATTGATCCAATTGAAGCTAATTTACTCATTTTTTGAGAGAGTGAATTAAGTAGTTGTTGTTAATTTAACTGAAAAATAAATAAATTTAATAAAAAGTAATTAACAACAACTGAAAAACATTCAAATCGAGAAATTAAGATCTAAGCCTATTAATTAAAAATTTTTAAAAATAATTTGGATGGCTAACTCTCAACTTTTTTATAAAATACAAAAAATATGTATGCTTTAGAAAATTAAAAATAAAGCAAAACAATTTCTCCACTCCTTTATTAATAAAAATGCCAATAAAAATGTCAATTCAATAATATTTTGTTCATAAAAATTAAGACAAAATTTTCAAGAAATACTAGAATACATAAAAAGCACACAATTTAATGTGTATATGCATTTTTAAAGGAAATAAAAGGTTGAAGCTTTTTGCCAATAGCAACAAAAACAACAATAACCTCCCCCCTCCCTCCCCTTTTATGCATATCCAAAAAGGGGGCAGCTAGCTAGCTAGCCTGTACATATATTTGCCACAAAAATATATAAATAATTATTTTTAAAGGCAAAAACATTATTTCGAGTCTTAAACACATTCGAGAAAAGCAGGCACACACACAAACATGTGATGGCCAATTTCGTGTCCGGACAAAATATCGAATCGTTAAAATATGGAATAGGCTAAAAAAGGGTTAAAATCTCGAATCGGGTAAAAAGGGGTTAAAATCGCGAATAGGCTAAAAAGGGGTTAAAATGTGGAATCGTTAAAATATGGAATGGTTAAAATATCGAATAGGCTAAAAAAGGGTTAAAATATGGAATCGTTAAAATATTGAATGGTAAAAATGTCGACACGGCCAAAATCGATCAAAATGTCGAATTTTTTTAAAAATGGCGCCAGAACTAGAATCCGGGCGTTACCGTAATACCGACGGTATTTTTCGATATTCCGTGTCGGTTGTACGGTACGGAATCCGACCGATAAAATTTAAAAGCTGATCGGTATTTTTCGGTATTTCGTACCGTATACGGTAGGGTCAAACTTTAGGTCTTAACTAAAAACTAATGCACACCACTCTAATTTTTCCATATCAGGATCGCGTTATGTTTTCCGGATCCGTACGATCATGCCGGACCGGATCCGGTCGATTATGTTTGATTTATCCGGTCCGGTTTTACTCGGTAAAATACAATGAACTCTGGCAGAAAAGATTGCGCCGGACTACGACATACGAGACTTATCAATCAACTTATCATCAATAAGTTGATAAGTTGATAAAATCATCTACAATCAACGTATGGCACTCATCTGACCCTTTTTTAAAAGAATTCGACATTTTGACCGATTTTGGCCGTGTCGACATTTTTACCATTCCATATTTTAACGATTCCATATTTTAACCCTTTTTTACCCGATTCGATATTTTAACGTTTCCATATTTTAACGATTCGGTATTTTAACCCCTTTTTAGCCTATTCGCGATTTTAACCATTCCATATTTTAACGATTCCATATTTTGTACCGGAGCCGCCAATTTCTTTCTACTCTTGTGAGGATTGGCGGCAAAAACTAGGAAAAAAAAGAAAAGTCTACCACCCTAGAAATACAAAAATCAATAAAAAGACTGAGAAGCGCGAAGTTTCAGGCAGCGTTGTTGGCTCAAAAATTAAAAAGAAAAAAATATTAAAAATAAAATCCCCAAAGTCATCACTTTTTTAGAGAGAGGAGAAAGAGACAATACATATTGCTTGGATTAAATCTTTTCTCAAAAGATAAAAAATAAAGTTTTAAAAAAAGGAATTACTAAGGTCTTTCATCTTTACTTAATAATTTATTGACAGAAATGAGACAATTACCGTCATGTTTCTCACAGAAATTTGAATATAAAAATGGATTCTGACAAAAATTTTTCTTATTTTATGCCGAGAAAATTAATATTCCCCATGGGAATTAATATTCAACCCATCTATGGAATGAGGAATTAAAAAATTTTCAAAAAAAAAATAAAAAAACATAATTAATAAGGGTTACCCATGCAGGATTCGAACCTGGGTGAAAAAATTAAAGACAAGAACCTTATACTAATTAGTTAACTATCAACCCTTAGATATGTGGTGGGATACCGAATTAAATCTAAAAAACGTACAAAACTTTCTCGACCGAATGAATTGTCAATAAATTTTTTGGATTGTCGAAATTTTTAAAGGAAGTGAAAAGAGCCATGAAGAATTTAAAGTAGAGAATGCGCCCTTTGGTTTTTGCGCCTTTTGGTTGTGTGCCGTTTTGACCTTGCTCCGTTTCGTCCTGCGACGTTTTGGTCGCGCCGTTTTGGACCGCGCCGTTTTTGTCCGCGCCGTTTTTGTCCGCGCCGTTTTGGCCCGCGCCGTTTTAGGCTGTACCTCAATTTTAATTTTAATAATTTATTTCAAGAGTATTATTTTTATTTTTATTATTTTAATTTTAAATACAAAAATGCCAAGAGAACGTTCAAATACTTTGAGAAAATCTTCACCAAATGAAATTCAAGTAGGTGATCAAGTAATGGTTTTATGTGAATTACAAAATAGAGAGCCGATGCTGGCACAAATTGTTGAAATTAAACAAGTCGAAATTAACAACAAACCGAGTACCTCAAATGTTATTAAAATGGAAGTTGATGAGCAAACAACAGAGATTATTGACACGAAAAAGGAAGAAAAAAGAGAAGAATCCGCAAATTCTGAGGAAAATAAACGAGAAGGTTATTTAAATTTTTCTATTAAAAATTTCTAGGGTTGGGTTTCGAGTCATTTTTTTCGGGCCGGCCAGACCGAATCTTTTTCGGACCAAAATTCGATGCCCGACTCGATCCTTTCGGACCGGACTCCCAATCCTAAAAATTTCAAAAAAACTTTTCAGTTTCAACTTCTGGAGGTGAAGAAAGTCAGAGTGAAAGTAAAGAAAGGGAAGGAAGTCCAGAAACTATTTTTTATGTTCACTATGTTGGTACTGATCGACGTTTAGACGAATGGGTCCCAAAAAGTCGGATTCTTCGACAGGCAAATTATTTTTGTTTTTAAATTAATTTTTAAAAAATTTTGTATTTAGGCAGCTGCTGAAGCAGATACTTTAAATGGAAAACAATTTTTGACAAGAAGTCAACGTCGATTAAATGAAGATTTTCGGCATGTTCCAAAATCCTACGAAGATATGGACGCTTATACAAGAAAATTGGAAATGGAACATGAACAGGTTTTGAATTCCTCTCCCCCCTTTTTTTTGAGGCCTAGCACATAGAAAAGAAAATTCTGACCATTATATGCATTTTAAGGATGAACAAAATTAAAAATTTATTTTTAGAGAACAAAAGTCAAAAATGTTGAAAAAGTGCAATTTGGTGATTGGGAGATTGATGCTTGGTTATTTTATTGAAAAATTTGATTTTTTAAACACAATTTTTAAAGGTATTTTTCGCCATTTCCTCTTTCAATGGTTATTAACAAATCAAAACTTTATTTTTGTGAATTTTGTTTATGGTATACTTCAGATCAGGAAATATATACTTGCCATTTGGTTTGATTTTTTGAAAAAAATATAGGGAAATTTAAAATTGTTTTTGTCTTTTCTCGGGATGTCAAGGCTTTGTAAAATTATTTCGATACCTAAGGAATCCCTCTTGAGTTATAATTTCTGAAATAATTTTTAGAGGAGAAAATTTTCAAAAAAAAGACTTTTAAAGTTACACCGTTGTAAAAAACGCCGCCCACCCGGAGATAAGCAAATTTATGAAGATCGCCAAGCAAGTCATTTGGCTGTTTGGGAGGTTAAAGGCAGTCAATATAAAGAATATTGTCAATCACTTTGCCTTCTTTCAAAATTATTTTTGGATCACAAAACACTTTATTATGATGTTGAAGGATTTTTATTTTATATTTTATGTGAATTGGATACAAATGGAGAGGCACATACTGTTGGACATTTTTCTAAGGTTTTTTTTAAATTTTTGTCAATTTTGACGATAAATTTTTTAGGAATTAAATTCAGCAAATAATTTAGCCTGTATTATGGTTCTTCCTCCTTATCAAAGGAATGGATATGGAAAATTGCTCATCCAATTAAGTATTTTGTTTATTTTTAAAATTAAGAAAAATTGGTATATTAAATATTTAAAGTGATTGTCCAAAAATCCACATTAATTTTTCATAAGTTTTCCTTTCTAAAATCATCTTGACTTTGATTTTTGTCCACTAATTTCTCCACTCTTAAGAAAGGAATTCTTCAATTTCACTTAAAAAATATTTTATTAAATTGTCTCAGTTTTCCTATCATTTTACAATAAGAGAAACACTTGATTCAAAAAAACTTTTTAATTAAAATTTTGTAAATAATTTAAATATACAGGTTATTGTCTTTCTGAAAGAGAAGGAATTGTTGGAACCCCGGAACGTCCACTTTCTGATTTGGGCAAAGTTAGTTATCGAAGTTATTGGTGGTGGGTATTAATTGCTGTTCTTGATAGAGAATTAGGCTCTGGACGTTTAGAAGCTGGTTCAATTTCCGTAAATGAACTTTCTCGTCTTTCTGGCATTCACACAGTAAAATAATTAAATTAATTTTTAAAAATATTTTTTTATAGTTAGACATTGTAGACACATTTAAAGCTTTACAACTTATTAAATATTGGAGAGGTGACCATGTTGTGAGGATAAGTCGAAAGGTTTGCTTTTATATTTAAAAAATCGGAAATAAGTAAAGAATCGCCCTAGCTCCGTTTTATGGTTCGTTTTCTAAATTTTTGAGTTCTCGGGTGAGCATTTTCGTCTATTCTTCAGTCTTATAGCTTGAAAGGGGATGAAGTTGTTTGAAATTTAATTTTAAATCAAAATTTTAAGAAGTGAAATTTAAATTAAAATTTTCAAAAAATATTTTTCATTTATTTTAAAAGATAATATCACAAATAAAACAATTAAATGTTTTTCACGCCCCAAAATTACTTTTACAAAAATCGACAGTTAAATGGGAATTAGAAAATAATTATAATTTAACGACAAGAAAATATAGTAGCGATGTTGAAAAATTTGAGAAAATTTAATGAAAGAAAATTAATCTCTTTTTTCTTTTTTTATTGTTGAAATTACTTTTCACTTTTTTTTTAATTTTTTTAGAATTCCAGTTTTGCTTTAATTTTCTTACAATTAAAATAAAATTAACAAATATTTAAAAAAAATTAAAAATTGATAAGAATGGTTGTTAACCATTTAATTATTTGTAAACAATTAATTAGGAGAATCTTGTAATTAAAAGTAGCTTGAGTCTTTCCGAGTTCGACCCTCAATTTCAACTTAATTTACCTCTCATCCCAATTAAAATCGAAAATTCTAGAATTTATTTTGGCGAAATGATTTTATTTAGTAAAAATAGGAAAAATAATCTTTATATTACGTAATTTTGAGTTATTTTTATTTAATCAATTATTGCATCATTATGATTATTTTCTTAATTTTTAAGATTATTTTAAAACTTTTTATGCCTTTTAATTTTTAGATAAAAACAAATTTATATTTATTTTCAATTAAAAATGTCTAAAGCTGGACGCCTCGAGTCTGACACGGTTTGTTTCTAAATTTAATTCGAATGATGGAATTTTTAGGATCCGAACACGGTTACAGTTTTGAGGAAGCATCAAGCGCCGATGAAAGTGCTTAAATCGGAGGCTGAGGTTTTTAAATATTTTTATATATTAAAAGAATTTTGTTAAAGATTAATGCTGCCAAGAAACGGGGAGATGCTGTTGACACAAATAAGAAATATTTTGCTGGACAGAATCGGCAGCACAAAACTGATAAGAATACTGCTGTTCTAGATGCTGAGACGGAGGAGTTACATCATGAGAGGTCTTTTAAATTGATAATTAAATTTTGGGGGCTTTATTATTTTATGTAATTCTGTAAAATTCGGGCACGGAATGTCCAAAAATAAGGGTAAAGTCCCATATTGTATATAACCTCAGTTTCCGTGCTGTTTATTATCCACCACTTACAAAATTCCTTATAATCTCATTTTATATTTTTCTCAGTTCAGGGTGACCTTATCTCTTGGTTTGGCAATTCAACAGGCACGTCAGGCTAAAGAATGGACGCAGAAGGCCTTAGCTACAAAAATTAATGAGAAGGCTGAGGTTATTCGTGAATATGAAAGTGCCAAAGCTGTTCCCAACCAAGTGGTTTGTTTTCTCTTTAAAAAATATTTTCAAATTTTCCCAAATTTCAGATCTTAGGTAAACTTGAACGTGTCTTAGAGGTTAAGCTTCGTGGTAAAGAGATCGGTCAGCCTTTGGCGAAAAAAGCGGCGCCTGCTGCGAAGAAATAAATTTAAAGGATAACTATTAAGAGGAGGAGAACAATTTGAAGGGAAAAGGCTGCGTTATTTTAATTATTTTTTGTCGTTAAAAATGTGAGTTTCCTCAAAGTTTTTCATTGTATAATCTTTTTTTGGACATATAAAATATTTGCTGTGCGAATTTTTTAAAAACTGAAAATAGGGGTTGAGTAGGGTTGTCGGTTTCACCAAATTCTTCGGTTAACCGAACCGAAAATGATATAGGTGGATAGGGAGTGAAGTACATATAAAAGGATTTGTCGGATATAAGTGATTGATATCGGGCGATAAAAGAGATCCTGAATTGACAAAGGGGATATCAGTGGAATAAGGAAACTGGCACGAAAAACTTTTATATACGTTTTGTGGGAATAATGAGAAGGCCTTCCCTCCCAGAAAAAACATCGCTTCCTTCATAAATTCTCTTTACACTTCAAATTGAAAAAATGAAAATTACCCCAACACAATTCTATAATTAATTTATATATTAAAAAATAACTAACAAACAAATAAAAAAACTGGCACGAGAAACTTTTATTTTCTACTGAATTTGAGCGAGATCCTCAACAAGTTTGAGTATGTCTTCTGGCTTTAGAGGTTGTGCATCGCCTATTGTCCCGTCGGGTTTTCTCATTTTCAATCCTTCACAAACATCCACCAACATTTCCCTCGGCATTTCGATTACTGTTTCTATTAAATCTCCGTCAATAAAGCCCGATGCTGCTTCTGTCCGTCTTTCACTGAAAAAACTTCTGTAGGAAGAGTGATCCACTCGCATACTTAAAAAAATTATTTTTTTAATCTCAACATTTTTCTAAATAATTTATTACCAATTATGAGTTTTTGAAGCAATTGATTTTTGTAAATCCATTAAAAGTCTAAAAACATAAATTAAAAACAAAAATTTTAAACAAAACTAACGAATAAATATGTGGCTCTATTTGTACAATTGCACCTAAACCTCCATCTGCTGCGCCTTCAAAATATTTTTAAAAATTAATTTAGAATTATTTAAAAAAAATTACCATAAATTATTGGATTAGTAAAAAGTGTTTTGCGGGAATCTCTTTGTTGATTACTAATTATAGTTCCTCTATAAAATACATTAACCAATTCACCCAAATAAAAGAGACCATTTTGCTGAAAATTTTTTGCCTTAAATTAATTTAAATATTTCTAGGAAATTATGTGCGGGAGGAGGAAACAATTGACAGTTATTTAAGAGAAAAATATTTAAAGTAATATAAGGACCAAATTAAAGGTAATAATAAGAACACAATCTCCCTTCGAGAAAAGGAGTGGGGCATTTTTCTAATATTCCACTTTTTTAAAAATCAAAAAAATTACTTTTAATCTCATTCTGTCCTCATCTGTTTCAGCATTTACGTCAATTTTACAGCAATAAATATTAAAATTTGTTTCGGCAGCGAAAAATGTTTCTGAGTCAACAATTTCACAAGAAGTTGTCCATTCAGCAGAATAATCTCTTTAAAAAAAGAAAAAAAATATTTAATTTTATTTAAAAAATAAATTACCTTGCAATTTCTTCAAATGAAGAATCTGCCGGTTTATAACTTAAGAGACATATTGAACGCCTAAAAAAATTAAATTTTTCAAAAAATCTTCAAGATTCTCCATACATTAAATCACCAATAAGAACCAAATCTCCTTTTGTTTTTAAATAAAGTGCTTGAATATAATTAAAATTTGAACATTCTAAACGAAGTTCTCTTTCTGGTGTCCATTCAAAAAGTCTAACGGTGCTATTTACTGTACAAATTAATTTATTTCCAAGTGTTGTAATTGAATAAACTGCCCCTAAAAATTAATTTAAAATTTTATTTTTCATTTTTTTTACCTTTAACTTCTTTTTCTGTTACTATTCGTAATTTACTTCCAAGACCATCAGTTGAATCTGCACTTTGTGTTGCTTGAACTATTAATATCCTTCCCTCAAAATTTATTAGAATTTTCAAAGTTATTAACGCTTTTTATAAGAAGAATATTTTTTTCTTTAACTAGAGTTATGTCCCAAATTTTCGGTAGCACTTCGAACGTTTAAAACATCAATCCAAAAAATCGTTTGGAAAGAAGTTGAAATATTCAAAAATGTAAACAAAGAAAACCAAACCTGTTTAGGTTCTTGTTCATCAGGCACAACTATAGCTGTCCCAATAGCAAAATAAGGTGTTGGATCATCACCCAAATGTGCCGAACAAATAGAAATTCCAACTTCTTGTTTATTTAATTCCAAAACATTTAAACATTCAAAAGTATTTGAATCAAGAAAACAAACAGAATAAACTTCAATTTCTGTATCAGAATTAGGAGCAATTACTGCTGGAGGAGCAACAGCAGTAGCAGAAGATGTTGATGGTGGGGCACAACAAGGATCAATTACGGATGTTGTTGTTGTTGGTTCTACTTGTTGACATTGAGATTGTTTATTTGATGAAGAAGGGGTAGATGTTGTTGGATCAGAAAATGGTTGTGGTTGCTAATTGAAAAAAATTTTGCTTATTAATTTAAACAATCGGATCTCATTTTTACATAAATCCACCCAATGTTATTAAGTAGGGGATATCCTAAGAGATACCACATATTGAACTGTATACTTTTATTTATTTTCTTTTAAATTTTTTACTTGTTGCTGTGGAAGTTGAACAACTGAAGCACATTTTGCTCCCATTACAGAAATTGATGGACGAGAATAGCTATGCTTATTATTTTGCATAACACCATTACATCCAACATATTCCTCTGGCCTATATGTGAGAATAGCGATGAGACGCGTTTCTGGTTGGTAAACTAAGCGGCTGACAGCTAAAAAAATTTTTTTTAATAAAACGAGGGTTAAAAAGAAGGTTAAAATTTAAATTCCACAGAATAAAGGAAGAAAAATGAATAGTTAATTTGCGAGGAATTTTTTTTTGTTAATTAAAATAAAGTATTTACATTCTCCAAGAGGAACATTTCTTATATGCAATTTTTGAATGTCATCAATTGTCCCAATAAGTAAATTCTCTCCATCAGTGCTTAAATAAATACTGAATCAAAAAAATCAAAGAAACTTACAGTGCCAAACACCCTCTATAATGTTCAGAATTTAATGGACACATTTGATTAACAGAACGAAGATTAACATTAGAAAAAGATAATTTATTATTGCTTGAATAAATAACTGTTGGTCTATCAGAACAAACAAAAACATTTACAGCTAATTTTTTGGAAATAAATTTCATTAAAGTTGTTGGCTGTGTCCCAAGAGAAAATTTCTTTTGATTAGATAAAAAGCCTTAAAATTTTATTTTAAATTAAAATAATTATTTATAAAAAAATTACCATTTTCTAAATTAATTTTAAAATGTATAACAGTCCCATCTCCTAATGCAACAAATAAATAATGAAAAGATTCCATAGTAATCTTTAATTGTTAAAAAAAATTATAAAATTATTTTGATTAAGTGTAAATATATAAAGTTACTTGACAAAAAAGGATTTTCTTAGATTAGCCCATCATCTAAACCTTAATTTAACCTCCCTACACTTAGTCCAAAATCCTAATTAATTAAGATAATAGCGGAAGTTTAATTAATAAAAATATTTTTTTAATTAAAACTAAATTACCAAAAGCAAAGATTTCGGCAAAAATTCATTGCTCAGTTTCTCTTCTGTAAGTTTTTGTAATCCTTTTTCACCGATAGAATATACTGCAATTGAATGTTCAGCCCAAAATCCAATTGCAATTAAATTGGAATTAATTGAATTAGCTATAAAATAATTAAATTAGAAATTCCCTTTAGAAAAAACCCCTTACAAAGAGGAGAAATATCCACACAAGCAATTTCATTAATAAATTCTAAATTTTCTAAAAACAAAATTTCTTCCATTTTAACAATTAAATAAAATAATTTATTCCCAGAAACAACAACAAATTGCCCAGATTTTGGATTAACCGAAGCTAAAGATATTCTGCAATTTGGAGGTATCCAGTGTTTTGTTTGGAATTGGTTATCGACAATAGAAATTAATTGGACAGAATCTGGAGTAATTTGAAGTATTTTAATTGAAGAAGAAAATATATTTCCTGCCCAAAGTGTTGGCCTAGATAATTCAAAATCTGAAAAAAAAGTAAAAGGAATTCAAGTTTTTTGTATTTTTTGAGAGTAAATATCTCCAAAAAATTAAATTTTCTAAAATTTATTTTAATTTACCCTGAATTTGTGTATCTTCCAATTCTTCTTGATCAATTAACAATAAATGAGTAACATCAGCAAATGAAAGAACCAAATAATTATCCAATTCAGAATTTATTCGAAGTGTAAAAATTGCTTTAATTCCAGCTAATTCGACTGTCGCCATCTTTAATTTATTAAAAATTATTTAAATAAAATAAAAAAACCTCATCAATTCCAATACCACTTCTAATAACACGTAATGAACCATCCTTATATGCACCAGAAGCACATACCAACTAAAAAATAAAATAAAGAATTTAAAATAAAATATCTAAAAACCTGTTTTTGTCCATCAACATCAATTAAAACCAAATCTCGAATAGGCCCCAAATTAGGAAAAGTATCAATTACTATAACAAAAGAATTAGAAACAGAATCGACAGGTTCAGTTGAAAGTCGAATTAATTGGCTATCTCCAAGACGTGAACCAATAAATGCAACAGAATTATCTAGAAAAAAATTTTAAAATATTAAAACTAGAAAATAACATAAATAAATAGTTTTGGAAAGTGGAGTTTAGAAAGTGAAATTAAAATATACTTTATTTTGAACAACCCTAATCGGAAAAATTATTTTTAAATCCCTTGTGGATAAAGTAATCGAGAGTCTGACATGAACTTTAAAATGCTACGAAATCGAAAAACAATACAAGAAAAACGGAAATAGAAGGGGAAAAATAAGAGATAGGAAATGTAATATAGAAATTCGAAATTGTCAATAATTTTCATAAAATAATAAATAACCAACCCAAATAGACCAAACATTCAGGAATTGAAATTTCTCCAAGTAATTCAATCTAAAATTTAAAAATCAATTTATATTAGTAATGCTATAAAAACTTTTAAATCTCTAATTTCATCAGCATCAGCACCTCTAAGCAATAACAACATAAATAAACGTCCAGACATGTCACCAAGAAGAAAACGTTCACCTGTTCTATCAATTCGTCCATAACAGTTAAAACGGGCCATGTTAATTAACGGAGGGGCAACAGCAACGAAATGGCTTGGACTCTGTGAAATTTTAAATTTATGGTTAAAAGAAAACGTAAAATAATTTTAAAAATTTTACTTTTTGATAGCTAATTGATTCTTGTCCAACCACAACCAAACCTCCATATGGAGCGGGTATTGGAACAAGTAAAGTAGCTTCTGCTTCAATATTACCTTAAAATTTTGAAGAGTTATTTTAGATGTGAATTTAAATAAAAACTTTGATGCCATAATGCAGCCTTTAATTCATGTCCTTCCAAATCAATCTCACAAACTTTTAAATGACGCCCATTTAAATCCTAAAAAATATAATTTTGTTCAAAATTATCCAAAATTTTATTTTTCATTAAGATACCTGATAAAAGTAAGCAACTATTGGATTCTCTATAATTTAAAACAAAATTTAAAAAAATATTAAAAACAATTAAGTACCTGTATTTTCTAAAAAAGCAACATCTGTAACATTATTTTCTTCAAAACGAACATTAAAATTCTTTAAATCTCTGCCCTCTTTCCATTGTATTAATTTTAAATGACCTTCATAAAGACGCAAACCAATCAACTAAAACAGATTAAATTGATTTTTAAAAATTTTAAAAATACCCCGCTTTCGTGCACACAACTAATTATTCCGGTCTCTGCAGGCCTCCCAACTTTATCGGCAACATGTCCATATGCCCTTGTTTTAGGTGTACCATCTGGCTCAAAACCAAGAATAGCAAGATGATATTTTGCAGTTAAAACGAGTAAACTATCCAATTTCTAAAAATAAAAGGGATCAAAAAATATTTTTAAATTTTTTTAATTACCTCACCAGGAAGACGATATAAATTCATTGAAGCAATCCGGCCAAAGATCGGTATTTCTTTGTGTGGTTTAAGACCTTCAGATGTGACTAACAAATGTTCTATTCGGTTAACACGAGCCTGTAATTTGTAATATTATTCGAAGTATACAAATATTTGAACTTACCAACATAATGTCCAGCTCATTTGAATTGCGGAAATTTCCAACAACAGCAAATTGAACTGAAAATTAAGAGTAACGTTACAAGGTTTGAAGCAATTTAAAACAATCCCAACTTACCCACTGTCGGCTTCTGTAAAGATACAACATAACTACAACCGTCTTTATCCATTTTATAATTATCTAAAAAATATAAATTAGAGAATGTTAACTAATCTAGGCAGAAAAATTTTTCTGAACAAAACTAGTGAAATCGGAATTGATGAAAACACAAACTTAATGATTGAAAAATTCATTTTGGTTAAATATTCATCCAAATTACCAAAAAAATAAACAACAAAATCAACAAACTGTTACTCATTTTTATAATATTATAAAACATTAAAAATGGCTTTATCAAAGAAAATCCATCAACAAAATATAGTGGAATTTATTAAAATTATTTTCGTGTTTTGAATCAATAACATAGAGCATTTCCCCGTTTAAATCCGTCATCATATTTTCATTCTTACAATTATTTCACGTCAAAATTTGTTGAAGCACCGCGTTCTGATGGCTGTTCAGATGGAGTGAAGTAAGAATTTGGTTGAAGAGTTGTTCATTCATTTGAATATGTTTCATAATAGATTTCTTAAAAATATAGAATATTTTTTTATTTTAAATAAAGAATATATTAAAATTTTCAGACCATTCTGGCCTTTGTATTTTCCAATAATTCTGATGATTCACCATCAAAAGCTCCATGAGAGAAAGTATGCAGAATAATCTTCAAAATGTAAATTTTATTTTACACAACATCAGAAAATTTAAATACCTGAAAAATTCGTGATGGATCTCCTTGAAGTGCAGGATGTTGTGACTCAACTAAATCACAAAAATAGTCATAGACGTATGGAACTTCTTCATGATCATTCCAAACAGGTAACCAACTAACGAAACGAGGCACAAATTCATGAACATTTAATCCGGCTGAATTGTATTTTAATATTTTGGCAATAGCGCTGATCGAATTTTCTGTTGCCGCCGAACTTTCTGCAACGTTTTAGGTTAAAGAATACAACAACAAAATAAAAAATACCTTCTGTACTACGAGCATCAGATCTTTCAATCGATACAATTAATGGCTGGATAAGTTGAGTACAATGCTTCTCATATGCCTAATAAAAAAATTAATCAAATATGGCACGAGAAAAAACCTGGCCGCCTTTTAATGCCATTATTCCACAACCATAAGCAGCAGCTTGACGTACCTTAAAAAATAAAATTATTAATAATTCTGGGATAAAATAAAACTTCAGAATGTTTCTCACTCAATGCATTAACTAATGGCTGCAAGAAAAGATGTTGATATTGTAAACTTGACTAAAAATAAAAATTTTGCAATAAAAATAAATTAAAAAGTAAAATCCATACAGGGCCACCAAACTCAATCAAATCATCGAAAATACAAATTGCCCATTGTCTATCCTGATAAGGCCTTCGAGGATCCAAAAGTGATGCAAAATGAATCGCCATTTTATCAAAAAATGGAACATTTGCTTCTTTTTTTGTCTAAAAATAATAAGGAAATAAATGTAAATAAAATCAAACCATAAATAAATAATGATTAATATCAGCCAAACGGGCCCTAAAAATTGTATTCAATTTTTTATAATATTAAAATCAGTTAAACTTACAACATATTAGATTCAGCTTCGAAAACTTCATTTAAGGATTCTTGTTCATCTTCATCATCAATATCTTCATCATCCTTGCGCTAGAATTAAACAAATTACTTCAAAATAATATTAAAAAAACATCTGCTTCTCTTTCTATACGCCTCTTTGTAAGATATTCCAATCGAAAGAGAACAAGTTCATAAATTTGTTCAATGTCTTGAGCAGTAATAATTGAAGTTTCGCCAAAATGTTCAACACATTCGGCAATACCATTAAGTATTTCACAAATAACTTCGTTTTCATTTTCTTTTTTATTGGCATCTCTACAAAAAAATATTTTTATTATTCAGCCTTTCAATAATTACTTGTAAGCATTAAAGACAGTCTCCCATGAGCGTCGTAAATATTCCTCGCCATATATTCTCGAGCTAATCAATAAGAAAGGAAGGCATTCTGCTGCCGCTGAATAAAAAAGATGATTATTTGATATTATTTATTCCAAAAATTAACCCTGTCTCACGCCTTCATGAAAAACAAATCTGAGCAATTGTATCATCATCCCCATAACACGTTCAGCATAAGGTGCAAAACCTTCTTTGAGTTCACGTGCAAAACAAACAATCATTTCACAAGCAGTAACTTTATCTTCCAATCCAGCTGTTCGAATACCTAATGAGCGATTAGCACCTGAAAACATTTAAAAGGAGTTTTTTACCAATAGGAAAAAAATTTATTACCAATAGGAAGATAATTCCATTCTTCATTATCTTCTTCATCTCCTTCTCCATCCACAATAGTTACTTCAGGTTTAAAATCAGCGGCCAAAAGAACGGAAGGCATAATTAAGTCCAAATATTTAGCAAAACTTTAATTTTACATATTTTAAAAGAAATAAAAAATCAAAAAGAGTTACCCAGGTCCAAGAACTTTACAAATTCTTGCCCAAGCACTTATAAAATAACTGAAAGAGAAAATAAGACAAAACAATTATTTATTTAAAAAACCTAATTTGTGGGTCATCATTTGCTTCAAAATTAACACCAGATGTAAGAAGAAATTGCCTTAAAAATATTTTCTTAAAAAATAAAAACAACAAACATTATTTGGTCAGCATCGGCTCCAAATAAATCCTTTCCAACTGCAAGTCCAATTAAAGATATACATTCAATTGTTCTACCACGCAACATTTTACAATTGTCGCCCTTTGAGTTCTCAAAAACTAAAAAGAAAAGTCAAGAATAAAAATTTAAAATAAAATAACTGTATTTTAGAGGAGGCATTAGCTCATTGTAAAATGCAGCAAAATGATCTTTAAAATAAATTGTCTTTAAAATAATTCACAAATTTTACCTTGTGCTGCATCAGCAATTGAAGCAATCGTTGTGATTATCTTAACAAAATATTAACTTAAAAAATAATATTGGTTAAAAAGAGACCTGCTCTAAAACCAATTTTTTCCCAGTTGTTAACATTTGTTGAAGAGTCTGTTGAAGAACTGTTTGAATTTTAACCATCAACTAGAAATTTAATTAAAATTATTATAATAAATTATATAAAAACCGATTGAAGATAAATATTAATGATAGCCTTTGGGCATTCTTCACAAAAATTAACCATTGCTGCAGCAGCGTGTGCAGCAACACGTGGAGTGTTTAAATCGGACATTGCAGTCAAAAGAGCCTATATAAAGATTTAATTGCAAATAAAAATAAATATCAAAAAAACTCACTGGTACAATCGTTTCATGACATTTTTTCTGAATAGTCGGTTCAAAATCTGTACACATTTGACCTATCGCATTGCATGCAGCATACCGTACACGAGGATGTGGATCGTTCATTTTTGGAATGAGCATTTGATTTGTAATGTCATGTATAAGTGGTTCCATTTGTTTTTTGCAACCCTAAAAATATTAATAAAAATTTATAATTAATTAAATTTTACTTCGCCAATTGTTGACAATGCACAAAGACCGGCATGTCGATATTTCCAATTTTCTTTGAAAAAAGAATTCAATGAAAAAAATAGAAATTTAAACCATTTCCAAGCAATTCATTAATACATTGCAACGCATGTGTCATTACAGCCTTTCCACCAAGAGAACAAGAAATTCGGTCAAGGGAAGTCTCACCAATTCCAGCAGTTCTAAAAAAGTGTGTTATTTAAAATTACTTTAAAAAACACAAACTCCTCATCCAAATCCTCATTAGCGTCATCTATTGCCATCCATTCGTTTAAATCGTCATCGAGCTCTTAAGGAATTAAATAAAATCAACATTTTATAAAATAAAATTAAACCTGTCATTAAATGAAGACATTGCTGGACTAAAAAAATCACAAATTAATTTAAAAAATCTTAAAAAATATTACTAAGCGCAGGCAGATAATTTGCTCCTTTTTTCTTCATAAAATTACCGCTTTCACACATAGAAACCATTACCTCCAAACTACCTAAAAACAGAAAATATCATTAAACAAAATTTAAATAAATATTTACTATGTCTATACGATTCATCTTTTTCTTGATTAGCAACAATGCTTGAACACAAAGCAAAAATACTCGCAAAATGAGGAATTAAAATTTTGGGCAATGAAGCAGCCAAATCGCTAAGGCATTGAAGAGGAACATCTGCAGAAAGAAAAAATTATGAACGATAAGCATAAAAACCAACCATCATCATCTTCAGTCTCAACAACATGTTGACAAACTTTAACAACAGCAGGAATAAGGTCAGAAAGTGCTTTGACTACATTTGTATCCTCATCATTGTCACAAACAAAGGCAACATAAGCCCTAACAGCAGCTGTTCGAACAGAGCTATTGGCTCCAAACAAAAGAGAAGCATGGAACATTTTCTAAATAATTTATGAAAAGTCATAAATTATAGAGAAACCTTTATGTCATTAATATATTTGATAGAGTCAGAGCCAAAAATGTTTGGAACATTCCTTTAAAAATAATAATCAAGGAAAAAAGCAAAAAATTTACTCAATCAAAGACATTCCAGTCTCACGGAACGATGGATCTTCCGAAGTAGCACATAATTCAAGAAATTGCATTACGCCTGTCCAACATTGTTTTCCTGTATTTTCGTCTAAAAAACGGAGAGTAATGAAAAACTTCAAAAAATAAACCAATCGTATTTCTCGCCAGTTCTGCCAAAATATCGGTTAAACGTTTTTTTAAAACTGGTTGTTGTTCTGCACTAAGATAACGAATAAATTCAGAGTGAAAATGGTCCTTCTGGATTTGTGAATCACGAAAAAATTCCTCATAAGAGGAAGCAACAAGACGGCGTAGAAGCACAAGAGCCATAGAACGAGACTTAAAAAGTTGCATAAAGGTTTTTAATAATTAAATTTATAACCTCAATGTCGTAATTCACATTTGAATAATGGCCAAAAAGAAGTGGTCCTTTGTCCTTGAGCGCTATCTTTTCATATTCCTTCTCGGCGACTTCTGTAATAAAATATAGTGGGACTAAAGAAGCTTAAACTTAATAATTTTGTCTAGTAACTTTGCTATTTAATTTTTAACTCGAAATGTAGGAACTCATAATTGTCTAAACTAGCTGACATGAGCTCTCCAGCTAGCTACGTGGCTAACAATAAATATAGCGCCCGTCTAATAAAAACAGAAAATGGAGACTGTTCCAAAAGTATCCCGTGAAGCCTCAACAAAAGTAACAAACCTCTTATTTCATTCTCAGAGCTCATCATCCCAACTAATAATTGAGCAAAATCAACAGTTCCCGCAGCCATTATTAGATTAAGTAATCAAAATCAGCGCTTAAAATTGTCAAAATTGAAAATGTCAAATTAAAATAATTATTTCCGAATTAACGATACAAATAAAAATGTAATGAAAATCAATTATTTTTACCATAAAAGAAAAGTCTAATTTGAATAATAACTAGGTGACCAAAATTTCGGAATTTTAATAGTTATTTTTGCTTTTAGCGAGATTTTAATTAAAACAAATGCCGAAAAGTGCAAAAATATAAAATTCCTGTGAATATTGATCAACTAATTTTTTGTAAAATGCCAAAAAATATCAAATATAGGAATGTGTAAAAAATGCCCACAAATAATACTTTGACTAGAGGATTAAAAAAACTGTTAAAAATGAGAATTTAAAGCAAATTTTGTTTAGGAATGGTTTGGTAAAATAAAAGTTAATCCAAAAAAATATTTTTTTTTGAAAAAATGATCAAGAGAAATTTAAAAATCCTTTTGAAAAATTAATTTGGATTAACTTGGTTGGAATGTTCAATTGCGGCAAGTAAATTACAGAAAAATAAAAACACCGAATGAACAAAAAAAGAATAAACTTTTAAAAAGGAGAAGTTTAAAAAATTGTAAAAAAAATTAAAGCGCCAAAAGGTCGGGAAAGAGAATTAAAAAAAGGAATGTTACTTCGACATTATACACACAAAAAACATTGCCATTCACTCATTTTGTTATGAGTTTAGAAGTGCGCTTGTTAGCAGAATCGACGCGGCTTTCGTTGGACAAAGCCTGCAAATAGTTTTTTTAAAGTTAGGCAATTAACAAAAATAAATAACCTTTTCTTGAATTCGAGACAATTGACGGTTTTGGTTAGAAACTTCAGTGGACATATCTACAAAAATATTTATTTTCATTTAAGAATTAAATATACCAATTGCCATATTACGCAAATTTCCAACCATAGTAGAAACTTGTTGAATATTTTCATCCATCTCATCTTCACGTGCATCATTTGTAATTCTAAAAAAGAAACGTTTCATAGGCAACTAATTGACTTATTTTAATTTAATTTGTAAAAAAAAATAAAGAAAAAATTTGAAGACATTATTCTGTCCTTATTACAAGAAAAAGAACGTCTGACAATTACGAGACCGGAAAAGATTCAGAAGATACCGATAAGTACCAATAAATCAAACCTCGTAATATATCCTCCTTGTGGCCCCATTCCTGCGTCGCCAACCGTTATACGCGGTTGATCACTAATTACTCCACCATCATCGTCCTTCTTCCAAGTTTTTGCATATTCCGAATTTTTTTCAAAATCATTTCCTCTAAAAAATAAATTAAAATTCTAATAATTTAAAAATACTTTAGACAAGGAAGAACACAAAGACCGCAACATTTTTCCATTCCTTTTAAATGTTCTTCAGCTTCTTTCATATCTTGATTTATTGTATCCAAATTTTGTTCAACACGTTCCAATTGTTCTAAAGGAAAATCAGAATTTTATTAAAAAGAAGAAAAAACCTCCTTGGTCATCCAACATAACAAGAGTTTTAATTCCTGCTTCTTTGCTCTAAAAAATTAATATACACAAAATCGAAATTCCAACAAACTTCTTCACAATATGCCAACATTCGACGAGTACTTTCCAAAGACTAAAAATAATTAAAAAATAATTATTTTAAAGAAGATTACTTCATCCGCAGTGTTATTTATCCGTAGGTTAATATCATCCAAAGATTCGGGAATCTCTGCAGCGGCTTTCTTTGACATTATGAATATACAAAAGGCTCTTGAACGGCGTCAAAGAAGAATAAAAACACCTAAACTAATAAGACTTTTACAATAAAAATGAATTTAATTTATTTATTGGAAATGGAAATACATTACAAAAAAGGTCTCCCATTCAAAATATTGGTGACCTTCGATAGAAAAAGAACACTTTTGATATTGGGGAAATCCAATTGTGCCCCAAACACAATGGAATATGGAAAAATGAAAAAAATTATTTATTAAAGACCGTTCCAAACTAAAGACAAAATGTCAAACGACAAAATGCCATTTGGATAAAGAAATGTAGACAGAATATATTCCTTAACGGCACTTATAGAAATTTTATTCGGAATTACATTTTTTCTTCATGGCATTTTTAAAAATCAACTTTGATAACATTTTTGTGCTTGGCATTTTGTAGGCCAGGCAGATTTTCCTGTCACCAATGTCTCTCTCTCATTTTGACGAGAGGCTACTTTGTTGCAGACATAAATTTTTGCCTCTTACATAATAATTTCCAGCTTTGACAGAGTTTTTTTTCCAACAATATTTCTTTTTTCTACTGTCTAATATCACATTAATGAAAAAATATTTTGTAAAAATTCAAAAGGGTAATCTACGTTAATTCTTAAAATAAGGTAACCTCAAAAGGGCACCGCACATAAGGGTACACTCTGTGATGCTCCTTTATAGTATAATTAGGTTTTTTGGCACATTTTCTAAAGTTTGACATATATTATTCTTATAATTAAATAATTTATTAATTTAAATCAACTAGTCAATTAAATTATTGCGCATTTTGCGTCATTTTTACCGATTTTTTCACGCAAATTTACACACAATTTCCTTCCAAAACAAGTTTTCCCTCCGGTTTTTGAATTAAATAAAAACATTTGTTAACTAATCTGAGAAATATCGTTTGACTAAAATAAAAAAAAATTTTTTTATCTGAAAAATGAAAACCCGCGCATCTTTCTATATAAAATTATAAAAAGAAAATCACCGCCTTTGGTCAACGGAGGGAGACATATACATATTTTTTTATTAATCTTCCGTAAATGGACATTGGCAATGATTTTCTCTCCTATATTTTTGTAGGGAAAGGGAAACTTGTTTTCATTCACTCCCCCCTTTTCACTCTCTCCTTTTTGATCGAAACAGAAAAATTTGGCAGATATGTATATAATAAAATATTTAATCCTTTATTTTGTTAATCAAAAAATGAGCGTTTGGAACAACAAAAAATAATTTTTAAATTGGATTTTCTCTCTCATTTTTTAGCCAACCTTAAGCATTTCTAGCTTATTAGCCTCAATCTTTTTCTTTAGATTTTCCAGTTCCTCGAAGATGTGTTTACTAGGGAGTGTCGACCTAAAAACGGTCGAGACCGGGCTCATTCGATAGAGAATGTGCCCTTTTTACCAAGGATTTTAAGCCGTTTTTGCCCTTTTTTTGAACTGGCCAAGATATGGCCCTCCAACGTCCCAACCTCGCAACCTTCCCTAGTTAGTTTAATTTAATTTTTTCAATTAAAATTTTTACTACAATTAAATCAACTCATGATAGCCAAACTTGTCTTATAAACCCTTTTTATTATTTCCTTTAATCCATACTCTACATAATAACAAAAAATCATTGTCAATACTTTTAATTTATCCAAAATCATTTTCTATCATCAGCAACAGCTACTTTTATTTTTAAATTTTCTCTTTTATTTTCTCATTTCTTCAAAATTTTTTTCCTAATTTTATCGCCATTTTCTCTTTCCATTTTCTTACTTAAAATTACCAAAATCATTTTGGTTAATGCTGTCTCCACATCCGGCATCTCCTTTCCATTTGCCGCCTTCCATACCTTAAACAAACTCCAATGTAAAGCTGCTTGTTCTCTCTCTCTCTCTTCAATTTCCTTTACATTGAAAAAATAAATTTTTAGAAAAGGATTTTGACTGACTTTGCGCACCTAGTAAGTAGTATGTAGTTTATTCATGAGACACTAAAAATAAAGCGCCGATGATTATGTTCCATTTTTCTATTCTTCTCTTTGATTTTTCTCTATAAAACAAGCTAAACATTGTTACTTTTTAAGGAAGAAACTTTATCGGATATTTTCATTGATCATTTATTGATTTTTGATTTATCATTGAATTGAGATATAAATTTAAAAGGATGGATTTAGTATCTTTTTTTCTTTGAAGATTTTTCTTTAGGGGTTTTTATTTGTTCAATGGGAAAACCTAAATTTTACAATGGGAAAACCTAAACCGAAAAACCTAAATTTTCGGTTTCGGTTAACTGAAGAATTTGGTGAAACTGACAATCCTAGTCCTGATACGTTTTTTCAATTTGTTTCTAGAAATGGATTATTTTGAGTAAATGCAGTTCTTACTTCTGGAAACGTACACGAATACCGAAAAGTTTTATTAAAGTTACTTACAAAAAAATTTATTTACAAAATTTTTCAATTTTTCTCTTTTACTTAGGATGCGGAAATGGCGAAATATTAGTCTAGAATCATTATTAATTCCAAAATCAAAAGACAGATTTCGCCTTTCTTTTTTTCCTTTTTTCCCTTTAATTTTCTTCTTTTTTATTATTTTAATTCCAATTTCCCAACAACAAACAGAAAATTGGGATCAACAAAGAAGGTTAATAGAAGGAAGTAGAACAACAACTTCTAATAATAATTTAGAAGATAATGGAGATCTCTTTATTTTACTTGATGAAATTAGTGTTTTTAGTTGTAGAGGAATTAAAAATGAAATTAAATTAACTGAAGAGGTGTTTTTAATTAATTAATTTGGAGATTATTAGTAGTAGTCTCTCCTACCTTTTCCATTTGCGTTAAAATTTATTTTTTCCTTTAATTTTTCCTGACATATTAAAATTATTGTTTAATCAACGTTCCCCTGGAGAAAGTTCCCCGTCCTTCAAATATTACCGTAAATGCTCTAATAGAAGCCCACCCCCCGGTAAATTCATATACCTATTTTAATTCTCTTTTTGTTTAAAATAATTTCTTTTAATTGGATTGGAAAGTAATATTTTTGGGAAAAAATTAAAAATAATTTAAATATATTAATTAACTTTTATTAAGGATGTTCAAATTGTAAATGAAAAAGGCAATAAAGTTTATTATATTAAAGCACCTGGCAATTATTCTTTACATTTTAAAAATATTAATGTTTTAAATAATTTGGTTAGAAATTTTATTTTAAATTTTAAAAATATTAATTAAAAATTTACAGGCATATTTGAGCGGGGAAATAGGCGTTACTTTACAGGCAAGAAAAAAATAATGTAATTAATTGTTAATTAATTTTTAAAGGTTCCAATATTGGAAGGGCCTGCTGGTTTGTTTATTTTATATTTCCCTTTCAAAAAATAAAATAAAGGTATTCGTTTTGATGTACCTTATACAATGATCCCAGAAACTGGCCTTCTAGATCAACATTGTGATGAAGCTAGTGGTATTGTACAAAGAGAGAAGAGACAATATTGGTGCTCTTTTTAAGAATTAATTTTTAAATTTATTCCAATTTAATCCTTCTTAGGGAGTAGAGTAATAGTTTGGTTCAGACCTCCCTCCCCTTTTTTTAATTTAATTTGTGGCATATGTTCTCTTTTCCAAGTTACATCGCCCAAATTTTAACGGGCCTAAACAAATAAAATTCAAAATAATTTTTTAAAGTCGTTATTGCGAATTATGTACACTTGCTGATAAAATAGAGCAAGGTTTAACTAATGGAGAACATCAATTTCTACCAATATTGGCTTCTGGCCAAGAACAACCATTTGCCCCGAAATGCTCAAAAATTGGGGCAAAAAGTTATGAATTTAAAAGAACAATTAATTTGCCTGGAAGATTTGATTTAGAACAAAAAGTTAAACAGAAAATGAGTGGAGTAGATGCTGAAATTAGAAAAAGATTGAATAAAGGGGTAAAAATTGAAATTTTTTTAAATTTTAAATAAACACACTTAGTCACCCCTTACAAAGGAGAGAGGCTGTGGGGTGTTGTGGGACTTCGGGATGAAATTTGGTAGACAGATACATAGATCTTGTCAAATGGGAATAAAGATTAATTAAAGTCACTTAGGCATATACCACACACACACACACATTTTAAAGCTTAGCTCTCCTCTTCTAATTTATTTTTATTTAGAGAGGTCGTTTCCAAGTATTTTTAAATTTAATCAGTGCTGATGCCCCTCCAATCACTATGACGGTAATTAAAGTATTTTTAAAAAAATATTTAAAAATAATTTAAAAAAGGATTGGTTTGATGGATCAGAACAGTGTCGTTGTTGTGGACGTGAAAAAGATCCAAAATGTCGAGGGGTTCTTTCCTTTCTTTATTGTAATGTGGAAGATTGCAAAGTTTGGGAAATTAATTTTAAAAATTAAAAAAAAATTAAATTAAAGTCAGCCTATGCCCAACAATGTTTACATAATTCAGCACGTATAGTTGCCTGTTATACAGTTGAATTTAATTATAGAATGACTACAAGGAGAGAAGAAGTCCAACAATTCTTACGGTAATTCTTGTAAAAAAGGAGTAAAAAAATCTTTTTTTTTTAATTAAGAGAAAATAATTATCCAGATCAAGATTCAGCAGTTACAACTTCTTTAGCTGCCGATGAGTTAATTTAAATAGAAAAATATTTTTTAATTATTTAAATTTAAAGATTAACTTCCGAAATTCCAAATCAAAATATTAAAGAAGAAAATAATAATCAAAGATTCAATCATCAACACCAAACTTCAGCACCTAAAAGATTAGTTTATGGAGATGAACAAAGAGCTAGACAACCAAAAGAATTAAGCATTAAATGTGTAAGAAAAGAGATTTTTGTTTTAATTATTTTTAAATTAAATTACCGATAAAGAGGAAAAGTTTTGAGAAAAATTACTTCATTCCCAATTTATTTTCAATTTAAAAAATTATTTTTAGGTTTCCCAAATGGCAACTCGTCTTACACATTTACGTAGATATTGCAATATTTTTTGGAACGAGAAACTTTGTTGCTCACATTGTCCTGGCATTTGTTGAAAAAAATTAAAATAATATTGATATAATTTAAATTTTTTTTTTGTACAAAAGTATTTTTTTTGTATTTTTAAAAATTATTTAATAAAAATTAAAACTCTGAGGACAAGCTAGTAAAAAATCGGCAAAAATAACAGTTCTGCATTGACTTCAGATTGAAAATTCTGTTGAGAGAGAGAGAGAGAGACGAATTAAAAGCTTTAGAAGATTAAAGAATTTTAGATCAAATTAAATGTATTGTTGCCTACAGCCTAACTAACAAATTTAAACTAAATAGAATACATGATCTAGATTTTAGTAGAATCCTTAGAAAATTCGATCAAGATTAGAACTGCGCAGAAATTAAAGAATTAAGACGGAATGAGAACTTAGGATAGAGAAAAAGTCAAGTAGATAAAGGAGATCCAGCAACAACAGCTTTTATACTATTAGATTCAAGCCTGCTTTTCTCCCTTCGAAGCATTCCAATTTTTAGTATAAAAGCAGTAGTAAATCTTAGCTCAATTAACAACACACACAATCAACTTCTCAACCGTTCACGACAACAGCTTCAACTTCACAAGTCAATGGCACAATCTGCGTACTTCGGTGGCGGTGGTGCAGCTGGTGGAGGCGGCGGTGGTGCATCTGTCTACATGGGATCTGGAGCCGGCGGTCCCCCGAAGCAACCTGCAGCTGGAGGCGGCGGTTATGGAGCTGCTGGTGGAGGTAATGCGTCTGTCTACATGGGTGGTCCTGCTGGTGGAGGCGGAGGAGCCGGTCAACAAAGTGCCTACTTTGGTGGACCTGCTTCGGGAGGAGGTAAATAATTATTAATCCTAATACAATAATAGATAATTTATTTTTATTTAAGCTTCTGCTGTTGGTAGGTCTGCGGGTGGAGGAAGTGCTTTCGGAGGCGGCGGTGGAACCCAAACGGCTATGGTTGGAGGCGGCGGTGGCACTCAGACTGCAATGGGAGGATTTGGTGGCGGCACTCAGACAGCTCTCGGAGGGATGGGCGGCACCCAGACTGCGCTCGGCGGCATGGGAGGCACTCAAACTGCTCTCGGAGGGATGGGCGGCACCCAGACAGCTCTCGGCGGGATGGGCGGCACTCAGACAGCTCTTGGCGGAATGGGCGGCACTCAGACAGCTCTCGGCGGGATGGGTGGAACCCAAACGGCGCTTGTTGGCTATGGCGGTGGAGGCACCCAAACGGCTCTTGGCGGAATGGGAGGTACTCAAACTGCTCTTGGAGGCTTTGGTACGCAGACTGCTCTTGGTGGTGCTCCTCCTGCTGGAACGGCAACTGCTCTCGTTGGTGGAGGTGGTGGAACGCAGACTGCAATGGGAGGAGGATATGGAGGTACGGCAACATGTTTGGGGAACGCTCCTGCGGCAGGTAAAAAATATTATCTTTGTCATTTTAGCCATTGATTTTAATGTTTTAATTATAGGTACAATGACTGCTCTTGGTGGAGGAGGCGGCGGGACGATGACAGCTCTTGGAGGCTTGAAACCTGCTGCTGGTGGAGCTTCTCTTGCTGGTTCAAGTGAGTTAAAACTTAAATCTTAAACCATCATTAATTGAGCTTTTATTTTCATTTAAAGATGTTGGCGCTTCTTCGGCATATATGGGAGGTCCTCAAACCGGTGGTGGCGTTGGTGCGCAGTCTGCCTACTTTGGCGCTGGTGGAGGAGGTGGCGGCGGTGGAGCACGTCCGCCTGCTGGTGGCGCTGCTGCGGGATCTGTCTACATGGGCGGTGCAGCTACCGGTGGAGGAGGCGGCGGTTTCCAGAGCGTCTACATGGGAGGGAAGTGATGTGCAGCCGAGGACAAAAGATGGAGAAGAACAGAAGAAGCGTTGTTTGACTAGATAATCCCTTTTCCCTTCCAATCCCCCATATATAATTGTGTGTTTTTTGTATTACGCTAATATATATAGGCTATTATCCCATTTGTTGTTGTGGCTCATTAATATAATCCAAATGTGCCCAAATATGTCGTATAATTTCCTATTGTTCATATTGTATGTTGTATATTGCTATTTGTATTGGATATATAAATAAATATAAAAATGTGTTTGTTGATTTTTGTGTATAGTATTGAGCTCTTATTTAGGCTTTTGAGATTTGACCTTTCATTAGTTTTCATTAACTACAAATTTGTACCCAATACCATTTTAATGTTTGCCTGGCTTAAAATTTCTTGTCATCTATTAAGTGTTTGTTTGAAGATTATTCGTAGCCTGCTTTTAACTTAGCCTTGGGTTCTCAACTCAAAATCTGCTTTAAAAGTAAATTCACTCAAACAAACTAAAAATTATCAGAACTTAAAAGAAGTTATTATCATTAATCCAAAAAATTAACTAAAAATTCCCATATACATATTAATAATTTAAACTAACATGGGCAAGTCTAATTAAACGGGGAGATTTTAGAGCTTAAAGTAAAAGGAACAAAAATAAATTACATATTTATGTTTAATTTATCAAAAAATAATCAAAATGCAAAAATCTTTAAAAATTAAATCAAACTTTTTTAAAATAAAATTTGAAGTCTGAAAACTTTTTTCTATCTTCTCCTTCGGCGCATAAATACTTCTGATGCCGAAACTTTAGAAAAAGTATTTTTAACATTTAAAATTAAAAAAACATACTAGGTGCTGAATGAGAGAGTGGAGCTAATACAGGATCTGATGATACTGGGTGGTGTGGACCTTTTACCTTTAAAAGAAGTATTTTTTTAAAATAAAAGAAATTGGGGAGAGAAAGTGGAATGAAGGCACTTTAAATTTGTAAATTTAAACCTCAGCTCCTTTGCCGATAAGAAGGCCGGTAGTGCTAATTGAATACAAAATTTGTGGTTTTACATTATTATTTCCAACGAAAATAATAAAAAATAAAATTAAATTTAGAAATAATCGAAAAATAAAATTGGTATTAATTATTTTCATAGTATCTATTTAAAAGAAAAGAAAATTATTTGTAACTAAATAATAATTATTTTAAATCGGAAAGTACACCATTTCAACCCCTAATTTTCCAATTCGATTTAATCAAAATTGGTGTTTAGAAAAGGGACTGGTTAAATATTTAATTTAACAGGCAAAGAAAATTTTATTTGGAACAGGCTAGCTGGGAATCTCTTTTGAGAGTTTCCTCATTGATTCCCTTCAGAGAGGAATTTTAAAAATTAATTAAAATTCAAGTTTTTAATTCACATTTTTTCAAAGAAAAATATTTAAAAAATGAAAGTGTTTATTTTCGCTTCTTTACAAAAATTTGCGATAATAAAAATAAAAAAAGTGAACACCTCTTTATTTAATTTTGATCAATCACTTTTCTCTCTCTTTTTATTTTTAAATTTAACCTTCCCAAAATAATTAATTAATCAATTAAAAATATTATTTTTTTTTATTTTGTTTGAATTTTTTGAAGTAAACAAGGCGAAAACAAAGAATAAATTTAATTAAAAAAAACAAGTATTAATTAATTTAAAAATAAACAAACACCCCTTTTCTTTCAATTTTTTTGTTTAAACACATTTTAATCAAATAAAAATTAATTAAAATAGCGAACAATTGTTTTTAGATTTTATAACAAAAAAAATATAAAGAAAATTAAATATAGGTTTATTTAATTTTAAATTAAAAATATTCTGATTTTAAATTCTAAATTTTGGTATTACTCCCGTTATCCCTAACTACTTTTTGAGGACTCTTTTGTTTTAAGAAATGAGATTAATAAATTAACTTTTTTTTTTATTTTAATGTCTTTCATTTGAATATGCCACAGAGGAATATATGTAGCAGTGTTGCCGCGGGTACAAAAAATCTTCGGGTACGGATTTTGGGTTGGAGCGTTTTCATTTCGGGTAACGGGTTGGCAAAAATATCGGGTACGGGTTTCGGGCGGCAACCCTGATATGTAGTAGTGAAATTGAGGAAGGAAGTTTGTCGGCAAAACCTGAATTTTTACCCAAATTTTTCAAAATTCTGATCAACCAAAAGTTTTAATATAAAAAATGGATTTCCTAAATAATTTATTAAAACATTAATTTCTTTATTTTAAAATTAATTTAAAAAACAACTGAATATTTACTTTTGTTTTATAAAAAATTATTTTCTACAAATGTTATCAATTTTTTATTTTATCGTTCTTTACTCTGTCCACGTGAATGTACATCTCCTCCCTTTCCAGAACGACTAATTTTCTTTTCTTTGGAACGTTTGGGAGGAGGAGAACCAATTCCTACAGGATGGCTTTCATAAAGACGTCGATAATTGTCAGAACGGATATAATTCCAAAAAGCTTCAACTCTTTAAGAAAAAAAAGATTTTTTTAAATTCTCGAATTGAAAATTGGTTTTACATAAATTCAGACTTAATTCACCTCATTTATGTATTAACTGTCAAAAAATATTTTTCTCCCAAAAACTTACCCACTAAACCAATCACCATTTTGTGCCCCACGCATCAAAACTTCTTTTAAAGGCAAAATCCAACTTTAAAGAAAAATAATTTTAAAATATTATTTTAAATTCAAACGGATTATTTTCAACACGAAGAGTTTTAGCATTTTCATCATTTGGGTCAATTAAATCTAAAGCCCCCAATTCTGGGGGAATTACTTGAAGGCGATTACCCTAATAAAAGAAGAGATTATTTTCAAATAAATTTTCTTTTTTTTTGCCTGAATATGTAATTCTTTTAATTTATTACAAGCACCTAATTGACGTGGTAAATCAATTATATCATTCTCTCGAAGAACCAAAATTTGGAGATTTGTCTTTAAAAAATAAAAAAAATATTTTTTTTAATTTATTTTTTCACCAAATGTCCAACATCTTCAGGAAACCCTTCAAAGTCATTATCCCCCAAATAAAGTGCTCGCAATGTTGGCATAAAAAAGAAATTTCCTGGAAGGCTATGCTCGTTTAAATTATTCTAAAAAATTTTTTTGAAAATATTTTTTTAAATATCCAAACATAAGTAAGATCAAGAATTTCCAATTTTTGAAAAGAACCAAATCCGCGAGGCAATTTATTTAATCTATTCATTCTAAAAAAGAATAAAATATTTAAATAAATTTGTAATTTTTGATATTTTCTCCAAGTCTTCATAAATAATTCAAAAAATAAATTAGCGACGTTAGAATGCTTTATTTGGGTTTTCTAGGGGCAGGCTACGTTTATAATGGATAACGTGTCCAGTGTTAAATGTCAAGTGTTTTGTTCTCTATATTTTATTTTTTCATTATTAACAGAATACTTGACATTCAACAAAATGTCATTCATTGTAAACACGTTGTCAGACTTTGTTTAAGGCATGTTTCCCTTTACTTACCCAACATTCAAAAGCTTTAAATTTGGAAGTGCCGAAATTGTAGCAGGTAATTCCTCAATGTGATTATTCCATAAATTTAAACTTTCCAAACTTGTTAAATCAGAACTGTCCAAAAATAAAGTTTTATTTAAAAATATTTTTTTTAATTTTACATATTTGATGGGAGAAGTGTTATTTTGTTGTGGCTCAAAGTTAAATTTGTCAATCGACTATTCTCATCTATAAAAAAATTTTTCCTCCAAAATTTCCAAAAAAACATACAATTTAAATGTAATTGTCCAAAATTGCTAATTCCTTTATCTACATAACTCATTTCTGTGCCTTCTTCCGGTGGGGCCGAATGGTGATGTTCTTTACGTTGATTTTTATCGTTTCGACGCATTTTTTGTTTAAAAAAGAATTTTTTTTATTAAAAATGCTGCAAGGGCCAAAATAAAGAGGGAATTGATTTGCTTTACCTAGCTCATTTGATATATAACTAAAAACTAGAGCCAATCTAAAACAAAAAGGAAAAGTGTAAAGCTTTGGAAAGAAAATAAAAAGGTTTTGTTTTTAACCATTAAAAATGTAACAAAAATTGATTTTATAAAAGAATTTTATTTTTAAAATGAATATTTTCTTAAAAATAAAAAAAATATTTAGGTGACTAATTTACGTATTTTTGTTTCTAAAACAGCCAAATAATTATCTAACATTGTAACTGCTTGATCCATTCTTTTACTTGCTTCGTCTAGAATTTTTATTTAAAAATTAAATTAAAATTATTTAAAAACCAATTTCATTTATTTGATCCAAAAAAGGCTTCAAATCCTCGTATTTTTGTTGAAGCTGGGCAATTCGACCTCCAACAGTTTCTGCTACGTGTTGCATATCTAAATTTGGAGTTTAAAAATCCTAGATAAATTCGTGGATTATTGGGACTAATGTTGGAATAAACCATAATATGGCAGTTACTATTATGCCGATTCAATAAACCAATAAAGAAATTCAAAATCTAATTGAGATAATTGCTTTGTTCACATCAGGGATTTTAAAGGTACTTTTCCGTTATCCCTACTCCCTTCTTGCGGATTTTTTTCGGACTGCCTTATCTAAAGAATGGTGTCTCCTTCGTCCCTAAATTTTTTGTGTAGCATGTTCAATGAGAGAATAACGGAAAAGTACCATTTTAAATTAATCAGGGATTTAAGAAAGAACGAAAAAACAGAATAAAATTAAAAGCCCAAAGCAGTAAGGGAAGAAAAACTAAATTAATTCCAACCTTTATATCGCTGTGCCGTTACATCATTCATTTGTTCCAATAATTTATAATCATCAATACTTGACTGTATCTGTCCCTGTATATATTCATTTACTCTACAAATTCTAAAATATTTTTTTTCAAATAATTTTCTAAACTTGTTAGAGCATTGTTTAGCCAATCGTTTTATTTCATCATCTTTTCCATCATCTGTACTTGTACAAGCCGGGGGAGATAGAGGACAATCAATGCTTATTGCTCTCTCATTTATTTCCATTTTTAGCTTTTTAATTGTGTAAAAATAATTTAATTTATAAAAAAATATTTTTAGAAAAAAAACATTTAATAAAAAATTCAAAAAATAATTTAAAGTTTATCAGAAAATTAAATGATAAACAAAATTCTAAATTAAAAAATAATTTAAAAAGAATTTCCCTGGAACAAAACTTGAGCAAATAAACATTTATTTTAATGTATAATTTATAGATTAGCAAACAATAAATTGATCAATAGAATTTAAATTTTTATTTTTAAGAAAATTAAAAGGACTTTAAAAAATTTTTATTTTAAAATTAACAAATTGATCAATTCATAAAAACAATTTATTCAATTTGATAAAGAATATATTTAGAAAAATAATCCATTGCTATAAAATGTGCCAATAAAAATCCACTCAAGTAAGGTCCTTTCTTATTTGCTGGAAATTTATTTTCAAGTAACGAATTGGCAGAAATGCAGCCATCGAGAGCGTTGAACAAAATGTTAAAATCTTCAGTGCTATAGAAAAAATTTAAATTTTATTGACATTAAGGACGAATAATCTGTGCCTAATTTTTAAAACGGCTGAATATTTTCCCAGTCTTTTAAACTTAATCCCAAACAAATTAGAATCTTAATTTGCAATAAAAAATTACCGAGGAATAATTTCCTTTCCAAGAGCCAATTGATCGATTAGTCTCACCAAACGTCGATAAGTACGTCGGTAAAGATTTGGAATTGCTTCTTTTTTGTTATTTTTGATAAATTTTCGCAAATTGTCTCTGTCACCTTTTGCTATAATTTTTGTAATTGCTTTTCTTCCATGTAAAACAAAGGCAAGACCAGCAGCTGATAAACGACATTCATTTTCTGTGTTTTTAGGTAATAAATCAAATGTAGATAATGTAACAGTTTGAGCACTAAAAAATAAATCTTCGAATTCTGTGCAATAAATTAATTTACCTAGTAAATTTATGCGTAGAATCTTCATAATCATACGATCCTGGCCCAAGGCGAATATGACAGGCAGGATTGTCTAGACTAAAAAAATAATTTTTAGAAAAAATGAAAAGAATTATTTGCCTTTTCATGCGAAATGTCCCCTCAGCATTACCATAAGCATGACCAACAATTGCAGCAGCAAAAACTGTTGATAAAGTAAAATTCTTTTCAGGTACACCCAAAATAGTAATAGAGCCGGATTTGTTATCGAAAGGCCTATGTAAAAATGGGAATTAGTTTAAAAAAAGGAGAAAATTAACCTAAATATTTTTTCAATATGTTTATCTACATTTTCATTATTTTCTTTTAGATCTGTGTTGTTTGCCATTTGCTCCTTCTGAGAATTTTCTGATAACTGTTAAATAATTTTTGATTAAATAAAGAAAATGAAAGAAAATATTTTGGATCAAATGCCCAATTATACACAATAAAATATAGAAACAAAAAATAAACATTAATAAAAATGTACGACAATATTTAAAATTAAATTAAAAGTTAGTAAGAGAGTTTGGTTACAATCATAAATGGCAGTGATTTAAAATATATTATGAATGCAAAAAATGATTAAATAACTATTTAATTCAATATAACCTTTAAATTATATAATTTATTTCACACCCAAAAGGTAATAGTAATTTTAAGGGCCATAAAAATGACAAAAAATATAAAAATAGCAATAAAATCGTAAACGTGTCAATCAACACATAAAATTGTGATCAATTTTCCAAAATTTATGTGCTCGAAGTAAAACATAAAAAACTTTTTTGTCAAAAAATACCAATGACTAAACTAAAAATGTAGAGCTTCGCATATAATTATTGCGTCCGCAATTATTTAACGCACATTCCTTCCGTAAATTTCTCATTTTTGGCTGTCTCAGAAAATTAAATTGGCTCTAACAATAACACGTATTCCTTCACTTCCCCTTACCCTCTCCCCCCTTTTTTTCTTCTTTTATTTGATATAATCTTTGATACAAATACTTAAAAACTTACCAATGATTTATTGTCGTCCGTCAGCTCAAAAGTTTGTTGTTTATTGTTAGTATTAGTTGAAGAAGATGGTGGAGATAAAGAAGAAGAACAGCTCTCAAACCCAGTACTATTTGATGATGAATGTGAAGAGAGGCGGGTATCTTTAATGGACGAGGAGTCTACTCCACTGCTAGTGTCCTCTCCTTTAATCGCTGTTGGATTTTTACAAAAATTGTTGTTTTCCTTCTCTGCAATATTCTCATCAATTTCTTTTGCTACTTTGACTTTTTCTTCCTTATTTCCATTACAAACATTTTCTTTAACATTTTCATTCAAAGTCGAGTGGTTTTCAATTTTTGACGTTTTATGCTTATTTTTATTAGACTTAGAATTTTCACAAGAATTTTCTCGTGATGATGGAAGGGAACACAATGGGCGTCCATACCCTGCTTTTTCGTAGTTTGGTCGCTCTTGTGAAGTTATTAAATTGAGATCAATATGTTGCCTAAAAGTAAAATTAAATCAAAAAATTTAATAATCAGAACTCACGAATAGCTTATTAGTTTAGATGCAAGATTTACAGCAGCGTCATATGTTCGCGCAATAGCAAAATCTTGAGCAGTGGAAATATAATCGACCTCCTAAAAAATAAAAATTCCAATTTCATTTAGATTTAAAAACAATTACTTTTACTCCAACCATTTGTTTAATATAAACTTCTTTTCCAACCCAAGCCTTCGGAAAAAATAATCTTTAAAAACAATTTAAATTAAAAAAAAATAAATGTAAAACAAACGTTGGTTTAACTAATTTAATACATTCAATACGATATCTTGTTTCGTCATATCTTTTAATTGGTCTAATAATTAAACGAGGCAAACGTAGTGAGGAAGAGGCTCTTACAAGTAAATCGTTGAAACAAACAGAAGAAAAATCAAAATTACAAAATATAAAGCCATCAGATTGATCCTTTTAAAATTAAAAAAGAATGTGAGGAGTATTTGATTTATTTTTGTAAAGAGTAATTACAGGAAATATTCAAAAAAATTTTTAGGTAATCCCCCTTATTTACTGAAACTTTAACAGTCTCGGTAAATTATTAAAGGCTGCCTATCTAATGAAAAACAGAGAAAGTTTCGCCAAAATTTGTTTACAATCATTCGTCAAAGATAAAAATTTAAATTTTTCTTAAAATTAAATTTTTATTTTAATAAATTCATACCATTCTAAGGGAATTGCAAAGTGTATCAAACGCGGGCAAATACAATTCATTATACCATTTAAGAGTTTTTTCAAGTTGAACACCCAATTGCTGCGAAAAGTCTTCGGCATATGAAGTAAAATTTTTGTCTATAGGTTCAGGTCTAAAAGCAAGCATTTTCTGATGAATTTGTTGCAAACAACCGATTAATTCTTTCCTAAAAATTAAATAAAATATTAAAATCCGTATATCATTAGATTGCTTTTTATAACTTCATATCTTAAAGAAATTGTCTAAAAATTAAATTTTATTCTCACGCGGCGAATACTAGAAAATTCAATTAGTAAAGGAATAACCGTTTAAAAGATCTATAAGAATTTCAGAAGTAAACTAGCTCCCATTAATAAATTGAAAAAACTTCAAACCAAGCCTACTTACTTTTCCGGTGTTGGATATTCAAGCTCGAGTCCCCAACGAAAAGCATCAACAACTTCAATAAAATATTCATAAATCTTTCGAAAGTCTCTAAACAGATTTGCTTCAGTTTTTTTAACACTAAGCTTTCCATTGTCATAGCGAGCATAAAATCGTTTAAGCAACAATCTCTTCCCAAATTTTGCATAAGCTAATCCAGCATTAGAAAGCGGCTGTACATAACGTTCCATATTGCACATATTCTCCAATGTAAGACATCTAGGAATTTTAATTTTTTTTAAAATTTAAACAAAATAAACTTTGAAGTATCCGTAAAACGCATTTTGTCCAAATCACAATGTTCCCCAGCTCCGATAGTTATGTCAAAAGGTGCTATCGTTGAGCAATTTTTAATACTGAAATTATTCGGAATTATTAAAATAGAAACAAAAAAGAGCGGCTTACTCTTTGATCACATAATGTCTATAATCGTCAATACTCTTAATAATATACAAAGCCAGAGCTTCGGAAACACCAAAATTATCAGGATTAATGCCGATTGAAGGAGGCATTAAAAAATTAAGAAATACAAACTATCCAGTAATAAGAATAAATATTTATAAAAACAATCCTATTAAAAGCTTCTAAAATTAATTAGTCCTCTAGTTTAAAAATATAAATTGTAAAATAACTATGAATTAAATATAGATGTATTTGATAAAGTTTTATCGATTATTTATATAAATCAGAGTAAAAGGAGGAACTCATCTTTCATACAATTTATTTGGTATAGATTTAATAAATTTTTAAGTAGGATAATTTTAAAACAAAATTTAATTTATACGTATCAAAGATAAGTCCATCAAAAAAGATATCGTCGCGTTTTTACTTCGTTTATTTTCAGAATATACACATTAGGTCGCTGGAATTTTTGGAAGTCCAAATTCGTCAACAGGGACACCATGATCGGTAACAGCCTTAAATAAACCAATAAACAAAATAAACGCCTAAAATATTTTCATACCGTCGGAGCTCCAGGAACTTTAGTTGGAACACTTGGCGCAGAAATGGCCTCATCCAAGTAGCTAGTGTCTCCATCAGCTATCAGTTCATCTCCCAAAGCTTCGAGTTCGGCTTCAAGATCTGCCTCATCAATCTTTATTTATAAAGTAAAGCTGAAAAACATTAAAAAAAACATACATCAGGAGTGTCATATTGTCTTGAGAGGGCATCCTGAACTTCATTATTCATTTCAAGCATTTCTTCCATATCATCTTGAAGATTTTCAATTTTGTCAATATTGAGTTTCTTTTGTTCTTTCTTCATTGCTACGAGTCCAGATTGCATTGCCGCAACAGTAACCTAAAATGAGTAAAAATAAAATTTAGTCGAGTCAAAAATTTATTTTCATGTCTACAAGATAAATAATTAGATAAAATTTGTAGATGTTTCTATTTAACAACCTGATTGTCCTTCATTGATTGAATAGCAAAGTTGCTCTGTTCCATATTAAAAGATTGTGTCGATAATTGATCACGCTGGTTCTCATAAGTCCTCTTCTGCTTCATTATCCTTTAATAAATAAAGGAATAATATTTTTAAAAAATATTAACCTCAATGCCTTTTGTTTGACAAGATTTTTTGATGGCCCTTCTCGCATTTTTTTCATTTGATCACGCAATTTAACAAGTTCACCGTCTAGTTGTGCAATCTTTTTGTCCAATGACTCACCACGTGCATCAATAGTTGTTATAGCATCGGTCAAATTCGGAGGAGGTGCCTTTGGCTTTGATGAACCAAAAATTCTATTCATTTGTAAAAACCTAAATTGAGCCAAAAATAAGCAAAAAAATAATTTCTGTTTATATTTTAAGTAAATGGTAAGGGACTTTGAAGGTAAGTGGATTAAATATTCTCTTGTACCAAATATCAACAATAACTATCTAAGCTTTTTCTAACTGCCCAATATCATTGATTTTAAGTCTTGAATCAAGATACTTATTTGACTTTCCGGTCTTGGTAAATAATTTATAATATTAATTTGATGGTCCACGTGAAAATTTTTTTGATTGTGTAAACAGAATTTTTATTGAAACGAAAAGTTTTCTAAAGTCGTAAACAATAACAAGGCGTTAAAAAAAGAAAAGAACATACTAAATAAGAGAAAAAGATTTTCCTCTGTCTCTTTCAAAATTTTAAATGTAAACATCGAGTGCCCAGACAAAATGGTACACAACAACAAGGTACAAAAGACATAATCAGTTTAGACAGTACAAAAGACCTAATCAGTTTGGATGGTTCAAAAGACCTAATCAGTTTATACAGTACAAAAGACCAAAACAGTTTAGATAGTACAAAAGACCTAAACAGTTTATATAATACAAAAGACCTAAACAGTTTAGATAGTACAAAAGACATAATCAGTGTATATAGTACAAAAGACCTAATCAGTTTAGATATTACAAAAGATCTAATCAGTTTAGATAACAAAAGACCTAAACTGTGTTGATGGCGCAAAAGACCTAATCAATTAGAAAGTACAAAAGACCAAATCTGATTAGATAGTCCAAAAGACCTAAACAGATTTAAAAGTACAAAGGATCTAACTGGTTTAAAAAGCACAAAAGGACATAAGAGTTAAAAGTACAAAAGGCCAAACTAGCTTAAAAAAACAAAAAGTCTAACCTTAGTAAAAAATACAAAAGACTAGATTGAAACGGAAGATAAAAAATATTGCATAAGTCAAAAATGATGATTATTTAGTAATTTGGATTTGAAAAAAAAGAAATTCAAAATTTTTGAATTTACTGAATAAGGAACTATGATATAGTCTAAGTCAAAGACTAAAAAAGTATGAGAAACTAATTAAAATTAGATAAAAGAGTCGAAACTCAGGACAAATGTTGAGGAAAGGGTCCAGAATGTTAGAGGTACGTCAATGATGAGAGGCAAAGATCAGTACAGAACGACCAAAGGAAATTAAAATTTTTTTTTCTGAAAACAAAAAACAATTAAAAATACTCGAACATAAAAATTTCTGATACGGCGGCCGCCGCGAGCGAAGCGAGCACGGCCATCGCGAAGCACAAGGATCTTGCTGTGAAAACATTCTGGGTTTTTATCAAAGCTAAGCTTATCAAATTTACTGCAAAATATATTTGATACAATTAATAGTGATATAATCAAAAATAATCCACGTTTTGACGGCATAACGTGGATTTTGTGAAAGGTTTAAAAAGATTGATGAATTAAGAGAGATATTAAGTGATTTGAGGGATTAATAGTTAATCAATGTTTTTAAAAAAAAGGTTTGGGGATTTAACATAGACAAGGGGTTTGAAAAGATCAACATTAGGCAAATTAAGGACTTTGGCGACTTGACACATAGATTTTTTAAAAAGAGGATTATTATGTGATAGTTTGTAGAGAAACTAATAGATTTGTGAAGGTTTTGGGGGATTAGCAATATTTAATTGTTTTGTTTGGTAAAAGAGAACAAGAATATAAAATGGATTAAGGGTGAAAGTGATAATTTTGAGGATTAATATGCAGGGGTGGTAACAGAGTATTAATAATATTATTAAGTAGTTAAAAAGGGATATCTGAGATTTCGGAGGCGATTAAAAGTGATATAGGGTTCTGGGCAGAACAAGAGTTAGCTGAAGTTTGAAGCAGTTTAAAATGTATGTTGAGGATGACGACAACAGAGTCGTTAGAAGAAAAAGTATTGGCAATTTGAGCGTGATATCGGAAAATATCAGTGCATCAAGAGGGGTTTGAAACGTGATGGGGTTTGAAACGTGATAAATGCAGATATTGGAGGATTAGAAGAGATAACAAAAAAAAGAAAGAATACCTTGGGGTTTGATGGGTTTACAAGCGTTAGCGGTGAATTAAGATTAAAAAAAAAGATAAATATAGAGGATTTTAACACCGGGAGAAGGGAGAGATTATGTGAACTATGGCGATTTTTAAGTGTTTAAGAAAAATTTTGAGGTTTAGGGGATTTTTAGAATAAAGAAATTTAGAAAATAAGAGATGGGGAAAAAGAGATTAACAAGCAATTTGTTGCAAAAAGACAGAAATTCAATTTAAAAAAATAAAGCGTGGAAGATATCTGGGATTTTGAACTGAAATTGATATTGGGATATATGAGAAATAAAGAGGATATAATTTTAATGTGATGTCGTTTATTTAAAGCGATAAAAAGGTATATTGGGTGATTTTGAGAAAAATAGGGATGATTCTTTTCTGGGGAACAAAAGTCGATAAAGTACTCAGGTATAAAATAAAACACGAATTCAAGGGTTAGAGCTATTTATCCGAGTATTTAAGAGCAATAAGAAGTGTTAAGGAGGTTCTTCGTTGAAAAAAAATAATAGCAGATTAAGACGGAAAAAGGTGGTAGAGATCATAAATGACAGAAATGATCCAGCACAGGATCTGTTCTGTTGTTAGATCACTCAACCGTAGAACAGTTTCGTTACTGGACGAGAAAACAAAAGAAGGAAAAGAGAAAGAGAACAGTAACATAAAAGGGTGAGAAAATGATCAGAGTAAGCTCAAAAAAAAGTAGATCAAGATTGTGATTTGATTAAAAGTGATTTGCGTTATTTGGAGTAAAAAGATGATTTCAGTTGGAAAAGGTTTATATTGAGGATTTGTGGGAAAAAAGTTAAAACAGAGAACGTGGTGTATAATAAGTGCTTCAGGAAATTGAGTTGTTCAAAAATATCGTGAATTTAGAAAAAGTGAGGGTGAAAAAATTAACAGTTTAAGTGAAAGACACTCCTGAATTTGAGAGAAAAGGAGACCTGACGAAAGGGTAAGTAAACAAGTTCGGAGAAAAGCATAAGAAGAGACAGAGTCTGTAAAGCCGACAGGTCACTAACAACCACAATAAGTTTTTTCAATGCTTTTAAAGAAGGTTAGAATAGACAACGTGGGATTTGTAAAACAAGAGGGGGAACCAGGATTTGGCGGGATTAAGAATGATTTAGCGATTTGGTGAATATATCGAGAGTAGGGGCGGATTAAAAAATTATATATGAGAACTTTGGGGTTAGAATTGTTGGGGTAACGAGGGAATAAGCTATTAAAATATATTTATAATAGATAACAAGTAATTTAGGAGGATATCAGTGTATTATGGAATAAAATATGTATCGTGGGATAGAGAAATGGTTCTGCGGGAATAAATGATAATATCTATGGATTCGTGATTAATAAGAGTTAAATTGGGTGTTTAGGGGGTTAAAAGGTGATAACAGAGGATTTAGAAAACCAAAGAGTGATATAAAGTAGTTTTGTGTGTTAAGGGTAATAGATGGAATTTTGGTAAAAATTGATATCTGAGTCTTGAGAAATTTTGGGATGGGGAATAAAAAATGTTATCGGATTTTTGGGGGAGTAAAGCGTGATATAAAGAGTGATGTCCGTGGATTAAGGGTACAAACAACATTGTTACTTTAGGCTATTAACAGGGAAATTAGGGGATTAATGAAATTGGAGGATTTGAGAAAGATTAAAGGTTATAGCAAGTAGGGATAAAGTGAGATACAGGACTTCGAGAAGTAAAGAGGTTATGGTGATTTTGGGGAATTCGGTGTGGTATACGAGAAACCTGAGGATTGTGAGTGACTAAGGAGTATATCAGAGAATGTTGTGGACAAAATGTGATATTGGGAATTTGGGAAAATAAGGAGTTATTCCCTTGGTTTGGTGACTAGAAGAATAAAAGGTATTTCGGAGGAATTTGGGTGATCAATGGTAATATATTGATTTTGGAGATGATTAACGGAGGACATTGATAACAAAGGGTAATATCATGGAATTTGGGGTTTGAGAGATTAATTGATATATTAGAGGATTTGAGATTAGTATGATGGCGAAATGAAAGGTTAAATCTAAGGACCCAAGGATTAAGGTTTTCGAACATTAAAGACTTTGAAAATAAAAGAACATCAAAACGTGGGTTCCCTAACGTTTCGTCACTGAACTTTTCGTCACCGAACCTTTCGTCAAAACCTTTCGTCACTGAACCTTCCGTCACCAAACCTTTCGTCACTGAACCTTTCGTCACCAAGACTTTATTTTTAAAAATCAAATAAGAAGTTGTCAAAAATGACAAATTGATCATAATCGGTAATTTAGTTATATTTACTGTGTTGCTAAATGATAGGAGACAGTACGTAGGTACCGTCATTAGCCTCTTTTTTGTAAGGCTCAGCACCTCTTTTTTGTAAGGCTCAGCATTATGTGAATGGTTAGCATTTTTTATCCATCCGATTTTAAAACGGTTCCCGTATCCTTCATGCCATGCTGACGCACATGGATACGGCCCGGATCCCATTTCGCATTAATTGTTTAAAAAGAGATTGACCCTTCCTGCCAGGATTCTCACGTGCTTAGGTAAATATTCTATTGGATCTTTAAACCTAGTATTATAGAATATTTTAGACAGTCCCCTCTTTGGGAGTATTTTAAAGGAAATTAAAATTTTAAAAGAAAATTAAAAAATCAGATAATAAAAAAATAGAAATTAAAAAATTGGAATAGAAATTTAAAATTTTTTTTAAATTTTTCAATTTAATAAATGTTTTAATTTTTTGGAAATTATGCATAATGCGCATGCTACTCTGCCCCCTAGTGGCCCGTAGAATAAATTCGGGGTTGGATAACCCGGTTAAATAACCCGGTTAAACAACCCAGGGGCAAATAACCCTTAGCTTCGGGTTAAAATCGGTAGAATAAATTCAACCCCGAGTTAAGGGTTATTTAACACCGAGCCAAGGGTTATTTAACTAGTTGAGTTACTGGGTTATTTGACCCTTTATATTTTATTGCCAAACCCATTTCGCAATAATTGTTTACGCAATAATTGTTATTATTAAAAAGAGATATAGTCAAATGAAAAAGTTTAAAAAATTTCTAAAATTTTTAATTGTTGAAAAAATGTTTGTTAAAAAAATTTTTTTCTATGCGTTTTGAATAGAAATTAAAATTTTTAAAAATTTTGCAATTTAATAAATGTTTTAATTTTTTGGAAATTATCCATAATTCGCATGTTACCCTGCCCCCTAGTAGGGTTGCAATTTGCCCCTTACCTGCGGGTTATTTAACCCGGGTAATTAATTTATTCTACCGGGAAGGTTACGCGGGTCAGGTAACCGGGTTATCTGACCCGGTCATTTAACCCGAAGCTAGGGGTTTGAATTTATTCTGCGGGTTACGGGTTATTTAACCCCAAGGTAGGGGTTAAATGCCCTTTACCCCGAATTTATTCTACGGGCCAGTAGGGTTGCAATTTGCCCCTTACCTGCGGGTTATTCAACCCGGGTAATTAATTTATTCTACCGGTAATGTTACGCGGGTCAGATAACCGGGTTATCTGACCCGGTCATTTAACCCGAAGCTAGGGGTTTGAATTTATTCTGCGGGTTACGGGTTATTTAACCCCAAGGTAGGGGTTAAATGCCCTTTACCCCGAATTTATTCTACGGGCCCAGATGTGCATTCTCTTTTTTATGGTGAATAGTGACGAAAGGTTCAGTGACGAAAGGTTTGGTGACGGAAGGTTCAGTGACGAAAGGTTTTGACGAAAGGTTCGGTGACGAAAAGTTCAGTGACGAAACGTTCGGCCACCCAAAACGTGTAATACGAGCGTTAGGACGCCGCGAAGCGGCGTCCTAACGCTCGTTGTTCAATAATTTATTAAAGGAACTTGAAAGTGCCAGGACTCGAATGTTTTTGACATTTTATCCAAAAAATTTCCGGAAAGGGCGATTTGAGCGCGGCCCGTTGAGCGCCTGACAACATTGATCGGGTATAACTTTTTTTTTGTTTGATCGAACGATTAACTTGATCCATCTAAGTTGGATTAAAAATATCGCTTATCTATACCGCTTTCTTATACAGCTTTCGAATGATATAAAATTCATTCCTATTTGATCAGGCATCAAAATGTTATAGCCGATCAAAGTTGGCTGGCCTCATCAGGCCGCTCTCAACTGACCGCAACCCAAAATTTCACGATAGGCTTTTTGAGTATTAATTAAAGTTTCACTTGAATCAGTTTTTTCTTAAAAATTGTTAAGTATTAAGGATTTTTCTAATTTTTTTCTCCTAAAAATTTCAATCAAACACGTATTCAACGTAAAATTTCTCATGCTTAAATTTTCGAAAGTAACATTTTGACATTCGAACTTTCGCGTGAAATGCTTGTGTAAAATTTTTGATTTTTTCTTTATCAGTTAATTTTTCTTTTTTATTTTCGTTATATTTGACTGTCCAATGAATTCTATTACGAATAATTATACGTCGCTTATGGCGGACACTTTTAGTGCTTTAGAAGTTTGGCAGAAACTTAGAGCTCACCAGCCAAGAAATATCGATCACGGTAATACTATTTATTGATTTTTTATATAGCATTTAATTTAAAGGTATTACTGATCTGATTGACCTCTTGGATTGGATCCATAAAGAATGGCGTCATTCTGTTAATGATAATGCTCGATTGAGTAATCTTAATGAAAGGCTTAATAGACAAATTGGGTATATTTTTTGAATTAATTTTATACAAAGTTATCAAAAATTTGATTAATGTAAAGTTTTTGAAAAATGACAGTCCAGCCTCACAATCAATATCAAAAGAACTACCCTAACAATTAAAAACCGATAATCAAAATTATTTTGTTTATTTAAAATTAAGAAATTTCGAGTTAGAATTGGATCAAGCAAGAGCGAATAATGGAGCATTAGTTTCTCAACTGGCTTCTGCTAATACAAAAATTGGATCACTCGAGGAAGAGCTTTTGCAATATAAAGAACGATTTAAAATTGCTCGTGCTGAAATTCAGGTTGATTCAATCAAATAATACCTAATGCAAAATTCTTATTTTTAGAATGCTGCTTTTACATTTCCTATGGACACACCTAATGATGCTAGACATGGTAAGCGTCGGTCCAATTCTCTTGGATTTATGCCTGGAAAGAGATCTAAACATTTGGATGATTTGGGCCGTGTAAGGGAAGACGATGAGGATGAGAACGACCCTGCACCTTTACAAAAACCTCTGATGCGGACGTTGAATAGATCTATTTCTGATTCACATATTATGGCTGAAGAAAAGGTTTTTAAAGTTTTAATATCTCCCATTTCATTTAAACATCATTGTAAATTCGAGGATCGGTAGAGGGATAGTTTTAATTAACAGATAATTTTTTTGTTTTGGCTGGGTCCTGTTATATTTTTGTTGTTAGATTTATGTTTTTTATTTCTAAATAGAAGGATGTTGCTCAACTTAAAAATCAACAAAGTTCTACAAAATGTACAACGACAACTACTACAAGTACTATGGATATGTAATTTGAAACTTTCGTTTTTAAGTAATATCTAAATTTAAGACGTTCAAGTCCAATGGCTGGTTTTTGCCCAGGATGGACTAAAGGAAGAACTTTAGACCAGTGCACGCACAATTTTGTTCCAACGAACAATTTGTTTAGCGCTGCTTTTTCATATTGTGGTGTTTGTGCTCGAAGTTTGGGAATACGGAGTTTGAAGTGTAATGGTTAGTAAATTAATTACAAAACAAATTAAGTAAATAATTATTTGGGTTTCGCGATAAAATTATTTTTCGGGGGAAGTAAATTTAATTTTTTAAAAGATTGTAAGCTTCAAATCCACGAGAATTGCCGCAATAATTCTCCACTTCCGTGTGTTCCAATGATACCAACACCTCAACGTAATAATCCAAAACAACGTCCGCGTCTTGCTGATCTCTGTCCAGATTCTCAGCCACAAATTCCTGGACAAATAATTCGTTGTGTTTTTGCAATAGAGAAGAATTATATTAACAATGTTGGTCTCTATCGTGTTCCTGGATGTGACAGCGAAGTGAAAAAGCTCAAGGAAGCTTTTAATTCAAAATATGCACCAAAATTGGAACAACTTGATCCAGAGACGATTACTGGGTTTATTAAAAAATTTCTGCGAGATCTTCGAGTAAGTTTTTTTGGTTTAAATTTGTTAAATTAAAAATTTTAAGGAACCAATAATTCCTCTTTCGTCGTTCACAGAATTTTATGCAGCGGTTAGTAATAAAAATGAAGCACAGCTGCGAACAGCTATAGAAGAGTAAATATTCTAAAAGATTTTTTTGATTGTCAACATTTTTAGTTTGCCAGTTCCAAACCGTCACACTTTGGCCTTTTTATGTGCTCATTGGCAAAAAGTTGCTCAACATTCTAACGAGAATCAGGCATACCTTTAAACAGTCTATATTAGGTAAAAAATGTTTAATTGTTTTTAGATGCCGCTTGAGAATTTGGCTAAAGTTTTGGGACCTACAGTTGTTGGAACAGCATCAAAATTGACACATTTGCAGCAACAAGCTGGTGGTACTGATTGTCATTCTCATCATTATATGGAAGCAAGCAAACAAGTGGAAATTTTATATGCTCTTCTAACACTTGACAATGTACATTTTTTTGTTAATTTTTATGAGTTTAATAGGCAGGTAAATTGTTGAGTTTAAGTAGACAATGTTCAGGTTATCGAATCAGATTTTAGATCAGATTTTTATATCAGACAAATGTTAAAACAAATCTTTTTTTTCGGCTTTTCTAATTTTCTTATTTTTCAGAATTACTGGACAGCTTTTTACAATTGGCAACCAGGCAATCAAGTAATGCTTCAGAACAATCAAGGTTATCTTGGAAGTAGTAATACTCCACAAGGGACTTGCGCTACAATAAAACGACGTCCGCCAATTAATCAACGTTATGGCGAGTCTGTTAATGAACCTCATCGGCAAATGTATTGAATGGATTTAGAAGTGCCGAAGTAAATATGTAAAGAAGAAAAACAATATTTTTGTCAAAATGTCCAAATTTTAAATGACATTTTGAAGTTTACCTCAATTAACTTTGTAACTTATATTCTCTAACCTTAAGCATTTTAAGCCCAACGCTATTTTAACTTAAAGACTTGCATTTTTGGATAAATTTGTTTCTAATTTGTTTGTTTTCTATACATTTTTTGTAAGGGAAAGTCGACCCCTGTTATTATTTTTTATGATTAATTCTATAAAGGCGCGGGACAAAAGAGGCGAGACCGAAAAGGCGCAACACAAAGACGGCACACGGGTAAAACGGCGCAAACCGGCGGATCGAGTCACTCTTTCCTTTGCGCAGTTATGGGTTTGCGCCGTTTTGGCCATGCGCCTTTTTGTTGTTTTTGTCCTCTACAGTCTTGTAAATCTCAATCTCGGCTTTTCTGACGCAACTACAAATCTTGATTTAAGCTTTGGAGCTAATTATTGTTTGTTTTTTATTTGTAGAATAAGTTATGATGGAATCTGAGGTACCTGTTGTTTCTACAACATCTTCAGGCAATTTAATGGATTCAAAAATTGAAGTGGAAAATGCTGATGCGAATAATCTTGTTGATGAAGGTGATAATAATGCAAATTCTAATAAACAAATGACTCATGATGATATATCCAATAAAACTGAGGCAAGCGAAGAGAATGATGGAGTTCAACTTATTGAAGGACTGACAAAGCCTTCATCTGCTTTGGAAAAAGTTGATTTTGTTCGAGTAAGTAATCGCTGTTTTTAACTATTTTTATCTTTCTCATAGGATTCGCGTAATCGCGTAAAACTTTATGTTCTTTGTGATCAACGTGCTTGGGATGATCGAGGTACAGGGCATGTTGCATGCCTTCCTTCGCCAGAAAGCAATAATACTTGGTGCATTGTTGTTCGATTGGAGTCTAATGGTTTGTTTATTTAATTTTATAATTCTAACAAGTTTTGGTTTAAGAACGCAATGTATTGGAATCAAAAATTTTACAAGAAACTACTTATCAAAAACAGCAAGGCACTTTAATCGTTTGGTCGGAGACAGAGTCGGTGGATTTGGCATTGAGTTTTCAGGAGAAAGCTGGTTGTACAGAATTATGGGAAAAAATCTGTAAAATACAAGGCAGAGACCCCGATGCTGAAACTGAACTGGTTTTATATTTTTAGTACCCAAATTATCTTTACATCATAAAAATTAAGGAAGATAACGAATGTGATGATCAGGATGTTCCAAGCGACAGCAGGTATTCTTTTATATATTTTCTAAGTTTATTTTTGTTTTTTAGCACTTCTGTTGTTTCTAATGCTACAGGAGTTCCGCCATGCAATTTACAAAATCTTGGCGAACTTGAGCAAGCTCTTTCAAATTCAATGTTTGCTAATAGTCAACGTGAGAAAATGGCCAATGCAATTCTTCAGAACAGGTTTGTTCTTTTTATTTTTTAGTTTGGAAATAGGTAAGTTTACAATAATTACCTATTTATTGTAAATCTTTTGTATGTATTTTTGTTGCATGGTGAATGAATTTTTGTAAAATACAAGGCGAAAAAGGCCCTTTGATTTTAAACCGACATTGAATTTAATTTATAGAACTTACCTTTTTTAGTTATATACCAAAGCTTTGTGAAATGTTTTCTATCAGTGAGGATTTGGAAAATAAAGAAGCTCTTCAACAAATGGCTTCTATCGCAAAGAATCTCTTTCTTCTTAATAATAATGCTGTTTTGAATGAACTTGTTGAAGACAAATATTTTAAGTTTGTAGATTTTTCATTTAATAAATTTAGATTTAATTTTTTACTTTTTTCAAATAACAAATTAAACATTTACAGAAATATAGTCGGAATGTTAGAATATGATGTTTCATCATCAGAACCCAAAATGCACAGGAACTTTCTTTGGGAGCGTTCTCGTTTTAGGGAAGTTTTGCCAATCAGTTCTGAAGAGTTGAAATCAAAGATTCATCAAACTTTTCGGCTTCAATATGTCCAGGTATTTGTCTGCATGAGTTTAATATATGATCGTTTTTAAGGATGTTTGTCTTCCTGCGCCTTCTATATTTGAAGAAAATCTTTTGACTGTTTTGAGCAGTCATCTTTTCTTTATGCGTGCAGAGATTGTTAATTCTCTTTTGGTTTGAATGAATATTTTTTTAATTAAAAAACATTTCTTTAGAATGACAAGAACTTGATGCAAAAGCTCTTTGAAGGTCTTCGAAATCCAGACATCACCCCAGATACACAAAGAGATTTGACAAACTTTTTGAAGGAATTCTGTTCTTTTGCACACTCTCTTCAACCCACTGGTCCACAAGGAAGAGAACAGTTTTTCAAAGTATAAACTTTATATGATATATTGGCTTTATAAATTAAAGCTTAAAAGGATTAACAGAAAGAAAAATATTTGATAGTTAATTGAGGAAAATTTGAAAATTTATCTTGCACCATTTTTAATATTTTTATTTATTTTTTAGACTTTAATGGCCAACAACGTCCTCGAGATTATTGATCCTTGTATTAGTAGCCCATTAGCTTCAACACGAACAGCGACAGTAGAACTTCTATCAATAATTGTGGATTTCAATGCGCAAATATTTCGTGATTTTCTTGTTAGACAATTTAGAATTGTTCCTGAATCTAAAAATGTAATTTTTAATTTTTAAAGATTTATTCAATTAAATTCTACTTTTAGAGCTCTTTACTCATTAACAAATTGATCAATCATATGCTTAGCGATAAAGATCCCGAATTTACTTCAGCCCATCAAATAGCTAATGCAATTCGAATTTTGTTGGATCCAGAGAGTATTGTTTCGGTAATTTTTGTTTTCTTTTAAATTAGTAAAATTAATTTTTTAGAAAGGAGAAAAGGGTGAATTTTTACAAATGTTTTATAAACGAGCGATGAATACACTTTGCGCTCCAATACACGAAAATGCCAAAAATGGACATCCAATTTCTGGTAAATGATTTTTAAAATAATTTTTTAGCTTTAAAAATTACTTTTTAGATAGTTATTACATGGCAAATAAATTGACTCTTGTAATCGATTTGCTTTGCTTTTTTGTGGAACATCACAGTTATAACATGCGTACTTATGCCATACAAAGAGGAATGCTTCTTTCTATTCTTGTTTATTTGAAAAGCAAACATCATTTTTTAGCTCATTGTTTGTTAATTTTATATTTTTAATTTAATTTTGTTCTAACTAAGGCGCTCTACGTTTACTACGTCGAATTATCGGGTTAAAGGATGTGAGTTGTTGAAACTAATGTTTTGTTGTAAAATTAAATTTTAATTTTCTAGGATATTTATTTCCGTCATATTTGTGATAAATCAATTTTGGACCCTGTTGTTGAATGCTTTGAAGCGAATGGATCACGCTACAATTTGCTCAACTCGTCTTTAATTGAATTATTTGAATATATTCGAACGGTTAATTTTTTTTGTCATTAAATTTTCAATTTTTTAAATTTATTTTTCAGGAAGAAATTCGTCCACTTATGCAATATGTAGTACAAAAACATTGGGAAACTGCATTTAGTAAAGTTGAATATGTCCGGACTTTTTCTGTAATGAAAACCCGTTGTGCACAATTTGCTGATACTTTTTCGTTCGAACGTGATTCTGCTTCCAAAGAGAACACTGGCTTGGCAATGACACCTCCACCTAATTCACAATGGAGAAAAGAACGTGAACACGATGATGAGGAATTATTCTTTAGTAAAGAAGAGGAGGACGAAATGGTTTTTTATTCTTTTAAAATTTTATTAATTTTTAAAATTTTTCTAGCCAGCACCGCAATTACGTAAATCTGGTATGGAACCAATGTTTCCATCACTGGCCAACCGAAAACGCAAAGGTTAACTCATTATTTTAAATTCAATAAAAATATTTTTTAAAGCTCTTGATGATGAAGATAGCATTTCGTCTGTCTTTGGAGGCAATATTACACCTCCGGCTGGTTCAAACGTGCGAATATCAAAAATAATGATTCGAATGAATACGAAAGAAATTACTCCTACTCCTCGTCAATCCGTTGTAGTGCAACAACAGCTGCCTCAACAACAAGCAGTGGATTCTACGGTTGAACCAGATACATTGGTAAAAATTGATAAATAGGCCTTTATATTTTTCGGTTTAAATTTTACTTTCTAATCTTTTTTAGCCGCCATTCGACGAGCCAAAACCTCATCAACAACAATCTACAGCCATATCAACTACAACTTCTTCAACAACAGATTCGTGCAGTACAGACAGTACAACCACAACAACTAGCTCTTCTTCACCACCTTCCTCAACTACACTCAAACGTCCCTTAGTTGATTATGATCTCAGTGACGACGATGATGATGACGGCGAAGGAAATGGAAAAGAATCAAAATTATCAAAATCTTTGTCTCGGTCTCAAACAAAAATAGTCGTTGGGGAAGAAAAACAGCCAAATAAAATACTCAAATTATCGACAGACGAAACGCCAGATTCATCGAGAGATGCTTCATCTCCACCACCCGATCCAGAACAAAAAGGAAGCGATCGAATGGGTGGAGGGGGAAGAGGAGGTGGAAATGGACAACAACAAGATATTTCAACATCATCATAAAAGTGACAAAAATTTATTTTAAGAATCTCTTTAAAAAATTTCTCCCTCTTTAGTCGATATTTATTTTAGTATAATGGACGGTTATGAAAAAAGTTTTCGGTATGTTTTTAAAAGAAATATACAAAAAGAATTTTTAAGGAAAAATAATATGTAGTATTTCCATCCATTTTCTAAAATTTTTATTTCTCTTTTTCGTCTGTGTTTTTCACTCATTTCTTTTGTCTAAGGAATATTCAACACAATATATTGTATTATTTTAAAATTGCTTCTATTTTCAAAAATACAAGATTTTCCCGAATCTGTTAATTTTTTAAATTTCTTTCTTTCTTGGATTAATAAATAATTTAATATTAAATAATAAATGGACATTAATATATAGGAATTTATATATAGTATCTATTTTGAGCTGCCAATTATTTTATAACTACTCATACTCCTTTAATTATGTTACCTATAAATAAATTTTTAAAGAATTTCCTTTTTGTTATACATAAGTGAGCCACAGCTATTTTAAGCAACTCATTTTAGTGAACTCTTTTTCAAATTTAATTGGTCATTGGGGTGACAATTTTATTCACTCCCTTAACGTAGAAATTTTAATTTTTTTTGATAATAAAAATTCTTTGTCTCTTTAACTTTTCTTTAATTAGATTAATAAAAATCAAAATGACTTAGAAATTTTATTTGGGAGGATTTAAATATTTACATTTTTTAAATTAGAATTTATGAAATTAATTTATTTTAAAAAGTTTTTTTATGAATTTCCCTCATATTAAAGGCTTTTGTGTAGATATTGGAATTAGTGGTCCTTTAACATTTCCCATTCTGCGTGCAATTGTTCCAATCAAAGGATAAATACCTATAAATTGGAAGGAAAATTTAAAGAAATTCTTTTATTTTCTTTTTTCCTTACCATCAACACTATCTGTGCATTCCCCATTAAAATCGTCATAATCTAAAGTCCAAACATAAGCACCTCCATAACCATTTCCTTTAATCCAATCAATCTTTAAATATTTTTTTAATTTTTAAAAAATGTCTTCCTTTTTTACCTTTGCTTTAAAACTTTTAATATTATCATAACTAAACCATTGACTTTCTTGATAAATAAGAAAAGGCACTTTTGCATTTAAATCAAAAGCACGTTTAGTTGTTGGATCAGTTAACATTTCACAAAACTAAAAGAAAGAATTTTTTTAATAATTTTTTTCCAAATTTACTTCAAAATATGCTCCAATCCCTTCAGATTTTAAATACGTTGTAGCGTTTGAAGGGCCAATAGCAGCACTTCCTACAGGTTTTCTTGACCCGTTTGGATTTGCTAAAGTCCATCCATGACCTATAAACAATTTTGTATTATTATTTAAATTTATTTGTTTTACCATAAGTTGCAAGTCCTATTACAATTTTCTTTTTTGGCATTCCTTCAACAGCCCAATAATCAGCCGCCGAATCCTTAAATTAAAAATAAATAAATTAATAAAATATTTATTTTTTCTTACAATATTTAAATTGTCTTTAGTAAATAGTGGAGAATTATAGCCTGTTACATTTTCTGTACTAACGTGGAAATCATATGTCATCAGATTGACAAATTCAACATAACTGTAAAAAATTATATTTTATCTAAGTAATACCTCTATTTAATGGGTACTTTTGGTACTAAAATAGAGGAGGGATTGCAGAATGGTGTTTATTAAAGACGTGTTTATTAAATAAAGAGGTTTTACTAATAGGAGATACTATATTCATATATCTAGAAGGGATAATAGTATGTAGAAGATAGTATATAAAGTGTACGAGAAATAAAAAATGTTTACAGTAAAATATCTCGATATAAGAGACTCGAGGAGGCTTCCCAAGGAAGTTTCTCTTCCATTTATTTCCTAAAGGGTTTTAATATATACTAAATTTCTCTAATTTGTAAAATATAAAATACAAACTTTGATATATTTGCAATATCATATGACTGTTTTGCAGTTTCAATTCCAGCCGAAACAGCTGCTGTTATAATAAGTCTTTCACAATTTCGTTTTTTGTCTTCTTTAAATGCTTCAGTAAATTCCTTTAAAAAATTTTTTTTACAAAATAATTCCCCCCCCCCCCTTTCTATTTACCTTAAAAAGTAAATTAAAATTTGTTTTATTTTTTGGATATTCATAGTCCATATCAATTCCATCAAAGCCATATTTTCTCATAAAAATAATTGAGGAAGTAATAAATGCTGTCCGATTTTCTTTACTTTAATTAATTTTAATTATTTATTAAAATATTTAATAATTTATTTATTTAAATTACCTAGACATCATATCTTCAAAAAGACTTGTTTGACTTAAAGTCCATCCACCGACAGAAATTAATACTTTGAGGCCATAATCATAATTCTTTAAAAAAAATTTATTTAAAGTTTTTAATGGTTTTTTTTTCAATTTTTCAGAGTCTGTAGAGTAAAAACAAAAATTTCTTTTTTTTTAATTTCCTTCCTCTAAACTTAAATAATTCTCAATTATTCTCACCCTAATAATTACCCCCAAAGTGAGACTAAACGAGAAAGTTTGTTGAGGGGTCTTTAATATTCTCAATATTACAAATTATTGTAGGAAATATTTAAAGTATATTTAAAGTAACATACTTTAAGTTCAACAACACGTTGATATAAACCTTTAGGGTCCGATTCATTTGGTAAATCTGCTGGATCTGTTGGTCTTTAAAAATATATATTTTTAAAAATTAATTTTTAAATTTTAGGTAGATGTCCCCACATTTAATGTTCTCTAAACTGTCCGCAGATTAAAGGACAGGTAGAGGGGACATTTACCGAACATTTAAATTTATATTTAATTTTCTTACGATAAAATAAAGCTAGAATTAAATTGCGCAAAAGCATAGAGTATATGTGTGCAAAGTCTTGGAACATAATCTTCTGGAACAAATTTGGCTCTACCATCTCTATATTGTGCCCAATTTGTGAAATAACAGGGACGTAAATATCCTGTTGTATCACCAACAAAATTACAAGTTCTGACATCTTTAGAAAGAATAAATAAAAATTTATTTTTAAGAAAAATTAATTTTATTTTTTAAATTAATTAATTATTTATTCAGAAAGAGGGAAAATTCTTTTTTTTTTTAACATTTTTTAAGATTAAATTTAAATAAGAAAGGGGCAAAGAAAATATCAAAAAAGTGACAAGGATTCTAAAAATTAAATTAATTGGATAATTAAATTAAATTTATAAAATCAAAAATTGTTTTTAAATTATTATATAGAATTTTTAGTTATAATTATAAATTAATTATTTAATTTTGTTGGGGAATCGGAGGGTGTGGGAATTTGTCTAAATATTACAATTAATTTTAATTAAGATTTTCTAGCCCCGAGATGTACATACATATAACCAAATTAATATTTATTTTTAAATTATTTTACTATGAGGGGGAGGAGGTTGAGGAGGGAGAATAATGCTGCTAGCAGTAGATGATTCTTCTTCAGAACAGAATATTTTTAAAAATAAATTTATTTGAAGAATAAGGAAAATGAGGAATTTCATTTTAATTATTATTTAATTATTTAATTATTTTAATTTTACTTAATTTTAAATTTCCCTTACATTAAATATTTATTTAATGTATTTAAAAAGGAATTAGAGATTTTTTAAAAACAGATTCACAAATAAATATTTTTTTTAATTTTCACAAGCCAATTACGTCAAAAAATTTAAAAATAATTTTTTTTAAAAATTATTTATTTACCCACCTTTTTATCTTCTCGCAATTCTTTTATTAATTCTTTCTATTTTTAGATCAATATAATGCAAATTTAGAAATACTTTTTTTTATTATTGGGAATTAAATAAAGCAATTTTATATTTTTTTATATAATTTTTAATCTTTTTGAAAAATAAATCGAAGAAAAAATTGTTTTTTATAATTTTTAATTTTTAAAATTAAAAAAATATTTCCAATTTTTAAAAATTAAAAAATAAATAAAAAATTAAATCAAGGAAATTATTAAAAAGTTAATTATTTGCAAAAAAATATTTTTTTTCTAATTAATTTTTGATGTTTAATTTTTAATCAATTTTAAATTTAAAAAATATTTAATTAAAATTTTTTAAAATTTAATTTCTTCTTTCTTTAATTTTGTTTAAATTTATTTCCATTAAAAAACAATTTCCATCAAAATAATAATAGCTGCTATGTATATGTATTCTCCTTTTTAGAAAATAACTTTTAAAAACTGCGTGGATCATCAAAATAAAAATTTGCAGAAAGGGAGTAATTAAAAAAAGAGAAGGAATAGAAAATTCTGATTTTAATTGAAATAAATACTAACTAGATTCTAAATATGTACATAGAGGAGAAATGAATGAAAGAATATATGGAGGATATATTCTTTTGGATATATTTATTTATTTAAAAATACAAAAGTTGATTTTTCTTTTTTTTAATCAATATGTTTAATATTTTGTGATTATTCTTTTAATAAATTGTAAAAATTAATTACATATAATTTAAAAAATAATTTTTTTTCAAAAAATTATAAAGATTTCAAATCAAATTTTTCGATAAACTAAAAAAATTAATAAAAGATCCATTATATTTTCAATTCAAATCTCTTTTCAAGTTAATTTATTTTTATTAAAATTTTAACAATTCCAACAAATAAAAATTGTTTTTAAATTTTGTATTTTAAAATTTAAGAAAAAAATCAGAAATTAAAACCAGAATTTATTTTTAAATTGATTTAAAGTTTTTTTTTATTTAATCATCCCTTTTATTTACATGTCAGGGATTTTGTCGTCCCGATTCTCTAAAATTGAGAATTTATTTTTTAAATATTGTTAGGATTCCTGTTAAATTCACTATCCCCCACAAACTCTAAAATAAAAATTTTTTCCCAAAAAAAAGAACGCTTCATTAAACAATAAAAATATTTAATAACAATTAAATTGTGCAATTCTCGAATAATTTTTGCGCGAACATTTAATACCCTTCAGATAAAAACAAAAATAAAAAAAGATAATTTTATTGTTAGAGTACTTTCTGGTTTTGTCCTACTGATTTATTTTTTCCTTTCCCAATATTTTATAGCCAGCGTAAAAATTTTTTTATTAAGGATAGAAATGGGAGAGGAAGAGGAGAAGGAAAGTATTTTTTAATCCAAATTATTTTTTGGTTGGACGATCAGAAAAATAAATATATAAATAAATATATTCTCGTTCTTAGCTAATTTATTTTATTGTAATTTACTTGGAAAGGATTTTATTTTTTTTTATTTTTCTCCAAATATTTTTATTATATAATTTTATTCTATATTTTTGTCAAATTAATTTTAGAGATCGGTATTTTCAAAAATTCCGGATCTGGATTTAGGTTAGTAACGGACAGAATTCTGGATCTTGATCCAGGAAAAATCCAGACTGGATCCAGATCCAGACCGATCTCTAATTAATTTTAATTAAAATTTTATTTTTCTTTATTTAAAGTGTTGTCCGATTTTTATTTGTGATTATTTAACAGAATTTATAAAATTAAATATAGATTTTAATAATAATTAAAAGAAGAAAAGATTTATCAGTTTAATATATCAATAGTTGATTATAAAATAAAAAAATATTTTTAGAAAAAAAGAGAATGTTATTATTAAAAAGGTTACTATCAATAACAACAAAACCATTAATTTATTTAATTATTTTATTTTGTATATTTTCTAAAATTAATTCTCAAAATAGTTGTTATATTAATGATTCTGGATTTACTTGTTGTAATAAACAATTAGGTAATTATTTAATTAATTTGGGGACTAAAAACTTATTTTTTCAAGAGAGTGCAATGAAAAAAGCAATGAGTGGAAAAGATTTACTTTCCTCTGCCAATCACATTCAAAAAATGGCAGAAGGCTCGCTTGGAGGAAAATTTGAAACTGTGAGGGAGAGGGATTTACTTTAAAAATTTTTAATTTAATTTTAAAGGTTGTCGCCTTTGACGATTTTGCCCATAAATCACATTTTAAAGAAGGCAAATCATGCAAAGTTGAAAAGAATGGACAATATGCTTTGGCATGGCAGCCTTAATTTTCTAAATTATAATAATATTTTAATTTATAATTATTTTTTTAGTAAAAATATTTTTTTTATATTTTCTTTTAAATTTATTTAGTCTTTTTTTAATAAAATAAATTAGTTATTAATTATTATAATTTTTAAAAATATTTAAAATTTAATAATATATTTTACTTGTGTTTTTAAAAATTATTTTTAAAGATTTTTACAAAAATTAATTAATTTCTCCTTTTATTAACAAAAAATATTTTTTTAACAATTAAATAATATTAATTTTGAGGTCCTTTTTAAAATTCATTTTAACACATTTTACAAATTATTGGACATATTTGACGTTTAACTATAGCAGAATAACTGGAGGAATTGCAAAATCCATTCTTTGCCCAAGCTTGACAACTAAAAAATCAGAAATTTGGAGGGTTTTTTTAATTCTGATCCAAAAACTTGCCCGTCATGGTCCTTCTTTCCACAATTTTCTTTTGTATTATTTTCCTTCTTTTCTTTGTCTTCCTTTTCATTTTTATTAGCATCAGATACTTCACCCGAAGAACTACAAACAGCACAACTTTTAGCACATTGACTTCTCATTATACGTTTATATAAACGATTTTCACATAAATTTAGTAAACTTAAAGAAAATTTTAAAAAAAAATTTGTAAAAAAAAAGTAGAAAGAAATAGGTAACTTTAAGGAGGGAATAATAAACGTATGGAATGTCCGTCCATAAATTGAAGGAATAGATTCCCTTCTACGATGAAGGTAATCTGTTTTTAGGGAATAAAGTACCCTCTCATCCTTTACAATAACGAGAAATATTATTAAAATATATCCTAAAATTAAGAAGTGTTTAATTTTGGAGTTAATTTAAATAATTTTTTTTTACCTAAAGCATCTAGTAGCAATATCTCTACAAACTTTAATTACTTTTTCTGTTTTATTCTTTTCAACTTCTTTATTAACTTCAATTTTGTTTTCTTTAATAACTTTCCAATTAATATTATCATACTCATCAAAACCATTTGGGGGAACATTTAAAGGATCAACTTTTTTTTAAATAATTTATTTTTAATTAAAAATTAATTAAATACCAATTTTATATTCAATAGAAAAATGTTGTTTTTTATATTGACTAAATACGCTTATAATAGCTAATTCTGTATTGCTATAGAGAATACCCAATGGACGAACATCTGAGCGGCAACAGATTCTTTAGAAAAAATAATAATTTTAAGAAAGAAAATTCAAAACTTTTTTATATAGATAATTGAACTGTTTAAATATTTTTTAAAAATTATTGACTAAAAACTCCTTTAAGAATGTCTCAATTTGTAATTTTCTTGAAGGACCATAAAGGGCTTTTAAGTGAATTTCATTTTAAATATGGAGTGATTCCAATATATGCACCTTCACCAATAAAACTACAAATTTATATCCATAAATTTAAATACCTAGCGCCAACTCTAAGAAAATCGCGTGCTTTAATTTCTGTCCCTCCATAAAAACAACCATCTGAACAAGCACCAGAAACGGATTTGACGCGAATTTGAATTCTTTTTCCACTTGGAGCCTTTTAAATTTATTTTAAATAAAAATATATTTTTTAATCACCCTAATATGCCACCAACACTGAGCATGTCTTGGGGCCATCCCATTTTCTACAGAACTTGAAACTTCTCCATTTAATATTTGAAAATCAGAATTGTTTGCCCAAAATTCTTTTTATTTTAATTAAAAAACAAAAAAAACTTTAATTGTTGCCCCACAATTAGGAGGAGCACCAAATACTGGAGTTGCTCTTCTTGTACAGTCAAAACTTCCAAAACCATCTGGACAAATACAAGTAGAACAATTACGTGGATGTCTATTAAGATTTTTTGTTTTTAAATTTAACTAATCCTCCAACCTATAACCACCATTTTTACAATCAGCCCCATTTGCATTACAATGTTCTGAGCATTTATAATACAAATTCATCTAATTGAAATAAAATTTCCATTAATTATTATTTGTATGTAATGGAATTAATCTAATTGAAGGTTACAATCAATATCTAGAGGATTATATACTAAGTGACATTTTCCGATCCTGAGGATGTAGTGATAGATAACAATTTAGTGCCATATACTATAGGTAATATTTCTCATTAAAGTCGCTATGTAATATCGAGAGTTGATTGTATTAAGAATCCCTTTAAATTCCCTCAATTTTCTTCTATAAATATTAATCACCTCCAAAACATCAAGAAACGAGGGGGCAACATTATTTCCCATTGTATGCTGAAAGCTTTTGTCCTTTGCAAGCATTGTTACACTCAATAAATGATGAATAATATTAACAAAAATTTCCAACAAAAACTTTCTTTTTTTGGGACTTTACTTACCGATTAGTGGACATATCTGTATCTGAATAATGCATAATCTAGAAATTTATAAAAAATAAAATCCTTAAATAAAAATTTATTTAAACACACTTCCATAATCATAAGTAACACCGAAATTAAAATTATCAGCCGGACTTTGTTTTACAAATTGTGTGGCCAATTGGGGACTTGAAGGGAAAAAAGAAAGATTTATTTTTTACTTTTTAACACCTTAAATTGGCATAAACAACATTAATAAACTGATCCCTATCAAAACGGGCTTGTGCATGGAAAAACCCAAGTGTGTGTCCAAGCTCATGAGCAGCAATGCCGAACTTTAAAATTTTAAAAATTAACCCTAGAAATCGTTAGATAATTTCCAAGGCCACCTTTCAAAAGCCTCTTTTCCCTTTTCCAACACTATCTCCCACTATTAATTATTTCATTATTTTTAAAGCCCTTTTCTGCTAATTTTCCTTCACGTTACACCTTGACTCAATGGCCTAGACTCAAATAGACCCTTAGTTAACTCAATTTAAATATTTAATTATACGCCAAACACTTCGACATTTATTCTCGAAAATTCTTTTCATCTTTTTCCTCTTTTACTTCACTTTATTTTCTTTTCGCCCTTATAAAAGACATTCTAGAATATTCTTGCTTTCTCCTTTCTCAATATAAAAGTGAGGAAAGGATTTCAGTTTATTTATTTGCAAAGGTTTTTTTGGGTGTAGGTTGGTTCTTGTCGCGATTTTCTAGAAAATTACGCGTTATGTTGTTCCAAACATTGCATGAATCTTTTATAGTAAATCAAAATTTTTAAAGCTAAATTTTTTAGATAACAAATTTTATATTTCTTCAAACGCTAATTCTTCAAAATGCCCGATATTAAGATGGAGGATGTGAATGGCACTCCAGGTGAAACGTTCGCTTTTCAGGCGGAGATCGCCCAGTTGATGTCCTTGATCATCAACACGTTCTATTCCAACAAGGTAAATTTCTGTATTTTTGCTTCAATTTTTCAATTTTTAGGAAATTTTCCTTCGTGAATTGATCTCCAACTCTTCTGACGCTTTGGACAAGATTCGTTATCAAGCTTTGACTGATCCAGCCCAGTTGGAGACTGGCAAGGATCTTTACATTAAAATTGTCCCGAACAAGGCCGATAAGACTTTGACTATTATGGATACTGGAGTCGGAATGACTAAGGCTGATCTTGTTAACAATCTTGGAACTATTGCTAAGTCTGGAACCAAAGCTTTCATGGAGGCTCTTCAGGTTTTTAATTTTGTTTTAAATGAGTATGCTCTCTAGTTAAACGAAGCTTAAATATTAAAATTTAGGCTGGTGCTGATATCAGTATGATTGGTCAATTCGGTGTTGGTTTCTACTCTGCCTTCTTGGTTGCTGACCGTGTGACTGTTACTTCTAAACACAATGATGATGACTGTCATCAATGGGAGTCTTCCGCTGGTGGTTCATTCATCATCCGTAACTGCGTTGATCCTGAAATGACTCGCGGAACGAAGATCACTCTTTACCTTAAAGAGGATCAGACTGACTATTTGGAAGAGCGTCGCATTCGTGAAGTCGTTAAGAAGCACTCCCAATTTATTGGATATCCAATAAAGCTCTTGGTTGAGAAGGAACGTGATAAGGAAATTTCTGATGATGAGGCTGAGGATGAGAAGAAGGACGAAAAGAAGGAAGAAGTAAAAGAAGAAGAGAAGGAGATTAAAAAGGAAGAGGGTGAGGAAAAGGAGGGAGAAGGTATTTTTCTTTGATCGTAATTGTTTAATTAATCTTTTTAGATGAGGAGGATAAGGACAAGAAGGACGGTGAGAAGAAAAAGAAGACCAAGAAGATCAAAGAGAAATACACCGAAGATGAAGAGTTGAACAAGACAAAGCCCATTTGGACACGAAACCCCGATGACATTACTAATGAGGTTAAACTGATACATGTATAAGTTAGTAACTTTTCTCCACTTTTAAGGAATATGCTGAATTTTACAAGAGCTTGTCTAACGATTGGGAGGATCATTTGGCTGTTAAGCATTTGAGCGTTGAAGGACAATTGGAATTCCGGTAAATTTTTAATTCCTTCTACGACTTGAATTTGTGGTGAATGTTTCATTTTTTCAGCGCTCTTTTGTTCGTTCCACAACGTGCTCCCTTTGACATGTTCGAGAATAAGAAACAAAAGAATGCTATCAAGCTTTATGTTCGACGTGTCTTCATTATGGAGAATTGTGAAGAATTAATGCCTGAATACCTCAACTTTATTAAAGGTTAATTGAAATTTTGATCTTTTTCATTTTCAAATTATTTAGGAGTTGTTGACTCTGAGGACCTGCCTCTTAACATTTCTCGTGAAATGCTCCAACAATCCAAAATTCTTAAAGTAATTCGAAAGAATTTGGTCAAGAAGTGTATCGAACTTTTTGATGAAATTGCTGAAGACAAGGACAACTTTAAGAAATTTTATGAACAATTCAGCAAGAATCTTAAGGTTTTTTTTTAAATGGTTTTTTGTAAATTATTTTAAAAAATAATCTTTAGTTGGGTATTCACGAAGATTCTGTCAACCGTAAAAAGCTTGCCGAATATCTCCGTTACAACACTTCCTCTTCTGGCGATGAACTTGTTAGCTTGAAAGATTATGTTGGACGAATGAAGGAAAATCAGACTTGCATTTATTACATTACTGGCGAGTCTAAAGAAGTTGTTCAAAACTCTGCTTTTGTTGAACGTGTTAAGAAGCGAGGATTTGAAGTTATTTATATGGTTGATCCAATTGATGAATATTGCATTCAACAATTGAAAGAATTTGATGGAAAGAAATTGGTTAGCGTTACTAAAGAAGGTTTGGAGTTGCCAGAAAGTGAAGAGGAAAAGAAGAAGTTTGAAGAAGATAAAGTCAAATTTGAGAAACTTTGCAAAGTTATTAAGGTACTTCAAAAAATTTTGTTTAAAGAATTTTGGAATGTTTAATTTTTTAGGATATTTTGGACAAAAAAGTTCAAAAAGTCTCTGTCTCAAATCGACTTGTCTCTTCTCCATGTTGTATTGTTACTGGTGAATATGGATGGACTGCAAATATGGAAAGAATAATGAAGGCGCAAGCTTTACGTGATTCTTCTACAATGGGATATATGGCAAGCAAAAAGAATTTGGAAATCAATCCAGACCATTCCATCATTAAGTGAGTTTATGACCTAACTTTTTTTTGGTAAATTCACATTTTAAATGTTTAGGTCTCTTCGCGAACGTATTGACTCCGACCAAGATGACAAAACTGCCAAAGATTTGGTTGTTTTGCTCTATGAGACAGCTTTGTTAACTTCTGGCTTCTCTCTTGAGGACCCGCAACAACACGCTTCGCGTATTTACCGAATGGTTAAACTTGGATTGGATATTACCGAAGAGGACTTAGAAGGAGGAGAGCAACAACCCTGCACTTCTGGTGAACCTGTTGAAAAGATTGCTGGTGCAGAGGAGGATGCTTCGCGTATGGAGGAAGTTGATTAAATTAATGTTAAGAGGTTTTGATGGATTGATCTCCTCGTTGACTTTGTTTTTCTTTAAATTTATTTTGTTTTGTCGTCCTTATAATTATTTACTTTACTTTGTTTTTGGATCACGGATACATAAATTAATTTCACAAAAAATATTTCTTGATTTTTAATTTTGGGACTTGTTTTAGGATATCCATTTAATGTGGGGAAAATATTTAAAAAATTACCTGTTCGCAGCCATGACCAAGCGAAATCATCTTTTAAGTATTATAAGTTTGATATAGTATTATTTAAAATTTACCTGTTCCCCTTGATTAAATGCTCTCCCAACTTGACTTCAAATTTAAAATAAATTTTGAAATAGAAGAGATTAAAACTCTACCTGTAACAACCCCCTCCAGGAAAAATCCGCACTTTTGGATTCCCCTGTCCATTTTCAGCAAAAGATAAACAAGTATTTTCAGTCCAGAATTGGGCTGCTAAACGAACTAATTTTCTAGCATTTTCACCTTTAATTTTCTTTAAATTTTTTAAAAATAAATTTAAATTTACTTAATTTTGGATCAAAAATATATGGAACAGGCTTTGAAGGTTCCCATTGATTTTTTGGAAAATTTCTGCCAGTTTGTGCTTGCCTTCTTTTTCTTTTTTTATTAAAATTATCATCATTCAAAACCATTAATTCATCCCCACCAACAATTATAGTTAACTGTCCAGGAATTATTCCTTCACTAATTCCCCCTTTTTTATTTTGATTTTGAATATTTAATAAAATTTCTTTTGATTCATTAAAAGTTAAAAGAATATCTCCCTTAAAGTTTTTGGATTAAAATTAAATTTAAAAATAAATATACTTGATATAAAAAATCATTTAAAGGTTTATTTAATTCTGCAATAGCTTCTTTGTTTTGATTAATATTTTTATTTGATTCTCTTTGTTCAGCTAAATTCTGGAATTTTTAAAAAAATTATTTGTTGAAAGTAAAATAGTATATACTACTATTTTAAGTTTATTGGAGGTAAAGAGAAGAAAGAGAAAGTGGATATTAAGATTTTACTAAGATTTTTATTGCTGAATTTTATACCCTTAGAATACAGTAAATGTTCTTCAACAGCAACTTAAACTCTCATAAGCCGTTTTCGGTTCGAGCCGACATTCGGTGCATTTTTTGAGCTTGATTTTTTTCGATTCGGTTCGTTTTCTAGCTTTTTAGCTCTTCGAGTTTGGTTCGAGCGAGCTGGCAACCCTACTCATAATAATAATAAGACTTTAAAGAATAAAAATTAATTGTAAAAATAACGAGTATTTATATTTTAAATAATTTTTCAAAAAAAAACAAGCCATAGCATGTGCTAAAAGAACACTAGGTTCAATTAAACCAGCAGCTTCCCATCCAGCCATTAAATGTTTTTTAATTTCTTCCAAATTTTGTCTAACTTTAAACATTTCTTTCATTTTTTCTTTACCCATTGAAAAAGTAAATTCATATATTTTCTGATTTTTTAAAAATAAATTAATAAAAAAATCATAATTAAATAAACTTGTTGTGTTATATTTATTGAAGGAAGCTTTTTTCGAGGAAATTCAAAAATTGAGGGAATTATTTTTAAATGTTTTAAACGTTCAAGTAAATTAAAAGAATAACAAAAATTAAAGAAAAAATAAAAAATTAAAATTTTATTTAATAAAAACATTTTTTTTGAAATTAAAAATAATTTTTAAAAAATAAAAAGCTTTATTTTTTAATGAAATTAAAAACAATAAAAGGGAAAAACAAAAATAAATGAACAAAAAAATGAACAAACAAAAGAGGAATAATAATAGAAAAAAATAAATAAAAATAATTTGTCAAAAATAAGGGGAAAATTGGAAAATTAAATTTATTAGTCGATAAACACGAGAATAACAGTTTATCGAAGTAGAGAGATTCAAGGGGGAATTGGGCTGGATCAGACGAAGGAGATTAGGACAAGTCGGGCTTGTATGATCCAATCAGACTGAAGCTGACAATAGTTCGACTGCTTATACGATGTTCAACAATTTTCTAAAAGGAATTTTTCCTTAAATCCTCAATTATATAATTTTTCAATAAAATATTTTTTTAACTTTATTAAACAAATTTCCAAAATTTCCAAATATTTTCTTAAAAATATGTGAGGTCTAAAAAGAATTTAGAGAATGCCCGGTGGCAAGACTTTCTTTACTTTCCTTTTATTCTCTTCCATTCTTTGTCCAAAATTTGTTTGTCGGTTATTTTCTTTGAAGTTTTTTTCCTTTTGAAGTTGCGCCGAACAACGCGGCAAAACATTTTTAACTTTTCTTTTTTTTTTGATTTTTAAAAATAAATAAATAAATATCCTTTTTTGTCCATTACTCTTTATATTTATTTACTAAAATGGAAAGAATATTTTTAGCGGTAATTTTGAAGAAGCTTTTAAATAAACAAATGTTTATATTTTTGTTTTTTATTTTGTTTTGGCGCATATTTTAAATGAAAGAAAAATTGTTAAAATTTATTTAAAAATTGTTAATTTAGATATTAGAGTTCTTTAATATCACATTAATTCATAAAATTAAATTTTTTAAAAATAAAAATAATTAAAAAATATCTTTTACATAAATTTACATACTTAATTTAGTTATTTATTCAGAATTAGCCTAATCCTTTAATTTCCTGATATCCAGATCCTCCCAACTTTATTCAGAACTATTCATTTATTTAAATAAAATTCTTAATTTTTTAAAATAATTTATTTAAAAAATCTTTTTTTCTACATTAAATCCCTCTTAAATATTTTATATATAAAAATAACCCTCCCCTCCTCCTTTTCAACAATAATTTATATTTATTTGTTGAATAGTTTTTAAGAAATTCCTTCTTTATATAAAAATGTCCAAACAACCTTCTTTTCTCTTCCACTTAAAGTTGTTGAGTTCGCGCATTTTAAAAAAGAATAAAAAGCTTCAAAACAATACACAACAACAACAAATAAACTACATTATTTAAAAGAATTTTGGGGAAATAATAAAAAGAATTATTAAAATTTAATAAAAATAAGAAAAAAATATTTTATTTTACAAAAATTTTAAAATAATTTTTGTACCAAAACAATATCTTAAATAAAATGTCTCCAATATTTTTTACATTAAAGGCTTTCTTGTTTTGGCCCAAAAATTATTTTAAAATTTTTGTAAAAAATATTTTCTTCAATTAATAATTATTTTATTTTTTAAAAATATCATTGATGCATAATTTAATATATATTTCCCGCTAAATTCTCACCTTAAAAAATACAAGTACATTTATTGTCTCTTAAATAAATTTAAATATTTCCTTCTTTATTCCACTTCATTTATTTATTTTTTTTCTTTTAAATTTCTCAAAAGAACAACAATAAAGGGGAGGAGTGGGGGGGGGGAGTGGGCGCAACACCAAAAATCTGTGTCCACAACAATATTCCAAAATCTTTCTTCCTTTTATTGTTACGCCCATTTAAATTTTTAAAATATTTTAAAATTATTATTTTATTTCCCGCTTCAGAGAAATTTTATAAATGACGGAAAATAAATTAAAATTTATTTTTTTAAAGAAAATAAAATAAAAATATTAACTTTTCTTCTTTTAAGACCTCGTAATCCTTCACAATTTAATAATGTTCAACACGCAATCCCAACATTTTTTGTCACTAAAATAATTATGGCTTAATATTCTTTTGAACTTAATCAAGAATTAAGAACTCTCTTTTTTATAACCGGAATTAATTTGTTAAAAATTCCTTCAAAAATTTTTCTAATTAATTAGTTGAGCACCTTATTCCCTAATTAATTAATTAGTAATATTCCTAATTATTCCCTAATTAACAAATTAGTAATACAAAAATTTCTCTATAATAATTAATTTTAAAATGACGGAAATTATTTTTAAGAATTTATTTTATTTTATAAAATTAAATATATTAATTTTAAAAATAAATTAGAAATATTTTTACAAGAATTATTAAATTGAGAAATTTATTTTTGTTAATTTTAAGACAAAAATATACATACATACATATTTTTTTCCATCGTTATTTTCTTTTAATATTTAGTCAAGTTTTTGATTTGAAAATTTTAAAATTAAAAAGACAATTTTCTAATATGTACACAATTTATTTTTTTGTAAAGAATGTTTAATATTTTTATATTCTCTTTTTAATTTCAATATTTCATATCCATATAATATAAAAATAATTTTTTGTTGTAATTATTAATATTTATTATTTATAACCTTAAAGATTCCACAAAAACAACCAATTAAATGTCAACAAAAACAAAATTAAATTTAAAAAATGAAAGAATAACCAACAACAAATCTTCTTCATTATTTAAACAAATATATTGGGTAATTCCCCCTTTCCTAGCCTTTTTAATTTTTGCCCTTTTATTGTTAGCTTTATTAACAGCAATTATTGGATTAATTTTACCAACATTTTTAATTAAAAAAGAAATTATAGAAAATAATTTTGAAGAAAATTTAAATGAAAATTGTTTAAATAATTCGTCTTTTTTGTGGTTAATTAATGCAACCTGGCTAAATTCTCCTTCATTTTTATTTGGAACAATACATGTTCCTTATAATAAAATATGGGAAGATAATAAAAGTAAGGAGGGGAAGGAAGGGATAAAGATAAAATAAATAAAGATAAAATCCCTCTCCCTTTTTTAATTAATAATTATTAATAGAGCCGTCCGAAACCGAAAATTTTCCAAGACTCAGACCAAAACTTGACCCCAACTCAAGACTAAAAATTAACAAGACTCAGGACAATTTTTTGGTCCCATAAGTCAAATTTTTTGTTCATTTTTTGTTGATTTGACAAGAGGACCTTAAATTTTGAAGAATTATTGGAAATATAATCAAAAATTTAGGTTTACCACAAAAATTTTTTAAACTCTTTTTTTTATTTCTCAATCCTTCCAGTTATTCAATTTCCTTTAGATTCCCTTTAATTTTATTTATTTATTTAAAACAATTTTTATTTAAACAAAAATTTATTTATATTTAATTTTTGTTTATTTAATTCAAATAATTTTTATTTATTTAACAATGAAGTACCATATTTTTATTTATAAATAAACCAAACTCATTATTTATATTGTTAAAAAAGGAAAGGGAAAAGGGGCACCTGCTGAGGGTTATTGTTGTGTATTTTATTTTTAATATAAACTACTAAAATATTATTTTTTTGGTAAAAATTAATTAAAAGGAAATTAGGGGAAATGACCTGAAGAAGGAAAAATAATTAAAAATTTTTTAGAAATATTTAGATTAAAAAGAATAATTAAAATATTTTTAACTTTAAAGTGCCACCACAAATTGAAAGGGCCTTTAAATCTTCAAATTCTGTTGTTTTGGAATTGGCATTGCAAAATCCGGAAATTGGTTTTTTAATTTAAATTTATTTTATATTTTGGGAAAGTTTTGGGTTGGGAATTTAAATTTAATTGTTCTATTAAATTTAAATAAATGATAAAACTAATAGAAATTCTAATAACATACATATAATATTTAGAGCTTCTAATAATATAATCATGTCTCCTTTTTAATCCCAGCTTTATTTATTTAAATGAAACTTCCCTCTAAAATGAAAAGTTAAACTGTATTGTTCAAACGGGGCTTACCAACCCCGATCCTGATATTTTACTAGCCCTGCCCGAACCTGTTAAATAAAATATTTTAAAAGAAAAATATTTTTTAAGTAAAACAATTAATTTACTGTAAACAATTACCCAATTTTGGCAATCTACGTGATATTTTACCAAAAGAATTATTTAATAGACTTAAAGAGTATATGCAAAGAATTCATTTAAAACTTGTTAAACATGCTTATATGGTTTGTTTTTTAATTATTAAAATTTTTTAAATTTATTTTTAAAGACACATAGAAGACATTCACATGCACGTAGATATGTTAAACGGTTTTTTCCAAGTAAATTTTATTAAATTAAAAATTAAAGAAATATTTTAATTACTTGGTCATGTAATCATCTTTTCCTAGTCCATCTTTATTTTTTTGTTAACAGAAAATTTTTTAATTAATTTAAAATAAATATATTTCAAAAAAAGATGATTGGGAAATCCGTAGGCCAATTTGGTTATTATTCCTTTTATTTCAACTTGGAGATTCTCCTCCACATTTACAAGAAATAAATTCCCAAATAATTCCAACACCAATGCTCGATTTGTATTTGGCACAGTTGGCTAATGAACAAAATAAAAATTTAATTTCGGTAAAATATTCGGGAAGAAATCTTCAAAAAAAATATTTTTTAAAGATGGAAACAGTATCAGAACAATGTAATCCAACACAATTAATTAAATTAGAACAAATAATATTTGCAATAAATTATACTTTAAATTATATTGAGTGGACTGAAAAAAGAGAAGAATCGGATAATAAATTAAATTTAACAGCAACAACAATAAATAATGAGTCAATTAATAAATTAATTAAACATTATAAATGGTTAGTTTGTTAAATAAAATAATTTTAACTATTTTTTTTTATTTTTAAAGTGGAACTTTACAAGTTGGTATTGAACAAGTAAATTAATTAAAATAAAATTAATTAAATTTTGGATTAATTTATGTAGTTAGTTTTTGGTGCACACAGATTTACACAAAATGGATTCCAAACAACTCCAGAACAAGACAAATTAGCTAAAGAAGTAAAAATAAAATAAATAAATAAATATTTTTTAAAAATTAAATTGTTCTTTTAGATTGACAATTTATTAGTTGAGGATATTTTATTGAGGAGAAATGAAAGAATGGCTAGGTAAAAATTTGAAAAGAATTTTGATAAATATACAGGAGGGGATCTAATTTATACTATTATAAACTTTCATATTTTTCTGTCCGGAAGGTGACACACAAAATATGATCCAAGTATATTCCAATATAAATTTTTTAACTCAACAAAATATTCTTTAACTAATTTTGAATAATTTAATTTAATTTTAGAAGAACAGATTTATTGTTAAAAGAAAATTCAAACAAAACATTATTTTTTGCCTTAGGAGCAGGCCATTTATTTGGAAATCAGTCTTTAATTGAATATTTAAAGAGAATTGGTAATATTTAAATAAATATAACCTCATTTTTAAATACCTCCTCGGGGTAGAGAAAATTGTAATTCTTTGTAATTATGGGGTACGTTAAAAATTGAAGGGGCGCGTTTAGGTAGGTATCCCCCCCCCCACTCAGTCACTAAGTTGAAGTATATCCAATCTTGGAGGTATTTAAAAACGAGAGTTTGACCTATTCAAAAAATTAAATATTTTTAAAGGTTACCAAATAATTCCAATAAAAAATAAAATTGAACAAAATTTTCAAAATAGTTTTCGTTTATTAGAAGAAAAGGAAGGAATATTTAATGAATTATTAATTCCAAATAATTTAAATAATAAAAAAATAATTAAACCAACAAAAATTGAAATTTGGTTAAGAGAAGTATCCTCTTCTTGTGCTTCTTCTTTTAATTTATTAAGTAGAGAAGTAAGTTTTATTTTTAATTTAATTTCTAAATTTATATATTTAGTTAATTTCAATAACAATTATATTTTTATTTTTACAAACACTCCTCCTAATATTTTGCTACTAAAACATAATAATAATTTGTTAATCCAACACTAAATTAAAAAAAAGAAACGGGTAAAAAACTAAAGAGTTACTACAATATATTCAATTTCTTTACAATCTTTATTTAAAATTTTTATTTTTAAAAATAAAAAGTACTCGACAATAAAATTTTTTTAAACAATTTACCGTAAATGCTCGAATAATTACGCTCTCCCAAATAATTACCCCCTTTAATAATTACCTCCTCCTTTTCTTTTCTTTAATTTTAAAAATATTGAAAAAATCATTGTCAATTTTAATTATTGAAACATTATAAGAATTCATATGAAAAAATAAATGGCTTTCCTACTCGATTTATTGAGATATTCCCAAATTTAGCACATCCTCTCGATTAATTAAAACAATAATTACTCAGGGTAATTATTCAAGCATATACGGTATTTGAAAGAAAATGTGAGTAATTTAAAAAAATATATGTAAGCATTATTTCCCGTCTAATCCTTCAAAATAATAGGTTCTAACAATCGAGGAACCAAACTTAAATAATTATTTTTAATTTCTTCCCATTCGTTACTCTTTAAAAAGTTCCTTTTATTTGCTTGAATATAATTTATACATGTCTGTAAAAATAATTTAAATTAAAAATATGTATTTAACAAATATTATTTTACCTTCTCCAAAGTTGGAGCACCATATAAGTCAATAATCCCACAATATTTAACAATGTTTTCATTATCTAAAAGAAAAATATTTGGAATCTCTTTTTAATTTTCTGCTAAATTTTCTCACTAATATTGCTAGACATAAAACGTTCACACAAATATTTCAACATTTTTACTTCATATTTATGGGCAATAACAAAAATACCATCAACATGGTCTTTCATTCTATCTTAAAATTTTAAATATTTTTTAAAAATTTGTTTATTTTATTTAAACCATCAGAAACCATTCCAGTATAGAAAAATTCCAACATTGCACGAACACATTCTGGTGTTGTATCAGTAATAATAACTTCACCCTAAATTTATTTTAATTATTTCATAACTAATGAACAATTAATGGAACCATTTTATGGTAAATGTGGGAGAAAGAGGGCAAGTTATGACCAGTGCTTCGAAATTTCGTACTTCGTACCGCCTCTATTTTTGGCCTCGTACTCGTACCTCGTACTACCCTTAGTTTAGGCCTCGTACCTCGTACTTGAGAATAAATCATAACATCTAAAATTTTTATGATTTTTTTTGAGTCTGGGACATCTAGTTTTAAATTTTAAGCGTTTATGCGATAATTTTTGAATCTTGGAAGGCTTCGAAGCCATAAATCCTCCAATATAATCCATTTTCTGCGTCGAAGGCAAAATTCACCAAGTATGAGACTTTTCACTTTTTTTTGGCTACGTACTCGTACCTGCCCCATTTTTTTGCTCGTAATAGGTACGAGTCGAGGTACGAATTTTGGTACGAGCTTCAAAGCACCGGTTATGACCCTCCAGTTTTAAATTTTGAGCCATTTGAGTTAGTGAAAAGGACTCAAGGAGCTAAAAAATAGCTAGAAAAAGCCTATTTTGTATAGGCTACGTTTATTAGATTTTCAGAACTCTCTATTCCTCATACAAAATAGTAGCACTTTCGTCAAATTTACTTCCACTTTTGTTTAACAAACACCTACATTTTGTGCTTCAGTCATGCCATTTTGCTCAAACATTTTGTGAAATACTTTACTATTCTTTGCCAAAATACATTTATGTGTTTTTATAACTTCATCGCCAACCTAAAAATTATGTTATTTTGAAATATATTTTTATTAAACTTTAATAACAAAATCAGTTAATATTTCCTCATTAAACATGTTTGCATAAGTAATTTGCAAATTATCATATGAATTGTAACCGTCAATTTCAACTTTGCAGGCAAGCTTCAAATTTCCTAAAATAATTTTCAGATAAAGAAAAGTTTTTGTTTGTAAAGATTTACCGTCAGAACAAACTATTTCGTCCAATAAAATTGAAGTAAATCCCAGACGTTTTTGGTTCTCAAATTTGTATGTAGATCTTTAAAATAAAAATTGAGGCATTTTTTTTCAGTTTTTGGTCTTAGCATTTCCACATACAGGGTACGTAACATACAGGGCACGTCCCGGAATTAATTAAAATGAATTAATTTTTTTAATCAAAATAAAAACAAAATGTTTAAAAAAATCTAATAAACAAATAATCAAAATTAGATCCGCCCGCTGAGATACACGCATCCAAACGCCTCCGAAAATTTCCTACTATGGTCGCGCACTCCTCTTCGCTTATTGATGCCCAGGCAAAACAAAATTGTTAATAAAAAGTTACGTTACAGGTTAACGAATGGTTACAGAACCAGTAACTCTAAAATCTTACAAAATATACGGCAAAAAATGAGGAAATTTTTTTCCAACTCTAGTTTTAACCTACCACGTTGAAACAAATAAGGAACTATTTACTTTGCAATTTTCACTCGCTCCACATCATTAATTGCCCAAATTCTATATTTAGTATTCACGAGAGAACTCAAGCTTGTAGGCCCTAATTGTTGAATCCAAATATTAACAGTCTTACGCCCTTTTATTAATTCCACACATAATTGAAATTCCACTGATGGAAATTTTGGGCAAGAAAAATTGGTACATGGAGAGAAAAAATTAGTTAATTAATTTTTAAAAATTGTCAAGATTACTTGATAATACAAGTTTGTCCATAGGCATAGTAAATTGAAGCTTTTTAGGACCAATAACACTCATATCGAATTCATAACTAACAGTATCCATCTAAAAATTGAGAGTTAAAGTAATCTAAAATTAGGCTCATGTAAGGATAGTTCTAAAATAAATCATGGAAAGAAGTTAAAAATAGGGACAATTATGTAACATTAGATATTTTATAATAAGAGGAAAAGATGGGAAGATTGAAAACAAAATGAATGTATAAATCATTAAATAATGGAAACACAAAAATATTAGGTTGATATTTCAAATTATTTATGAGAAAATATACTAATTTTGAATGCCGTTCCTTTCTTCCTCAGTTTAACAAATTTGCCTATTACATACAAACATTCAAAAAAAAGATTATAATTTAAGGCGTAGCCGGCAATTTGGAGAGTGGGGAATAAGTGTGGAGTATTCGGACAATTGGGCAGTGGAAAGAAATTTTTTAAAAATAGTCTAAAATGATGCAGAAACACAGCGGGTTAGAGCGGAAATAAGGAAGTGTCTCCGCTTTTCTCTCTTTCATTTACTTGCTCTCTCATTTTTAGCATTACTCTCGTTACTATTTTAGGTTGCCAATTTCGAAATCCGATATCTCGAGATTTACAGATAGGATTCGAATTCTGTCAGTTTGTTTTAACGATAACATGCTCTTCTTTCTAATAAATTTATTTTTTTCAATTTTAATGCAGATTTCGTTAACTTCTATGCACAATTACTTTAATATAATTTTTAATAGAAAAACTAACAATAAGTGTGAAAATGTCAGCTCAATTCGATTTTAATACCATTCGATGTGGCTCGATTAGTCTGGCTTCTGACTTTCCAAAATTCTGAAAATTTTTGCCTGCGGCGCAGAAAAAGGGTTAATAGGTGTTAAGGGAGTTTCGACGTAGTTGGGGTAATAGAATTTGGTATTTTATATTGCCGTTTGTCCGATCTCTATGTATGGTATATTTTGGTCGTTCCATGTGTTGTCTTTTCCATGTTTTGTTCGACCGTGTTTTAGCCTGACACAACCGAACCAAGGTTCTAAAATGCAGATTATTTATACCAATCTGCAATATATTCAATTAAATATTTTAAATTTATTTTGAATTTTATTTTAAAAAATAAAAGTATTCGATAATAAAAAAATTTTTAAATAATTTATTTGGAAAAATGGTAAAATAAAAAAAATTTAAGCATTATCTGTTTAATCTTTCGATAATAGGTTCCAAAAATCGTGGAACCAAACTTGGATAATTATTTTTAATTTTCTTCCATTCTTTAGTTTTTAAAAAATTCTTTCTGTTTGCCTGAATATAATTTATGCATGCCTGAAGATAATTATAAAAATTAAAATATTTAGATTAATTATGGGACCTTCTCCAAAGTTGGAGCACCATATAAGTTAATAATACCACAACATTTAACCATACTCTCATTATCTAAAAAATATTTGGAATCTCTTTTAAATTTTATATTAAACTTATTACCAATATTGCGAGACATAAAATTTTCACACAAATATTTTAACTTTTCTACTTGATATTTATGGGCAATAGCAAAAATATCATAAACATGAATTTTCATTTTATCTTTAAATTAAAAACATTCGTTAAAAAATCTGCTCATTTTATTTAAACCATCAGAAACCATTCCAGAATAGAAAAACTCCAACATTGCACGAACACATTCAGGTGTAGCATCAGAAATAATAACTTCCCCCTAAATTTATTTTAAAACCCCCAAAATCAACTATTATCTCGTTTAACAAGTCATTTAATTCAAACGTTTTAATTTTTATTTTTCAATTTCTAAACTTAAAATAAGTTATCCCTTTATTTGATTTTTAGATGTCAGGGTAACGAGTAAATACATATATATTTTAATGAGATAAATATTATAATTACATTTTGTGCTTCAGTCATACCACTCTGTTGAAACATTGTATGAAATACTTTACTATTCTTTGCCAAAATACATTTATGTGTTTTTATAATTTCATCACCAACCTAAAAATTATTTTTTTGTTTTTGAATAAAACAAATAAAAACTTTAATAACAAAATCAGTTAATATTTCCTCATTTAACATGTCCATATAAGTATTTTGCAATTTATCATATGAATTGTGACAGTCAATTTCGACTTTACAGCCAAGCCTCAAATTTCCTAAAATAATTTTCAGATAAAGAAAAGTTTTTGTTTGTAAAGTTTTAATAAATAATATATAGACAGGAAATGTAAGTATAGTAATATATTTAGTTAACCTGCACTAATATTTCGAGGACTAAGTTTATCCTATACTTGCAAACTTTGTTAGATATTAAATTTATCTATAACCTAAAAAAATTTTGGAATTTTTATGATTCCAGAACCTGGAATTAAATTATAACAAGTTAATATGTAAATATGTAGTATCAAAGTAGAAATTTAATTTATTGCCAAAACTTACCGTCAGAACTAATTATTTTTTTGTCCATTAAAATTGAACGAAATCCCAGACGCTCTTGGTTCTCAAAATAGTATGTATATCTTTAAAATAAAAATTGAGACATTTTTTTCAATTTTCGGCTTAGTATTATTTTTGAACTTTTGTGTTCCATAACATTTATAGGTAACCAATCGTTAACTTATTAATATAAGTTCGGGAAATCCACCCAGAAGACCTACACCATCTAGACTTATTGACCCTGAAGAAGGGATAAAGAGGGAGTAAAGAAATGTCGTGAATTTTGAGGTTTTAAAGGGAATAGGAGTTTATAGGGATAAAAAGGATCTTCTGGTATCTTTGTTATCCCCATAATATACTGATATCCAAAAAATCTACTCATATTCCTCCTAATCTTCTAATATCCAAAAATCTCCTGATATCCCCTTAATCCTTCATTACACGCCGTTAATCCCTCCAACCGCTTTAATCCCTCCTCCTTCCAAATCTCATTTACCTAATCCCTCAAGATCCACACGATATTCCATTAATCCCTACAAGTCTTTTTCCCCCTTTAATAACTGATAAAAAAATTTGAGTAGATCTTTAGGGTGTAGGTCATGGGTGTGTAGGTCTTCAGGGTTGACCGCGGTTCTGGTTAAGTGAGAAAACTTGTTAATAAAATTTAAATTAATTAACAAATGGTCGAATAAACAGTAATTCCAAAATTTACAGAACTTCAGGAGAAAATATTAAAATTTTTGGGAAAAGGAAAAAAGATAATGGAAATATTTACTTTGCAATATCCACGACTGCCTCATCCTTAATTACACAAATTCTATATTTAGTTTTTGAGAGAGAATTCAAGCTTATAGGCCCTATTTGTTGAATCCAGATATTAACTTTATTAGAGTTTTTTAGTAATTCCACACATAATTGAAATTCTACTGATGGAACTTTTGGATTACAGAATTTGTCACATGGAGAAAAAAGTTTAGTTAATTAATTTAAAAAATATTCAAGATTACTTGATAATAGAAGTTTGTCTACAGGCATAGACAACAGAAGCTTTTTAGGACTATTAACAGTCATACCAAAATTGTAAACAATAGTATCCATCTTAAAATCGAAAGTTGAACTATGTAATCTAAAATTAGGTTAAAGTGAGGGTGAGGGAAGAAATTAAAATTAGGCACAATTTGAATACCATTAAATACCATTAACTATGATGAGAAACTGCGGAAAAATGAAGGGTTGGATGTTAAATAGGTTGTTCTGTCGGTCAATTCAATGAATATTTCAAAATACATATGTATGAGAAAGTTCTCCCTCATTTCAAATATTTGCCTATGACACACAATCATTCAAAAAAGATTATAATTTGAAGTACATATAGGAGTTAAAAGAATTATTTGAAAATTATTCACTCCGAGAAAGCACAAAAAGTTTTTTCAGTGAAGTTTCGTTGTGTCTTAATTACAATATATTCAGAATTATCATTCGATTCAGCTCGAATCAATTACCATAATTACTTTCCCTTAAATAATTACCCCCATCTATTAGTTAAAAAATGACGGCTGTAGTGTAGTGTACCGGTGGTAAAAGTTCGGGACGTGACATATGTCATTCGATTCGTCTCGACGAGCTGAGTCGAACGGTACCACTCCCTACTTTAGGAAATAATTCTGGACCGAGTTATAGGTCCCGAAAAATCGAAAAACCAAAGGGGGGACCAAGCACATTTTTGGGGTGAAAAATTCGAAAATGCAAATTATACCTCATTCGAAAGAGCTCGTCGAGCTGAGTCCAATGACACCAAAATCAACAAAATCCGACTTGATTTGACAAAGTTATGACCGTTTGTTTTAGCTCCTTACCTATGTAATTTGTGGAGATTTTTGCTGCTACGGAGGCCCCAAATACGTCCAGAGCAAGGGAGATAGGAATAGGTTTATGTTACGAGCCCAGACCCACCGCCCGTAGACTCCCCGCGAGGCGCGTGCCGCAAAACCCCGCGCGAAGCGCGGGGTTTTGCACAAGCGCCTCGCCGACGCTCCATAGGTTTAGGTTTTTTTTTGTTTTTTGTGTCATAACTTTGTCTAATCTTGTCCAATCACGGTGATTTTGGTGTCATTCGATTCAGCTTGTCGAGCTCTTTCGAATGAGCTAACATTTGTGGAATCGAATTTTTGGCCATAAAATCCCCCCTATGGTTTTTGACCATTTCGAGCCCTATATCTCGACTCAAACTTGTTCAATCAAGCTGATTTTGGTGTCATTCGACTCAGCTCGACGAGCTCTTTCGAATGAGATATAATTTGCATTTTCGAATTTTTCACCCCAAAAATGTGCTTGGTCCCCCCTTTGGTTTTTCGATTTTTCGGGACCTATAACTCGGTCCAGAATTATTCCCTAAAGTAGGGAGTGGTACCGTTCGACTCAGCTCGTCGAGACGAATCGAATGACATATGTCACGTCCCGAACTTTTACCACCGGTACACTACACTATATCCAAAATGACCCCCCCCCCCACCTATTATTAATTACCCAAGGTAATTAATATAGGAGTTATATATAGGAGTCTATACTCATATACGGTATCCAAAAAGGAAAGTAGATAAGGAAAATATGGGGAGATAACAGGCAAGTATTTTACTCTAATTTTAAGTAATTTAAAGATTAATTTAATTAAAAATATTTTATTAGGAATGAGCAGTTCCGCATCTAAAGATTGAAAGCGGGAAGTGCCAAAAAAGACTAAATTCTACGCAAGACCGAATCAAAAGAGAACCCCCATCATTTTATATTTATTTAATTAAAATAATTTAGTTTTAATTAAATTTCCATCATTATTTTTATTATTTAAATTTTCTTCTTCTTCATCTTCTTTCTCCTTTATATTATTATTTCCATTATTATTATCAGAAAGTAAATAATCTTCAACAATTGCAGAGAATCTATCCATATCTAATTGATCTGCCGAAGAATCTCCTAAAAGTTCTCGAAATACAAATTCTGCCAATTCATGAGAGAAACCACCAATTTCCTTGGCAACATACTAAAAAAATAATTTATTTAAAAAATCCTATACTCACAATAAATTCATTTTCAGATATTAAACCATTCTTGTCTTGATCAAAAACCTAAAAATTAATTTTTATTTTTTAATAAATTATTTTTTGCCTCAAAACATTGTCTAACAACTTCATCATTTGTTGGCCGTTGACGGAAACCTCCCTGTCTTTCAGCCGTTTTCATACATTGACAAAATTCTGGAAAGTCAATTTCTCCATTTCCATCCTCATCTACCTTTTTAATTTTTTAAAAATTATTTGTTTAGAGAATTACATAAAATAATTTAATTTTACTTCTTTAATTAAACGTTCAATTTCTGCATCATCTGCCTCCAATCCAATCTTTTAGAAAGAAAACTATTTATTTTTAAAATAAATTTATTTTACTCTCAACATTGCTCCTTTTAATTCTTCACTTCCAATAGCCCCACTTCCGTCTGTATCAAACATTTTAAATAATTGTTGATATTCCTTTTAAATTAAAAATAAATTTTTGTGATCTTTTCAAAGAATTTGGATTACAAAAATATTTTAAATAAGATTTTGTCTGTCGGAAAATTTTGCTAATTTTTATTAATTTTTTAAATTTTTCCCAATTACCTACTTTTAATTCCCCTTTTGTATATAATCTTTCAAGCATTTGTTGTTGTTGTCGAGCAGCAGAATGCGGCCTCGCACTGTCCCACCCTCCAATTAAATGACTTCCTCTACGGTTAGCACTATTCCCTACACCCCAACGTTGATGAAATACAGCAGCTGCTGCTGCACGGCTACTACTTAATGCTGAATTTGGTGTTGGCTTAAAATTAATGGGAAATTAAAGAAACACCTCTATTTAATATACTCTCATTAGAAACGACTAATTTTCATAGAATTGGGTAATTTTAGCTGTTAGAGTTTATGTTTTGAAAGGGGTAGCTTAACTCGAACAAACTCGGTTTTGTTATAAACAAAAGTATACAGGGTAAAGTCAGTGTGAAGTAATAAAGTATTTATCCATTTTTAGTCCATTTTTAGTCCTTTTTTATATTTAAAAATTTAAAAACAAAAAAATCCACTTGTGGTTGTTGTGTTTGTTCATTTCCACTAATAGCCATTTGCAACCCAGCATGTGGAGCACTAGAATGTGCCATAGCTGGAAGAGTTCCAACACGTCCAATTTTCTTGAATTCATAAGCAGTTGACATTTTTATTTATTTAAAATTATTTTTAAAAGATTTTTGAGGACCTTAAATGCTCTTAATGGTAAACGTTGTTGTTGATTTTGGTGGGATTGTTGTTCTCGTTTATCTAATTAAAAAAAGATTTATTAATCTATTTTGGTACTTTTCTGTTTTGTGACCGCACTTTAAAAATGTTTAAAAAGGGCATGAATATGCACATATTATATGTCATTCGAAAGAGCTCCTCGAGCTGAGTCGAATGACACTAAAATCAGCTGAGATCATGATTATGAGTCAAGATAAAAAGGTTCAAAATGGTCAACGTAAACCTATGGATGCATAGGTAAAATTAATCATAACATTGTCCAATCTTGTTCAATCACGGTGATTTTGGTGTCTTTCGACTCAGCTTGCCGAGCTCTTTCAAATGACATACATTTTGGTCATATTAATTATTTTGGCCGTTTTGATCCTTGTATCTTTTGACCATTTCGAGCCCGTACCATTTCGAATCCCACACGATCTTGGTGTCATTCGACTAAGCTCGAGGAGCTCTTTCGAATGACATGTAATTTGTCGATATTCATGACCCTTTTTAAACATTTTTAAAGTGCGGTCACAAAACAGAAAAGTACCTCTATTTTAAATGGTATAAAATTTTTTATAAATATAACGGTATAAAGATAATTGAAAAAGTTTGGGGATTTTTTTATTGAAGATAACATAAGGATAAACTTCAAATTACTGACTATTTCTGAGTCACCAATACACGATATTTAGTTTAATTCTCTATAGTGGCTTCTATATTATCAACAACTTCTATACTATCTTCATCTACCAATCATTCCCTTCGGAGAGGGGGATAACTATTGTTCGGATATTATCTATTGTATTAAAGAATGCCTTTCTTTTACTAAATAAAATAATTTAAACATTTAGGTAAATAAAATATACATAAAAAAACTCAATCTATAATATTTAAAATAAATGTGCGTGTTAAAGCAAATATTAAAAATATAATTGCTACTAAAAGAAATACATTAACAATTAAATATATCTCGTGTTAAAACTCAATTTAGCAACTTATAATTTAAAAAAAAATATTTTTTTATTTTAAAAATAAATTATGTATTTACCAGCATTTGGAAGAAAAGAAACTCTATTGTTATTATTAGATTGTCCAGAATGCCGTCTATTTGAATCCATTGAAGTTGATTGACTTACACCAACTTTTAGTCCGTTTGGAGATAAGGAGGGGCGGAGATTATTATCAGAAAATTGTCGTCTAGTTTGTCGATGATGACTAGAAAAAATTGAAAAAAAGATTTTATTTAAGAACTCTGATCCCCCCCCCCTCTAATTTTTTCTTAATACTCCCCCAATAATAAATTACTTTAAAATAAAAGGGTTAATTTTTAAAAAAACATTTGTCTTTTTAATATTAAAAATAAATATTAAAATTTGTTGTCAAGGAAAAGAAAAAATTATTAAGAAACTAATGGAGACAAAACATTAGTTTTTTAATAAATAAATATATTTGTGTTTGCTTTTTGTTATATGTGAAGGTGGAAATAAATAATATGTGTATGAAATGTGCCAACTAAATAAATTTTTGTAGTAAAAAATATAAAATAATTTTTTGAAAAATTTATATAATTTATACAAGTGTTGGAATTAAAGTTTTTGAAAAAATATTTTTGAGAAAGAACTATTATACATAATATTTTTTTAAAAATAATGTAAAGAAATGCTTGATAAAAAGTTTAATAAATTAATTAATTAGTAAGCATTGACATTTAAATTTGTTATTCAGCTGCCAATTAAAACAAAATAAATAATAAAAGTATTTGGTAACGAAAAATGAAAATGAGGGTGGAAGTGTGGGAATTTTTAGTGGTTGTAAGAAAATATTAAAAATTATTAGTTATTTAAGATTTTATTAAAAAAATTTTTTTTTTAATTTTTAAAGAAAAAAAGTAAAATATTAGTGTTAATTTTGAATAACCGAAGTGTAAAATTAGTAATTAATTTTTATATTTTTTTAAAATATAAACAAACCCAAAAATTGTTGTACGTGTAGAAGGACCACCCCCACCAACACTACCACTAATTACCTTATTTTTATCATTATTAATTGTTGGTTGAATAATAACAGGTTTAACAATACTTGTAGATAATTGATGTTTTTGAAGAGGTCTAACAGATTCTTCCCCTCCACTAGGGCTTGGTTCTCGACTAGATTCTGCTGGACTTGTAAATTCAAAACGAGGGAGGGGAATTGAAGTAGACAAGGAATTTGTGGCAGGGGAGGGGGAAACACCGATAATTTTTGTTTTGTTGAGGGAAGGATTGGGAAAGTTAGAAGAAGATTCCATTTTTAAATAAAAATATCACAATATTTTTTTGTTTGAATAATTAATCTAAAGAAAATAAATTCGAAAAAATTGTGTTACCAAAGAAATTTGTAAATATAAAGTTTATATAAAACATAGAAAAGGTGTTTAGAAAAGGTGTATAAACATAGAAAAGGTGTTTAATATTTTACTTATTTAATAAAAATAATTTTAAAAATTATTTCTTAAAACTTAGAAAAATATCTGCTTTACTAGATTTATTTTCGTAAAATAAATTCTATGTAGATTTATTTCTATGAATATAATTATTTCAAGGGAAATTAATTACCATAAATAAAAAAAAATAATTTTAAAGGGAATATTTAAATATTTTTTGATCAAAAAAATTTTTTTGTGGATAAATTTTAAAAACTTTTATTATTTTATAGGAGATAATTGGCTGTTAAAAAATTTAAAAAATCTTTTTTTAAGACACAAATGTATTACTACAAATTATGGCCTTAAAAGATAGTAAAGTCCTCTCCTCTTCTTTTTCTCATTTTAAATTCCCCATCCACTCAAAGCCAAAATCCCTTAAGGCTTTTACACCTTCATAAATCCTCTCAAAGTAAATGGGACCGTTTCCAACGAGATTATTTTAAATTAAGGGGTTTGACGAAGAATAAAAAAAATGTTTTAATAAATATATTTTTAATAAAATGCAGAAAAAGTTTTAAAAGATTAATCTTAAAATACATGTTTTTTGTAAATATATTTCTCATTTTTAATGAAAGCTAAATAAAAACAAAAAAACTTAAATATATTTTAGATGGGACACGCCTAGAACGAGATACGGCCATAAAGGCGTAAAGCTATAACTTGCTTCAAGATTTCCTAATCCTAACAAATTTAGATTAGGAAAAATTCTAAATTTGTTAAGATTAGGAAAAAAATTTAGGTACCAATCTCCCCAACGAGCTAAGGAGATTGGTACCAAAATTGTTAAGGGTCAAACATTTTCCAGCAGATTGTGGCTTTGCGCCGTTATGGCCGCACGCCATTTTGGGCTGTACCCATTTTAGACGGTTCTCGTAAGGGAAATAATTAAAATAAACCAAAACTTGAATATATTTATTTTTATATTTTAATTTAGACAAAAACAAAAAAAATACATTATATTTTGTTGGTAGTATTTTAGCAATTAAAAGTGGGCAGTAGGATGTTTTTGATCCTCTCAAGAAGAAATAAATGAAGAAATTTGTGCCCGAGAACATTTTTATAGAAGTTGAAGACTATTTTTAAGTAGAGAAGAACATCTCTAAAAAATATTTATTGTTAGGTATATTTATTTTAAAAATTTGAATTAAAGGAGGGGAAAAATATCTGTTTATTCAAAAAGGTTATTGGGCAAGGTTAATAAAATAGCCAATATTTATTTATACTCTGTTAAATACTAAAAGTTTTTCAAAAAATCCCTCTCTGAATTTATGAAATATAGTCATTGAAAATTTTTATAAGTAAATTGAAAACAAAATTCTTTTGGAGTGGGTATTATTTTAATTTTAGAAAATTAAATTTAAAAAATTAAAAGAGACAAACAAACCTTTTAACTGTCTAATCAAAATCCTCTTGGTCGCTGCTGAGTTCATATGCATAATTTCGATATTTTGGCTGCTCATCGCCATAATGATCTGAATTTGTTTTTAAATTATTAAAAACTCAAGGATAACAAAAGAACCAAAATTAGAAAAAATTTTGGTTATAAAACGAAGGTCAAAATATATGTAAACCTAAAGAATAGAGTCGGAACCCCCCACAACCTTTTAATGCCAACCAACCAAAATATCCGTCCTCGCTTGTAGATTCATTTTCAAATTCATTAGCCCCATCCTCATCAGGATAATCATTAGCATAATATTGCTCGGCATTAGAATCTTCGTCGTCATAGTCATCAGCTGAATCACCTGACTCATCATCCCCACCATAGAAAAGTTCAATATCGTCTGCCTCTTCAATGACTAGAGATTTAGAGTTGGATTGTTGACCTTCATTGATTTCCTAAATTAAAAAGAATGAATATACATATTATTTTAATTTGTTAAGAATACCTAGCCATTTTAAGAAATCGGGATTTTTGTACTGTTTTATCTAACAAAAGACGCATAAGGGTCAGATATTTTTCCTATACCATTTCTCTCTGATTTTCACGTTTTACTTTGGGCCAAGGTAAAAAGAATAAAGGAATGAAAATGTTCTAAAAGAAAAATCATTCACCTCATACGAAATTAATTATAGAGGAACTGAAAAATTTCTAATTTAGCGAAAAACAATTCCAGCTAGCTTGAGAAACGTTTAAGGCATTCTTAAAGTCTTATAAATTTTTTGAACGAAAGGCAACCCAATTTAATGACTTCCACCTTTTTCTCGCCCAGTACCGAGAGAAAAGGGGTTAAAAGTTTTAAAATTTAGAAACCTTTTTATCCTTCTCGTTTCCCACATCATTCAATTTCATCTTCTTTGTAGATAAAATCAAATTCCCAAAAGGATCTTGCTTTCTTTTACGTCGCTGCTTGCCATGTTTCTGATGATGACGTTCACCAATATGTACAATCATTGATTCCGAACGTTGTGAAGTAGACTGAATTAAACAAGGAGACGAAGAGTTAACAGGCAAATCAAAATATTCATCAGCATATTCATCGGCTAAACTACAGTTTCCGTACCAGGCTCAGAATTGAACGTTTTATATGTCATTCGAAAGAGCTCGTCGAGCTGAGTCGAATGACACCAAAA